GACAAGCCCAAACCTTAACATTGTACACGAAAATGCTGACAAAGGATGATAATTTCAATAGCATTTTGAATTGATATTATCGGCTTTGGGTTAAATTTTTGGTATTTGTATCATCGAAGGGGTCGTGCTCCGGTATAAACAGCCTTTATCGAGGACCATCATCTCAGAATGGAATCTTTTCAATTTAACGAAACGGACACTAATACATGGAACTCCAGCGTAATATCTAGCGACACTTCTGGAACAAATGAAAACTCAGACAACTTTCCAATTCCCTATTTCGAGCCTATTAAAAATTGGGCATATCTTTGGGTACCTTTGGTTGATTTCGTCCATTTATGTGTGACCATGCCTTTCGTAGTAATCACAATCCTCCTCCAGGTACAGCATAATAGCACAGACAAGATGGGCAATTATAGACCGAGCCTTGAACAAGGAGAAAAGTTAAAGGAACATGAGGAGGAGGAAAAAGATGTAAATTGCAATTTTGCTTCTTTTCTTTTATTTACGTACTACAGCACGTAATTAACTCAGTTTGCCAAGATAACGAAATAAACTCAAAGACAGAACTAAAATCTAGAAAACTAAGACCAAAGCACAAAGATGAAGATCTCATCCGACGCTCCTCATACCTCGTCCGCCTCCAAATTGATGGTGGCTTATTTCAAATGTTTCGCAATGTGAGAAGGTCTCCTGAGGGACTTTCGGGTTTGTGGAAAGGTTTGTAGACCTGTGAAACGATAATCAAGCTAACATACTCAGGTACTTTTACATCGTGGCTATTGCAAGAATTAGGTGAATATGTCCAACCCCTCTTCAGTTCGGGATTATCAAGCATCTTCTTCAAATCCTTTCCTGTTGCGCCAATATCAAATATAATTACTGACGTTGCAGTCTCGCCTCTTAGCTTAGTGCGTACGCGGATAATCGTCCAATCCACGTCAGTGACATCAGCTGGTGTGTCTCGACGCGCCTACAGCGGACCTGTTGATGCATTGTGCAAGATCTCGCACGACGAGGGTGGATGGCTGGCAATGTGGACACACCCCAATCTTCTCTTCCCCGCTGTATTAGAATCGGCATTACAGAACCTGCTCACTATCTGCGGTTCACTCTTAGTGGATAGACTGCTGAGTATCACTATAGAAAGTAATCCTATAACGTATATGTCCTGTGTTATGCTATGGGATATACTCAGTAGTGCTTTAATTTTCCCTATCACAACTGTTAGACGACGTCTGCAAGTACAGGACAGAAGTTTGGATAAGGGGCATAATGCGAAACGCTTCGTTACTTGTGTTGAAACACCGTTACCGTCTGCAGGTATAGTAGAGTGCATCAATCAAATGGTGACTGAGGACTGCAGTAGCGAGAGTAGATGGTATCACATCAAAACACTTCTTAGAGGGCTGAGCATTCAATTTTATGCTATCATAACATTGCTTTTCTTTAATTGCATTGCAGGCGCCTTTATCGGACTATTTGCTCTTTTCGCAAAAATCTTCAATTATATTTAAAAAGCTATGGTCATTTATGAATATAATACAATGCGTGCATACAATGATGGAATGCTTCTATTCATCGTCAGAATCTATGACCCTTCTACGTTTCGACAAGCTTTTGGCCTGAGTACTGGTATCATCCTCATCCTCGTCTCCAGCAACGTCCATAACCGACTGGCTAAACAGCTCCTGCGATTGAAGATTATCGTCCACCGAATTTTGAATGACAGGTCCCTGGGACGGCTCTACCTGTTCAGCTTCTTTAGCCTTTCTTCTTTTGGCAACCAATGAAAGCGAATCTTGAGGTACCTCTGCAGTTGCTGCAGCGTTCTTAGCATGCGCACGCAATGACTCCTCCTTCCTATAAAAATCTTGCAACGACTCCTCATCTACAATATGTTAAATAACGTTGAGCAGCTCTAGCGCACCTACCTTCATCACTATCCTCAATAAACTTAGCTGAGAGATAAGATTGAGCTTGCTCTTGACGTACTGTGACTTCACGCTGCTCCTCATCATCACGTCTCCTTCTGTGTGCGCGTGGGCGTTTCTTCTTGTGCTCTGACACATGAGCACCGTCAGGGAAGTCCGCGTCGGATTTCTATAGAGAACGTTAGACGTGTTGATCAGGATTTTACCACTAACAGGTCTATTTTCATTGTCATCAGATAGACCAGTCTCCTTGACGTCTTCAGCTTCGATAGCGGCATTTTTCCTGCTATGAGACCGCATCGGGAATAGTGCCTCAACAAAGATCATAGGATTCTCAGCAGCTGATTTAAAAAACTTTCTGAGAATAAACTCAATCAGCTTCATTAAATCTTTGTAGGGCCCTGAATGATAGTTCACAGCCGACTTGACGACTTGGTCTTGAACATTTCTAAAGATGTTAAGTGTAGACACCTTTTTTAGCCTTTTAGCGAAATCTATAAGCTAATGTCTGACTCACTTTGTAAAATAACTCTTCCCCTTGTGCTCTTACTGCCTGTCTATAAAGAAGGTTGACAACGTGCTTGAGCTGACTTGTACTGTGGAACTCCAAGTGGCGCTCAAGGTAAGTAAGGCATGTTTTAACGATATTCTCCGAGGCGAATCTGCGTTCGTATGACGAGAAGACAAATTTATGCTCAGCTGCTGAAAGTGTTTCACGGTTAGCCTCAGCATCGTCTTCAGCAGTTGTTTGCATCGTTGGCTCATTGACTGGAGTGCTTAATTAGCTGTGCCCTTTTTGAGACGACAACTTACTATCGCCATTGCGACGCTTTGATGACTTGCGCTTTCGCACAAACATGTAAGCTTTACTTTTACTAAAATTCTCCAACATGCGCAAAAATACGTAAGCCAAATGAACGATTGACTCAAGGAATCTAGACTTGTCAGACAGTTTCACCATGAAAAGTAGACTCACTGAACGCTCTGGTCCTTATACCTTCCCATCAGCATGACTATCACATCCATCACGTCTCCGCTGTAGTACAGCTTGTCTTGGAGAACCTCTGCCACTTCGACCACCGCAGGCGCTTGAGTGCAACTGATCATCTCGTCAACAAGTGAAAGCTTTAATTGAAATTAGAGAAGCTCATCACGAAGACTATTTCTTACGATTTGAATGAGACAGTTGATGGCGCAATGAAGTTCCTTCCACGATGGCGGCTAGATTGTATTAACAAGGTAGTTAAAGGAAACACCACACACCTTGTCATCTATAGTAATTGCCATACGAGCAGATACGTACCCAACGGTAGTTGGATCGATCATACATCCAACGTAACCAAAGGTATTTTCGGCCTCTACCGCAGGCAACTTGCTAGCATCCGTTGAGCGCCACTTGGTGTTGAAATACTCAAGGAAAAAGGCAGACAAAGAGAACCACCTAGCCTTATCGGTCTCCCTGACCTTAGGTCTTTCCATTCGAAAGTCTTTAAGGAGTGTAGTGAAGAAGGCTGGTTCGAGTTAGATAAAGTAATCGAAATTCTTTTATCCTTACTATCGTAAGACGTTTTCAAGAAAAGCTCGGCTAGCTCCTTGAGATGCTTTCGTGCGCTGGCATTGAGGAGGGTTTCGCCAGAATTGTCCTGCAGCGGCGTTTAATGGGAAACAAAAAGAAACCGTCTAACTGACTTGATCTTTGGATCTTTTAAAAACCTTCTTCTTTCCAATATCCATACTTTGTTCACCACCAGATGGGGTGATGGCGGATTGTCTTGACTGTACGAAGCGATTGTCACCAGATAAAACACTGACAGTGGTGCCAAATCGACTATGTCTTGAAGTGTTGCTTCGATTATTGAGCCTCTTTTGCTTGTTTTCAATATCGAGCAGATTAGAGAGACCAGCGGAGGAAGCCTGGAAAGAAATTAGATTTGTTTGCTTAGTAGCACATACCCCACCTTTACTGGATCGAGCGTGAGCTCGTCTGCTCTTATACCTCTGAAGAGAAAGTGAAAAATCTCAAGAACAACAACATTGTACGCGATAAGCTCACGCTGATCTGAAGATGACGCAAGCGTATTAAAAAGAGAGAGAATCTCGAAGGAGTGCATTTGATCGATGAGCTCCGATTGAACGCCTGGATGAGCATCAGTGTCTTTAATTGCGAGAATGTTGCGGAATGTGTGCAAAATGAGAGCGACGACCTGATCATCACGCTCAGTGCGCTCACTAGGATTTTGTTAGAAAACGTATAGACCAAAAGAAATCAACCTTACAGTCTTGATTTTGCTAAGCGCGGAAGGAGTAGCTCGAGGAGGTGCTGTACTGTCTTGGACTTGACAATAGCCAGCTTATACGCTTGTTGAGCCTGTATAAAAGACGTGTATTCAAAGTTGATAACTTTGTGTTCCTCTTCGCGATCGACAAGCTCCTTGAATTCCTCTTCGATTGAGATTGGCCATGTCAAACACGAAATGAGGTCTGTTGCAGCGAGGGCGATACGATCACCGGAGTTGCCTCTGCTAACAGAGAGTGCTAGAATCTTAAGGAGGTCGTTGGTGAATACGCCTGATTCGTGTAGAATTCTGGCGACTGTACGATTTGGATCGTCGTCGTCTTTGCGCCAGAACTTCTTCAAATCCTTCAAACAGCCTGATGAGAGGGTAAGGGTGAATACGCTGCCCAGCCTAATCGCCCACCCAAGCATTCATCACCCAGTTTGTACTCTTGGGATATGGAGCCATCTTGGAGTTTGATAGCCTCGACGCCGCCAACTGCAGATATTCTCGATATAATAGGATCTCTGTAGAGCTCCCTGAGATCAATTTCACCTGCCTCGCTTTCTGAATCTGACATTTCGACGTGATGGCGCGTATCGACGCGTGCATTTCAATGACGAACTTCGATGAGCACTGGAATTGATTTTAAAGATCCCTTGGGAGTTTTGCCGTTTGAGCTTTGGGAGGTGATTGTTGTCTATTCAAGCTCGGTAGATTACGCGTCGGCTCAGAAACTATCGCTGCTTAGCAGGAATTGGAGGCTGATGCTGCTCGAAATGCATCAGCCCTGGGATAGTGTCGTAGTCAACAGAATACACAAGCCTAGCTCACCCTCTCAATCATTTCTCGATTGGCTCACTTTGATACATTCTAGGGCCAAGACTGGCATCAAACGCGTTGAATGGATTACAAACGACTCCGAAGAGAGCATGACAGGATATTTAGATGTCATACATGGTGGAAGTGGCTCATTGTACTCCATCTCACTCAAAGGTTACGACAGTGCGATGAAGAGTCGCGGCTTCAAGTTCAGACCACCACCAACTACAAGCCTTGATGTGTTTGTTGAAACACCCAGCAAATCGGACTACTTTGACCCGGATGAGGTTATTTTACGCCACACAACAGGTCTTCAAAATTTGCATCTTGTCAACACATTCCCAAATTTACTGCCAATATCTTGCAGTCTCAAAACCCTTTCTATGCACTTTACAAAGACATTTTTGGATATCGGAGCAGTGCAAAACTTTATTGCAGACCATAAAGAGCTTGAATATCTTAGTATCAAAAACCTCAAGCAAGACATTCCTGCGAATAGGCTTATATCTCTACCAAGACTGAAGTATCTAGAGCTTATCAATGCAGGAACACTCAAGGATGCTATCATTGCAACAGAAACACAAGTAGTCAAAATAGAAGACTAATCGAATACCCACCACTCAATATACCTCAGATATATGCATTAATAAATTACAATTAAAGTGATTTCACCTCGGCTCTCTTCTTTTCTTCAATGACCTTCTTGTCTAGTACTTCTTTACGCTTCACGCCTGCTTCGACAGATATACCGGCAAAGACAGTAGCTGCGCCTGCCCATTGACCTGGTGCAAGCTCGTGTCCATAAATAAAAACACTCAAAAGCATCGTAAACAGCTTTCTTGTGAGAGTGATGGTGACTAATGCTAATGATCCAAAGTGCTGCAGTGTCTCGAATATAAAGAGCTGTCCGAGAGCACCGCATCCGGCGTATAATGCAATGTCGGTGAGTACTTCCGGGTGACTTTTAACAAATTCAATAGCCGAGTAGATTTCTGGTGCAGTGATCTCTGATTTTCCGAGGAGGGGTATAGCGGGTATACCAACTATCATAGCAGTTGAAGTAACAGTGCTGGAAGCGAGATTCATCCAGAACATCATTTGAGTTCCATTGATGGAGTGATGGTGGAATATAGCGTCTTGACTGCTATTGACCAGCCCATCAATGATGAGATTTGCGAGTAAGAGGGTTAGACCAAACGAGCTGTCTGTTTGTGAGGAAGCTTTGCTCGACCTTTTAAGAAGGGTAAACATGCTAATACCGGTGGTGACAAGCAACACCACCGCGTATTTGTAAGGAGCGAATTTTTTCCTGTAAATCAACACATTCATCAGCATGACCTGGGTGAGTTAGTGGGGGTGATATACACGTCCTCGAACGCACAGGAACCAGTTTACAGGATTTAGCGAGCACCATTGTTGGATAGCTGATGTGCTTGAGGGAACTGAAACCGAGAACTTGGGCAACAGCCTGGAGAACCGCAACACGGGCGATACCAGTAAGTAGATTACCAGTATTGCTTCCTGAGAGCGCCAAAAGGTCTTTCAAAGGCTGTTGAGAGGGTTTACGCAGATTGAGGTATAAGAATGCAGCGACAGCAGAAGCGAGGGACTGAGCTGTATTAAGGAAAAGAGAGGATCTGAAGAATACATTTCCGCCGGTGCTCGAAGTGTATTCTGTTGTTGTAACTGCTCGCTATTAGACACGCAACGCTGCCAGCACAATACTCACGCTTCTCCTGCACCAGAGCCCAGAGGAGGAAGCAGGCGTATACACCGGATACGCAGATTCTAATAAAGTGAGAATTTTGTAATTATTTTGCCAACTACCCACGCTAATCGAACGAGCGTCATGGATGTTCACCAACAAGACCTTCGACTGACATCATATTCCTCTTTCCACAACGCCCATGAGCAAATCGTTCGGAGATAAGGACAGCACCAGGAACGTGCGTAATCTGTGCATCGCCGGCCACGTCGATCATGGAAAGGTACTTGATTTTATGCCGTTTATGGCCATCTCTTATCAATCTACAGACAGCGTACGCAGATAGCCTGCTTGCAGCGAACAACATCATTTCCTCCAGAATGGCTGGCAAGCTGCGGTTTCTCGATAGCAGAGAAGACGAGCAGCAGCGCGGTATCACTATGGAATCATCTGCAGTCAGCTTGGGTTTTAAGCTCCTCCGCCAAGGTGAAGACGGTCACGCAAAGGCTGAAGATTACATGATCAACATGATCGACACTCCCGGTCACGTCGATTTCTCTTCCGAGGTTTCCACAGCCGCGAGATTGTGCGACGGTGTTCTCATCATGGTCGATGTCGTCGAGGGCGTCTGCACCCAGACAATCTCCGTCTTGCAGCAGGCGTATGCAGATAAATTACGCCCTATTCTCGTCATCAACAAAATGGATCGTATCATCACTGAGCTCAAGCTGGCGCCTTCCGAGGCTTATCACCACCTCGTTCAACTCATCGAAGGCGTAAATGCCGTCATTGGCTCTTTCTTTGCTTCCGATAAGCTCGCTGATGACTACAGGTGGCGCGAAATGTCTGACCAGCAAAGAGACGCGTTCGAGGAGCGCGACGATGAAGACCTCTACTTCTCTCCAGAGAAAGGTAATGTGCTCTTTGCCTCGGCAGCTGATGGTTGGGCTTTCAGGGTCTCAAAATTTGCGCAAATTTATGCTAGCAAATTAGGTTGCAACGAGGACGTCCTCAAGAAGTGCCTCTGGGGCGATTTCTACTTTGATCCAAAAACTAAGCGTATTATTGGCAAAAAGTCAGCTGGTACACGCCCATTAAAGCCACTGTTTGTCCAGTTTGTTTTGGATAACATTTGGGCTGCTTACGACGCCATCCACCTGAATCACGACATGGATAAGGTTAACAAAATAGTCAATGCCTTGAGCATACGTGTTCATCCACGTGAGCTCAAGACGAGAGATACAAAGACATTACTGTTTGCTGTTTTCACTGCTTGGTTACCACTTGCATCTGCCACCTTCTCCGCGGTTGTAGATGTTATTGCACCTCCTTCACAAGCTCAGTCGCTGCGTCTTCCCAAGATGCTTCGCCCACTTGAACCTCGCCCTTCACCAGTGCCTCAAAATGATGTTGAAAAGTCAATCTTTACAAGTGCTTCTGAGAATGCCCCTGTAATCTCCTACGTCAGTAAAATGTTTGCTATCCCAGCTAGCGATCTTCCTGAAAACAGACGCAGAGGTCTTACTGCTGAAGAGATGCGTGAACGCGGTAGAGAGTCTAGAGAGAAGGCTGCAGCTGTTACAGCTGCTTTGGGTGCAACGGGTATGGCAGGTGCTGAAGAAGTTTCACTCGACGAAGCTGCCCAGCGTCAGGAAGAAAAAGCAGCACAGGATGCTGAAAGACAGGTAGAAGAAGAAGAAGTTATTGAAGAGGCTATGATAGGCTTTGCTCGTATTTATAGTGGAACAATGCGAGTCAGCAACACCCTCACCTGTCTTCTACCCAAGTACAACCCAGATTTACCTCCATCAGACCCTCACAACACAAAAAACAAGCAAGAAGTTCAAATAAAGAGCCTTTACATGATGATGGGTAGGGATCTTGTTCCAGTTTCAGAAGTTCCTGCAGGAAACGTATTTGCGATTGGTGGATTGGATGGCGTTGTCTTGCGTAATGCCACATTAATCTCCCCTGACAACGAAGACTGCTTTATTAACCTTGCAAGTGTCGTAAATCAAAATGCTCCGATTGTCAGAGTAGCGCTCGAACCAGCATCTGCTTCAGATATGGGTAAGCTTGTTAACGGAATGAAGCTCCTCAATCAATCCGACCCATGTGTTGAGGTATTGCAACAGGAGACTGGTGAGCATGTTATTTTAACCGCCGGCGAATTGCACTTGGAGCGATGCTTGAAAGATCTTCGCGAGAGGTTTGCAAAATGTGAGATAACATCTTCAAAACCAATTGTACCATTCAGGGAGACAGCTGTGAAGGGTCAAGAGATGCCACCTCCAAAAACAAAAGATGCAGCTAGAGGTACAATCCATGGCACTTCACAAAACAACGCCGTTTCATTTACATTGCGATCAGCACCACTGCCAAAGACTATAACAGGTTTTCTCGCCGCTAATCAAATATCAATCCAAAAGATGTTGGGAGTGTCTCTCGACAGGAAACAAGACGACGATGAGATTGCAATTGAAGATAACACATCAAGTCTTGAAGCTCAAGATGCGTACAAACCGGCTAGTGTTTTGTGGGAGGAACTTGAGAAGCTATTTGGTGACTGTGGATACGATTGGAAGAATGTAGTTAGCAACATCGTTGCGTTCGGACCAAAGCGTGTCGGTGCCAATATTCTCGTCGACAGGTGTACAAACAGAAGTCTTCGAAACAAGACGCAAGTAAATGACAGGTGGCAGAAGATGATTGATGAGGGTCTTGAGAATGGTTTTCAAATTGCAACCAACCAAGGACCTTTATGCGCTGAGCCTATGTTTGGAATGGCCTACTTTATAGAGAAAGTCAGCATAGATGACAGAGAGGCACTAGAAGGTAAGTTTAATCTCATTGTACAACCTCGCTAATAAAAGAAACAGCCAACACATCGCAGATAACAGGATCACTCCTTTCAGCGTCAAGAGACGCAGTCCGCAACAGCATGCTTGACTGGTCACCTAGACTCATGCTAGCTGAGTACTCGTGTGACATCCAAGCGTCGACAGAAGTACTAGGAAAAGTGTATGGAGTTGTTTCGAGAAGGCGAGGAAGGATAGTAGCAGAAGAGATGAAGGAGGGCACTACTTTCTTCACTGTGAAATCACTAATGCCAGTCGTTGAGTCGTTCGGTTTCGCTGATGAGATAAGGAAGCGTACATCAGGTGCTGCATCCCCGCAGCTAATTTTTGCTGGGTTTGAGGTGTTTGACATAGACCCATTTTGGGTGCCTTCTACGGAGGAAGAGTTGGAGGATCTGGGTACACTCGCTGAACGTGAAAATGTTGCAAAGAAGTATGTCGATGGAGTGCGTGAACGCAAGGGAATGTTTGTTGAGCGCAAGATTGTCGCTGAGGCTGAGAAGCAGCGTACATTGAAAAAATAAAGTAATTTAAGTAAATGCATTTATAGAGACTTTCGTCACATGTGTTATCCTAACAGTCAAGATGGCCTTCGAAGACGCGCCAAGCGTAAACGCAGATATTTTCGAGAATCAATACCTGGATGAAGAGGATAGCGAGGAATCAACCAGCGAATCAGAAAGCGACGTCGATGGCGATCCTGGCTTGAGAATAGAATCAGATTCATCAGGATCAGAGTACAATCAAGAAGGCGCCGAAAATAGTGAAAGCGAAGAGGAAGAAAACACATCAAAGCAACCTTCATCAATAAATGTCGCTGACGCCGCTGATGAGCCAGAAGGAGAGGATTTCGAGTGCGTCACTTTCTAAGAGCGGTAATCGCATTTAACACGACACAGTAAGCTCGTAAATGCTCTTAAATATACCGAGAATGTTTCCACTGGTAGCTCTGCAACTCAACAGTGGGAAAAGTCTATCGAGGAAGAGATGATGGACTTTTCAGATATCCGCGATGAGCTTAGAGGCGCGTCTGGTGTTGGAAGGCGCAGAAAAAAACTTAGAGACCGCAGTCAAGTTCTACCACCTGAAATTCGCGATCTGATCGGTCAGGCTAACATGCATTATGTCTTGGAAGAGTTCCCAGACGCTTTAAAGAAAATCGAACAAGTCCTTGTGGAGTGCCCGGAAGCCAAATCAGCCTGGGTTCTAGCTGCATCTATCAAATCAGATATGAAAGATGACGACAGCGCGCTACGTTTGAGGGTCATCGCTGCGTTGATTCCACCATGCGATGGTGAGGTCTGGAAGGAGCTGGCAGCAGATTCTAGAGCACAAGGTGCAATTCAACAAGCTGTTTACTGCCTAACACAGGCTGTAAGGCACAATAAATATGACTTTGACGCAATTTGGGATAGATCTGTTCTCTACAGGCAGCTTGGAATTTATCACCAAGCAAGCAATGGCTTTAAGAATATTCTCAAATTCTTCACCTTTGATCCAAATGTTCTGATGGAATTGGCTCCGATGTTGTTGGAACTTGGTAATTACAAGGAGACTAATAAGTTGCTATCCGGAGCTTGGAAATATTATCAAGATAACTTCCCCGACCCTGAGCCAGGAGAGACAGGCTTGAATATCAATCACTTCAAGTACTTAGTATCCGCCAAGCTCATGTTGAAAGAATACGACGAGGCTATCGACGTTATCAAGCACTCGACAAGGTGGCTTCAAGGTCGCTCGCAAGATAGCTTCTGGGATCTTCTTTCCGATGACAGGGAGTACGATGAGCAGAGGTTTGAACGCACTGGTGATCATCGTATTGAATTTGGAATGGGCGTTTTCGAGCTCGACAGCGATATGCGTGTTTCTCTCGGTCAAGCTAGATTAGAGAAAGGACAAAAAGAAGAAGCAAAGGTGGGAAATATTAGCATTTGTGGGAGTAATCTGAAGTCATACTCTAGCATCATTTTGATTATATACTCAAACTTGATTTGGAGTCCAATGTTGCACTATACGGTGAAATTGGGAATTCATACATTAAGCACGAAATGTATGCAGATGCACTGGAGATTTTTAAGATAATGGAAGATAATGAGAGTGTAGGAAGCACGTATATTCGAATGCACTCTTATACTGACATTCCTCGTAGACATGTAGTGCACCTGTATACAGAAATTTGGCAATATGTCATAAAGCACTGGACAATCTTGACTTGGCTGAGCAGATCTTTGAACATGGTAAGCATAGCAAGCACGGATTATTAAGAGTATATCCATCTAATCCACTCTCCAGTCTGTACACTCGAACCAGATAATATGGATGTCACGATGCAGCTTGCAGAAACTTATGAAGCATTGGGGAAGAGAGAAAAGGCTCTAGCAACCATTTCGAAAGTTTTATACAGAAGCAAAGAGAAGTCCAAGTCAAGCACCTCTCGAAGAAGTCAAGCTGCTGAAGAAATGGGTACACCAAACAACAAAGCATCCCTTTTGATGGAAAATTATTTTAAACGGACGCCAACGTTAAAGAAGCTTGACGGAGAAGACCGTAGGACGATGAAAGAGATGGCAGTGAGAGTAGAGGAAGAGCGTGAGAAGGAGATGAGAAATAATTGGGACAAAATGGATGAGCTCAACGAAAAGTTTGACCTACACAATCGCGATATTGTTGAGAGTTGGCTTGATGCAGCCAGAGAGGTTTTGGATGCGTACAGACAGACTATGCAGCTATTCCCTAAGAACAAGTCACAAAAATTCAGAGGTGTGATTGCTCCAGAGAAGATATCAGGAAGTGGTCGTAAACCAAAGGAGGTGAATGCTCAAAGACAGCTTGATGAGCATGCACGAGCGTTTGCGACAAGACTAGAGAGGGCGCTTGTAGATCAACAACACGTCCCAACTGTTCAGGAAAATGACGTTCAGCATTTCCGTCATATACACTTTGACGATTGGGTAAATCTAACGCTCAAGTTTGCTTTGATTAGCACGAAATACTCCAACTACAAAGAGGCGAGTGAGGTACTCAAGCATATGAGTGCATCAAATGCGCTTCAAGTGGCTGAACGCCAAAACGCGCTCAAGTTTTGCAGGTTGGCTTGTGCGTCGATGGCTAATGATGTGGAGACGGTAATAGACGTGTCAAGACAAATAATTTTCGATGAGCAGTTTACAATGGAGGGTCTCAGAATACTGAGTTGCTATCTCGGCAGAAATGCTCATGGTTTGAATGGATTTACCGATGTGAATTTACAGAAGTTCTTACTCAGAGAGGTGAAAATGTATGATGTTATGGCAACGGGTACAGGCTTCAAAATTAGCAACAAGAAACACAGGCTAGCCAATGCAACTGAACCTGGTGACGTTGATGCTGAGGCGAATGAAGCTCGTCAGCGCCGCCAAGAGTGGGATTTACCGTTACCAACAGAACAGAATCCTTACTATTTAGCATTCTATGGACAGGTTATGTTAGCTGCAAAGTCGGCGCAGACAAGTATTTACTATCTTCTGCGGGCCTACGAAATGGAACCGAATGATTACGTTATTTGCTTATCGCTCACATGCGCGTACCTGTACAGAGCATTCCAGAGACAGGCAGATAACCGACACCACCTGATAGCACAAGCGGCAGCGTTTCTCAGCAGATACAGGCAATTGAGATTAGCATGTGATGAGGCGGACTTTGACGAAGTGGAGTTTAACTACGGGAGATTCTTTCATCAGTTGGGATTGCTGGGAATAGCAACCAAGCATTACGAGATTGTGCTGAAGAAGGACAAGTCACAGTACTTGAATGAAGCTGCTTATAACTTATGGTTGATATATTATGCTACAAATGCTCAAGGGCCAATGAAGACAGTTACTGAAAAGTATCTGAGACCCGAAAAGTTCAAGAAGAATGATATACTTGTATGATGATGCAGATTGTAATTTAGTGATTAAAAGTGTCAGTAGTGAAAGAGCCTTGCGAGAAAACATTTGCATCGGATGTGAATGCAATTGGGGGAGCAGGAGATTGGGGAGTGGAAGTCTGAGGGGATGCGTGATGAGAGGATGATTCCTGTTGAGATAATGAACTGTTTGCGCTGTCTGACTGTCTTTTAGGCCATTCACCGCGAGTCGGACGCATTTTATCGAGAATACGCTTTGGTGGCTTCGCAGCGATGAGCCATTCGGGAATATCCTTGCCTTCCCTCCAGAGCTTACCGGACATAATCCTGGCTTTATCCTGAAGGTCGATATGGCTGCGCTTGGCTAATGTTTGGTCAACAGTGCCATTCTTCCCATGTCTATTCCTGATGTACGCCCAAGGCGGCTGGCCCTTGAGGGTGGTGTAGTAGAGCTGGAGGTAGTGCTCGAGCCAATAAGTCTCCTCCAAAGACCACGGCTTCTTCTTGACGCCTTTCGGGCCCGGGTTCTTGGACTTGCCGGCAACAGAGGGAGCTGGTTGAGAATTATGAGTGATCTGCGTACTCTGCGCTGACTGCTTATTCTGCTTATTTAGCTCCCTGGTGTAGCTGAGCAGTTCATCCAAAATCAAAAACTCATCCGACATGGATGTTAGACTGCTTGAGCATGTACTTCATCAGTAATACCTCAAATAATTTAAATTTGAATGAAAATATTCTACAATTACGCGCAAATGATAGATACCTGCTTAGCATTTCCCCCACTTCACTCATTCTGTCCTGTACGCAGAACAAGACAATACTCGCCAAATTCATTAGAGACGACAAGGAAATTGATAGATGGGGTTATAATGCTAGCTTCGAGTTTTCTATCGATAGTCATATCATCGTCGTTGCGACTGACGCGGGCTATCTTTTGGTGTATAAGCTATACGTCACCAGCAACAGCGTCTACAAGTACGTTAACCAGATGAGCTTGGTAAATACCTTTAAACTTCACCCACTTATCAAAGAACATCAATTGCGTTTTCACAAATGTTATAAGATTGTCGATGATATTGTCTCATTTCAAATGGCATACAATGATATCGTCGTTGCCACCAAAAACTATCTCAAAACTATCTCTATTGATCAGGGCGTCAATGAGTATCCCTATCGCGACTTGAGTTGGTTGAGAAATTCTTCACCAATCACTTATTCCAGCTTCTCATCTCATTTCAACTCTTTTGTCTTTATCAGCCAGGATGGCCATGCATACAATGCTCAATTTGACGGCGAATGGCGGGGTCACTGTCTTCACTCTCCACCAAACCACGCTACAGTATCATCATTCAATGAACAATTCTCACTTATTTCAATCGGATTCATTGATGGAAAAGTTGTAAATTACTCGTTACGTCCTAACAAACAATCACCTGTTCAATCTCATAAATTTCCCGAAAAGCCCTCGGTAGGCTGTGTAAAACAGTTGAGTTGGACACATGATGGTTATGCTCTAGCTGTGGCTTATGAAAAGGCTTGGAGCATTATATCTGTCTATGGTCGCGTTCTCGTACCCACTTCAGACGACATGCTATCATTTATACCAAACTCATCTCAGCGCACGCATAAATTCCAAGATAGACACATTTGGGGATCATCAAACATATGCTGGGGTGCACAGTCTCTCGAGTTATACCTCTTATCCAAACACTCTGATTATTCACATCAGATTTTTATAATACCTTTCGCCAAATCAGCAGTGACAACTCAACATTCTCCGGATAACACACGCTACGCATTTTTACAAATGAGTGACAAGCTGCTCGTTTACAGAGGTGCGGATCAGTCTGATCTATCAGTCATTAATCCGGAATCTGACGTATGGGAGTCAATCAAGATACCACTTGCTTATTTAGGTTCACAATCTCCAATAAAGTACTCATCAATCAGCTCAGATGGCAAGTTTATCGCCGTTGCTGGACAGAAGGGTCTTGCACACTATTCCACGAAATCACAAAATTGGAAATTGTTTAGTAGTGAGGTTGATGGGCAAAGCTTCAGCGTATCTGGTGGAATGGTGTGGTTTAATCACATACTGATTGCGAGTGTAGTAACCAATACTAACACTTATCAGCTGCGGCTATACTCTAGAGATCAAGAGCTGTCTAGCAGGTTACTGCTGCACACGGAAAACATACCTTCGCGTATTCTTGTGACCTCACTATTCGAAAATGCTCTGCTTGTTTATACGGCAGATAATACCATTCATCATTTCCTCATCACGCCCACTCAAGATACAGTGGCGCTTACACTTGCAAACATCATTAGCTTTCAGGGTCTGGTGAGCAATCCGACTAGAGTCAGGGGAATGTCTTGGATGATACCGCCATCACAGCGAAAGCTGGGCAATCCAGTAGACGACCTCACAATTGCGACAATCATTTTCCTCATTGATGGTAAACTTGTCTTGCTGAGACCGCGAAGAGTGAGTTGATTTGGTGTGAAAAGGAAGCATAATACTAACAAGGCATAATAGATAGCGCAGGATCAAGTCAAGTATGATATGCAGGTGCTTTCCGATGGCATCGAGTATTACTGGACTCATTTGAATGGTATCGGTGCTTTAGAAAATAGTCTCTGGGGTGTTGATGGAGGTGGTATTAGATTGTGGTTGGATGCACTCACACTCACACAATCTGAGCGAGAAAAGACTAGGATCAACTCAAGCTCAACAGTCCAAATTGTAAAGGAGAGCGTTCGCATTGAGTTGGACTTCTACCCTCTGTCTGTGTTGATGGATAAGGGGATCTTAATTGGAGTTGATCATGAAGCTAGCTTGAGGAGTAATTTACCCTTTGTGATATATAGAATACACACAAATGTGAGTGATAATTGCATCATCTGTAATAACCTAATACAAAACAGACCCATCTCTTCTTGCATCACACTATTCGCTTCTATCTCACTAGAGGGTTGTTGAAAGAAGCGGTGCAGTTTGCCAACAACTATAGTGACTTAATCTACTTCCCTCACACGCTTGAAATCTTGCTGCACTCAGTTCTGGAAGAAGAAGCTGACGATGTGCAATCTACCGTCCTGCTACCACTGGTAGTAGAGTTTTTAGATCACTGGGAGTGCGCATTGCAAGTCGTAGTTGGATGTGCGAGAAAGACAGAGATGAGTCGATGGAGGTATCTATTCGATGTTGTCGGCGCGCCTAGGGAGCTATTTGAGAAGTGCTTAAAAACGCATCAGCTCAAAACAGCCAGCAGCTATTTACTAGTACTGCATCACTTGGAGCAACTCGAAGGAACTGATGATGCATTCAAGCTCCTTCATAAAGCCTTGATAGAAAGTGACTTGGTGCTATCTAAGGAGATTATAAGGTTTTTACACTCTATTGATCCAAGTGGATTCTACATGCAGAAAACAATGGAGCTTATTGAGTCACTCACGAGCACACTCCCTGCTAATATGACCAATGACCCGCCGAATGGGCTGAGCCAGCTAGATGAAGAAGATGAGGGGCTGCCGTTGGAGAGGTCTTACTCAGCTAGACGCAGAGAGGGTTTAGGTATCACGGTAGAGGAGGAGTGATTGTATTGTACTCTTGTTTTGTTTTCGGGAATTGTCCTAATTTTTCAGTATTCGCGTTTGCATTCGAATCAAAGCGAATATCTACTGTAAAATCAAGTTTATTGTTGATAGTTTTATAACAATTCGCATCGTCTTGTGTTATATGATACGAATGTTAACTCTATTTTAAAATAATTTGGAGTTGCGAGTGCTATACGTCATCGGTATTGCTTGATAAGCAGCGCCCAACATGTCATTAAGCGGGTCATTAAGCGGATCATTAAGCGGATCATACTCATATTCTCAATTAAGGAAGCTGATCTATGGTCCGAACAGCCTCACACAGCTTCCGAAAGTGCTTTCATTGATCGACGGCAAGCGCTGCATGATAATCTGTGGAAAGAGCATTAACAAGACAGATATACCAACGCGTGTAAAAGATATGCTTGGAGATGGTGTAGTGGAGCACTTCAGCTCAATGCGCGAGCATTCTCCGATCCAAGACATCAACAAGGTCTTGTCGATAGTTCGCGAAAAGGAGATCGACACACTTATTGCGATAGGAGGTGGAAGCAGTATTGACGCCGCCAAGTCGATTGTGCACTTTTACAAAACTGACAGGGAGGATAAGAGGGGTTTGGAGAGTGTAGCTATTCCGACGACACTTTCTGCGTCTGAGTATACAATGGTATGTGTGAGGAATGTGAGGGTATACTGTCTAACCAACAGCCTAGTACGCAGGCTACACTTCCGAAGAAGGTCATAAGACAGGTTTAGCATCAGAGTATATGCCGCCAAAAGCTATCATCTTGGATGCAGAGTTGACAATGCACACACCAGAGCAGCTGTGGCTTAGTAGCGGTATCAGAGCGTTAGATCACGCCGTTGAGACTTTGTATAGGTGAGTAACATAACAGAAAGACAGTGGATCACCAACACTCTCACAGACCTAATGCGTCTTATCACTTACGCAGAATGGCGTTGATAGCAATCAAAGATCTTTTCACACTCCTGCCACTGTCGAAGGAGGGCGGTGAAGACATTCACATCCGTCAAAAACTTCAGCTGGTGTCTTATATGTCTCTCTTTCCTGACAGTATGGCGGTGGAGGATTTGCGTCCATTCGGACCTTCGCACACCCTAGGTCGCAAGATAGGATCTAGCTACGGTGTCCCACATGGCATAACGAGCTGTATGACTTTGAGCAGTGTAGTGCGCCTCTACCAAACGCATTGCAAGGATGGGGAGGTGCAAAGCAGATTGAAAGAAGCTGCTGAAATCACAAGCAGGAAGGGCGATCTAGATGCGCAGATTGATCAGTTGGTGGGGGAGCTGGGCCTGAGGAGAACATTGCACGACTACAACATACCGCTAGAAGATACAGATGCGATTGCGACCAGCAGTTTGAAAGGACTTGGGGAGGTGGGATTCAGTGAGAGTGATGTAGCTGGTGCGTTGAGAAGGTTGTAATACAATTCACTAACGCTGATGTACACAAATCATACAATTCATTCAATTCATACATAAACTCACTCAAGCACTCAAATAAGATTAGACAATATAACAAGACAATTCTCGCAAAGAGCGACTAGGAGGTGTTTGCTGTGGAAGTAAGACACGCCGAGCAATGCTCCTTTTTGATGACCCCCGATCTGGACGACAGACTGCGCGGCACTCACTCCATCACCCTCGCACTGGTAGTATATGTATGCATTCCCCGCACCCTCAATTTTCCCGCCTTCAAAGACAACAACGAGAGAATTTGAGAGATGGTACGCGAAGCGGAGATCACGCTTCGACGCCATGACAAAGGGGAGAGCCGCAAATGTATCGAGATGTGAGAGTGTGCCAAGGTCGAAGAGTGTGCCCGAGAGCGAAACATCGTGAGAGATGACGATTGATGGGTGTGGAGAAGGGTATGAGGGGAGCGGGGTGGAAAGTAATTGGTGTGCAGGGTACGCTGTCAGCTCACTCACGTCTCTGAATCTAGCCATCACCATTGTTTTCCCAACACTGCTGTCAACGGAATCATCCATCTCGCCCTTTGCTAGCGAAGGTATGTCATTGAGACCGCCAGGACGTAGCTGGGGCTCTTGTGTGCCATCAACAAGGCCTTCCTGTGTGTATTTCTCCATACTCTGCAGAGCTTCTTCTAGGTCCTCCTTGGAGCGCGTCTCATCTACTGTCCCGAATGGCGGCGTGAACGACTGGTCAAAGAGATCTACCCAGCGCACGTGACTTTGGCTCTTCTTGGAAAGATCTACCTCGAGCAACGAGAGCTGCCTGTTGAGCGTCCACGTACTTTCTTCTGGATCCACGTCTGCGTACAGTGGCACAAATTCTGGGTTTAGGGAGGGTAACTTGATCTGATTGGTGTGTATGACGGGGGCGTAGCTGTTTTTTTCGCCTATGTGGTCGAGTTTCACTGAAACTGTCACTGTATCGTCATCCTGCGACCATCCATATTGGGCAGGTGGGTGTCTCTGATTTGCCTGTTCTCCCTTTTGTGTCTGTTCCGCGTCAGTTGCCCCGTCTGCGGCCCCAGCTACACCCTCGATACTGCCGTCTTTCTCTACGCCGCAGAAACCAGACGCGGAGCCTACAACCCACTCTCCGTCGACGTAATCCACTAGGCAGGGGTAGTCAAGCGTACGCAGTCTCCACAGCACGCCATCATTGAGTGTCTCAGACGCACTGGCGAGGTCTACAGCCAACAAGTCGAACTGGGTCTTTTTGGTGACATCGTCGCTGTCCAACGTGAGAGTTGTGGAGATAACGAGTGTGTTCAGTGAGGGTACGTAGAGGTGTATGAAGAAGGGTGAGAGATTGCCGTTGTAGAGAAGCTCCTTCGCGCGCTCGGCATTTCCAGCGCCGCCACACACGAAAAGCCTACCGCTGCCATCTGACAGGGCCCACTGTGTGCTGTTCAGACTGGCTGCTGATGGCGTGTCGAAGGCTTTGTCGGCGTTGAGGAGCGGCGGGAAAGCGAGGAGGGGGGTGTAGTGTGGGCTGGGAGTGCGAGGCTGATTTTGCTGTTGCTGTTGCGTCGTTGCGTTTTCATCGTGCGTGCTGTGCGTGCTGTGCGTGATGTCGTCTGTGATATCCACAGTAAACGCAACCAGCTCACTCGAACACCTCGCAAAGAAGAGCATCTGCAGATCCCTGTGCTGGTTGACAAAGAGATCATTGAGTGCCACTCTCTTGGCGAACTCCTTGTATCCGAGCTGCGTGTCAATCTTATCGATCACCAAGTCGTTTGGAAGGTTGTATGCTGTGCTGGTGACACTCTCGTTTAAACGCAATTTGTAATTCTCAAAGGTGTGCTTCAATTTGGTGTTATCGGTGTGCAAATTCGATGACATGACGTAGGCAGAACAAGTAGTACAAAAGCGAGTATATTTACCTGTAGTCTTTAAGCTCCTCACCGTCCCAGCTGAGGAATTGGCCAGAGAGATTCGAGAGATTCTCATTGACGCTGCTAATAGCGAGATTGGCATACACCCTGGCTGTGTCCTGTGGCTTGACGAGTTTTCCTTGGGAGTGCAACTCGACGAACTTGCTGTGCATCTCTGGCGGCATATGTGTTTTTCCAACTCTTCTGATATCCTCCTGCATACCTGTATCCACCACACCGGGCCTGATTGCCAGCGAAACAACACCCTTCTCCTCCCCAGCGAGTGTTTTGGCGAGAGTGTTCATAGCCGCCTTGCTAGCATTGTAGGCACCCCACGCAGCGTATGCCCCAGTAGCTGCGCCCGAACTGACCATGAGAATTTTACCCCTAGAATCACGTAAATGGGGCAGAGCGAGCTGGATGGTGTGCAAGAGGGAGACAAAGTTGATGTTCATGTTTTGCGTCACCTCAGCTACATCCACATCAGCTATCCTCCCCACGGGCGAGAGTATACCGTGGTTGAGGATAACACAATCCAGTTTACCGTGCTTGGCGATGGCGGTGTCTACAGCCAGCTTGGAAATGTCTCTATCAGCGACGTCACCTTGAATTATATCTAGTTGGAGTGATTGCAGACCACGCAACTCGTCAGACACGCTACGGGATATGGTAACGACAGCGCTGTTGTTGGCGAGGAGAGAGCGGGTAATCTCAAGCCCAATGCCGCGGGATGCGCCAGTTACTATTGATACGCTCATGACAGTGTCTCTTCAACGCCGACGACGCACACCGCACACCAAAGCACATGAAACCCGTTATCTGGTTCGATATCGACAACTGCCTGTATGGGAGGAGTGCGATGATAAGTGAGATGATGCAGGAAAAGATTGCAGCGTATTTCCTGCGCCTGGGTTTGAGTAATGAGGAAGCGACACGGCTGCACAAAGAGTACTACATTCGCTACGGACTGGCCATCAGAGGATTGGTCGAGAACCATAAAGTAGATCCCATCGACTATGACCACAACTGCGACGCCAGTCTGCCGCTTGAAGAGGTCCTCAAGCCAGACAGGGAGTTACGTCAATTGTTGGTGGATATTGATCGGAGCAAGTATCGCGTTATGGCGCTGACTAACGCATACAAGACACACGCCTATCGTGTACTCAAATTGCTCGAAGTAGACGATCAGTTTGAACACGTCATATACTGCGACTACACCAGGCCAGGCTTCCCATGTAAGCCGGAGAAGCAGTTCTTTTACGAGGCCATGGATGTGGTAGGGCTTAGAGATGAGCCTGGAATGAATTTCTTTGTCGATGACAGCTCAGCGAATGTTGTCGCAGCCAAGGAGATTGGCTGGAATGCCGTGTATTTCCTCGAATATCACCAGCAACACGTCAGTGGACAGGATGATGAGGATAGAAGGAGACAGATACACGGAGATATTCATCCAGTAATTGGTAATTTACAAGAATTGCGGAGTATTTGGACCGAGGTTTTTACAAAGTAAACAAGGCTAACCAGGACCAATCTTGGGCAGATCATTGTGCTCAGTGAGATTTTCGAGCTTCTTGTTGAATTCATCCACTTTATCTTTATGGCTAAGCTTTGCATTGTTTTTCACTTTGTGGTGCAGACGCTGTCGCTGGATGTGATCGAACTTGATTTCTGATTCTGTGCGAGTATCTTGGGTGCTGCGGGTGGTATGAGGGCTATCACCGCTCCCACTTGGCCCTATAGCGTTATCCTTTGGGGCTGTCTGAGCCGATGACTTTTTCTTCCTGTGGGGAGAATTAAGCGGGACAATATCAATAACTTTCAACGCACCTCTTTAAACCACTGTCATTCTTAAATTTCAAGCCTTTTGTTGGCTTAAACGAGTAATCGTCGGGCATGCAGTGGAAACAAGGCTAGCAAGTCAGAATAAGCCCGCAAAAATCAAGCGTAAAATAATTAAATCGAATAAATTCTTTAAAGTGCTTTAATGAGCTTCAGGGGTTTTTGCAATGTATTCAATTGCTTGGTTTACATTTTGGATTGCGTCAGCTTCAGCGTCAGGGATTTCGCTGTTTAATGAGCGTATTAGAGGTATTTAAATAGGAAAAAGCACCAAACTCACATTGCAAATTCCTCCTCAATGGCCATAACGACTTCAACAGCATCCAAGCTATCCAAGCCTAAATCGTTAGTGAAAGAGGCTTGTTCGGTGAGCTTTAGGGATTGTTAGTGGGTGCTGTATAATCCACATCTACTCTCACATTCTCCCCTTTCACCTTATCAAATGACTTTAAAACATCAAAAATTCTCGATTGGATGTCGTTCTTGGAGAGTGCGCCACTAGCGTATAATCTTGATTGCTGTGTTTTGAAGAGGCTAGCTGATTTTGCTGCTTTACCGATTAAACCGAATTGTGATCTGAACATGGTGGTTTACTTGGTGGCTACGCACACGCTCCCTCAGCACTCCCATCACTTTCTTGAAAAATGGTAAAAAGGCACCTACACTACAACAAATCAAATAAATTTATGCTTATGAGGAATCTCGTTAGCCAATTATTCACTCACCAGCAAATTTCAACAACACTCCCCAAAGCTAAAGAGGCGCAGAAGTTTGCAGAGAAGCTCATCACTAAGGGCAAGAAGGGTACCGTAGTTTCCGAGAAGCTAGCAAATTCATTTCTTATTGTGCGTTTATCGCGTTTATGGGTTTGTAATCACCGCTAACACCCCACCCTCAGTCTTCTTCCACTCAAAACCCTTTCGATTCTCTCAAAAATGAACTTGTAGAGCGCTATAAGGATAGGAATGGTGGATATACGCGTATTCACTTGTTAGGCAACAGACAGGGCGATAACGCGCCAAAGGCTGTGCTCGAATTAGTTGACAACCCCAGAGACATTAAGCGAGAAATGCTCGTAAGAACTGTTGCGAGAGAGTCACTTCTCAGAAGAACACAATGGTCTCCATCGAAATCAAAAATCCTTCGCCAAATAACCCAAACCAACCTCAACAAAGTTTTCACTTGTCTCAACCACCAACAACAGCAAACATTCCACCAAAATGTTCTCAATCACCAGGATAAACTCCTTGCTGAGTCCAATCTTGGTTTGAGTCAAGTTGACAGCGAAAACAAACCTCAATCAAACACCCTCACTTGGCCTAGGAAGGGCAAACTCGTTTACGCAGGTGAACGCACTTCGGGTATGAGTAAACGTGAGGGCTCTCCAATCAGTATTAGCAAAGGTATGTTCAGGAAGACGGAAAAGGCCCCGACGAACAAGCTTGTCGCAGGGTGGTTGTAGTTGTAATTGTAATTCAATTCAGTATCATTTATACATCAAATCAACGTGCCCTGGTCGGTATAGAAGTGTGATGACATTTCCTTCACCACTCTCATCACCGCTTACGCCCAACTCATGCCAATCCACGTGCTCCTTCTCGCTGGCATCGAGATAGCACACCTTCAAATCCACTTGAAGCACTCTGCCTAATGCTGTCATCTGTATATGGTCAGCCTCCTTCCCGAAAGCCTGTGGGGATTGTGATGAGTGTGTTTGCGCTATAAACTCTAAAAAGACATGCACCCACTTCAACATAAGTCTCGCAGAATTTCTTTATGTCAGGCATACCGCTGTCATCAACCACCAGATCTCCCTCATACGCAAATAAGAAGGGTAAATACTCATCGGCGTGTTTGCGTATCGTCGCTGATGTGAGATAGCGCAGGAACACAACGATTGAGTTGCTCGTTTCGTCATCGTTGAGTGTCACTTTGAGATACTCGTTGAGGGGGATAGAGGGGTCTTTCGTGTTATCGAGGATAGTAAGCAATGGCTGATAGAAATCTTGCATCTGCCTGTGTGTGAGGGTCATGTGCCAAGTGCCTCGTAAGCACCCACAATTTCACTATCAAAACCCAATTCCGAGAGGAGGGGAATGGTCACCCTTTGTAGCCTTTCTTTGGTTGTGTCTGCAGTGGATGCACTACACACCTTCTCCACGAACGCATACGACACCGCCCTATAGAAGCAATTGCCATCACCTCTTATTCTCCTAAACGTGCTGTATCCGCCGCCCATCAGATTCGCTATTTTCCGCGTGTATACTGCGTTTCCGTTCTCGTACTCGGCCAGTAACCCGCTCATATCCTCAGCGTCTCCAACCAGCGCCCGTCCACTGCTCTCCTCCTGCTTGAGCTGCTCCGTGAGTTCGAGGATTTGTGTGTCGTTTAGTTGCTCTTCTGACGTCATTGTATAAGATGAAGCATGTGAATTATGATGAACAATATTATTAGATTAAATGGTAGATTAAATGGCAATGTACCACGAAAAGCAGCGCATATGCGTATCCTAGTTCCTCAGTATCTGTTGCGAAGACTGCGAGTGTGTGTGTCAGTTTCGGAGTAAATGTAAGAAAATTTTCACTCGCTTTAGAATCACTCAGGCGTGTCTGGGAGTAGATGAACAGAGTGAGCAGGAAAATTCTGTCACCCCAGTCATCGACCTCGTCATTCATTTCAAACTGCGCCAAGCGTTTCAACTTGCCCAGCATGTTAGTCTGCGGGGGCAGGAACCAAGCAGCGCCATTGTCGTCGTCGGACGGGGTAGCTTCCCAGTACGCCGCATGTTCATCGTCAGCGCCAGATCCATTCTGCGGAACCACGTACTCGATGTGGTAGTACTTGCCATTGAGCTGCCAGTGGCGCGTGATTTTACCCGCGTGCGTCGCCTGCATGCTGTGCAGCTCACCCAGACTCACGCTCGTGGTGATTTTATCGGAAATCGTGATTCGATGCTCTTTCCAATCTATCACGGCTGCTGTGGTGTCAGTGTCGGCGTGGCTGTCACCTTTTACTCTTGCTCCTCCACTCTTGCGTATAACCGTATGGATCCTCGCCCTCCCGAAATGCGTCGGCGTGCGAACACTGTACACCTCCTCGCCCCCACTCACTATCGCACTATTGAGGATCCGCTTGCTTGTAAATTCGAGCAGCATTGCGCGTTTTATTGTCGGTATTAATGGTGTTGACGCAATTACACTTTCGATAATGCTTGATGATGTAAAACGTACCTTTAATTTGCCATTTGCCTAGCCTGGCCAAGAACACGGCTGTCACTCGGCCATCGCCGAATCGCCACTCGCTACTCGCCGGAGGGTGAGACGCAATAAATCTAAGTGGGATTGTAACAGAATTTAAATTATATACTGTATGTTGAATTAGAATACATTCGTTGTGCGCAATACCTTCTGCGTTTCATGTCGACGACGCAATTGCTTCTCAGATACCAGAAACAGCATCAGTAAGAAGAGCCTATCATTATCGTCAGCAATCATGCCATGTGCGGTGGTATTCTTGTGTTGGTTTCCGTTCTTGCTTCTCCGGGGCGGGTGGAATGTCGCACTTTCTGTAAGCTGATCGGAGGCTGTGGCCTGAGGTAATTTAGTGAAGTCTTGATACACGGACAATTATCCCACCTTCCACCGCTGCTGCTCGTCATCGTAGCTCAACTCGTAGTGCTTGGAATCCCACTGGAAATGTCTGCAGCTGCGTTGCAATAAGTTAGTGGGATCAGCGCTATGTATGCGTTACCCACATTATCCCCCTTTTCGACGGCAAATATGACTGTATTTTAGATAGCGCGACCGACTCGGATGAGATCTGCAAGAGGTGGTGTTCCCAATGGATAGTAGCCAATGGCTGATGGTTGCTTCCAGCGCTGATTATAGTGCTCTGGAGTATGTTTTAGCATGAGACACCTGGAATCCCTCCAACCACACCTTCTTGCTCCGACTGAGGAAGCGGTGGCGCAGCGTACGCACCCTGTACACGGCCAGGCCTACTTGACTGTCGTGTATATCGGCATTCAGGAAATCACTATCGGTGAAGGTGAATTGCATCACGGTAATAAAAACAGTTGATTGATCGAGTATCGATTATCTAAACAAATTTAATATAGCCTTGCCTAGTGCGATGCCATCGTGGGGCTGTTGAGCACGCCCGAGCCACTCGTCGCGTGTTTGCTGGGGTGTTTGATGATTTCTTGTCTCAGCTCTGGAAAGGTTGTGAGTGAGAATGACTACGGGAACAGCTCAACGCACTCTACCACCTTGCGCATGATGGATGGCGTGAATTCGGGGTGTCCCTGGGGTTTTCTGGTTAGCGAGTCCATTCAACACACCGCACACCACACACGCACCTGCACAGACCAGCACTGCACGACACCGTCGATGAGCTTCACGAAAGCCTGATGTTTGCACGTTTCGGTAGCGGCGACGGTGGTGAGCATTGGTGGGGCAACGTGGACGACGTCTCGGTGTGCTTGCAAGACATTGAACGTGTCCTGGTGCTCGTTGCAGCCAAAGTACTTGGCAGCGAGTTCGCCATCGCACACGCGCACAGCCGTGCTCCCCATTTCCATATCGCCAGGCTGAACAACCCCGCCCAGCGCACGCGCGAGGAGCTGATGCCCAAAGCACACGCCAAGCACCTTTGTCCGTTTGAACGAGTTCACCAAACCGCTGATGTAGTCTGCGAGGTCTACCACCCAGTCCTCCTCGCTGTAGGCGTCGCTGGTACTTCCTGAGATAATCACGCCGTCGTATATGGTTACATCCTCGGGGTAGCGGTCTTCGTATACGTCGAACGCATCGATGATCAACTTGAACGGCGCGTTGAGTGCGTCGTTCGCAGTGTGTAGGAACGTGCCGAATATACGCTCGCAGTCACCCTCCTCTGCCTCGATAGATGCGAGTGTACTGTCGCAGACGAGTATCGCCAGTTTCAATTCTGCCTGTGCCATCGTGTGCGTTGGAAAGCAACTCCCACGACTCCCGCTATGGACGCTGTCAGTGACATTAAAAGGATCCTCGAAACGCCGGCGGATGAGGCGAATCCTCTCGATGAGACGCGGCTGGCTGGCGATTTGGACAGCGTGGACGACGCTGCATCGAAGCTGGAGGATAAATTGGACGCATTGCTGCGTAATCTGGATGGCGTGCTTGAAATGAGCACTGAGGAGGCTAACCATTAAATACACACACACACACATAGAAAAACATCAGACACACTCTCTATAAACATCCGCTACCAAATACAAACTGCCGGCAATGACGACGTTTCCAGTGCACTCCTTCAGAGCACTTTGTACACTATCAGCAGTCGAAACCTGCACACTCCCATTGAAAATTCCCTCTGCCAGCGATTTGAGTGAGTGCGTGTCCATGCTCCCCACCCAGGGCATGGACGGTGGAGTGGAGAAGGGCACGAATACGATCTTGTCAGCAGGCCGCACAAGTACCTTGAGCATCTCCGCTACCTCCTTGTCCTGGCTGAAAGCGAGAATGAACTGGTGGGGGTGGTTTGGGAGTGTATCGCGCAGATGCCTCGCCGCAGCTGGATTGTGTGCCCCATCGACCACAGCTCCCGGGATCGCATACCGATCTGATCTGCCACGGAAACGCACGTGTGAGAGAGTGTGGCGCACCAGCTCGTCGTCCACGCCGACACTCTCGAAGCGTCTAAAGCGTCTAAAGCGTCTACAGTGCATCTTGAATGCATGCAACGTGAGCAGCGCAGTAGAAGCGTTCTCCATCTGATGCGCACCCGCCATGCTCAGCTGTGTGTGTATGCGTGCGCCTGTCGATGGGTTTGTGAGGGTATCGCGTTCGTGCTCCTGTCCACCGACATACAGCGGCACGCCCAGCTCCTCGCACCTCTTGCGCACCTGCTCGACGACGAGTGGGTGTATCTGTGGTGCGACGACGGCAGCAGTGGTGTGCGCGGTGATGATGCCTATTTTCTGCGCGGTGATCTCCTCCACGGTGCTGCCAAGCCAGGACTGGTGGTCGAGCGCGATAGGGGTGATCACCGCCACGCTGTCCCTCTCTTCGCGGCTGAAGGCATTCGTTGCATCGTGCAGCCCGCCCATGCCCACCTCGACGACGGCGACATCCACTCTCTCGCTCCCAAATAACGAGAAGGCGGTTACGGTGAGTTTTTCAAACCCGGTGAGTGTGTTGTAGTTGCTGTCGTCGTGTGCGAGGTGCTCGCGTGTAGCGTCGTACGCCTGCCTGTCTATGACTGCGCCACCCACACATATGCTGTCGCGCTCTTGCACCAAATGCGGCGAATTAAACCTCCCCACCACGCACCCAAATGCCGTCAAGAGTGCATCGACATACGCAGACGTCGATCCTTTGCCGTTAGTGCCCGCTATGTGTATAATTGGTGTATTTTGGCTGGGCAAACGTGCCAAAGATCGTGCTGTTGCGTCTACACCAAGTTTTATAAGAGGTGTCGTCATGAGTGGTTGGTACAAGATGGTAGTGCTGATAAACACTTGAATTCAATTTAGTTGAGCCCGCGCCCTGCTGGCTGCTTGATGTGCATCGTCTTCTGCATCGGAGTGGTGTACGCTGGGCTTTCCATCACTGGCTCCGACACTGGCCTGCCATATGAGCCGGAGCCACTCTTGCGTCTCTCCCTGCGATTCTTATAGCCCTCCTTCTCGTCGTGATCGTGGTGCACGTGATCTTCTGGGCGTGGGTAGTCGTGCGACTGCTCCTCCTCCACATCCTCAATCTCCTCGATCTCGGCACCGGCAGTGCGTTTAGGCTTGCGTGCGATTCTACTCCCTCCGGCTCTGGCTATGGGAGGCGTAAGCGTGCAGCACACCAGCCACGCTCAACATAACATACCTGCTGGGAGGTGTGTTGCGTGTGCTGTTGCTGTGTTCATGTTCATTGCTCGTGACCAACCACTCCGTGTGACAGAGCTGGCTATTTACTCATTTAGACAATGCGTCATTGTCAGTTGACCCGTGAGCTGAGACCATGCGTCATACGCTAATCTATCTGATAACGGTGTTTCTGTTTGGTGTCTTACTTTCTGTTTCGTCTCAATTCCCCGACTCATTTCCCTCATTGCCGCCGAATGTTTGTCTCTAGAAGCCGTGATGAAACTGTTGACAAGGCATAGAAATAGGCACACACACACACACACACACACACGCTCATAGGCATATTCTTGCAGTCACACTTCCACACCTTCACTCTCCTCCTCATCACACCCCCTTAGCCGAAGCCCTTTGTCTTCGCTTCACGCGTTGGAACAATGATAATTAGAAAAGGGGAACCGAGGTACGGAAATCTGTTAGAATATAAAAAGACAGCCCTTCTTCTCTTTATAAACACCCAAAAACTCTTCCATATGCCCAAATTCGATTACAACAACCAAGACCCTGAGTACCGTCGCCATCAAGCAGATGTGTTGAAGCAGAATACTGACCTATTCTTCGGTATCATCGGGAACAATGATCTACCCGACAATGAGCCTAAGCGTTCTTACAAGGGGTACAAACTGATCAAAGACGAGGACAGCGAAGCTACCACTCCCCTCCTCAGCAAGCAGAGCAACAACCAAACCACAGCATCATCAACATCACATTCATACCACTCACACAACTCACACCATTCGCAACCTCAGCTACGCAAGTAATTGTCCAATTAAATGCATTTAGTGTATATACCCCCTTAATCTGCAGTGAATCGAAGCAAAAAGTTGACCATCACCGCTATCAACATAAACACGCATAAAGCACTATAGATTTTTCCAGTTAGTATTGTCTTGTACACCCATACACAACTCACCTTGGTCCAACCTTATCGTAGTAGCTGACTGCCTCTCTCTTTCTAATCTTGAGTGCGCGCCATACAAATGAAATGGCAGAATATGCTATCGAAGCGAGTGCAGCAAATGTGAACAACGCCGCACTTATCACGCCTGTTCTATCAGCTGTTGATGTGAAATTAACCAGCGCAACTGCTATTGTCGAAATCAACACGGAGAACTGCAACCATTTCAAAAATGTTCGCTCATTAGCAAAGTATACCTTTGGTTCTACTCTAACTGGTACGCATATCTTCTTTCCACTCTCTGCCCTAAACGTATCAACATACTCCACATCATCACCTCGGTTCGCTGTTTCTTCGTCGAGCGCCTTGCCATCTTCATCATCACTGTCGTCGAAAGTGTAATCAATATGATCATTCCTAAAGAACCACGATAAATACGACTTGAGAGTACGTGGTGTTGCTTTCTTCACTTGTGTTGGTATCGTGTGGTAATTTTCCCTATTATCATCCGTACCGCCATACTTGGACGTCTGACGTCTTCCACTGATAAGACTGCTGCTTTCTCTCCCGTGCTCAACGTCATCATTCACTGGCTCTTGTTGATCGAATCGTGACATTGATCTTTGTCTGACTGCCTTCATTCTGCTCTTTTCTCGACGCACATTCTCGACTCTCGCCTTTTCTGCCTTAATTAGCTCTTCTTGGTAGCTTTGTGGTATTCTATATGCACTGTGGTGTCTGGCAGGCAGGTTCATTCTATCTCCACCATCGTCCATGTCATCCTCTGTGCCATTAAGTTTTGACTCTTTCCTCATTAATTCAATCCTCTTGAGCTTCTTGTGATGCTTGCTGTTGTCTTCATCATCTTCATGCTCACTGAGATTTGGTGGTGTTTCTGGTGGTGTTTCTGTTGGTGTGTGCGGTGTAGACGTCTGTGGTCTCTCAATCATCATGTGTCCAGTTGCTGGTTTGCGGATATCAACATCCATCTGTGGCAACCAGAATGGCAACAAATTCACCCTGTTGCCGAGTAATTTAGCGCAACCATGGATGAATTTAGAGAATTTTGGCACCGCCTCGACTAAATGGCTATTAACAAGCTGTCTCACCCACTCAGGTGGCTCTTGACCCATCTGTGTCTGCAGTTTCACTTCAAGAACAGCGTAAGGAAATCTTTCTATATCTTCCGGTGGGAGTTGGTTGAATGGATAGTCAATACCAATATCCATTCTTCTCCAATTCTCACCCGAACGTTGTCTTCCATCCCAGTTATCTTCTCTGATGAGAGAAAGTTCAGTGTCTAGCGAGATACGCACTCTTGCGTCACCAGGTAATTGGAAAGCTGTGCGGTTGTAGAAACTTCTCATCACTGGCTGCATTTGTTTTGTTAAAACGGTGTATTGCACCTCCTCAGCCAGTTGCCTCATTGACTCGATTTCCTTGCCGGATTTCTTGCCCTTAGTCTTCATATCCTTCCAGACTTGATCCATTGTCATCTCACCAGACATGAATGCGTTAACGATGTCTTCTTTAACAGGAAAACGAGCTTTTACACTCTTCTCACCCGTCCAATCCTCTCTGTGAGTTTTACGTTCGACAAAGATTTGTTTGACATCCATACCACCATACCATCTTAGTCTGATAGCTTCAGCGCCTTCGTTCTTCTCAAGCCTACCGAGATAGAATTCAAGGTCTTGGTTGTCATAGTAGATGGAGGTAATGGCTGAATCTTCTGGGGAGTACTCCTTATCTGGATCATAGACGAGAACCGGAAGGTGTTTGAGTACAAATAGCTTCAAAGGAACGATATTCTCCTCATGGACCCAGTACTTTGTGGTCTGTCTAACGAAAGCAGATTGAGTGCCACCAGCAGCACTATCGCCTTGGAAAGGTCTACCACGAGTTCTAACCATTTCAAACAACCTAGACAGCTGTATAATGAGTGAATCGTAGTTTTCCTTGTAGAATGGCTTGTCATCGAGGAAAGTTTTAACGAAGTCTCTACGCAATTTAAATTCCGTCTGCTTATCGTGTTTCTTTACTATTTTAATGAAACCGGTGTAATTCAATTTGGTGTAGTTGGCCAAGTCGTGAACGTCTGCAACGAGGACTGCGAGATCATCCTCGAGCTCCTTAAAGCGCTCTTCGAATCTACTCAAATCGTAACCACTGCTGTCATCGTCTGGGTGATCGTGGTCATTGTGCTCGCCGCGGCTGTCATCCGAATCATCAGAATTAGACGGTGGTCTTTCTGAATGCGGGGAAGCAGTTCTGATGTAATCGTTGATTATTTGTTCAGAGAAAGATATTCTATGGGCTAATTCTGACACCTGGTAGAATATCAGACACTTGCACGTAAAAGCCGCGTCTAAGCATATCTCAACCTACCTTAGCCTTCTGGAAGTCATATATCTTCTCCAGCTGCCTCTTGAGCTCAGATTTGAAGTCTTCTTCCTTCGATTGATCCCATTCTGCTGAATTGGCCTTTAAGAAATCCTTAAGCTCTGAATACGATAAATAGTATTCCTGCCATTCCGCGTATAGATTCGATTTTATACGCTTCCCGAATTTCATTAATATCGTTCGTGTTCAAGGGATTTTACATTCGATGAGATCAGCGGCAGTTACGCAGATTGCGCACGTTGATGAATATTTTCTTTTCCTTTAATCTGGTTGCCTCACAAATACTCATCTTGAATTGCTTATATCTCCTTCCTAATTCAATTCCTCGTTGCTCCACGTTTTGCCAAAATTTGATTTTAATTTGCATGTCAATTAAATTACATATATTCTCAAACATGTACATATTCATCTTTCAAATTTAAATCCCCTTGATTTTATCCTTTCTTTCGAAAAATTCCGACCTCCACATACTTTGGCAAGTGGCTGGCTACACATCATCATAATCATAGTCCTCAATGTATCCAATGCCATCTGCTTTCCAACCATCGCAATCATCCTCCCAGTCTTCGTCTTCACCCTCACTCTCCTCCTCCTCTAGCGGCTTAATCTCGGTTCGATAGCTGCCGAAACCGTCGTCGTCATTACTTCGGCTGAGTAGGGAGCGAACCTTGTCATCAATTTGCTTGTTATACTCTTTGCTCCTCTTAATCGCGCCAGGTGAATCCAAAGACATGTCGCCGAGTTTTGATTTGACTGTCTCATTGTGATTATCTGGAGAGTGAGATTCCCGAGATAATTGTCGCTGATTCATTGGTATATAATCCTCTATATAATCCTCCATATCAGTTTCATCATCACTCAATTCTTCAGCTTTCTTGTTTTTGCGCTTTTGCATGTGCATGTGTGGTATAATGCTTATTTGCTGACCTGTACTCTCTAATTCAATTTGCGTTGGCTCATGATGTATATCCTGTCTATCAGCCAGCTTCTGACTTTGAGGTAATGTAATTTTATTTGGATACTTGAACGTTGTCTTTGATTTCTTTTTGGATATCGTTGCTTTACTTTGGTTATCTGGTGACTTTGCACGCTTCTGTCCTCTTTGAGAGGGTTGAGAGGATTGTAACCCTTGCAAGGCTTGTGACTGAGACAGCGACGGCTGTGACTGAGCGATTGTCGATTGTGAACTAAACAATTCTTGTGTTTGTGGGTTATCAATGTAAGTTGATATTGTATTGGCTGGGAGTGGAGGTAGAACGACAGCCTTGTTGTTACCATTGCTATTACCATTGCTATTGCTGCTGCCCCTAACGTTGCTACTTGAAGGTCTTGGTGATTCAAACAGCGGTTTAAAAGCCTTTTTCGCAGGTGTATTCATCATGTCTTCATCTTCATCTTCGTCTTTTTCAATTTGTCCAACTTGCTCGTTGGTTTCGTGGGTATTACCGTCATCTTCCTCGGCCTCTTCAATTTTAAGCATTTCACCGCGCTGTTTCTTTGGAGTGTTTGGTACGTTCTCACCACGCAATCTTTTTCTAGCCTTCGTACGCGGTGTCCAGCCTGCCGTTTGTGTACTTAGTGTATTCTTATTCGGGCTAATCGTGTTGAGACGCTGTTTAAATGTCATTGGTGACGCCTGTGAGTGGTCTAGTTTCTTTGGTGTAACTGATTTCGTTGGAGTTTTGAACACTGCAGGTGTCTTCTTCTTTGGAGTGCTAGTGCTAGTGCTAGTCGTGGTGCTAGTTATCTGTTCCTGCTGTTCCTTCTGTTCCTGTTTCTCCTGCCTCTCCTGCTTCTCCCGCCCCTCGAATCCCCCAGCCTTTTTTATTTTCCCGTAAGCCTTGTATTTGAGTGCTTATACTCGTATAAGCTCATGCCACCACCATATCAAACGAAACGCACCAATTTCAGGAAAATTCTTAATATCCTCCTTGCCTGGCTTTCTGTTGTATTCAGTGTGGAAATGCTTCTCCCAGTTCTTCAACTCGTTGCGCAGACCGACGTCCATCGTGTTAGCCGTTGACTGTCACGGAGGAAAAACGAAATGAACATTGGAAGCTATTCAAAATCTGTAGCCTTATCGACAATACTAGCTGGCTCTATAAAAGTTTTTAATTTCATTATAAACCAGTCTAGCCTTAGTTACGTCGATCCTGCAAGTCTCGGCAGCTATTCGTACAAATTGGAGTTGTCTTATACATCAATTCAACAGCTGTCAAAGGATTCTGTTGGATTAGCTTGCTTGAACGGTCATTTGACCTCTCAGCAGTCTCTTAACATCGCTTTTATTTCTATTCCACTCAACGTCATCACCATTCTTATCACTCGATTATTTTTCATCGGCTATAATGGCGTTGAGAGTGATTTCAATACTGCTCTTAATCTTTACTCTCTTTCCTCCCTTCTTGAAGCCTTAATCGAGCCACTCAAGTTTCACTCAATTAGACGCGCAAATCTTAATAAAAAGTCTTTTATTGATTGTCTTGCTTTTGCTATCAAATCGATTGCCACTCTAGCTCTCCTCACGCGTCACAGCACACAACACCCACTCACTTGCTACGCTATAGCTCAACTATCCTACTCTTTCATTCAATTTGCCGGCTACATCACTGAAATTTTCTCCTTCTACCCACAGCGACTACACACTGAACCTTTCCTCAGCCGCTCCTCCTTACTCTCCCTCCGGGCCCTCTCAACTCAAGCCCTCATAAAGCTAGCTCTCACACAAGGCGACAAATTCATTATTTCCTCACACCTCTCTCCCTCTGACCAAGGCGCTTTCGCTCTTGCAGACAACTATGGCAGTATCCTTGCGCGCATCGTCTTCCTCCCCATCGAAGAAACCTCCAGGGTGTACTTCTCTAACAACAAGGCGCCCCAATCTTTAGCTACAGTGTTGGGTGTTGTGCTGCATGCTTACTCTCTCCTCCTCGTCATACTACCAGCATTTTTACCCAACTATGTCCAATCTATCCTCCAAATCCTTTTACCACGATACGCAAACTCAAACGCATCTTCTATACTCCCTCATTATAGTCTTTATATCCCCTTGATGGCTTTCAATGGTATTCTTGAGTCGTTTCTGCATAGCACCGCCTCCTCAGCTCAGATTGACAAACATTCGAAATTTTTAACACTCATTTCATTTTTGTTGATGCCTTCGATATACCTTGCACTCAGTTATACACCACCCTCAACACACTCACTCATTATTGTTTACTCCAACATAGCTAATCTAGGATTAAGGGGGGCATACGCGTACAAATATGCCTCTCGAACAATGCGTATGTCTAATATTTCCCCAAGCAAGTCTGTCGCTCTTGCATGTGTTGCTGCAGGGGTAATAACGCGTTTTACATTATTCAACTGCTCTCTCGTCAGTCACATGGTCACTGGAGGCGTATGTGCATTAAGTGTTCTTCTAATCATGTGGGTGTGGTTTTGGATTGCGGCTGACCAAAAAACAGACTAATAGTTCTACAGATATACAGCGGAACGTCAGTGGTTTGTTTCAACCTTACACCAAATGAAAAAGGATGAAAAGTTGGAGTAATACATGCATGTCTAATATCAAGTCTATTGGGGTTTGTAGAATGGGTAACTTGGTTTGCCTTGTTAGCTTTGCTAGATTTCCAAATGAACAAAGAAGGACCTACTCTGTGTATCCTTTTTCGCCTCCGCTGTAGTAAGTCGTACTATCAGGCTCATTGAGTGGCCAACCGTTCCGCAACCGCTCTGGAAGATCTGGGTTACTGACAAAGTGTTTTCCAAACGCCACAATCTCGTCAAACTCCTCAGCTCTACGATTAGCCACATCGAGTGCATAACACAAGTTGGAAATGACGGGGATACCCGCCATCTTAATCTGTGACTTGAGTTCATCCCCCATTTTAATATCTTGGTCGCTGAACCCTTCCACAAAATGTATGTAGGCGAGGTTAGGTAAGTTTTGTACGAGGATTCGCACCAAAGGTTCGAAAGCAGAGTAAGGATCTTCGCCCGCTCTCATACCCTGGTATCTGGAGAAAGGGGAGATACGCACGCCAGTTCTGCGTTCACCCACCGCCATAGCCGTGCTTTCTACGACCTGGAATGGGAAAGCGAGGTTATTGAGACCGCCGAAGCCGTCCGTGCGCGTATGTGAGAGCTGTATAGCCTGATCGAGCAGATATCCGTTACTAGAAGGAAATGTTACAACGTGTCTTACTACGCACTACGCACCCACGCTGCATGTATTTCTACGCCATCGAAACGTGCGCCTGCGACGGCATTTACAGCCGCCTGACTGAAATGGCTAATGTATCTGCGCACATCCGTCTCTGAGAGCTGGGAGACGATGTTACCGTTGTAAACGTCGTGCGACATGCCAACCACGTTGACGAGTGCAGGGTCAGCGATGCGACCGAGTGCATACAGCTGACAGAAGATATATCCACCAGCTTCGTGCACGCCGTCGACGACTTGGCGCCAGCGCTCTATCTGCCGCTGTGTGTATATGCCAGGGAGTCGGGGGAGGCCGCCTGCCTCGCGCGCTGGGAGAGTCGCCTCGCTCAGTATTAAGCCGCCCTCGCTTGCACGCTGGCGGTAGTAGAGGGGCGTGTGCGGTGATAGAACACCGTCATCGTCGACTCGCATTCGTGTCAGCGGAGCCATGGCTATGCGATGGCGCAGGGTGCATTCACCGAGCATTTTTGGGCTGAATAGGCCATGGAGACGCATGGTTTAGTCGTGGCGGGTGTAAGCGGGTGTGAGCCAAGAGAGAAGACGGGTGGTTGATTAGACACCGTCATCACTCAAGGCACACAATGGCCACTGTCATTCAGCTGAAAACCAGCCAGGGCGATATCGATTTGGAGCTCTACGTTAACCACGCACCTAAAGTGGGTGGATACTTACGACGCTTAGCACCCAGCTCACTCGCCAGACTTGCAACAACTTCAGCCAACTCGTGCAGCGCGGCTACTATAACGGCGTCGCATTCCATCGTATCGTGTGCGTGTGCCGTCCTGCGCGATATCCCCTTCTAACACCCACTCCAGGCAGGATTTCATGATTCAGGTGCGCTAAGCTCGCCCCTTCAAACTAACTTGACTCACTTTCCTCCTTTACAGGGCGGTGATCCAACAGGAACTGGTCGAGGCGGTACATCGGTTTATGGGGGTAAATTGTGAGTCATTAGCCGGCCGGCAGATGCACAACTGAAAAAGCCCCAGCGAAGATGAAATTAACCCAGAATTGCGCTTCACAGGCGCTGGTATCCTTGCAATGGCCAACGCGGGCCCGAACACCAACGGCTCTCAATTCTTTATCACGCTCTCCCCCACTCCCTATCTAGACGGCAAGCACACCATCTTCGGCCGCGTTTTGCGCGGTATGCGCGTCGTACAGCGCATGGCAAATGTCGTCGTCGATAAGGCTGACAGACCAATCGAGGATGTCAAAATATACAACGCATCAATCCAGCAAATGATTGAATAGTAATTGTAGTTTAGATGTATTTTATTAATTATCTTATGAAAATTTTAGCTCAATCTTTCTATCTACTCCGGTCCGTCTCACTCAGCCCACTAAGCATCGTTTCTCTGATGCGTCGGGATACAATTTGCAGGAATACCTGCGTTGATCGAACATCCAACCCTTTAATCATCTCGCTACTTAACTCCAAGTTGTCTATCTTGGACAGTGTCGGTGTGACAAGGTGAGACATCTCTCTTGATATAGCATAGCTGTCGATATTCCCGTATGGCTTCATCGACGTTGACAACGACAGATTTGACTTCTGGTTGAGATTCATGTAAAATTCAGCATGACGCCAAATCAGCACCAGCATCATTTCTATTCTTACTAAACGGGACTTGAGAACTTTAGCAATAGACTGCTGCATTACTTCAATCTGCAATGACGGCGATTGCTGCATTTTAAACTGGTGCTCTTTAAAGTCGAACACTGTGCCATAGAACAGCGAAACTAACTCCTTTAGTCCCGTCACAGCTTGACCGAGGCTAGGTGACGAGGTCGATGCTTGGTGCAAGTCCTGTCCGTCTTTGAATTGAGGGAAAACTGGTAGCAGCAGTGGTCTGAATGACGTCGAATTCGACCGCCTAGAGATTGTAAGGTAATTCAGCAGCCACTCGTTCACCTTCTCCACTGCGACTGAAGCAATTATCGAGAACTTGGATGACTCGTTACCACCTTTTGAAACTATCTGTGCATCATCCCGTTCTGTATCGGTAAACGGCACGACTCTGTCTATCCAGTTTGCACGTGTCATGTATTTCGTCGAAAGGTTGAGAATCGCCGTATGGAAAGCGCCGAACGCAGATGGGGAGATCTGTTGTACAGCTGTGTTAGTGTGTGTTATCACAAGATACCTCTCAACCCACAAGATCATCATCCGAAACTACAGCTTGAACTTGATTGAGTATGCAAACGATCAAATGATGCTCGCGTACGAGTGCGACGGAAGTCAATGATGGGTTATCACGTAAAATCTCCAAAAAGACTTCACGATGCGCATACACGAATCCAAGTGCCTGGTGTGATGAGTAAGTAAATGCTCAAGTACTGCGCATAGACACACCTCTTTAGCAGCCGCAGTAGAAGTTGAGCCAACGGACGATAGTACTGTCGAGGCGAGTTGTAGGGTGGGAAGGAGGAGCTGATGGTAACGCTCGGCAGCTGGTGGGAGGAAACTCTCGTAGTCTGTACCAGAGGTCAGATTACTCTTACGAGAAAAACGTACTCACCCATCAGAGTCTCTTCCCCGGAAGGACGACAAGAGATGAATTCGCACTGTGCGAGAACTGTAAACAGTTGAGCGTCAAGTAGCTTTTCGGCGCCTTTGTTGTCCTGCGCCATACGCAAAAGACTAGACATCTTGGCCTCAAACACGTAAAGTGGGTTGAGAGATTCTAGCGTACAATTTAATAAGATCCACACAACTGCAAGTGACTCACCTGGATCGTTTTGTATAATATTGATGAGCACATCCTCGCGATCCTTAACTGATTGAATGAAGTTACGCAAAAAGCCATGTTTGACAATGATGTTGAGTGGTGCATGTGATCCACTCTTGCTCGAAAGTGCAACAAGACCATCAAGTACACTAAACGCCACCGTTTTCCACACTTCACTACCATCAACGCAATCTCTACATATGATAGGGATCAACTGTTGGAAAGCACTTTCTAGGAGGTATTGACTTTCGCTTTCCAAATTGCCGTGTGATATGCTTTGTATGTTGACAATTTGCAGATAGTTATGCAAAACAGAGTAAAGATTTCCGCGCACTATCACAGTCGTGCCCGGTTTAACGATAACTTCAATCACCTGACGCAATACACTACCAAGTCTGTCGCTAGGCATGGTGTACAACCTCTCATCGAGATCTGCTTCAGAAAGACTACTAAATGTAACGCGCAATTTGGTGATTAACGAGAGAATAACGCTAGAAAGCAACTCGAGTGTAGCAGGTGAAACGTCGACGTTTGTCAATTTAGGAAGAATGGTGGAAATGATATTGAGTAGAACATTCTCCCGTCTGTCACCTCCAATCACATCAAAGCATTTACTCAGTATTATGTCAAGAATACGACGCCAGCTCTCGAGATTGAATTGACGGGCGTAATGTACTTGACGACGACGATTATCCGCTGACAAGAAACGCATTATCTCTCTAATCTCTCCTTTCACCTGCTCGTGCTGGGTGGGTGATGCGATGACGCCGCTCTTTGACAAGTGGCGTCTGTAACCAGAGAGGAGAGTTAATAGTGACTTAAAGTCGTATATAATACTGCCATGCTCATCTGTCTTTAAGCATGTCGATAAATCAATTCCGTTGAAGAAGGTCACTGACAAGTCAGTACTTGTTTCATCATCCACATAATCGAGATCAAGAGATTGATAGATATCTAAAATCTTGATGAGCGACTGGTCGAATTGCTGGGTGTGCTCCATCATTTCTCCAAACTCATTCTCATTCTCTATGACTTGGAATTGCTGCGTATCTGAAAACAGTACGTCTACTAATCTGCTCACACGCTGCATTTGTGATGCATTGCTTAGAGCGTGTAACTCGAGAGCCACAATATCGAGCAGCCATCCCCTGAATCTAAGGAAAGATGCTAGAGATGCCGCTGTAGTCTGAAGCACGCTCCCATCGCCATAGCTTACCAAACCTAACGGTTGGGATGCTGCATTGTGTGCGCTCTGCTTAATAGGCAGAGCCTGTAGCTGTCTATAGAAGAAGTCCTCGCGGTTTCTGAGATATCTAAGAGTAGCATTCGATGTCAATTCCGAGATGGTGAGTTGGTAAATGAGGCGGTAGCACTTTTCAGCGAGGATAGGATGTCTAATGAACAGAGGTAAATCATCGTCTTCATCACTGATACCTTGACCCAAAAGTGAAAATATGACGTGAAGGCAGGACACCTTGGTAGATTGATTCGAAGGATCTTCTATCTCTATTTCGGATGGCGATGCGGATTGGAGATTGAATCCAAGTAAGAAGTGCGCAATGTTTGGCGCTGGTGCTGATAACTTGGTGTTTTCAATAAGTAAATCCAACACTACACTCCTAGACGCCTGACTGAGCTGGATATCTTGTGCATCTTCACTCAACAATCCTTCTATACCATCCTCATCTGTTTCACTCTCGGGTGTGTCAACTTCGAGTAACTTCACAAATCCAGACAGAATTCTTAAACTTTCATCACTCGAGTCAATGATTCCTGTCAATCTATTCATGCGACGCTTATAGTGATTAGTGAATCCATCGGCGGTGTTGAAATGTGGAGATTTGGCAAGCGCGCTGATGATCTTAACGGCGAGGAGCGCCGTTTCTTCATCCATGGCGTTGACGTAGAGGGCTAGTTGAATGATGGTGTCGTGAGCGAATAAGAGCTGCTGGTCAATGGTGTTTAAAGACGATGGGAGGTCTATTCTGCCTACTCCAGGGATGATGTTGTTGTGTTGGGAGAGTAGCGGCAAAAGTACTTCCAGATACATTGCCTGTATTGAGATAACGCGGTAAATAATACGCAAGCAACGCTGGATGCACTTAGCGTAGAGAGGTGTCTTGAATCTGTTATCTAACAGCGCGTCGATACCTATCATTGAGTTAGATTGATATGAAAGATACTATTAAATAAACCAACCTGTTCCCACCAAATTGAACACTTCGCCGAGGATAGCTCCGCCGCTCAAAAATTGTGTAAGGATATTGAAGCCAGGATGCAGGACCAATGCACATAAACTAACATCGGACGGATTGGCAATAACCTCATTTACGCTGCCGACATTAATTACATTCTCTACGAACAACTGCGACAAGTCATAAGTACTCAGGCACTTCTCGACAAAACACAGCGACGTTTCTGTTAATTTCCAACGTTCACCCAAATACTTGAAGCCGCGTTGAGGCAGCTTAAGCAAAATGCCATCTATGACATAGTTGATAAATGGCTGTATGCCCGGTTGGCGATGACTGGCACCCAGTCCGAGTGGAATAGTCTGACTATCAATCTCCATTCCCTTGCGCAGAGTGAGAGACTTCGCAGGAGTGTGTATAAGATTATTGAGGAAATTTATGAAAGCTGCACTGATAGGGTAAGTGCCAGCAGGTGATTCAATCTCTTCCAACTCAAACATTAAGCCCTGGAGAGTTGGTTGTTTGACTTTAAGAGTTGGTAAAATCTGTGACTGTTCGAGCATTGACCAGATCTTGCGTGCGTTCTCAGATGCAAGTGAAGCATTACTTTGACTCATTACGCTGGTTGAAATTGGAGCAGCAAATGCAGATAAGGTGTCGAAAAGCGATCCTTTCAGGTCGACAGGAATAGGGCATGTGAGGAAAGTGAAGAGAGTCTGGATAGGTTTGTATGTAGCGTTGTCGATCAGTGATGCTCTCGCTATCGTAGAGTAACCGACGACTTGCTTGAGAACGAACAAAAACGCTTTGAGTAGATTAATTTCTTCAGGTGGTATCTCACCCCTTGTATCACCCTGTTGACGGAGATTGGTGGCGTAGAACTCTAATGCACCAAATAAGCTGTTCCATGAACACAAGTTGTTTTCATTGATATCGGGGTTACCGGAGAGGAATTCATAAACATAAGTAGCACACTGAGTACCCGAGGCTAAAGAACCGATCATCTCAAATAGCGAGTGAACCATTGATGGAGTACGTGCTTCTGCGGACCATTTTAAGAAGGAAAACAACCTATAATCGTCATTGTCAACGACCCAAAATTTCAGGGCTGCTTCAGGCTCAGTGTTTCTATAGAGGAGGGCTATGAGGAAGTAAAGTTGAGCCAGATCCTGTCTTGAGCTTGGTGGCTGGTCGACGAAGGAGCGAGATCTAGACGAAGACAGAACTAAATCTTCCTCTCTATGTTTGAGTTTGCGGAGGATGGGTGAGAGGGTGGTAATAAATTGTGTGATAAAAGTGTCATACTGGTAGAGAAGGTGCGGTTTGAAATCATCGTTGAGTGGAGTGTCTGATTCAGTGGAATTAAGGAGAATATGCTGGAGGTGAAGGAAAGCGTCATCGTTTATAGCCCCCAGTACAGCCTTTTCGACGTCGTCTTCTGTGATGGAGGTAGTTGTTGTGAGTTTAGGATTGGATTGGAATGAATTAACAATGAAAAGTGAGTACCTGAGGAGAATGACAGCTTTAAGGGGGTTGCTCGACCACTTTCCAGATTGGAGTGACCTGAAAGTGTTACTTAAGAAATTTACATCTTGAGAAACGTCATTGAATGCAGCTAACAGGGATGATAGAGAGTATGGTGTAATTGGGTCATCATTGTCTATCGTGGAAGTGTAAGTGAGGATGGAAGTGATATCAGATTGGTTGAGTGGGTGTGTATGAGCGAACAAGTATAGCAGGTGAGCTAGCTCTTGTCTAATTAGGCGAATGAACTGGTTACACTGGATGATGACGTTTTGATCGACATTATCGAGCTGTAAAGTGAAACTTTTGAGCTTTTTTAGTTCGCTAATAGTTGTACTGATAAAATTGTTGTCTAACAATTGAATGGAGAAGTTATTAAGAATATCCATCAAACCGGATTCTTTGACAGCTAAATCATTTGATCCACTCAAAATGAGTTGCAACGCTCTAATCAAGTCCAATCTTTCATTGAAAAAGAGAATAAAGGCAGTTTCTAAGGGAGTAGATTGGAATCTGCTGCATCTTTGAATAGCGTGTTGTAAGAGAGATGAAGCGAAGTGATGGGATATGTTCAGACTAGAAGATAGCTGTAGACACTGCTGAATGAAATCGTTGTTTACTTTGTGAGGAACGCCTTGAATGAGAGTGCTGCCTAGAAGTGAGAAAGTGAGAATGGGATCAATTTACGCGTAAAAACCAACTAACCACTCTGCAACTGAGCTTTATCTGATTCTGTTGGAATTGGCAGTTGCAGAGGATTGCTCAGGTTAAACTTGTTCAACTCCAAGTAAAAATCTTTCAAATTCGAAGAAACTGGGTGTAGAAACGTGGACAATAATAAGTTAATTAATTTTGTATAATTATTTGGCTTGAATGTGGTGTTTGTTGGGGGACTCATGGGCGTATGAGATCAAGGAGGAAGACACGCATATGATAAGGTGAAACGAGAGATGTGGAGAGTTGAACAAGATAAATATAAAATACACCAACTAATACACCTCAAACAACCCTCAAATCGTCTGGTTTCATTAAACCCAAATTTAGTCGATAATAGACTACAGAGCCGTCTGACGAGGAAATGGCTAAATATTGTGGGTCATTGGAGTGATCAGTGGACGACATGATCTTATTCAGCCAGTCTAGACATAAATTTGAGTTTAAATGTACTGGAATTATCACAGTGTCTTTGTGCTCAAGCGGGGTGAGCGATATTGCGAATAAAAAGCATAAAACAAACCTTATTGGACTTTCTACCGATCAACAATACATAATCATTCACCTCCTTGAACTCCACCTTGAACCAATTTTGCGATAAAGTTAGATCGTGATAGGTTTGTAACAATGGCTGTATTAGCTTTGGGTATCTATCCGTGTATTGAGTGATAAATTTGTACTATTGAGCCTGTTAATGCAATTTTACACTTGCACTCCACCTCACACTCGGATTTAGATCCATTCTACTCGCTAGTGCAAATCAATATGAAGGAAATCTGTAAGCATGATTATAGGCAAAGGCTTCAAAATTTGAAAACAAATCAGCATTTATAACTTCAAATAAGAACAAGCTGTTGGAAGTCTCACAGATCTTATGTAATAGCGTTCCATTAATCAATAAAGACTTGGATTTACCCGAGTATCAAGGTGCATCTGTTGAAGAAATAGCAACACAAAAGTGTATCACAGCTAGGAATCATGTACAAGGACCAGTTCTAATTGAAGATACAGCGTTATGCTTTGATGGTCTAAACAACCTGCCAGGACCCTACATAAAGTGGTTCTTGGGTAGTTTGGGTTTGACTGGTCTCAATACTCTTTTACATGGTTTCAATAACAACAAAGCACATGCTGTCTGTACCTTTGCATACTCGCCCGATTCAAACACCGATCCTGTCATATTCCAGGGTAAAACCTATGGAAACATCGTGCAACCACGCGGTGATACGGCTTTTGGCTGGGATCCTATCTTCCAGCCTGATGAAGGTGGTGGAAAGACGTAAGCAGAATGTCTCACTGAATTACGCCACACTAAATAACTCGACAGATACGCAGAAATGACAAAAGAAGACAAAAACAAGATTAGTCATAGATATAGGGCGCTTCTAAAGCTTAAAGAATATTTGTTGAATTGAACTTGATTCTTTGATGGCTACATTGATAATTGTAGACTTGCAGGTGTGTTTGAGTGGCGTGGGTGGATAAGATTCGTATTCAAAATCCACACAGTACGACTTTATTGATGGCTCATTGGCTGTCGAGAAGGCTAACGAGATAATACCGAGTGTGTTTACGAGTTTGAGGGATAATGTAAATACTCATACCTCACAGCTATTCAGAAACTAATAAAACGCGGTGATTGGAGGGCTGTAATAGTTAGTAGAGTTAGTGAGGTTGCTATAATGTTATAATATCTTATGCCCTCACAGGACTGTCATCCACCCAAGCACATATCATTCGCATCCACACACAACAAGCAGCCATTCAGTACTATTGCGTTGAATGGAACCCAGCAAGATTTATGGCCAGACCATTGTATTGTTGGGAGTAGAGGGTGTTTACTGCACAGCGCAATACAAGACACGCTTAGCAGCTCACAACTCAACATACACTACGTAGACAAAGGATGTGAGGTTGACAGAGATGCTTACTCTGCGTTCCAAGCCTCATCGCACGATGTTAAAGGGTTGGTTGAAGCTAGCACCACGGAATCGATATACGTATGTGGCTTGGCTGGGGATTATTGCGTGAAAGCGACGGCGATATCCGCTGCGCAATTGACACAGTATCCAGTAACGGTGATTGAGGATGCGACAGCGTCAGTGGACAAGCATTCAGGATGGAAAAGAGAGCTGGAAATGGGAGGAGTGAAAATTCTCACATCAAACCAAATATCAAAGGAAATGGCAAAGGAATCAACCAAATAAGTATCATGCATACAACGTTACACCCATCTTAAGCCTTGACGGCGAACTTACGACGGCCAAAGTGGACATCGCGCTTGTGTTGACGGGTGGTCTTTGCAGACTTCTCCTTTGGAGTGAGTTGGCGTCTGATAGCGCGAGTCTTCTTGTGGCGCATGTCGAGAGGGATACGCTTACCCTTGTAAGCCTCAGCGACGTGTTGGCGTTGCTTTTGGTTGATGACGGTGAGGACGCGAGCGACAGACTTGCGGACAGAGTGGCTGTGGGTGTTTAGAGGGATATACGCTGTAATCCCGTAGACTCACATCTTGGTCAACTTGCTTGCTGAGCCACCAGCGACCTTTGCGACTCTAAGTTGAACGAGCTCGCCCTTCAACTCGTGGAGCTGGTTGAGGAGGTCGGTCTGGGATATGTGAGTTGGTTTTATACGCCTAAACACTATTACACACCTTGTTCTTGTTTTGAAGCTCGTGAGCCTATCAATCGAGTTAGAAAATCTGCTGAGCAGCACGAGCCACACGCACTTTGACTTGGACCTGCGTGGCGATATCGTTAGCCTGGGATTTATTTTATTTCTTCTGCGTACCATCCTTATATGTTAAGTGTACGCTAGAAACCCACAATATCAGCCGGCGCCTTCTTCCCAACTTCAAATTTTGAAGATTTGAAATTTATAAAAATATTTGTATTTCATCTGTAATACATCTACTTGTGCTGTTGCTCCAGCCTCAGCTTATACGCCAGCTTCTGGTCCACGCTTCCCAGTCTCGCCCCGTGTGCACCTCTCTCCGTCTCCTCACCGAGAAGCCAAGATACTTTGCACACCCTGCCATCCCCATACACTAACGCAGGCTCTGAGCCATCGAATGCCTTTTCCCGCGAGTCTGTGCACTGAGTGTTGGCTGTAGGGGAGTTTAGCAGCACCCAGCTATTAAATACCCACTCACGTCCACCTAACATCCCCCTAGCCTGTCTCGATAGCAGCTCGTCTAGCCCACGCTTGCAATCCCCGTGGACCACACTTTGGCACCCTTCAAGAAGTGATATCTGATGTGTGCTTAGTGGGTTTCAGGCTAGTATCTCTCAGCTCACCTGCAATTGAAAATCCTGCAGTATCTTGATCAACGCCTCCTTCAACCCTGGTATCGACAAGCCATTCTTGATCCGGCGTATCAACCTCACTGGATCAATCTCCGGACCCACATTCTCGAGCAGTGCGCGAATAAACAATGGCCTGCTCTCCGAATACACCAACACATCTTCCCATAAATCGTTGTCATTCTGCTCCTTAGCGAATGCTATGGCCTGGTTGGTTTGTGGGTAAGATCAATATTCTCTCAATAACTCCGCCAACTCACCCTCTTCACATCACCCAGTCTCTCTATTATCAAACTCAGCGCTAGCTTATTCGATCCCATCCGGCCGAGTATGAATACCATCTCATGTACGTAATCTCTCTTTTCGCATACTTGATATGCCTATAGTGTGGGTTTTTTAGTCGATGAATGCGCCAAAAACCCAACCCAGCTCACCTTTTCTAGATTATATCGCACACTCGTGCGCAAATACCCCTCCAGCTTATCGAGGTTATGTTCCGCATACAGCTCAACCATCGTATCGGCGTAAGGTTCCACGAGTGTGCTATCGACTTGATGCAGTGCATCCAGATAGAGGTACAGATATCTGCTCTCATGCTTCAGCTGCTCGACAACCGTGTTGATCTGGTAGGCAAGGAGGGTTAGATCAAGTGACACCCCACACATCCATATCTACCTGTATAGAGTACGTGTGATCAACCAGCATCTTTATTATAGTTCCTCTACCATCCCCGGTCCATTGTGACTGCGATTGTGACTGTGGGTGCGTCTTTGACTGCGACAACGCCAGCCCTTCGTCGAAGCGGACCAGCTCGAGCGCTTGGTATTGCGCATCTGTCCACAGACTGTATTGCTTTATCAGTTCAAACACCTCGTATTTTTCTAGCGAAAGATAGATTGGCACCACTTTGCCAGGTTGGCGGTTGTGCAGGTATCTAAGTGTGGTATGGTGTTAGAAGGGGGTTTAACACCTCGAGTGATACTATTACCACACTCACAATTCTGCTAGCGACTCAAGTAATTTGATTTTCACGTAATGCTCACGCTCATGCTCGTGCTCATGTAGATTGTCCAACTCATTCTGCACTACCGTTATCATGCTGCTTACGTCGTAGATTGATGCAGGCCATTCTTTTATAGCTGTGTAAAAACCCTACCGTAGTACGTATTAGGGTATGTGAAACCGATTATTCTGTCTCACCTGTGTATTGGAATGCAGAAGGTGATGGAGTATTAAAGCATACACTTGCTCGTCTAATTGAGGCTCCTTTTTGGGTATAACTGGTATAATTTGCTGTCAAATAAACCAATCAGCCAATTTATCTCCAAACACCCTCCCACTCACATCAAGTTTTTCATCATTCGCATAAGCGTAGAAGAAATCCTGCCAAGCGGCGACATTCTGTTTGAAAATATCTGGTGCTTTAGACGCAGCCTCATCATAGCAACCGTCTACCAGCAAAGACTGTAAATAAGTTTGACCAAGTTGATCGAGATTGAAAGGATGCTCGATGGTAAGTTTCGACGCTGCTTCGAGCGCCTCACCATGTTTTTTACCGTCGATCAACCAATTCACGTGATCTATCTCATCTCTAGCCTCCACCCTGACGACATCGCGTGGTGACATGAAATAGAAACCGCTTTTGAGACCGTTGCGGGTAGGGAAAAGGGATGGCACTAATTTGTAGTCGTTGCAACCATACAGATAGAAGTTGTGTATTGGAAGTCTATCCTCTTCATCTTCCTCGCCATCCAACGAGAGTACTCTCAGCTCGGGTCTCTTAGATGCTCGTTTCCGCTGTGCATGCTTATCCTGCACGCTTTCATCGTTGAGTAAGGCGCCATCAGGCTCGAGCCACGCCAGCACCAGCAGAGCCTTATCGAAAGGGAGGACGGATGAGATCATGGCGTCCATTTCGAATGAGGAGTGAATCTCAGCCTGGAGTTGAGGATGTTCGTATGCGTGCAAAGGAAGTAAGCGTCTAGACCTAATTTTAACCAATCGTATAATACTCCCCCAACCAATAACGAGTGTGTGTTTATCGATGAAACTGAGTGAGACCCTCGAAACATCTGGTCGCGGGGACATATCGAGTTTAGGAATGAAAGCAACGAGTTTCATGTGTTGTATATCGTACAACCGCACTCCAGAGTCATTAGACCAGACTAACAAGTTGGAGTGCCAGATACAGTTATACACCGGCCCATCATCTTTGTCGAGGGGCTGCAAATCAGTCTGGCGATGACCCAGCCAGCCTTTCTCGTTGAGCGTGAGTCGGCCATTCATTCCGCCTGCTATGAACGCGCGCGATGAGTTTGTAGCGAAATGTGGATCGAGTGCGACACAACGCATTGGCCGCTTGTTGTCAAAATAGTACCGTTCTGTAGCGTAGATAGAGGAGATGAATACCTGACCATCAACGCTTGCAGTTGCGATAAACGAGTGTCGCGTATCGAGTGAAATGTCCATTATTGAGGCTGAGTGTGGTTTGAATGCCTTTATGCGATGACCCGAGTGAGATAGCAAATGGAGGTATCCGGAGTGGGTGCCGAGTGCCTTATATAAACGTTAAATCGTGCCGCGTGTGTACCTCACTTAACCCACAATAAACTCTTCGCAGCAGCGCAGAACGGAGGCAGTGTCCTTAAGCGTTGAGCTGGCTACATCAGCGCCGATCTTTGTATATTTGAATGGCGGCTCCTCGTCCAAGTCTATTGATCCCGATGTGATGCTCGTCGTGCTCATCACGGTTTCTCAGTGACAGCCATGAACTCGGGAAAATCTCGGAAAAGGATAAGCGTGCGCTTCAGTGGTGTTGACCAAGACGATTTCCTGTCCTTCACTGAGCCAGCAACCCCGAATATCACTGAACAAGCGGAGCAACTCAAGAAGACATTCTCATTCGATACGCTCTATAAACTCAGCAATGATACAAAACACCGCGATTCCCTACAGCGCAACGTTCTCAGCAGCGTCTGGAGACCCAAGAACCAGAAAGTAAGTGACGTCATATGCCATCCCCACTGACTTATCATCCCCAACCATTTCACTTCCCTTGTCAGCCGAGGAGACCCGAAGATTTCGAAAGACTTATCGTTTTCGCTACAAGAGGCGCTGCACGTACTTTTATGCTCACTTTCGGTATGCGCTCGATGCTTAACGTCGTCCTCGCTTTGGTTTCGCTGGTGAAAGCGAGGAAGGTCACTGGAGCTCTTCTCCGCAAATCTCTACTCACTCTGGAGCCTATTCGCTTTGGTCTTCAGTTCGGCATGTGAGTCACAGTCCAAGACCATCGCATTACATTCTAAGACATGAAAGTTTCGTCTGGTTGTGGCGCTTTACGCACCACGCACTCAGGATGAAGGATGGCGAGCATAAACGTTGGCATGCCTGGGTCGCTGGTGCTGTCTCCTCGCTCGGCTCATTAGCGGAGACCCGCGGCAACAGATTGGCGCTAGGCCAGCAGCTCACTGTTCGGTGGGTTGTCGATATAGCTAGTCGCAAACTACCCTCTCACACCACATTCTAAGTGGTCTTCAGGGTATGTATAGATCGTGCAAGGCTCGGAACTGGATCAGTATCCCCCATGGTGAGTTTCTCATCTTCGGACTGGCATGTGGACAGATCATGTATGCGTGGATCATGTCACCGGATACTATACCGAAAGCATACAATGATTGGTGGGTCTTTTTACCGAGAGCACGTTCCCACTTCTCACCAATGTCTGTGTCTAGGATACAACACGCTTCAAAAGTCCCCCCAGAGGCTATCCCAATGCACAGGCAGCTCGTCAGAACGGGCAGGTACGATGCACAGACGCCCCTAACATCTTTGTCGCAGAGGGTTTGTGAAATGGGTGAGGCATCGACGCGGCTCACGCACAGAGCAGAACCCAACTCCGAAAAACCGACTTAGGTTGTTAAAAATGGTCCAAAACGCGCGCAGTGAAAATGGTGAAAGTTTCGGTAACTTTAGCAATGTCAGTAACGCGCTACTTCCCTACATTCCACCAGCAGTCCTCAATCCGTGGATCGAGGGAATTTTCTCCATGGCCATTGAGCGCTTCTACATGATTTTTCTCGACATTCTACCCGTATACGCCTCGTTGCATTTCATACCCGCTCTTACGTTCAAACGCAACCAATTCAAACAAGATCCCGGCGAAGCCGTACTTCGGACGACCATGTCTAGTTTCAGATCGTCTGCATTCCTTGCGACTTTCGTCGTTATCTACCATACCTGGTTCAGTGGTAAGCATGCAGTATACCGTAAACACAGAGAAAGACTTCCGGAGTGGCTGGCCAAGTTTCTTATCTCAAAGCAGTCGCTATGGTTTGGAGGTTTTCTCACATGCGCCTCGTTGGGTGTAGAAGAAAGCAAACGTCGCTCAGAACTCGCTATGTATGTTCTCCCTAAAGCTATGGAAAGCGCCTGGATGACTATGAGACGCAAGAAGTGGGTTCCGCATTTCCCTTTTGGTCCTGAATTGCTAGTCGCTTTCGGTACTGCTTCTCTCATGCAGGCTTACACTCATGAATCGCCTCAAGTCATGTCTGGGCTGGTACACACACTAATCTATCAATTTATTGGGAATGTGTAATTCTAACGCTGTCCATTCAAGTCAATTTACAGACGAACACGTGAAAGGCCTACGATTTTTCTTCCTTTTTGTACATATTTGTATATGTTGTAGAGTTACGATTACAAAACAGCATCTTAGTGGGGTTAGAGTGTGGTATTGGTAGATTCATTTGTCAGTTTGGATTGGATTGGGTTGAAGTGGTTTATTCTTGACTATCACTAGCACTATCATCACCATCACCATTGCGCTCATGCTCATACTCCCCCTCATTCAAATCAATCTCCTCACCATATCCATAATCAGTCAAACCTTCAGCCAAAACCTGCTCCTGGCCATCTTCGTTGATGATACGAATGTCTGGTGGAGTGGATGACGGTCTCATCTCGTTCTCAGGCACGGCTGTGACGCGCGGGAAACTAAATGTTCGCATATCATCTCTTCCTTCCCTTCCGGCGACATCTTCATCTTCGTGTCCATAAGCGGCATCAGTGGCCTGTTTTTCAGCATCCTCTATCTCCTTCCTAACTGCGTTTTTTGTTTTTGTGTCTTGATCATCTTCATTCGATGTCGGTATACCCTCAACGGCACCGCCTTCTGGTTCAGTTGGTGAAATTTGGGTTTGGCGTGGTGGAGTGGTGTAACGAGCATCTTCTACCGTTTCTTCCGCTTGCTTTGTGTGTTCTGCATCTTGTTCTTGTATTTCTTGTGATTGGGGTTGTTCAAAATTATCAACCTGGTCACTAGTTCCAGCCTCTGCTGCTCTATCTTGGTGATCGGGGTTTCCAGACTGAGATAGATTGTAAGATGACCTGCTTTCGAACTTGATATTTGGCATAGGACCGCCCAGGTAAAATGAGCTAATGTTGACCATTCTGGGGAGTATGTTAGGTAGATTGCGTGGGTAGGAGTTGGCTTACTTCTTTTCCCTATGACAAGCTAGGAGCCATTGTGGTTGAACAATAGGTATAGACAACTGGACAGCTTTCTGGTATTCAGGTAGGTTGTAAGGGCCAGGTTTTGAGCAGACAAAGTGAGTTGTGTCAACGGTGACTTTATCGTCAGATTCAGCGCCCATTTCATCGATTGCGGATTTGGAGGACTCGAGGAGCTTCTCGTCGGATATAGCGCCAATAGCGACTCTAATACCAGTAGTGTCGGTTATAGAGTGTGTCTTAACTTTAACCAGTTCGGAAGGATAGACACCTGCGGAAGTTCTCATGATGAGTTGGAACGAGTATTCAGAGTTGAGTGATAAGCCAGAAATCTTGTAAGTCTTGTTGTTAGGGTTGGAAATAGCGCACAGTCTTTGGCCATTCCTAAGCAAGTCTAGGGACCTGAGGGATGACGTAGCCAGATCCAAATCATCCCATTCGAGCGTAACTGAAGTTTGAGTTGTATTTCTAACGCGTAAAACTGGAGATTTTGGAGAGTCTATGCCGTAAGTGTTGAGTATTTTCTTTTGTAAGTCCCAAAATGCTTCAGCGTGCTCCTTCTCTGCGAGTTGGTTTCTGTTAACGGCGATATTAACAATTGACCCAGTGGTAACGCCAGCTGGGAGTAGAATCGATGGAAATTCTATCAAAGAGGCTCTCTCCCCGATGAGAATTGCCTGGTGAGCTGGTTAGACGGGTGGGAGCGGGGTTAGACTACAAACCATTCCAGCGTCTGTAATACATTATCAGCTAAGCCCTTTATTATACTCAAACACCCACCAAGCTTCCCCACTGTGAAAGAATTCGTTGATAGCATCATGATCGCAGCGAACAAGCCTTTCATTTCAACCAAATGGTACAAATATAATAAATAACCTTATATTTCCTAACAGACAGCTACAGTCCACTCAATTCCTCTCGTGCGCTGATTCCTCAAATTCACCCAATCAACACCGTGAGTTGGCTGATTTTAATGACTTTTGCTCAAATTTTATAACTTATATAGTGGACGCTGTTTGGCACACTCGCTGGACTGCCAATGCCGTTTTATCCGCTTCAAATGACGGCTTTTTGAACCTCTGGGATGGATCTACTGCCGAGCATAAAGCGCGTCTTGATATTTCTCATCTCTCTATTTCCTCTTTGTCTACCACTCCCCACCCGGAATGCCCTCAACGCGCTTTGGTTTCCTCCATTGACGGCACAACCTCTGTGGTCTCACTCGCCGATGCTCATCTTTCTGCTTCCACTAGCCATCCAGGTATTTGGAAGTCCGCTATCCACCCAATAACCCTCGATCACTACACTACTTCCCCCGCTAAACTTGACTCCAAGCTATCGATACACAGTGCAAATATTCACCCACAATCCTCCGAAGATCCCGATTTCGGTACCTTTTTGGGCACATACGACATGGGCAAACCTGCTTTCATCTTATCCTTGGAATACAGCCCCAACGGTGCCTGGTGTGTAGCTGGCGCTCAATCCGGCCAAACATACGTCTTTGATACTAAATCTGGCTCACTCGTTAGGGTACTCACTACACACTCTAAACCTGTACGCTCTATTTCTTTCTCTCCTGACTCCTCCATCCTCTACACCTCAAGTGACGATAGACTCATCTCTGCAGTTGATCTCCGCGCTTCGACTGGTTCTGGTGCTGTCTTTTCCTTCTCAAATGCACACGAGAGCTCAGTGACTGCCGTATCAGCTGCACCGGACTCAAGGCTACTCGCATCAGCTTCAACAGATCACTCTATTCGTCTGTTTGACATTGGTCAGCGAGCATCAGTCGCAAAGATGGCGCAAGAGGATGAGGTGTGGTCGTTGAGCTGGAGACCTTTGGGTGTTAGTGGACTGTCAGGCTCTGCCTTTGCCAGCGGTGGTGATTCTGGCGTTGTCAAGTGGTGGAAATCTGCGGGATGAAGCTGTGTCTAATTATACATGCATGCAATTACGAAGATCAACATCAACGTCAACATCCAATAGCTGGTACAAAGTCATTAACAGCTTTTCTGTTGATGTGCGACAATTTGTGCTCTTTGGCGATGGGATCAATCACCTTATCCCAGACTTTCTGCTGGTGAAACCGTGAGGAAGTGTACATTATAAAACACTCCACGCCAGTCACGCTCTCGTCGTAAATGCGTATTTTGGGTAGCTGTGATTGGCGGAACAAGCCCGATTGTGCACCGTCAACAACCTCAGCAGCTACAAGACTGGGTGTGTCTGAACTTCTGAATTTGTTGCCTAGAAGCGAAATTCTTGGTCCTTTCTCTCTACGCATTTCTATTGGAGAAAATTGAACAATTCTGTACTCATCTAAGTGTACATGTAAACTACGCCAAATAAGCTCGTCTCTGTAATCAATTGTTCTCATTTTCTCGTCATCTACCAGTCCTACAGTCACTGAGGCTATTTCACGTCCTTTTTGCTTAAATCGAAGGCACCAGCTGTATGCGTGGATTTCAACGTACTCCGTATCGATATCCAACTCGACACACTTTGCGTGGATTGAATTGAATGGCGCTTTATCGCCAATGGTTATCTCTCGTAATGCTGTCATTTTACTTGACGGTATCAATTCAACGACGCCCGATTGCCGATTGGTAACCGAATCGTAGTCGGCTCGTAATCCCGCAATGGCCTTTTGGTGACCTAATTATGTAACTCATATTCGCTCCGGCATCTCTCCCACTTCTAACGCCACTTGAAAATTAAGTTCAAGTGGAGGTTTTAATAACACTTACCTATTTGGGATTTAGGCAGCAATCTAATCTAGCCGAATATGGCAGCAGAATTGATATTAAATGGGGTAATCGATTATATCGGCGAGTGTATTAATGTTAAAGATTGCGGCAGAGCCTATCAGATAGCACACACACAATCACAACAAGCTATGAATGTTGCTCTAGGAATGTAAATGGAATTTTCAGCATGATATGCCACACTTATGGAACAAGAATGTCATTAAATATTGAATACATTACTCATATGCATTCAAGTACTATTTATATTTTGACATGCCCACTAGAAATGTGATTGAGGACGGCTTTGGCAGGCGAGATGAAGATAATTACAAATTAATCACCGTCTTACAATCATCTAGGCTATCCCTGAATGTTGTCTGGAATCCTCGATTGTTCATCACACAGGCTACTTTATTGAAATGCCGATAGTGAAAATCTTAATGAAATGCCCTAACAAAGGCTATATAAATCGGCTGCTATTAAGGGGTACGTTATGAATATAATGACGCTGACAATCTTCATTCCCGGCGATAAATTACCTTAATTGGCAATTTACATTCCCGTGCTCGATACATTCCATATGTTTAAGACTCGTTGACGGTGAACACGCCGAGAATAACTCATTCCGCAAAAATATATATTTAAGTCGTCGATCCCAGCTTGTTTCTTCCTTACAATCAACTTACATTTCTAATATGTCAAGCATCATTAATCTCCTCAAGTCCCAATCAGACAACCACACCCGTGGACTGTACTTTTACCCAGGTGCTGCAAAGACTAAGCCTAGCTTTACATCCTACGCCAGCCTCTACACTCAAGCCTTAAATATCGCTGCCGGTTACAAGAGCGCCGGCTTCAAGTATAATGACATTGTTCTACTCTATGTGAGTGATTCATTCATTCGGTGGCAATATTAATACTGATAACAAAATTAGATGTCCTCACACGAAGCTTATGCTTTACACTATTGGGCTGCTGTACTCGTCGGATTAGTACCAACCATCCTCACTCCGCTCACCAATGATCCTAAGCAAGTCGAAGCTCACTTGAGCCATTTGAAGAACCTTCTTGACCCACGCATAATTGCATCTTCAGAGCTTCACGCTCATTTGGATTCCATTAAGGATACCTCTGAGATCTACTCACCAGAAGACATACTTGCAAGAGCCAACGGAAAGGTTTTGCAAGACTCAGACATTAATTCAACAAAGGATTTGGCTTGTTTGATGCTGACTTCCGGATCTACTGGTAACGCTAAAGCTGTCGAAATGCGCCACGAAGCTATCCAAGCTGCTGTCAGGGGAAAATCTCAAGCACTTGGTCTCACATCTGAGACAAAGTTTCTTAACGTGAGTGGGATGTTGAATAGAACAAAAGCATACTAATATCTATCAGTGGATCAACTTTGATCACGTAGCCAACTTGACCGAGTGTCACCTCACTTCAATGTACCTCGGTGCTGACCAGTACCATGTTCCTGGCGCAGCTCTCCTCACCAACCCACTCGACTTCCTCCAAATTATTAACGATCAACGCATCAACTTCAACTTCTCACCAAACTTCTTTTTATCTGCCCTGCTCGACTCATTCAACAGAGAGCTCAAACACAATGCTGATCTGCGCTCCAAGTACGACCTTTCATCGCTCAAGAAGATTACATCTGGTGGTGAGGCCTCGTCTACTAAGATGTGTGCTACTCTTATCGAGCAAGTACTCGCTCCAATGGGTGCACCAAAGGACCTGATCGTCCCAGGGTTTGGACAGACTGAAACATGTGCCGGGTCTATTTTCAACAAGACGTTCCCATCACAGGAGATCCGCGACTCAAGAGCTTATGCTGCAGTTGGATTACCAATGAACGGCATCGAGATGAGAATCGTTGACCCAGAGACCTCAAAGGCAGTAGCTGATGGTCAAACAGGTGAGCTGCAGATCGCCGGCCCAGTCGTCTTCCGCAAGTATTACCGCAATGAGAAAGCGACAAGAGAGAACTTCACTCCTGACGGTTGGTCCAGAACTGGAGACAGAGCATACATGTCATCATCTGGCTGTGTCTTGGCTGGTCGTGACAAGGACTCTATCATCACCAACGGCGTCAAGTACTTCAGTTCAGAGATTGAATACATGCTCGAAAACGCTGGTATCGAAGGTATGCTCCCATCATGGATCGCCGCAGTGCCATACCGTCCAGAAGGTCACGCTACGGAAGACATTCTTATCTTCTTCGCTCCATCATTTGACGTGAGCAAGGATGTCAATGGTTTGAAGGATGTTGTCGAGGCGATCGCCGACAGAGTCGTCATGTACTGCGCTCACCGCCCATACCGTATTCTCGCATTACCTACTGAAGCATTCGGCGGCAAGTCTTCTCTCGGTAAGATCTCGCGCAACAAGGTATTGAAGGCTTACGATGCTGGTGCATTTGTCAAGTATGAAGCTGAACAAAAGTTAGCTCTTGAGGAACTCCGCCGCACTCAACTCGTTCCACCTGAAACAGACTTTGAGCGCAAGGCTGCAGCTGCTATGGCTGAGACTCTCGGCCTCGACTACAAGTTCATTGGTCGTCACGACAACTTCTTCACTTTCGGTGGCTCATCGCTTGAATTGGTTAGATACAAAAACATACTTGAGAAGTACCTCGGATTGACAGAGGAGCTTCCTCTCATCACTGTCCTTCGCAACCCAACTCCTGCTACACTTGCGCCATACTTGGACAGATACTTGCGCACTCAATTCGGTGAAGTTCCTGACAATGCTGATGATATCTACGATCCAATTGTTCCACTCCAGCTTAAGGGTTCCAAGCCTCCTCTTTTCCTTATCCACCCAGGTGTTGGTGAAGTATTGGTCTTCTTGAACCTCGCCAAGTACATTACCGACAGACCGGTGTACGCTCTTCGCGCTAGAGGTTTCAACCCAGGTGAAACGCCATTCACGGACATGAACACCCTCACGGATGCTTACATGGCTGGTATTGAGAGAACAAACCCAGATGGACCATACTGTATCGCTGGATACTCATACGGTGCATGTCTCGGATTCGAGATCTGCAAGAAGCTTGAAGCAAAGAACAAGGAGATTGGTTGGTTTGGATGTTTCAACCTTCCTCCACACATCAAGGAACGTATGCAGCAGCTCGACAGAGTTGAGGTGAGTGGAAAGAAGAAAGTCATCTACACCTACTAACTATTTTCTCAGGTCGTTCTCAACCTGTCCTACTTCCTCGGCTTGATGACAGAGGACTACGCTCATGAGATTTCACCAGAGATGCACAAGTACACTCCGGAGCAAGTCGTAGAGCACATAGTGGCTATTGCACCACCAGCTCGTCTGCAAGAGTTGGAGTTGACAGCTTCTAAGCTGCTCAACTGGGGTTCTATTGCTGAAAATCTTCAAGCTCTGGCTAGAGGATATGAGCCAACAGGAACAGTGTCGAACATTAACGTCTTCATTGCGGATCCACTGGCCGCTGTTGCCAAGACGCGTCAAGAGTGGTACGAGAAGAAGTTGACCCCATGGAAGGATTTCACTAGAACTGAGCCTGTTTTCATCGATGCTAAGGGCGCACACTACACCATCCTTGCACCAGAGAACGTCGTCGATTTCCAATCCAAGATGAGAAAGTCTCTCGAAGCACGTGGTATGTAAACCAACCCCGTCTTATTTCCCCCATCACGCTCAACTATTTCCCTTTTTGTCTTATCTTTCCACTTTTAGTTCTCTTCTTATAATTTGGATTCATGGATACTTTTTAAACTATATAATCTTGTCTCAGCCACATCCATGATTTGAGGCACACTAGCCACACTATCCACACTAGCCACCAATCCCAGCCAATCTATCTAAATCCGGTAATGGGTTTTAAATACCAAAAGTGAAAGGAGCGGAGTATTCAGAATTACATGTGCTAGTAAGATTTGTCACTCTAAATTTGAAATCAGTGACAGTTTCAAGTCATGCACTGCCCCCGACGTACCTCTTCACTTTTACGGAATCGGCTGTTGAAGGGGCTGAAGTGGAGGCAATTTGGCTATCAAAGTCTTACAAAAGAACGATGAGCATGATAGATTTGAAAGACTTATACACGACAACGCTATTAAGCTACGAAGAAGAAGAAGAATCTAGTCTTCTCGATAAAGGGTATGGGCAGCATTTCAGGTCACTCGATGCATTTCTACAAAGCTTTAAGCAGTTACAGCCAAAGCAGTCACTCGCTAATCCTGTTCCAAGCGCTGGTTGGCAGGCTTTTGTCATTATTGATAACAAACTGCAAGGGCACATATGCGTTGAAGAAAAAGTTGTACAGAACTACTTCAAATGCCTTTCAAAGCGTTACAATAGCGATAGAATAAGACCACCAAAACATGTAACTCAAGTTGTTCCACATAAAGATTTCAAACCAGGCAATATAAAGTATATATCCGATTACGCGACCTATCGGTGGGTTTTTGTATGTTTATTGTTTTACACCACACTCACACTCCTACACAGCCTATTGTATCGCTCATTTGACAGCCACATTACTCAAATCATTCGCAATCGCATCCGCAAGCATTCACCAAAAGAGTCAACTTCGCTGTGGTTGAGTAAGAAGCATACCTTTCTTGCTCTAGATGTTGAATGGTGGGAGAACGTTCCCGTAAATATTCTTGAATTCGGCTATGCTATCTGCAGAGCTTCCTTTTTAGCAGGCAGAGAAGACGTTCACTGGCCGCCGATACCTGAGGACAACTATCGACGCGCACACTACAAAGTCCGCAACCCAGGCGGAGTGACTGATAATCACAAGCCTTTCATCTTTGGAAAAACTAAATCAATTTACAAAGACAGCGTGAGGAACTTGTTGGAGTCCGTTATTAGCAGCTTGTCTTCGCCTGAGACCTCGACTGAATTGAACAATCTCGTCATTGTTGGTCATGGTATACAGGAAGCATTCAAGAAATGGAAGTTGAATGTGCCTTCAAATGTCGTCATGATAGACGTCGGCCAGCTGCACCAGATGATATATACAACAATGGGTGTATACCCACTCAGATCAATACTCGACACACTCAAAGTACCATACCAAGCGCCAAGTCTAGGAAACACGGGCAACGATGCCATGTGGATTATGGAAGCTTATGCGACGTTGTGCGAGCAGTACGGAGCAGGTAGAGGAAAAAACCAATCGTCATCGGGTGGTAAAGTGACTTCCTCCGAGAATTTTTCCAGCGGTACATCCTCAACGAATGAATCATCTTCAGCTGAAGCCAGCAAGTTGAAGAAGAGGGTTTCTTTCAGTGGAGATGCTACGTTGGGAGGTGAAGAGGCAACTGCTACATCCACACCAGGCGTCTTTGCACCATACAATCCCATGATGGGTTATCCGCAAGTGCCAGGAAATCATCCAATGGTGACCCCAATGATGGGTCCGATGATGAGTCCAATGAGTTCAATACCCCTCGCATCGCCACCATCAATGCACAATCCAAACGTTGTTGATTTCAGGAAGTCTGCGGCGTTTAGACAATCTAATCTATCGCTTAGGCCTGAGTTGAAGAAGGGGGATTACTATCAGTCATTTGAAAAGCGTAAATCTTCATCGCATTTGTGATCAGTGGCGTGAGCAGAGTGATGAGCAATAGCTAAGACATAATAGAGACATCCGCAACGAGCATTCAAGTGGGCATTTAAACATTCACAAGGACATTTAACATATTTAACTGAGATTTATTTAAGTTGACAGCAGGGTGTATTATAGATATTATGTAATTCCAATAGAGTATAATATATCCGTTTATTCCGCTGAGATGTATGTCAGATGAGCAGTTACATGCCTGACATGGCGAACAAACTTACGTGGTTAAATGATATCATCCAACAATTTCTTACAAACCAGCTGCGTCTAATGCAGCATTCTTTGCTTCACATCCGTATGCGTCATCCCAGTGTCTTTGAGCGATGGCTTGTTGTTCTGGGGTAAAGTTCTTTTGGTTGCTGTTGAAGAGGGTGTATTCGGTAGGGAAACCTTCTGGACCGCACTTAAGTTGAGATCTATCCCAAGCGAGGACAGTTGAAGTGAGTGCGAGAATGGCTACAGAGATTGTGCTGATGAACTTCATTTTACTTGGTATTGTTTTCCTGCCTTGTGAGTGTCGCGGTTAACGTATGAAGGAAATGCACGTACTTCTTTTTATAGTATGGCAGCTGTCTCCGAAATTTTCAATGTCCGCTCCGAATTCGGTATGTGATATTAAAACGCGTGTTAGATGGCCGAATTTGGTAGATCACTAAGAATAGTGTGATGTTTTTGTAAAAGTTATTGTAATTGCTACTGATATCCATTTAAGTATGTGTAGCATGTGTCAATTACATTTTTCACAAATTCCAAACATCCACGAAGCTGTCATGGACATAGAAATAGCACACAGCACAAAACACACAGAAAGAAGCACAGAGAAATAACAAAAAAAGTAAATAATCGCATTAGTTTATTATTACATCCTTTGTTTTGCTTATATGCGTATATGCGTACATGTCTCACTGGCTATTCAGCATCGAAAGCAACGCTTGAACTGATTGTGGGTTAGGTGGTGCTTCTGAGGGTGCTTGCTGTGGTTGTACTGGTTGCTGTTGATGTATTGATTGCTGCTGCACCGGTTGCACTGGTTGCACTGGCTGCCGCTGCTGTATACGTGGATCTCTTCCCGCTGTCGACATACCCGGTACGGAAGAAACGGGTTGCATTGTCTGATAACCGTTGTACATGGGTTGCTGAGGTGCATTTGGCTGTGCACTCTGGTAGCCCGCTCCAGCACCCCCACCCATTCCTATTCCCATTCCTGGCATTGCTCCTGCTCCTGCTCCTACTGGGGCTGGCGCATACCCGCCCACACTTCCACTACCACTACCGCTCACGTTACTGCTCGCTGCCTGCAAGATACTCATTATGTTTGGTGGGAGGCTGCTTTGTTGTTGCTGTGGTTGTGGTTGTGGCGGTTGGGGAGCGTGAGGTGTATGTGTATGTGCGTGTGTATGTGGATGGGGGTGCGGTTGCATGCCGAGTGGGGGTGATTGACTCGCATAGTATGGCGGTTGCGTGGGCTGCATGAATGGCGGCGTAGGCATCATAGGTGGTGCAGTGTGTGCAGTGTGCGCGGGTGCGGGTGCGTGCGTCGGCATTTGCATCGCTCCTGCTCCTGCTCCTGCTCCTGCGCCCACTGCCGCTCCTCCCACACTCGGATTCACGTTCATGTTCATGTTCAGCGTCGACGGATTCAGCGAGCTGAGCAAAGCTTGTACACGCTGCGCATCTGCTAAGCGGGAAGTGTCTAGTGTTGTGCCATATGCATTTGCAGCATTATAAGGAGCAGGAGTAGAGGAGAGAGTAGCGGGTAGATATCCACCATAATGCTGCTGTGGCTGTGGTGGTCGACTGATTTGACCTGAAATGTTGTTAGGTGACGCACTGACAATCTTCTCTCGCTCACTCACGATTCGAATACGCGTTGCGGACATTGCTCTCATTGCTATTGTGGCCGTAGCTGCGGGGAGCACTCGGAGCACTCGGAGTACCAGAAACACCAGAAACACCAGGACCATCACTTATACTGTCGCCGCGACGATTTTTCGACCGACGCTGACCTCCGCGTCTCGATCTTTTAGCTGCAGACTTGCTAGCAGACTCATTGAGCGCAGCCGCAGAGAAATCCCTAGGAGGGTTGTTCACCAAATGCTCAGCACCCATTTTATCAGCATAACCACCAGATTTCTTAGGGGCGGAGACCATTGGACAATCCCATTCAAAGTAGAGGTTCAGCGTGCCATCGAGCCAAGGTTTCATATTCAGATTATCAAAAGCAGCAAGGGCAGACCTCTCGTCGAAGAATTCAACATAGCGGCTATCACTTCTATCGTCATAATCTCTGATATCTTTGACTTGGCCATATTGTTCAAACAGATCAGACAGCGCCGAGTCGTTGATTGGCTCAGTGCAAGACTCTAACCAAACAGACAGCGTGCCTTGGTGTTTACCGCGGTCACAGGGCTGTGAAGTCTCGTCAGCCTGTGGGAGACTGTAATGGACGTCTAGGGGGCGACCACCAATATGGGAGCCCTGCATTGCATTGAAAGCAGACTCAGCGGCGCGGACGTCGAAATAAGTGATGAAGCACATACCGCGCCTCTTTATCAGGTCAAAGAAGTTAGCGAGCTCGCCGTAAGATTCAAAAGGGGTGCGTATAAGCGCTGAATCTGCTTCGTAGGCGATATTACGGACGAAGAGAGTTCTACAAGGCTTAACACGCTGTACGCGTTCATGAGGCTGGCTGTGCTGCTCGGGATCGCCGTCGAATGAAGCTGGATTTTGCGGAAGCGGGTGGTGTACGTGCTTGGATCTATCTGCTGGCATTTAAATTAAATTTTTTGAATTTTAAAATGGTAGTTGAGAACCAACCTGTGCAACGTACTTGCCCAAATGCCATCACCGAAAACACTAAATTTTAAGTTAGTTTTGCTGGGGGAATCAGCTGTAGGGAAATCTTCCATGTGAGTTTATATATATGTACATGTCTTTATCATCCTCTCACGCCTCCACCAGCGTCATGCGCTACGTCAACAACCAATTTTCAGACGATAGGGAATCTACGATAGGCGCGGCTTTCTTGACACAGCACATGAAAGTCGGTGAGGATACTATCAAGTTTGAAATCTGGTGGGTGCTTGATCCACCCCTGATATAATCACACTCACTCATATAATGTCTTACAGGGACACAGCCGGTCAAGAACGCTTCGTTTGTTTGGCTCCTATGTACTACAGAAACGCACACGCTGCTCTCGTCGTTTACTCTCTCGACTCCAAAGATAGCTTCGATAGGGCTGTCAAGTGGATCGAGGAACTACGGAGGCAGTCAGACACCCATACTATCATCATCCTCGCAGGCAACAAATCAGATATCCCTGATGATACCAAACAAGTCTCTCCTCATGATGCTCAGGCTGTGGCTGATGAAATGCAGGTCGAATTTTCAACCACTTGCAGCGCAAAGAGCGGTGGCGGTATTGAACAACTCTTTGTTGAGATTGGTAACCGTCTTCCTATTGAACAAGCTAAGCAAAAGGCCTTTAAATCCCCTCAACAAGCTATCAAGCTCGATAAGGCTGACTCAAGTGGCCAAACAGAGACATGTGCTTGCTGAATTTTCGCATTAAAGAAATGTTGTATTCATATCGAAGGTATATTGATATTGTGTTAAAACTGATCGATTGTTGTCTTCTTTTTACCCAATTTCATTCCACTGCCCTTGAATCCAGATGATGTTTGAGTTGAAGGGGGTGTAGGTGCGGCGGATGCGGATGAAGGTGAAGGTGCATCAAATGAAGGTGAAATGTTAAGCTCAGAGGAAGAAGAGTACTTGCCAGCAGATAAACCAGTTTGTGCACCAACTTTTGCAGCTTCCCTACGTTGCATCTCTAAAGCTCTCGCCCGTCTCTTCAACTCCTCCTTAGCCTCCATTTCTTTGTTCTTTGCAATAATATCTTGAATCTTTTCCTCGTGACTCTCCATTTCCAACAAAGATTTAATTTGGTGTATGTTGTTGTTGTCTCTGTATCCAAACGCAATAATTTCATCCCAAGCGACCAACAAATCGAAAGCGTTATTAATAACAGACTCCTGGGTGTGCTGCTTAATGATATCGATAGTTATCCTGCTAAATAAAGATAAAGATTCAATGTCCTGGAGTATATTTGAACCCTTGTTTGTGATCAGCACCAGATAGAGCTCATCTAGTGGCTGATACACAAATCTTATGTTTTCAATTTCAACTGTAGTATGCTGGCTGCCTAAGGGAATTAACTTTGGGAACGTATTGAGTAAGCCTTCTACTCTAGATCTTGTCAATTGCATGTATTGACGGGATATGATGGCTATGTGTGTTTTTGAGAAATGTCTTAATATCCCAATACAAACCCACGCTTTCCTGATTTCGTTGAGATGGCTGCGCTTAGAATGGTCATTGTGGTTGTTGAGGTGTGAGGTGTGAGGTGGGAGCAAGTATTTCTTTAGTTTTATATTTTAATATTTCCGTGTTTTTATGTTTTTATAATTATATTTCAATTCTTAATACACCCTTCCGCCTTCTCGACCCATCACCACCCGACCACTCACTCACGATGGAATCTGCCATTCTTGAATTGATAAGCCATAATGACATCACTGATCCAAACCAGCTTCTCAGGCTCCTTATTTTTCACTATCCATCCCTCAACCTTTCTTTCAATCATTATGACCTAATCACCGATTCTCTATCAAACCTCCGTTTAAGCCTCCCTTCAACATCTTATACTCCTTTTTCCCCACAGAAACCATCGCTGTACTCTTCCTACGCCCGTTCTATCATTCCTGATGAAAATTTTATCCAAATTTGTCCTAACACGACCAGATCTGACTGTACCTTGGAATGTACTAGCGTACACTTTCAACCTATTCTCAAGCCATACTCTGATCATTCATTCGGTCACTGCTCTTATCTTAACACTTGCTACCCTTTCTACAACAACACCCCTCCTTCCCTCTCAAACGCTTTTCAAGCTACAAAGCTCAACAGCCCCAGATTAGACCGTACTTGCAGATATTTGCATTTTGAGCTGGAGCAGCCTACTCCTCCAACTAAAAGTCGCTATACTGATCTAGTTGATGGTGAATCTCTCAATTACAGATCAGATTTGGATAAGTTGCTCAATAACAAGAGATTTCCCGCCCAATATCTCAATTGCGATCTCAGATCATTCGATTACAACACCCTCGGCAAGTTTCAAATTATTGTGGCCGACCCTCCTTGGGATATACATATGAGTTTACCCTATGGTACTCTTACAGATGATGAAATGCGTAAAATGCCTATGTCAACACTCTCAGAAGAAGGTACGCTTATCTTTCTCTGGGTCACAGGCCGTGCTATGGATTTGGGCAGAGAATGTCTTTCAATTTGGGGGTTGGTGAATTTAATGTGTTGTTGTCTCTAACTGACAAACATTGACAGCTTCAAAAGAGTTTGTATAATCTTTTAAACGGTTGGCATCTGATGAAAAAACTCCAGGTCGAGGAAATAGCCTGGGTGAAGATCAACCAACTTCAGCGTCTGATACGCACAGGTCGTACAGGACACTGGCTTAATCACACTAAAGAGCATTGTCTGGTCGGTATCAAAGTGTCCGAAGATGGTGTCGTCCGTTGGCCTGAGTGGTTGAACAAAGGCATAGATTGCGATGTGATAGTTAGCGAGGGTGGGTAATGGTCTTTAGAGCACTTGAATTGAACTTTGATATAATAAACAGTACGCGAAACGAGTCGGAAACCAGACGAACTTTATGGTATGATCGAGAGGTGCTGCCCTTCAGGTCGCAAAGTGGAGTTGTTCGGTCGGCGGCACAACGGACGTGATGGTTGGCTCACATTAGGAAATCAGATAGGGAAGGATGTTGTACATGACAATGATCTCGCAAGCAGGTTGAATGCAAGGTGTGTATGAGGTGCTAGGATTACAATACAATGCTAATATGTTACAGGTACCCGGAGAAGAAGATACAAAGTCAGTCGTAGGATGATAAAAAAGCACCCAAACCGGAGCTGGGTGTATTAGGTTGCGAGCTGCTATTGCTATTGGTATTGCTCTTGCTGTTTTTGTCCATTTCGCGAACCTTGTTTCGAGCTAGAAGTTCTTGTAGACTTGAAGGATGTTTGCCTTTCTTCCTTTTCTTGTTGCTGGTATTTGTCTGTGGTTGTGACTCATGTGACTGCTGAGACACAGGCATAGGTGAGGCTGCCCTACTTGAAGAAGCCGAGCCACCAGAGCTCATCTCCTCCAATATGATTGAAGGATCGTAAGTCAAATCACTGAGATATTTCCGCTTGCGCGACTCGTAATCGCGGATGTTGGAGACAGAGGAGCCTGGCAAGCTGTAAACGAAATGGCAAGTGAGGCAATGAGCTATGATGTAGTTCCTGATTATATCGCCTTCCTTGGAACCTTGTTCGCCGTGCTCTTGCGCCTTCCTTTGCTTTCTTCTAAGCTTCTTCTTGGCGGATGCGATAGAGCGTCTAGAGCGGGTGGACGTAGTAACAGATCGACGCATGCTGCCGCACTTTGGACAGTGCGGATACAGCTCACTGTGTTGTTTGGGGATGGATTGCTCTGACTTCTCCACGCCGGCGCGGAAGAGCAAGTGGGAGTATCCAGAGTATTCAGGGCAGAGTTCCGATAGTTCGTGTGCCAATCTGTGCCTGTAAAGAAGGTTTTTCTGGGCTTCTGTGGCTGTCGACATGGCTGTGTGCGTTAGAGAGTGACGTCCAACGCGATTTAAATATTTTCCATATGGCAGATAACCTAGAGCACCCAGACCACGGCAAGGATACCCCTTACTTTGCTTACTACGCCGCACTCGTTAACCAGGCTAATATGCTCATGGATTCTGCTCGTACTGGTGTTTATCAGCAAAGCATCCTTGGTAACTCTCAAACGGCTTTCTTGGGAAAGGATGTACTCGACGTCGGTGCTGGCTCCGGCATTCTCTCCTTCTTCAGCGCTCAGGCAGGTGCTAAAACCGTTTACGCTTGCGAAGCTTCAGATATCGCATCGAAATTGCAGCTGATTGTCGATGAAGCTGATAATGGTGGCAAGAATGCCTTCCTCAAGGATAAAATTAAAGTTGTTAAATGTTTGTTTTGGGTAGTGAAAAATTTACACACACTAATTCACCCATAGCTAAGATAGAAGATGCTGCTACTAGCCATTCGATACCCAAAAAGGTTGATACTATCGTCAGTGAACCAATCGGTGTTCTCCTCGTTCATGAACGTATGATTGAGTCTTTCATCGAGGCACGCGATAAATTCCTTAAGCCCGGTGGATCCATGTTCCCTTCGTCAGGTTGGTGAAACAAGATGGCTTAGCTTGAATACATCTTAACATGCCCACTTCAGGAACAATTGAACTTGCCCCATTCACTGATGACGCCTTATACACTGAGACAGCACAGAAAAGTGGATTTTTCCAGCAAACTAACTTTCTCGGCGTTGATTTGAGTGTTTTGCAAGACGCTGCAAATGAAGAAGCTTTTAGTGGGTTTACCAGGGTGTTTGAGGCTGTCCAACTAACCCCAAGACAGGTCAACCCGTCGTTGGAATGTTCCCACCAAACCAACTTATCGCAAACACTACAAACAATCACCTCATAGACTTTTATACATGCTCGATGAACGATCTAACCTCATTCACTATACCATTCACCTGGCAAATCACACGAACGGCACTTTTGCATGGAATTGGTGGATGGTTTGACCTGCATTTCAAAGCAACACAAGCAGGTGGATTGGATTTATATCTTTCTACAGGTCCAACAGCTCCACGTACTCATTGGCAAGCTACGCGACTGCTTTTTAGGGAACCATTAGCAGTAAACGCGGGAGAAGTGGTTAAAGGGGAGCTTAAATTTAGTGTGAACGATCAAAGAAGCTATGATATAGTTGGTACAACAGAAATACAAACGTCCAAGGAATTCTACACAGCTCAACATCCTCAAAGTAAATCAAACCCTTACGTCAGAAAACAAGTATGGAGATTACATGACCAGACGTATAATTACAACTACAGCAATATGTATCACATACCAGAGAGCATGGCAGCTGCATATTCAGGATATGAGCCAGTTGCTTAGGCTTTGTCTCTTGTATCCAAACCATCATCATCTTCATGTCGTTGCGAGATCGCCAGAGGAAGAATATTGAAAATATTTTGAATTTCAACGATAATAAGAAAACGAGTGATTTAGTGTGGAAGGTGTTGGTGCTTGATGGCGTATCTAAGGATGTCCTCAGCACCGCCGTTAAAGTACAGGATCTTAGGGAACAGGGCGTGACACTACATGCGTGAGGATTCACTTATAACACATACACGCACGCTCACAGTGTCCAGATTCCTCCACAACGAAAGACCTCAAATGAGTGATGTTCCTGCCATTTACTTTGTAGAGCCATCGGTGGATAACATGAAGCGTATCGCTGCAGATGTCGGCAACTCGCTCTACGAATCATTCTACATCAATTTCACGTCACATATACCCAAACATCTTCTTGAGCAACTCGCCAGCTCAATCGCCCAAACGGGGAGAGAGGATTTAGTAAAGCAGGTTTATGATCAATACTTAGACTACGTAGTTTTATCACCCACTCTATTCTCTCTTCTCCCTTCCTCTTCCACACCTTCGTTTCAGATTCTCAACCATCCGTCTTCCTCAGAGGAGATTATAGAAGCGGAAGTCGACAGGATTTCGCAGAGCTTGTTCAGCGTTCTCGGTACTGTTGGGTCTGTACCCATTATCAGATGTCCGCGCGGTAATGCGTCGGAAATGGTAGCCCGTAAGCTAGATGAACGTTTGAGGGATCATCTCCTCTCTACGCGCAATTCTAGTCTTTTCAATGAAGATAGATCTCTTCAGAGACCCCTGCTTATTCTGTTCGATAGGACCCTCGATCTCATACCAATGTTCTCGCACAGCTGGACATACCAGGCACTTATTGGTGATGTACTCGACCTGAAGCTCAACAGAGTCAAAGTAGAGACGCCAGAAAATGGAAAATTGTCGAAAAAGTCATACGATCTCGACTATAAGGATTTTTTCTGGTCTAAAAATGCTCCAAACCCTTTCCCACAAGTCGCAGAGGAGATCGACGCTGAGCTTACCAAGTACAAATATGACGCAAGTGAGATTACCAAGTCGACTGGAGTATCTGATGTGAAAGATATTAGTCAAGTGTGGGTTGCTCAATATAGGTGAAACTGTGGTCTGACGTACGTACTATAGCGACTTTTCTTCAAATGCTGCTAATCTTAAGAGCGCTATCACCGCCTTACCGGAGTTGACTGCGAGGAAGACTACGTTGGACTCGCATATGAATATCGCTACATCATTGCTCACTGCTATCAAGACTAGAGGGCTCGATACCCTTTTCCAGACTGAGGAAGTTGCAGCCAGACAGGTGAGGGCGTTTTATTGACCAAATTGTCATCTGAACTTTACACAATCAGTCTAAAAATCAAATCCTTGACGTATTGAAAGAAGTCGATGGGGCTACTCCTGATGATAAACTTAGATTGATTATCATTTGGTATCTTTCAGTTCCTTCTCCTAATTCGGCTGATGTTGCTGAGTTGGAGAGGTACTTGGCTGATAAGGGTATCGATTTGAAACCATTTTCTTATATTAAGCAGTGGGTTGGAGGTTTTACGAAATTTATCTCTTACAAGATGAAATAGAGCTCGCCAAGTGAGCAGAATGACTTCACTTACTGCTGCTGCGTCGACCGTTGCTGCTGCTCCTACTAATGGTGGTAGTGATTTATTTAAAGGATTTAGTTCGATAAGTAACAGAGTAGGTAGAATTTTGATAAATGGTCAACAACTAACATTTCATAGCTCACCGACAGATTGCGTGAAGGTGGTGTAGGATTTGACAATATACTCTCAGGAGTAAAAAACTTCCTTCCAGCCAAGAGTAGGTCGATTATTGGTGGGATTGATATCCACTTACTTTGTTTTCACAGAGGAGCTGGCTATCACAAGACTGACAGAGGCACTTATGGACCCGTACAACTGCTCATCACAAGCTAGTCAGGACGTAGACGATTACCTCTATTTCGATCCAAAGCAGTCGAGGTCGACATATGGGCAGAAACCAAGACAGCAGGGTGGCCACAAGCAGAGCTTCGATGAGTCGTTGGTATTTGTCGTTGGTGGTGCTTCTCTGGTGGAACATGCCAACCTTGTGGAGTGGGCGACGCGCCCTCAACAAACGCAAAAGAAGGTAACTTATGGTGGAACAGATATAAGCTCACCCAAGGAGTTTGTTGGTGTATTATCAAATTTATCATAAGGAATTATGTATATATCTATATAAACTGAGGCAAAGGAAATAAGGCAATCAAGTACCGAAACCAGCCCATTCTAAGGAAATATAATCGACTTTGTTAGTCTTGTCGTTGTAAGAAGCTAGAAGGTGAACTTTTTTAACAGTAGTGCCTAAACGACCCAAAGCGACAATGTCGATGGGCTTAATTGAGGAGGACATGCTTTCTAAGACGGTGACAGTGAAATGACTGTGATAACGAAGAGGATCACCGGGATAAACGAGTAAATGACCACCGAAACGAATACCATCACCCATGAACATACCTCTTTGCCAGAGATCTTTGAAAACTCTGCACTTGTTTAGTTCAAGGGGTGTTTCTGGGTATGTCCAAACATTTGCACTTCTAGCGCTATCTAAGTCAGAGTAGATTAGATTATCGTTATCGAACGTGTATTCTGAAGTAGCGGGTACTGTGATAGTAAAAGTATTTGGTAACCTCGATTTCTTCTCATCAACTGGAATTGGTGAAGACTGAGTGAAAGTTGAATCTGTCTCAAACATGAAACCAGCTTTAGATTTAGCAGCAGCTCTCTCTTCTCTCTTCTGTTGACGCCTTTGGACATCTTTATCAGAAAGCACTGGCTCTTTGGAATTCCTAGCCTTTGTCTCTTGTGCTTCCAGTTCAATTTGATGAAGTTTGTGTTGGTGATAGTGATTGATCTCATCATTAGTAGGCAATCTAGCATCATTTAAATCCACAAACTGAGCCACGCCTTGCTCAACCAATACCCAGGCTTCTTCTGGTAGTAAAAGCAGTGGTGGCCCAAGGAATACATTCTGCTGCTGTATCCCTGGCAGTGTGCCTACAAGTATTCCTGATATATGGTACTCCACTCTAAGCCTAGCAATATCCCATACATTCCAAATATACGCTCGTTTGTTCGAAACCCCAATCTTTATTTTCATCGTTTTGAACAACAACGACCATGAAAATTATTGATAAAATTAGCCAGTCACGGGAGTCTAATGAGCCGTTCTTCAGCCTTGAGTTGTGTGTTCAGTCATTCCATTTCTATTCTCTTTCTCACTCCAGCTCAGCTTCCCTCCGAAAACTGAGCAGGTTCGTTGGCGTGTACTCGAAAAATCCCCTCTAATTCCTTAAAAGGGCTTCGTTAACCTTAAATCTCGTCTTCAACGACTCTCTCTCCTCAATCCTGGCTTCATTTCCGTCACTTGGGGCGCCGGTGGCAGTACTGACGAGCGATCCCTCGAATTAGCCGCAACCGCTCGATCCTTAGGCTTAGATGTTCTCTTGCACCTCACTTGCACTAATATGCACAAAACTCGCATCGATTCCGCTCTCGATAGAGCCAAACAGCTCGGAATTGATAACATTCTCGCCCTTAGAGGTGACCCTCCACGAGGCCATGAGTATTGGATTGAGACTGATGCAGCTTTCCGCCATTCCTCAGACCTCGTTCATTACATCAGACAAAGACACGGCGATTCGTTTTGTATCGGTGTAGCTGCTTATCCAGAGTGTCATAAAGACTCCTCCAGCGCTGCACAGGATCTCAATTATCTCAAACTCAAACAAGATCTAGGCGCTGATTTCATCATCACTCAACTCTTCTACGATAGCGATGCTTTCCTCAATTGGCTTGACAAGTGCGCGACGAATGGTATCGAAATCCCAATCATACCCGGTATTATGCCTATACAAAACGTACCAAGTTTGCGCAGATTGGCTAACCTCTGTGGCGCGCATATCCCATCTGTAATCTCGGATCACTTGGAACCTATCAAGGTGCGTGCTGTAATACTAAAGTATTCATTTAGCAGCTAACACATACAAAGAATGACGATGCTTTGGTTAAGGATTACGGTGTTGAGCTGTCGACATCGATGGTGCGCCAACTGATCGATAAAACTAACAGCGAGAAAGATAAATACCGTCATTTGAGTCTACACGCCACACATTTCTGCACTCTTAATCTTGAAAAGAGTGTGAGGAGAATACTAGCCAATCTTGGTTGGTCCGCTGGACTCGACTCTTCTAGTTTAGAACCTAACGGTCTCACAAACAAGAATTCTGATGCCTTGGAACGGGCACGCCTCGGAAACAGACTGGTAGCAGAGGTGAGTTGGTCGTGGCAACCTATTTCTTAATGACAAAGTGATAAACTGACAAAAATCAAGAATGGCAGCACAGGTCACGATACATCGGGAGCTCCACCACAACTGAGCATAACAGCTCATGAAGCAGCAGTGAGGGCGCTGCACGCACTTAAACACCATCCACCATCTGAAGACTCAGGTTTGCCGTCTTCCAACAAGACATCATCTGGTGGTAATAGTCTATGGGACGAATTTCCAAATGGTCGTTATGGTGATATCAGATCACCGGCTTATGGTGAATTAGATGGATGGGGTGCATCACTCAAAACGTCCTCCCAAAACGCTCTCAGACAGTGGGGTTATCCACTACAAACAAGTGATATTAATGAAATATTCAAGAAATACATCAATGGCGATATATCATGTCTGCCTTGGTTTGAGGAGAATCTCGATCCCGAGTCAAACTCTATCAAAGATTATTTGTTCAAATTGGCAGAAAAGGGTTGGTGGACCGTCGGTTCACAGCCTGCTGTCGATGCTATTGAATCTAGTGATGCTGTTTTTGGGTTTGGACCTAAGAATGGATGGATCTTCCAAAAAGCTTTCGTCGAATTTTGGGTACCTGACCATCAACTCGAACCGCTCTGTAAGAGATTGGATGGCTGGAAAGATGGTGGTTATTATGCAGGTAATGCCAAGGGAGAAATGAGAAGTAATTTTTATGAGGATACCATCAATGCTGTCACTTGGGGTATCTTTCCAGGTCAAGAAGTAGTCCAAACGACGATAATTGAAGATGTTTCATTCAACGCATGGAGGGTGGGTTATGATATATTGTAAAGATCTCAGCTGAAGATTTTCTGCAGGAGGAAGCATTCGACATTTGGCTTGAATGGTCAATGCTCTACAGCCCCAAGAGCGCAAGCCAACAGCTAATGAAGAATGTACATGATAATTACTGGCTGGTGAGTGTCGTGCATCACGACTACAAGGATACATATGGATTATGGGATTTCTTGCTATCATAAAGATAATATTGTAACAATAAATAGAACAACTTTGGTAATTATGTAACGCAAAAGTGCAGTGTGTTTACTAGCTGCTGTACTGATTTTCAATAATCTCTCCAACTAAGGTGGCAGATTTCGGTTCTATGTCTTGAGCGATAGCGAAATGCCTAGCGGCACCAGCAGCGTTACCGAGACGGCGATAGACACGACCGAGGAGGAGATGAACGTTGACTTCATCAGGTGCTGCATCCTTCAAGAAGAGGAGATCAGGGAGTGCTAGCTGAGGGTGATTTTAATTATGATACTTTTAGTAGCAGCAACACTACACACCTGGAACTTGTTCATCAAAAAGAGTATATGAGCGCGTTTGTATCTCGCCAGAGCGCTATTCTCTTGTAGCTTGCAAGCCTTATTATAAGCGTGATATGCGGCATCAAGAAGATCAATTCTGTCTCTATCAGCGATCCCTTTCTCAATAGCGGATCCCACTGAGCAGAGGAGAACGACATTTGAGGGGTTAATATCGGTAGCTTTCTTGAAGTGGTATTCCGATAGCGTCGTCTTGCCTTGGTTGAGATAGACGATACCTAAGCCATACCAAGCGTTATACATGCGTCTATCGATGCGTATAGCAGTCTGGAACCACTGTGCAGCATTATCCCACTCCTCTTTAGCAATGCATTCGTGTCCGGCGAGTACATTACTGTATGCGGAGAGGGGTGCTACTGCAGCAGCGCGAGTGAAAGCGACGAGAGCATCAGCGTGTTCATTCGATAATGACAGTGCATTCCCGAGAGCGATCCACGACTGACACGATTTCTTATCGACACGGACGAGATCGTGCGCCAGAAAAGCGAGCGACGTAGGCCGGTTAAGATGCCACAGCACCGTCGAGTAGATATCCATATCCTCACTTCTATGCGGAGCTAGTGCGCGCGCCGCTGCGAATGCCCGCTCGGACTGTTGTGAGTGGTGAGTGGCAAGTAGTAATAAACGCACGTTTCACACACCTTAATGTAGTCAGCACATTCAAAATACGCCCGGCCCAGCCAGCATAGAGTCGTGGGTGTGCGCGCGGGCCCGCTACCGACGTGTGTGCCGTATGCACCCGCACCAAGATCAGGACCGAGAAGCGCATTCAGCGTTGATATCGCCTCGTGGCTACGGTAAGCACCTAGTGCCGCGCGCGCAGTCGCGAGCGTACGTAATAGCTCGTTTAGCTGCTCCTCCCCCTCCCTCGCATTCTCGCCTGCTTGTTTGGTAGTGTTGCTTACGCCGTTACTGTCGCCATTGCTCTGGCTTTGGCTCTGACTCTGACTCTGGCTAGAGTGCCCAGTCGCACGCGACATCTTGCTCGCAGCTAATGGTGATGGCTTCTTCCGCTTGTCGCGCGCGGGCGGCTGTAATTGGTGAGATACTCACATCGCTCGGCAACCCCATGACTAACCTTGGATATACCAACTTTGGAGGTAAAGTTGGCTAGTCTGTTACTTCGTCTCGCCTGTGCTAGTGTGTCGGGTGTTTGTTTGGCTGGCTGTGTAGTTGGGTGAGTGATTATGCGTCGTTGCAACTAGCACGCTCCCACCTTCTTTGTTATGGGTCTGAGACTTGATTGGAGGAGACTTTGCTTTTGGGTGGCACGTGGACGCTTTGGGAGAACTGATGGGGGGAGAGCGAAGCTGTCGTCGTCAGTGAAAGTGTTGTTCTGAGTGCTGGGTGGAGTTAGTGAGTAGAAAGAGATGAATCACAACGAACATTGGATTGGTAGGGGTGTCGATGGATAACGTAGGTGGACGAAATTTGGCTACTGGGCGAGGAGCCATATCCGGAGTGAAGAGGCCGACGTCGGAAAATGAGGTAGAGTGCCGCAGAGAGGGTTGTTGGTAAGGTTGTGAGGGTACTTGTGAGGGATTTGATAATAGAAGAGTTGGATTTGGATTAGCTCCCAACGCGCAAAGAGCATCAAAAGCCTCCCAAAGAGAATGATCAAGGGAGAGAGCTTGATTGAAGTAATCAATAGCGGACTTGTGGTTGTTTGTAGATTTAGCGATTCTGCCTAACCTACAGGCAGTAGCAGCGGTAGAAGAAGCAGTACCAATGGATAGAGAAGGAGAGAGAAGAAGCGTGTTTCGATCAAGTAAGGCGTGTGCTTGCTTAGCAGCTTTCATAGCGTCCAAGTGAATATTTAGTTTTTCTGAAACCTCAGCGAGGAGTAACCAAGACTTAACGTCGTGTTGGATTTCATCGTAGTTTTCGATGAGAAGGTCGTAGCATTCGATGAATCTGGAAGAGTTGAGTAGAGTGAAAGCCAAAGAGTAGATTGAGGTCGTGGATTTGTTGATTGAGTAGAGTAGACTAGAGTAGAAATAGGCTGATTCGATGAGTGAGTGGCTACACGTGTATTCTATAAGGTTGATTAAATTTTCAATCATTATCAAATTAAGACAAAGTGAAAAGAAATAAAACGCGTGAATTTGATTGAGTGATGGTGGAATGGGTTAAGGGTGAGATAGTGAGATGGAAAGCGGATAGACAAGGTGAGTGAATGAGGTAGATGTATATAAAGAGCCAGACGAAATTAAATTAAAATAATTTTATTCCAATTTTAATTTAAATTACTTTCTAGTGGTGTGGATTATCCCGCCGTCATCGAGCCTTGTTTAGTCTCTACAAGGTTTGAGACGTAAGTTGGGAATAAAAATAAAAAAATCTAAATTCTAAATATCTTGATAGAATCATGGATAGCAATATTCTCAGTATGGACCTCCGCGTTGGCGGTAAGTATAGAATTGGTAAGAAAATAGGTTCAGGTTCATTTGGTGGGTGTTTATTAGGCTGATTATAATTTCCCTATCTAAGTTACGTCAAAGGTGATATCTATCTTGGTGTTAATATCATCTCTGGTGAAGAGGTGGCTATCAAATTAGAATCCATCAAGGCAAAGCACCCACAGCTTGAGTATGAGGTGGGTTTGGTGTGCTTTATAGGCATTTACACATGTCTGATTACAACCAATCACAGGCGAAAGTATACAAAACTCTTGCTGGCGGTGTTGGTGTCCCTTTCGTACGTTGGTTTGGTAGAGAATGCGATTACAATGCAATGGTTAGTTGGAATTATCCCAATCAATTTCAAGTTCCCCTAACACATCTCTATCAAGGTCATTGACCTCCTCGGTCCCTCCCTTGAAGACCTTTTCAACTTCTGTAATCGCCGTTTCACCTTGAAAACCGTTTTACTCCTCGCAGATCAACTAATTTCACGCATTGAATACATTCACAGCGTGAGTTTAATCTTACTCCTCCTACTCAACTCTCTTACCTTGAATTAAAAGCGCAATTTCATCCACCGTGACATCAAACCTGATAATTTTCTTATGGGCATCGCTAAAAGAGGAAACCAAGTTAACATCATCGATTTCGGTTTAGCTAAGAAGTATAGAGACCCAAAAACTCATTTACACATACCTTATCGTGAGAATAAGAACCTCACTGGTACTGCACGTTACACTTCCATCAATACTCACTTGGGCGTAGAGCAATCTAGACGTGATGATCTAGAATCCTTAGGGTACGTTTTCATGTACTTCTTACGTGGTCAATTACCTTGGCAAGGTCTCAAAGCTACCACAAAGAAGCAAAAATATGATAGAATTATGGAGAAAAAGATGGTTAGCTCAACTGAAGTTTTATGTCGCGGTTTCCCTCATGAGTTTGCTATCTACCTCAATTACACTAGATCTTTACGGTTCGACGATAAGCCTGATTACTCTTACTTGAGAAGGTTATTCAGAGACTTATTCATTAGGCAAGGCTTCCAATACGATTATGTTTTCGATTGGTCTGTTCAACAGAGATACGATGATAGACGTAAACAAGCTCCTGAAGAGGCTACCACTCAAGCTGCCACAGGTGCTCAAACTCCTGCTGCTGCTGCAGCTAACCCCTCAGCTCAACCCGCTGTTAAACAATCTGACAGAGTTTTGAGATCATCAACTCGTCATGCAGATGGTCAGCCACAACCACAAGCAGGACCTTCTGGATCTAGACAAGCATGGTATTAAATTCATTACTCTGAACAATCCAATTTCAACACTTGAACAAATCTATCTACTCACTTGACTCTTCAATAATCAAACTTCAACGCTGTTTAGGCTCTCTATTTACTCTTGACTTTGTTATATCAAGCTTCTTCCAATTCATAGTAGTTTATAACTTTAATAGTGGTGTGCTGTGGGAGTATTTGTGTGTTGCGTGTGCTGTGCGTGTGTGTTGAACTACACACACCTCCTTCTCAACAACCATCATCATGTTTGGTTTAGCAAGTCAGTAGCTGATTTATTTCAACCGCTTCAATTAACGCGCTCCAAGAACTCACGCATTACGCATTCGATGCTGTGCTCATCTCAATCGTCCTAGCAGGCGTGAAAAGATCGACTGGGTTAACGTGAGTACATATTTTACACCAAATAATTTACTTAGGCAAACCAAGACTGGCTTTGAAGAGGGTGAAGAATAAGGATGCCAGAGGTGAGTACTGTCTCCGCTCACTTGATATCTCACAATCCAGCAGGCATTATCAAATCCTGGCTGAATATTGGAGAGTATTGCTTCGACGCTGCTGTGATCATGATGCAGCGATCAAATTCATTCATAAGAGATGCTTAAGAGCATTTACAGCGGATCAAATCCATTTAAGTTATCTTGTACTTGTAATTCTCGTGTATCAATCTACTTTCTATTTTCGTTTGCTACGCTTGAGAATCATGTAATGTTTGTACGTCTATTCACAGCCAAAAGAGACTAAATTTGTTTACAAAATGGGTATTATATTGATATTAAATACTCAAAACACCATATCCATCTTTCAAATTTCTAATCACACGCGTTCCCAGTTGTGCTTGTGAATCGATACGGCGCAGTGGCGACGGAGCTGCAGTTGCAGATCAAATAGCGCGTTTTACATGAGAATAATCACATATATTCATCTCCAGCAACGCCTTGGCTCTTGTCTTGCTATTACGCCCACATTCCTCCTTCTTATCAACCATCATTTTCTCATCTCAATGTACCGCGGGAAACCAGTCGATAATCCAGGCGAGCCTTCGTCGTCAACATCGTCTACAGGCAGCGCATCCGGCGCTCCATCGTCCTCAGCCCTCTCCAAGCCTTTCAAAGTCCCGACAGTCTCTTCAGACAGACTTCGATCAGCAGCTCCAAAGCGCGTTGCGAAGAAGCGAGTGTCATACAAGGAAGACGACTTGAAAGAAAATCGCAAAAGGGGCAGAACTGATGACGCATATGAGGATGATAGCGGCGTCGATAGGGAATTAGGTTTCGACCTCAAGACACTCTATCCAGTATACCAAGTACGCTCAGCGAGTGCCGTACTAGGACGGGGATTCAGAATACCTTCGATCAAGGATAAATCGACGGGCGAGCAAGTGGTTGTACCGCTGTCGGGCGTCGCGTTGGGCACGCGCATACAACCTCCCATGCCACCCAGGCCTCTACATGATCCTATGGGCGAGCATGCTATTGTGCTCTATGATCCTACTGTGGATTTTGTCGAGGAGGTGAAGGATGAAAGTGAGAGTGTGGCCCCCGCTGAACCTCCTAAGCCTGTCGATAGGCGCAATCGCTCCGTTAAGGAAATACTCGGTATCAAAAATAGAGACGAGCTCGAGAAGGAGGTCCAGCAGGTGCCCGTCGTCATTGATCCTAGACTATCGAAAGTATTACGGCCCCACCAAGTTGAAGGTGTCAAGGTGAGACTCGTGGTGAATCGACACCATTCGCACAGCTGACACCTTCTTCAGTTTTTGTACAGATGTACCACTGGTCTCGTGTCGCCGAGCGCTCATGGTTGCATCATGGCAGATGAAATGGGTTTAGGTGGGTGATACACTCTCGTCGTCTTATCATTCACTAACTTTTACTTTCAGGTAAAACAGTACGTATTGATTTTTATTGATATATCACACTCTGACGACGCTTAACAGCTTCAGTGTATCGCTCTGCTCTGGACTCTGCTCAAGCAGTCACCCCGTCCTGGGAGGCCGACAGTGGATAAGTGCATCATCGTATGTCCAAGCTCGCTTGTGCGAAATTGGGCGAACGAATTTACAAAATGGCTCGGTCCAAATCAAGTTGGATGTTTAGTTGTCGATCACAAAGGCACAAAGGAGCAACTGCACAACGAAGTCAAGCAATGGTGTATGGCATCGGGAAGGAGTGTTACTCTACCAGGTTGGTGGTTTGTTTATCTATCCATCGCATATCATACTGATAAGCTGCAGTCATGATCGTATCGTATGAGACTCTCCGAACACTTCAAAGTGTAATTGGTAAAGCGCAAGTTGGTTTAATGATGCTCGACGAAGGTCACAGATTGAAGAATTCAGAATCGACTACATTTAAGACACTCACTGAGATACAGTGTACACGGCGAGTCATTCTCTCAGGTACACCCATACAGAATGACCTATCAGAGTACTTCTCGTTGCTTCAATTCGCTAATCCTGACTACCTCGGTAATAAGAATGAGTTTAGGAAGAACTTTGAAAATATCATTTTGAGAGGTCGCGATGCCCTCGCAACAGATAAGGAAAAGCAGATGAGTGAGGAGAAGCTGAAGGAACTTAATGGATTAGTCAGTAAATTCATTATACGGCGTACAAACGACATTCTTTCAAAGTTCTTACCAGTCAAGTATGAGCATGTGGTATTCACGGGAATGTCACCACTGCAGTTGGAGCTGTACAAATTCTTTATCAACTCTCCTGAAACACAAACCATGCTGAAAGGAAAAACATCAAGACCACTGAAAGCCATAACGATTCTCAAGAAGCTGTGTAATCATCCAGATCTGGTTAGCATTAAGGATGATATACCGGGCTCTAAGAATCTTCTACCTCCTGATTATGTTGCAGAGAGATTGGATAAAAACCTGCCACCAAATCCTTCATGGAGTGGCAAAATGATGGTCTTGATGAGGTTGGTAATTGGGTGTTGCAGACGTAATAAACTCTAATATCACTATAGATTTATACAACGCATGCGTGCAAACTCTGACGACAAGATTGTCTTGGTTAGCAATTATACCCAGACGCTCGATCTACTCGAGAAGCTCTTCATGGCACTAAGGTACGTTGTAAGTGATAATGTGGGTAAATAATCTCATGTTTCTTCAGGTGGTCATTCCTACGTTTAGACGGAACAGCTGCAGTTTCTAAGCGTGCAAAGCTGGTCGACAGATTCAATCAGCCAGATTCAAGGGAGTTCATCTTCCTCCTCTCCTCTAAAGCTGGTGGATGTGGATTGAATCTGATAGGTGCAAACAGACTGATATTGTTTGATCCAGGTTGGTTAGGTGTCGAGCTCAAGGTGAAAACTAACGCGACCTAACAGACTGGAATCCAGCTGCAGATCAGCAAGCGCTTGCGAGAGTGTGGCGTGATGGACAGAAGAAAGAATGCTTTGTGTATAGGTTCATCGGTACAGGTACGCTAGAAGAGCAAGTCCTGATGAGACAGGCATACAAGCAGTCGCTGTCGGCGTGTGTAGTGGATGAAGCCGAAGACGCCGATCGACACTTCTCCAAGGACTTGCTGAGGGAGATATTCAAGCATTACCCAGATACGCCTAGTCACATGCACGATACGTTCAAGTGTAAGCGTTGTGATGCAGAGACGGGGAAGCAGAAAGTAAAAGCGCCTGCATTGTTATATGGAGATGTTAGCACGTAAGTGGATAGATAGAGTAAGATTAAGACAAGGTCTAATAAGACACAACAGGTGGAACCACTATTCAAACGCGTGCCTGGAGAATATTCACGATGATTTGCTCAGGGCAGAAACTGGAGTGGGTGATGTAACCAAAGTTTTCCAAGTGAGTTTTTTACGGATTAGGAAAAGGAAAAGACTAATAGAATTACAATCACAGTATATAAGTCATTAGGATTGAATAAAAATTTTGATATTTATTTATAGCATCGATTGCTTTGTACTATTAGTCACAAATTAACCCATCAAGCGTCATTTGAGTTGATCAAAATACCTTTACCCCGAACTTATTATGTTTAGATTTTCGTCAATCCCCACTCGTTCTTGAAGGCATTTTCTTTCTTCTCCTTGTATGATTTTAGTGCGTTCCTGGTTCTTTTGCTGATCACTACAATATCTTGGGCGTAGAGCAATTACATATGCTCATTCTCGCGCTATTTTTTCATCATAGCGAGCATTTCTTAGAATTGAGCGTTTGAAGCCATTCGCAAGATATATTATAGTGTCATTATCCACCAAATGGCTCTCCTGTATAAATTACTTCTGTTAGATAATTACTTGTGGTTGCGACTGGTCGGCATTCGACCCGTTTATCGCCTGTAGCCTCGATTCTTTCTCAGGAGTCAAACACAGACCTAACCTAGTTTAATACTGTGTCTTATCTACATACTGCATTCATACTTGTTTCCTCGTTGACAAAATTTTCTCATTTCATTCAGAATCTGTGAGATATCGTCGCTTAGTCGAAAATTTTCACCTCAGCCACTATTGAAAAAGAGCTCGTTCAAATTTCTTTCCTTGGTCGAAATTATTTTTCGTCCGCCCCGGAACTCATTTTAGGGTTTCGCTGAATTTAGCTTACGCTTCGTTGTACCATTACCACCACAAAACACAGCAAATAGCGAGTTGATGGCTACTCAGCCACAGCCAGATAAGAAAACTTCAAAATTCAGCAAATTATTTGATAAGAAGGATAAGGATAAGGATAAGGATAAGGATAAGGAGCAGGTGCAGTCTTCTGCGGGCTCAGAGCACTCGCAGCATTCACAGCAACCACAGCAACCAGCTTCACGGCCACCATCACGGCCACCTTCAAGGCAACAGGCAAAGAGGGCAAACAGCGAAACCAACAGTGACGGTGGCAGTAAACTCAGTCACGCCCTGTTAGATTTATTACCCGCGCCACTTAATAGAAAATCATCAGCATCTTCACACAATAAGGATAAGGATGATCATAATTCAACAGCTTCTTTGGGTAAGAAGTACGGCGTTTGTGATAAGATCGCTATCGGCAGAGGCGCAACTGCTGTTGTTCGATTGGCCCATCGTTGGGATAGATCAGACGAAAAATTATTTGCTGTTAAAGAATTCAGAAAGAGGCGTAAAAATGAAACTGAGAAGGAATACGTTAAGAAGCTCACTTCAGAGTTTTGCATTTCATCCACTTTACATCATAATAACATCATTGAGACAGTAGATTTAGTTAAAGATGAGAATAGCCATTGGTGTGAAGTTATGGAGTATTGTCCTGGTGGTGACTTGTACGCTGCTATCAAGAAAGGTCAACTTGGTGATAGACTTGCTATGGGTTTCTTTAAGCAAATTCTATCCGGAATTAGTTATTTACACTCTATGGGTGTCGCTCATAGGGATATTAAGCCTGAGAATTTGTTACTTGATGGTAGAGGTTCTGTTAAGGTGAGCAGACTAACAAAACTCACATCTCACATCTCACACTCGACAGATTACAGACTTTGGTGTCTCAGATGTATTTAGAATGTGCTGGGAGAAGAAGACACACATGTCAAAAGGTCTATGTGGGTCAGAGCCTTACATAGCACCAGAGCTATTCGAACAGAAAGAGTACGATGCTAGATTAGTTGATATTTGGTCAGCAGCTATCGTATTCTACTGCATGACCAATCAAGAGTTGCCATGGCGAGTTGCTAGAATCGCTGATCCAACTTTCTCACAATATGAGCAAACATGGAAGAGACCACCAAAGTTGACAGAGTTACATCCAATCAAGGAGTTCCCACGAGAATCTCATCAAATTATATTAAAAATGTTAGCACCAAATCCAAAAGATAGGTGTCTGATTGAGGAGGTTTTGAAGGACGATTGGGTCAAGTCGATTAAAACTCATCAACATGGTGGTAGCAGAGATGAATATGGTAGCTAGCACATGTACATTGTAGTTGCATCACTCCAAGCTCCTTTTTCTTTCATTTCCTTTTCACATGGGTTACTTACTCTATATAAATTGGCATTCAACACAAGCTCAACAAGGTAGCAAAGTAGATAAAACACTATACATACGCTCAACACAGTATATACGACACTTTCAGGCATTTCAATTTGGCAATTAGGCTAACAGACTATTTGTAAATATACCAACATAAAAATTTCAACTTTTCTATAACATGATAACATAACATTCTAATAGAATAATTTAGTGAATGACAATACGAATGCAGTTCCTATGATGAGGATGATTTGACGACGTTTCGAGAGTGTGGTTAGGGTGGTGTCTGGTATGGGTGATTTGTTGAGTGGTAGGGAGGAATGAGAGGAATGAGAGGAATTTGGGGTGACAAAAGCGACAACGATTCCGACAAAATATGTAGATACCTCGTTAATCTTGATTGAGAGTGGGATAAACAAGGCCAAACCAGCAGCGAAATTGAGCAGTTTGTTTGAGTAAGGGAGTAGTACGAGTGTACCTTTTGAATCACCAGCCAAAAGGAGGTGAAATTGCAATACAAACAGCTCCAAACTGCATCTACCAAGCTGAGCGAGGAGGGTGGAGTGATGAGAGCGAGCAGCGTTAGAGCAATTCCTCAACACCAAACAACCCATTACGACAATGGGGGAGATGAAGGTGTGATATTGGTTGTAGGTGTACTTGATGGGAGTAACAAGCGTATCTAGCACAATCATCATCACCACTACTACAGCGGATATCGAAATGGTGGTAGTGTTGATCCACCGATGCGTCTGCGTGTTTTCGGAATGGTGAATTAGGACAGCCACTAATGCACCTGTGAATGGCGCCAAGATATCCAAATTAAGTCTGAATTTGTATTCGTAGGGTATAGCGCTATTCAAGTAGGGTATGTTCAAAGCAGCCAACGAAAGCGCGAGAGATATCAGCAGTTTGATGGAGACAAGTTTTGGGTTAGAGTTGAAATGCGAGTAAGAGTAGAAGGTAATCCAGAGAACTGTATACCAAATGGTGACGATGGGGATAAAGTAGTAAGTGATGTACTGTACGTCGAGGACATGACACAAAACCGCAGTGAGGATATTATACCGTGTCATTACTGCAATGTAACGCGGGATTGTGGGTTGGTTGTTTTTGAGGAAATACATACTATTCCCGTAGCCTTGGAGGAGGAGATATGAAGCAACGAGGATGCGCACGGGGATGTAGAACTGTGGGTGTTTAGACCCGTTGAAGTAGTGGTAGATGAGTATAACAAGCTGCATCGCCCCTTTTAATTCATCCGTCTGGGCACGATTTAGCACACCCGTGTTGTCTTGATTTCGCGTGGCGGTCTTGTAGCCCACTCCACCGACCATGAGAAGCAGGGGGAGTACAGCTAATAGGGAGAACTGCTTAGGGGATTTCGTGAAAATATGCGATCTGTCTGTGAGATAAGCGAGGAGGAGTACAGCAGCAAAGATGGACGATTGTGTGAGGAGGTATTGACGCGGGTGATCGGGTTTGAATGCCGCTTGTACCACTTTGGCGGCGGCAACAAGGACGAGGAAAGTGAGACACAAAAATTGCATCGGTCGCGGTGAAGGGTACGGTCTGCAGCAAGAGACGTTGTTGGATGGTGTGAGATCGTTGCACCAGTAGTTGAGTAGGAGCTGTGTAGCGTGGTGCAACGCTTTGGGGGAGTAATGGAGACCATCGGTGGTCTCGTTGGGGGATGCGCTGACTATGTCATTCAGCGCGAAAGGTATGGGGATCGTGCGGCGTACACTGAGATCGGCATTCATTGCGTCGACATCGTCGTCAGTTATTGTTAGGCTGCGTTCGGAAGACAGCTTGTTGATTTCCGGGTGGAGGACAGGGAGGAGGAGGGAGTTGTAGGGGAGGGTGCGGGTGTAGACGGAGTCCACGGTGGCTGACCAGGACTGGATATCGACGTAGCGGAGGTACCAGAGACCTGTGCCGAGTACGGTAAAGGTATTCCGAGGGAGTGTGTCCAAGTCGGTGGAATTGAGGTATGGATCCCATTTAAAGTGGATAGAAAGTGCGCGTGCACTGTCGCCGCTAGATTTGTCCGCGTGTTTCGCCACAGAAGGGTTTCTAAGTGAGAGAAAAAGAGCTAAATTGTCGTATAATTGGCGTGTGGTGCTGTCACCGATGAAAGCGACTTGCTCACCACTCAAACACTGCTCAGCGGATAGACGAGAGTGAGTGGCTGGAAGGCAGTTTTCAGTGTACAATCCACGCTCTAAATGAGTATCAGTGAGCAGCTCGTTGCAATGTTGTTTATCGTCTGAGGGGTGTTAGGGGGAAATTGCGTGCTGTACCCCAGACACACCGTTTATCGAGTAAATGAGTATGCTGAGGGTTATTAGTACGCAGATTGATGCCGATAACAATTTGTGCATCGAGAGGGACGTCGTGGGAGTCATAGCATACGGAAATTTGGGCATATAACACATTTTAGTACAACAAATTGGATATAATAAAGCGTACGTGATAGGTCCACGTAAAGTAGCCATCTTGGCTGTGGACACGCGTCTGCCCTAATGGTTGATGGGGCTATTAGCCGGCAAGATAAGTGATCGACTATGGTGTCAAGTACACCCACTGTGCTTGACGAGTGGAGTTGCAAATAGGGGCTCCGCCTACTCGCCCCGTCTAGAATCAAGTAAATTGTAAATTAAAACCTTAAAAGCTTAATTAAATTAATGCCCTGGAAATATTGCATAGAATTGGTCCCGTAGGTAGGTGCACGACGGGAGTCAGGCGGAGCTAGCGTGAATATACTTGGACCACATAGACCACGGCGATTACAAGGATTTACCCTTTATAATCACCCACATCACCCAAATCACATGCACACACACCCACGGTCACCGACGCAGGGAGTGCAGGGATAGCTGCACAACGAGAGCGAGGTGCAGTGTGCAGTGTTCCAAGCTTATGCAGCGCCCACACCGACTATATAATCGATTATAACGTTTGTATCGCCATTTCTAGGGTCCTCGCGTCGCACTATTGTAGGGATGTGAATTAAGCTCGGCACGCGAACACGTAAATTCAAAATAAGCGGTGCCTAGAAGGGAGTATCTTTAATCTGAGACGGTCATAGAGAGCAACATTAGTGAAACAAGAATGCCTAATCGCGTACATGAGCTGTGGTGGGAGGAGAACAAGACACGAGTGTGGACGGTGGAGGTGGATAGCGGCAACTACGTAGCGCGGCGACAGGATAATGACCAGATAAACGGGACGAAGCTTCTCAACATAACGCGCATCACGCGGGGCAAGCGGGATGGAATCCTGAAGAACGAGAAGAGCAGGCAGGTGGTGAAGACGGGCACTATATCTCTCAAGGGCGTTTGGATACCACTGGACCGAGGCCTCGTGCTAGCGCGGCAGTTTGGGATTGAGCAGCTCGTCTATCCCCTTTTCGAAGCGAATGTGGGCGAGTATGTCGAGAACAGCGTCGTGAGCCAGCACGCTATCAAGAGGAAGTCACTGAACAGCTTGCATTTGGTGGATAACCTCACCACTAACAGCGAGTTGCCTGCGAGCAAAAGACGGTCTACGGTTAGCACGTATAGGCCTAATGGGCATGTGAATATGCAGCAAACACATGTACACCCAGCACACGCACACCCGCACCCACACTCCCTCCCCCACCCGCACTCTATCCTCATGAGCGGTAGTGTGAGTGGCAGCGGCAGTGGCGGCGCGAGTACACCGTCGCCTTACGTCGACTCGTTCGGATATGCCCCAGCTTATGAGCAGGGTCAAAACCAAGGTCAAGCACACGCGCACGAAGAAGCACCACAATACGCTGGCAGATCACGCAATACGTCGAGCGCGTCGGAGTGGATGACCAATTGGAGCGCGTCGTCAAGTAGCCCAATCCTCCCAGCCACACCAATCAACGGCACTTTCTCGCCGGTTATGAACACGTTCCAGTCACTCGCCATGCACTCACCCCCCGTGCCTATACCGAGCTATTACTACGACAGCAGCTCGTCTTATTTCCCAAGTTACCACCAGAAACAGCAGCAAGGGGAAAGAAGGGTCGGAATGAGTGGGGTGAATAGCATGGGTGGAGTGGGTGGAGTGAATAATATGAACCACCTCCCAAACACACTGCCACCCACTCTCCCAAATACACCGACGCAGTCTCACTTGAGTCCGAATAGTAATGAGTATATGCACATGGCCCAATAAAGCGGCGTCAATGAAAAGAAGATTGTATGAAATGTATGTTTATTATCACGTCAATCATGTCAGATGGAATTGATGATGGCCAACTTGCGTGAAATAGCGTGAGTTGGTTCGTTAGCGAGGTCATCTTGATAGTTGTGGAGGGGAGTTTCGAGAGCGTCTTTGGTAGCGATGGCGAGGAGAGAGTGAGAGTTAAAGTTTTCATGTGTAATGGAAGGTTCATGGTCTGTTGATTGAGGGTTGAGTTGAGTGAGGAAATGGATTCTCTGCTGCTGCATTTGGGTTGCCCACTCGAGGTCTTCAGGGAGGTCAATGTTCTCGTGCATCAACTCAGCGTCACTGAGTTGAACCAAGCGAGGACATCTGCCTGGGTGCTGCCTACTCCAGTCGTCGTCGAAAGGATTGGGATGGGATTGATCATCAGACACCTTGTGCAAGTAGTGGTATACAAGCCAGAGAAAGGCATTGGAGGCGAGGTGAGAGGGGATGTTGGATGGCCAGAGGAGGTTGTGGAGGGTAAAGCCGGAGTGGAGGTTGTCTCTGTTGATGGTTTGTGCCGAGTTGAAGAGAATAAAGATAAAGTTTGTGAGGGGAGTTGGGGGATGGATACCATTGATGAGCCTGAGTTGAACATCTTGTAAGGATACACAATTAGGATCGAGGGTGCCGTTCAAAACATTCTTAATCCTTGGGGAGTCACCAAGGAGAAAGTGAGACAGTCTTAGAGAGGGGATAGGATAAAAAACGCGTAAATTAGATCTGATTTGAGGTTGGAAGGTGAGGGTAGTGTTTAGTCTGCCAATATTTACTAAGAAAGAGGTATAAAGGTAGTGTAAAGTGAAAATTTTATTAGAATCTAATTTGTCCCTTAAGGATTTAGGAAGTTTGGGGGAGGATAGGAGGGAGTTTCTGTAGAGGGAGTGGAAGGAGGGATTGATGAAGATGGCTTGAATTGTATCAAAATTCAATATTTTTTTAGTGAGGATATTACCATCTGCCAGTTTAATCGAGCTGTTGGACATCACCAAGGAAGAAGGAAATGACAAAACTAAGGAATATATATAACCAGAATAAGTGTTTAGTGAGAATGTCCTGGAGGGATTCAAATCTGTATAATTTATTCAACCTCTCTTATGGTTTTAAGCAGTTGGATACAAAGTTCAATAAAACATCTGCGACTCTATTCCAGCAAAGATTTAAGGCTAAGAAGCTTGTCAGATCTTACCACGGGGATTATTTACAGGAGAATATTTTCAGAAAATGGTTTTTACCACAGCAGCTACCAATTATCACCAACAGCAAGAGCAATAGACAGGGACTGGCAAAGTGGAATAAGCAGCCGCAGACCCAATCACCATCCACTCCAGTTACCTCCCTCATGTTTGTTGAGTTGGAGAGACGCCTGGACCACCTCCTCTTCAGAAGCTGCATGGCTAGCTCCATCTACCAAGCCAGAAGCATCATCACTCAAGGGCACGTAACTCTTAATGGTTACAAGCACAATGATCCAAACACTCGCCTTGATCCTGGTGATTTGGTTGGGTGCAATCCACGCCTTGTTGCGACTTTGAGGAGTGAAAGTGGTGAAAAAGGGGGTGAAAATGAGGAGACTGAAGAAATTCAAGGAGGCGAGCTGAATGAGAAATCTGAAAACCCTCAGCAACCTCCTCAATCATCTCAATCACCCCTCCCCTTCCACCTCCCAAACTACGCTTCCCCTTTCCTCTTCATTCCTCCTTATATAGAACCCTCCTTCCAAACTTGCAGCTTCATTTACCTCCGCCACCCAACCGCACGCCCAGGCTACTCTGAAATTCCCTCTCCATACGCTGCAGACGGTGACGTAATGAAATTGGCTTGGGAGTGGTACGTTGGCAGACAGATTAGAGCGCGCAATCTCGGCAGCGGGCCGTGGGGTGGTCCACGTCGTCCTTCCGGTACCAAACGCGGCAAAGGTGAGGAGAGACGTGGTTAGATAGTTATAAAATTGAGTCAAATTTCCACTCTTTCCATTTATCCATATTATCAATGTTAGTGGTGTAATTGATGGTTTTACTACTATTATTATTGCTAAATGCTACATTACTCCTACATTCTATGCCAGATTACTTGTGAGATGACTCCTTCTAGTTGCCATGCCTGGCGAGAAACTCATTCACCTTGGACATATCCGCACTAGCATCACTCTCTACAGCCTCGAGTAACTCTCCTAACATCCCTTCGACTTGCTCTTCGGGAACGCCAGTGCATACGCTCACTATCGACTTGTATTTAACCTCCTTAGAGGCGCTGAGACCATCGATCGATGCGACACGCTCCTCTGTCAACTTCTGCGTGCCGTTCATCCACCGGTGAAGCTTTTGGAGATGGTGTAGTGTTTCAGGTGTGTCAGGTGTTTGTGCGCTGCTCGTCATGACGTCGGTCTCCCAAGGTGATTTGAGGTCTTCACTATTGTGCTCTGTATTTTTTGCACCCTCCACATCCTGTGTACTCTCACCTTTTAACGTCCACACTCCCACACCCTCATTCGCAATCGCCTCCTCAACATTCCTCACTTTCTGCTCAAGTTCCGCCCTCTGCGTCGCTTTGGTCTCCCAATAAGCTATCTCCTTACGCACATCGGCGAGTTCGTGAGAGTGCTGTTTAAGATCAGCCTGTATTTCGAAGAGGAGTTTGTTCTTCGCCGCCACCTCCACACCGAAGGAGCGGTCAAGGTCGCTTAGCACACCCTCCAATCTGCGCATGACGTGCGTGCTGCTATCGACGTGCACTGGCGGGGGTGGGTGGAGGTTAGCGAGCATTTCATCAGCGCTGGGATGGGTGTGGGATTGAGTGTTGGGATTAAATTGTGATACCTCCTGCGAGCTAGAGCTAGAAGTAGCGAGAGACTGGAAGAGAGCGTATGAGTGATAATCTTCAAAAACACCCCTACTCACCTCAACGACGCCGAAATCGCCCGCTTTCAAACCGAGTTTATTGGGAGTGGTAGTATTAGCACCAGCATCAACTAGCATCTGTACGAGATGGCGATTACCCACTCTGGCTGCGATATTGAGAGCCGTATCGCCATGCTCGTCTTGGACATCAACAAGGGATGAGTAATCGCCCTGTTCACACCTAGCGACATACTCGAGGAGCGTTTCCATATAGTAGCGCGCGCTGGCTGCACGCCCGGCTACTGCGCTGATGAGAGCGATGTGGTGGAGGACAGTTCGACGAGCGCGGTCGACGACGCGGATTGTGTCCGCGAGAAGATGGAGTAGCTGGGAGAAGGCACGTCGTTCGTAGCTGTCCACTACTAGCACGGATCGCTCGAGCGGTGTCTCACCTGCGATATTGCCGCGCGTTCCATCACACCGCTTTGACAGCAGGTGGCGTACTGTCGCTACGCGCCCCAGAGACGCTGCCCAGTGTAATGCCGTATGACCTAGCTCGTCTATTGCTAAATCTGGATGTAGCGCACCGTTGGTAGGGTCAAGAATAGCTATGCTGTCGGGGAGAGTGTCTGTAGGGGGAGCTTGGAAGAGGGAAGTGAGGGCGTGTTGGGTGCGCGTTAGGATCTGGGCGGAAGTCCCGGGCGGTGGTTGGTAAGGTTTCTTGTGGAGGGTTGGGTGCTTGGAGTTGGATGAGTGGGTGTGAGGGACCACCTCCTTCCTCCCCAAGCCGTCATCGTTGGGATCGTCTACACCGCCAACGTAAATGCCGCTGGTGCGTGCGTTGTGGAGGGAGAGGAGGCTATTGTGGTGCAAGGTTGAAGTAGGAGAGAGAGGAGAAGGAGTTTTGTGAGTCGAAGCAGGAGTTTGGGTGTGGGTAACGTCATTCTGCGCTCGGGCTCGCTTATTGGGACTCTTGGCTGTGCGGCCACCTGCACTGCTCACAGCTGCAGGATCGAAATCGAAAATGGGAGCTAGGAGGTGCTCGGATGAGTAGGCAGCAGCAAGCTCACGGCCTCTTTCAAAGGGAATCCAAGTGCCTTGGTATTTGCCGTAGCCGCCTTGGATCTTCTCGTGGAGACCAGCGAGGATTTCACGCTCGAGGATCTTTGTGCGTTTGCCCTTGTCGACGCCGGCCACTTTGAGAATTTGTGTGGCGTTCATGTAGCCATCAGCACGTCTGCGCATTACAGCTATACCGCGTATCATAGCTTCGTAGACCCCGACGCCCGAGTAGACAGCCGAGTAGATACGTGGAGCGGGTTTCGCGGGTTTCTTGGTGGATGGCGGATGGGGCGTGGTTGGGGAAGCGGGATTATTTAATTTATTCATCTCCATCTCCGCGTTGTCCATCTCCGAGATAATTGAAGATGGTCGTTGGTTACAAACAACGATGATTAAAAATCTGGGAAAAGCGAATTACGATTACAGCGCAGGCGATAGCGATGAGATGAGCGTGGCTGAAGGCGGATACCTGTTGATTCTCGATGACAGTGAGGCTGAGTGGGTACCATCTCTATTGCGCCCGACACCCACTCATCCAACCCAGATGGCTCCTATGCAAAGCCACCGACTCTGATCAATCAGGGCTCGTTCCTGGGAATTATTTGGAACTCGTTCAGCCATCTCTGACACTGAAAGCTGTGTATGAATACACCGCTAACAGCGACGACGAGTTGTCATTCGCAGAGGATGATTTGTTAGATATCTACAACCCAGTCGACGGCGACGATTGGTTGTTGGCTAGTAGACGCGCCGACACCCAATCTGGTTTGGGTTATATCCCTGCCAATTATACCCAAGAATGTAGCCCAGGACAGAGCACAGATGTTGCACCAGAAATCCCCACCGGAAACCCCCAAGAACACACCCCAGAAACACCCCACGAAACAACCCCCGAACCCCCGGTTTACCAGCCATCGGTCGCTGAACTCGGCCCTCCACCCGCGCATCCCTCCAGATCTTCCCAACCTTCCCAAAAGAGCAGCAACCAACAAGACCCCATCCAAACCTGGCCAATTACCTCCATCGACGCCAAGAAGAAGCGTAAGGGTACCCTCGGCATCGGAAACGCTGCTCTCTTCTTCTCCTCCGACAACGACAAGAACCCCGTCGAACAATTCTCCTTGTCTGACTTATCCACCTTCCACATCGACAAGAATCGTCTTTACGTCTCTTTCTCCACTCAATCCCTCGAATTCCTCGCTTCTGACCGCAAATTCATGCCCGAGATCGATCACAAGATACGCTACAGCTCCAATTTAATCAACAACAACCTCGACCTCGATGATGCTGTCGTTGACGGTGATAACCAAATCAACTCCGATAACTCCGATGACGAACCTCTTTCCAACAAGACATCAAAAGGCGTTCACTTTAAAGAAACCCCTCCATCTCCCATCGAAGCCCCTCAGTATTCTTCTGACGACAACGAAACTAGTACTCCCGACGATCCTCCCGCTATCGCTATCGCCCTGTACGACTTTGCAGCTGAATCCGATGACGAGCTGAGCGTTAAAGAGGGTGACCGTGTTCTCGTCCTCGACAGAGTATCCAGTCTCGACTGGTGGACATGCAAGCAACACATGAATGAAGGTGTCATTCCCGCCTCCTACTTGCGAATAATTGAGGAGAATGTGAGTGTGGACAAGTCATCAAGCCAGCCGACGTCGAAATCGCAACCCGAACACGAACAAAACCACGATCCCGAAGAAGAGGCTATGAAGAGGGTGATTGCCGAGACACACAAACGCAACGAAGCATCAACGCTCGCGATGGATGTCGCCCCTGCTCATCACCCGTCCCGCCATCAATCAAAGAATGACAGGCAGTCCAAGCAGGGCAAAGGAAGACAATCACCCACTCACAAACCTAAACCTAACCCCGCTAACCTCCGTCTGTGGCATGATAAAACGGGACAGTTTAAAGTTGACGCCGAGTTCCTCGGCTTGCGCGATCATAAATTACGCCTGCTCAAGGTTAATGGCGTCACTATAGAGGTACCCCGCGAGAAAATGTCCAAGCCCGATCTCGACTATATAGACGGGAAAGGGGGTGATAGTGGTAGTGGGAGTGACAGTGGGAGTGACAAGAGTGAAAGCGAGAGCGGAAGCGAAAACAAGAGACAGAGTAAAAGCAATACACGAAGGGCGCACAAAGTCAAACCAACACGACCAACCCAGCCATTCGATTGGTTTGATTTCTTCCTACAAGCCGGCTGCGGTGTAGATGAGTGTGACCGCTACGCACGCAATTTCGAGCGGGACAGGATGGATGAGGGAATATTACTAGACATCGATAGCAGCACGCTACGCACACTAGGGTTGAAAGAAGGGGATATCCTGCGCGTCAACAAGGCTATCTCGGCTCGACGTCTCGCTAGCGGTGACGGGGTTGTGAGTAAAGAGGAGCAAATACGACGCGATGAGGCGTATGCGCGCCAGCTTGAACAGGAGGCTGCACCTCCACCTAACCTCTTCGCTAGTGGTCCAGGAGGTGTACTTAAGAACACGCGTAGAGGTAGACCTACACCACGCTCTCCGGTGAATGACCAGATAGACGAGGGGAGTATTAGCGTGGCTAAGGAGTCACTGAGTAGTGGTAATGGTGGGGCTGGCAATTTGGGTCAAGATGTGAATCTGTTGGATCTGCACGATGCCAATGATGCAAATACTAATAATACTAGCAATAACAACAGCAACCCCAAGAGAAGCTCTTCGACTACCCCCCTCACAAGCGGCTTCGATGATGATGCCTGGACCGTGAGGGATAATGTGCAGAGCAAGATCGCCGACACACCTTCACCCATATCGGCCGAGACAATAACAAAGAATGAGAGTGTATCGCCGGTGCCAGCGTCAGCTACAGGAGCAGGAGGAGCCACAGAACCCACACAACCACTCCAGCCGCAACCAACCAATACCCTTAACACCCCACATAACCCCAACTCGATGGATAGCATCATGGCGAAAATCGCAGCGAACAAACAGGCGCAGAACGACGCAGCACACAAGGCGCAACAGGAAGCACAAGCTAGAGAGCTAGCGGAGCTGCGTGTGCAACAGGACAGATTACAGAACCAGCTGCAGGCGTTGCAGATGTCGCAGTCGCAGCAGCAGCAGGCGCAACCTCAACCCCAACAACCAATGCAAACAGGATTACCGATACCATCACACTTACCAGCACACATGCAAATGCAAGCTCCCGCCAAGGGCCCTGTTGCACCACTTCCTCAAAACCAGAGCCTGCTGCAGCCACTCATACCGACGAATACAGGGCTCAGTTTTAGACCCACCTCCACATCTGCATCCGCATCCGTATCACCGGGTTTGACGCCGCAGCAGACTGGACTCATGCCACAGCAGACGGGAATGCAGGGAATGCAGGGTATGCAGGGTATGCAATCACAGATGCAACCACAGATGCAGCCTCTCCACCCCCAACTTACATCCATGCAGGGATTCACTCAGCAGATGCAGCCCAAGCCGGGTTTGGCTAGCCCTGCCAGCCCAGTCACCTCACCTACATCCACTAGCTCAAACCAATACAACCCAAGCTCAGTCTTTGCAAGCATGCGTTCGGGGCAGTTTGACGCAGGCGGTGCAGGTAATACCCCTCCTCAACCAGCTCCCAGCGACCGCTATGATGCTCTCAGAGCCCAGCCGACGGGTGAGTGCGGCTGTCACACATCAACACATAGATATACTTACAATTAGAACAGGCATGGGCTACATGATGCCCCAGCAGACAGGATACATGAATAGCAGCTATAGACCATACTGAGTGGCGAGTGAAGAGAAAGAAAATGTAACGAAAGGAAAAGGATTGAATAAATAAGAAAACTACATCTAAAAACAAGGTAGTGTGTCATGAGCAGCGCCCACACCCAACGCTACACCTCTCAGCTTGTCATAGGCCGTGTCCAGTGAGTCGTTGACGATAACATGGTCAAATGCGCCAGTAGCGGCGTAATCGAGTTCACTTTTGGCAGCATCCAGTCTACTTTTCAGACTATCCTCACTCTCCGACCCCCTCTTAGCTAGCCTGCCTGCGAGTATATCGAGACTGGGAGGCGATACAAAGACAAAGGTGGGCTGGAGGTCACGATGGAGTGCCTTGATAGACCTCACGCCTTGCGCGTCTATGTCCAGAATACATCTCCGCTGCTGCTTGCCGACCTCTGCGACCGCTTTGGCGGAAGTACCGTAGAAGTTGTTGGAGAAGACGGCGTGCTCGATAAACGAACCCGAGTGAATCAGCTTCTGGAAGACATCCTTGTTGACAAAGTGGTAGCTCTGGCCGAGTGTCTCGCCGTCGCGCGGCTGGCGTGTCGTGTCTGCGTGATTGCATCAGGATGAGAATCACCGCGTGCAACTCGCATGTCACCCACGGCTAATCGAGAAACCAAAGTCGTTAGGGTACTCGTCGAATAGACGCCCCAGGAGCGTTGACTTCCCGCTCCCGGATGGCCCGCACAGGATGAGTGGTGAGAGTGGCACGCGCGCGCTTACGGATGCGCTCATTTGCGGACTGCCTCGTCTTGGTGGTTGGGGTTAGAGAGACCAAGTGATGATAGCAAACTTGTTAGGAATATCGCTCAAAGCGGACTTTAAACGGACTGTCAGGTCTTTTTGAAGGTCGGAGAGAGTTGAACGAGTGAGATAAATAGCGCAAATTATTTACAGGGAAAGGGTATACCCGCCTTACTATGGCCGCAAGACGCCGAAACGCAAGGAAAAGAGGAAAGGGGTGTGGTCCGCTTAAATATCGCAGCGGTGGTTGATAAGCTCGTGAATTGTGCCTTGTGTTTGTTGTGTTTCACGAACCGTCTACTCTCGTTCCTAGTCACGCGTCTAAAGACGTACACACACAAAATTGTACAAATGAAGGAATAGGATGTAATGTATGCATCTGGTGCGTTCCAGTTGGATCAGCGAATGGATCTTCTGCGTTCTTTGGCGTTTCCTCCATCCTTTGTTTCTGTTGTGCAAAAAATTTTGGTATAGACGAGCTCGATTGGCGGAATTTTGATTAGCTTGATTTGCTTGTAGGATTAGGTGGCTGTATGTGCTGTATAAGTTATGGTTTTCGCGGATTTAATGCACCAATCACAGCACCACTCCCGCAATAGTGATAGAGCTGCTTGAAACGGCTATAATGTGGGTTCTCCCCACACAGCGATTGCAGCACCGCTCTGAGTTTCTTCTTCACTTTGGCATCGTAGCTTGGATCAGATGCGATCAGCCGGAATTGTGCCTCAAGTACGCTGTCTGAGAGATCACCGCTTGAGACGCCGTCAGGTACGCAGCTAATGAATAACTAAGCGTGGTAATTTAGCAGCGGTAGACATAGGAGAAACCGGGAGAAATGAGGGGGAATAGAATAAAAAGGCTCAAATTGTTTAGAATGCTTATTTGATTGTCTTTATTACAAATTATCTGGACTGAGAATAGCCTCGTAACTCCCACTGAGATGGCTGAGCATATCCTGCGTTATCATACTGCGTCCACTGTCTGCGTATGTTCTGCGACTGCACTCGCGCGTGAATGCAGCTGCACCGTAAGCAGCGTACAGCTCTATGTCTTGGTGAGGCACTTGAATTTTTTTGTGGCTGGAAAGAGTGAGGAGAGTGAGCTGGTGAGATAAGATAACAACTCACCTGCCAATTCCATTCGCATATACCACACCCCACGCTAGCATTGTGCCTGTAGCACCACTAAGCACGTCACCTTGACCACCACAGCGTTTCAAGCTGCCGGGAGCATCAACAGTAAGAACATGTCTACCATTCGTGATGCAATCCACAGCGCCTTTCTGCAGCACTGTAACACCTCCCAGCTTCTGTGAGACTTGCTTGGCGACTTTACCATCTTCTAGTGCATCAACACCTTGATCAATACCCAGAACCCCACAAAGACGCTTCATTTCCATAACGTTGGGCGTGATAATAGCGTTGGGATAACCAGTCAGTGACTCTGGGTGGTTGTTGAGGTACCACAATCCATCTGCATCGATGACGAGGGGGATATTGCGGCTTCGTGCGGCGGAAATAGCAGCACCAGCGCAAGCCTGCATGTGCTCATCCCGCCCCAGGCCTGGACCTACAACAAGGACGTGCAATCGGGCGACGATGTCGTCGATTGCTGTGCGGATGTGCTCGATAGGGTCATCCTCTGCTAGTACCCTGTGCACTATCAAATCGGGTGCATATGTCTTGATCGCATCGCCTGCTTTTGGCTCGCAGATTATGTGGGCCAGGTCGACACCTATGCGCATCGCAGACATGGCACAGAAGAATGGCGCACCTGTGTAGTCCTTGCTGCCGCCAACGACGCCGAGTCTGCCTGAGGTGGTGTTTGTGGGTGTGTACATGCATACACGTATTCTACGCACCTGCTTGGCCTTTATGGAGAGAAGGGGAAAGCGGCGGTACTAATGCTCTGGCTAGTTGGATTGGTTTGGACATGATAGTATATAAGGCTATCGATTGGATATCCATTTGGTGATGTAATGTGAGTACATTTTGAGTTTTGTGGTTTTGAAAGGGTTCAGTGTATAGATTTAGTACTCCATATAATATGCATTCATTACACAAAGTGTTTTCAACGCTTGATTCAATTTCACCGCTTAAAATTCAACCAATCAGCGTTCGAGTAGACAAAGAAGACGGCGAAACTAGCGGTATAGAGAGTGCACAATTAGCAGCCACTCTGATACATCCAAGGACATGATCAAATACACAATACTCCTTCAACAGCAACAACCACGATGATAACACTAGGTGCGATTCGTTGTAGGCGTGTAGTCAGCCTGCCACGTGCACAGCGCCCGCGACTGCCACAGCTAGCACTCTACTCAACAAACCCTAAGGAAAGTACCTCACAAGCACAAAAACTAGACAGCGTCGTCCTCCCACCACCACGCGCTGATGCATCGCTGGCTGGTCGGTGGTGGCATAAGGGCAAGACTCTCGTTATCTTCTACTGGCGTGGCATCAAGCAGATATGGCTCAACCGCCAAGTTGTACGCCAAATAGAAGCCAGGCAACAGTCACACCCACTTACCCACAGAGAATTTCAACTAGTAAGCACCCATAAGAAGGATATAAAGAAATTAGTCCCTTTCGCTATCCTCTTTGTCCTCCTAGAAGAGATTATCCCCCTCATCGCATACCTCGCGCCTCAAGTCTTGCCTTCTACCGTCGTACTCCCATCGCAGAAGGTCTCAATCAGGAGGGCTGTCGAGCGCAGGCAGAAATCTGCTCTGGAAACCTACCGCAACGCCTACAATGAAGCCACTCGGCGACAATTGGAATCGGGGTTGAGTGGTGGTGTACACATGTCCCCTCACCAAGTCACTCTCTTTCTCAAACTACTCGACCTCTCTACCAAAGGTACTTCTTCCATGCGCCAGAAAAGACTAGAGAGGTACTTGGCCCATATATCCCAAGATGATGAGTGTATTCTCGGCCAGGAGGTGGAGAATATCAAAGCTACTGCATTTTTATCCGAAGGTGAAGTAAGTGATGCATGCAGCGCAAGAGGATTGTGAGTTGTTTGTACTGCCTGGCTGTTATACCTTTCTTACACGCCCCTCAGCCTCACATTAGACGTTAAAGACGAGGATCTCACCAAATTGCTCAACCAGTGGCTTCATCATCGCCATTCAGATAATATATATAAGCCATTACACCTAATCCTCAACCAGTCTGGTTACAGTAACGATCATCTTCACATTAAGGATACAAAGTGAAAAGTGAAAAAGTGAAAATAATTTGTTCCAGTTACATTAAAGAGATAAAAAGATATATTAAAAATCCAAGGTTTTGAAAGGTTTTGTGTCTTTCTATGATACATATATTCAATCAAGCAACCTCCTCCGCTTGGCTGCGCTGTTGTGTAGACTTGCGACAGGACTATCCCACTCATCCTCGCATTCGAGCATACGCTTCCCATGCGCTTTAGATGCTGATTGTGGTGTGAGTTGCGGGGCTGCTGTGTATTTGTATGTCGGTGTCTCATCGTTCTTGAGGCCATTAATACTGTCAACATCCTCTGAAATGCGCTGATTTGAAATCATTGGTGGTCTTCGCATTGGGCTTTTGAAAGTCCCTATTGATGGAGGATTTTCATTCTCGTCAACTACAGCGATAGAGTCATCGTCAGTCTCACTATCAGCCACGCTATCAGCCTCGTTATCGATCTGCGGGTGATCAAAGCTGGCATGTTGCTGTGGGCTGAGTGTTCCTGGAGTATTAAAAACACTATTATCACCCACATCCTCCTCTGCCTCTTCAAAGATAGTCCAGCTACCACTGACAGCCCCGGGATTCGGACTGCGTGGGGACGGCAGCGCTCCTTCTGAGAAACTGTTTGGTGTGCGCTGAAATATCCCCTCTATTGGCCTGCTACGTGCAAGTGGTGAGCTCCTGACTATCTTCCGCAGAGGTATCTCCTTTAAAGGTCGCCGTTGCATTTCAACGAAACAACACAGCGATTAAGTTTGTTCGTTAACTGACGTCGGAATGGAAATTTATTTTTAATTCAAACCCGCAAATTGAACTCCTTCGACGGAAAAAACAGTTCTCGACGGAACCGGTAGGTGCCTGGATGTGATTATAAACAGTGAACATTATAAACCATGTAAACGCGTTCATTGGTTAAATTCACGCGTTTTGTTACTCAGTAGACGCGTTTATCCCCGCACTTATTCCATTCACCTCAACAACCATGTCAATCTTGCGTCGTTTGAGGGGAGCCTCGAATAGAGCATCGAATAGAGAATCCAATAGAGCTGGAATGGGTAGTGACGCAGAGGTTTCCCAATTCAACACAGACGCCGCAGATACTCCACCCCCACCTGCTTATACGCCATACGATAACGGTCCAGTACAGCCACGTGCTACCTCCTCAGGCTACGCTCCACCCTCACACCCACCGCCACCACAAGCTGCTTGGCTCGATGACGCACTCCAACAGCTCAAAGGCAGGAGTGAAGATCCCTTACAATTCCTCTCACGATACGACACTTGCTTTCTCATCGATGATTCTGGTTCAATGGCAGGCGGTTTGTGGAAACAGGCTTTGTCTGCTTTAGCGGGGCTTCTGGAGATTGCCACCAAGTACGATCCAGATGGTGTTGATGTACTTTTCCTCAATAACCCAGCGGTTGCAAACAATGTAACAAACGTTAACACTCTCTACAACCTCTTTCACTCGGTCCAGCCATCTGGTTCTACACCCACTGGTACACGTCTAGAAGACATACTACTCAAATACCTTAACGATTATGAAAATAGCAACGGTACAGTGAGAGTGAGACCACTAAATGTCGTAGTCGTCACCGATGGCACTGCCGAAGATGACGTTGAATCGGTTATACTCACTGCTGCGCGAAGACTCGATCGGCTCAATGCGCCGCTTTCTCAAGTCGGTATACAATTTATACAGATCGGCGATGATCCATCTGCTACAGTGTGGCTACATGAGTTGGATGACGAGATACACAAAATTGGCGGTGGTTGTAGAGATTTGGTCGATACAACACCTGTAGTCGATGTTATCGATGGCGGCAAGGATGGCTTCGATGCTAAGTACCTCCTCAAAGCAATGCTAGGTGGGATTAATAAGAGACACGACCGAGTTGAAAATGTGCAACATTGATACGCGTCTTGTACATGTCCCCAATTTAGACTAAACATTCTTAACACACATACCAGAGGAATGGTATGAATAACCACCCAAAAAGAATTGAGATTGAGATATGTTATATTGTGCTATTACACAGCTAGACTGCACGTATTATACTCCAGTGTAACATTTAATATACCTATTGTGTAAGTGTTTTGGGTTTGAAAATCTTCAGCAATTAAACTAATATAGTTTACGACATTCCGCTGTTAAGATATTTAACGATCCAAGAAGACATTGCATTAGTACCACCAATATGGTAACGTACAATGGACAAATAATAAACAATTTAGACGCCGTGGTACTGTTTAAGGCAGTCGAGGCTAGCAAACTGCAATTATATAAGCGCAGACTGACTTCTTCTGAGCGAATGTCTATAAAATCTGGGGATATCTTTATTTGGGAGGAGTGTCAAGGCATGCAAAGATGGACAGACGGTAGAAGATGGGGTCCTTCGCGAGTACAAGGGGGATTCCTATGGTACAAGGAGATAGAAGCGAATGAGTCAGTGTAATTTTTAATGTAATAGCAAGGCTAACATAATTTACAGAGACACAGCACTCATCAAGCAAACATATTCGCTCCCACAATCTGTCTCAAACATGATACAAGAACCAAAATTGCATTTAGTTTGCTATACGAACGCAAATAATAACCTACAAAGGCCGAGCGATGATCCAACACTTGAACAATTCAAACATTCCACCGAATACACAACGCCTTCTGTGTTGACGTCATCAGCAGGACAACCTAATCGATCAGATCGACCAGAACCAATCAAGATACTCAATGACACGTCGTTCAGTCCACCACCTACACCACCGCATAGCTACAATACACCGATGATCTTCACAGACCCATTCCAATCCTCCGCCACAATTACGCCGCCTGTCTCAGCCACGAGGATGGACTTCATGGTTGAACAAGGGCGTAGGGCATCGCATCCACACACTCAGTCATCTAGCAGTGGCTCAGCGATCCAAGCAGGAGCATATGCAGCCACACTGGTTGGCAGAGGTGCTGCAAGACGAGGCAGCTCACCCTATCCATCACCACGAAGAAACAGCAGTATTTTTGAAAGAAATGCGTCATTCTCGAGTGGTAGAAGATCAAACAATACATCTAGACCAACTCCTCCAGCCCCACTTAATTTGAATCAGGGCCTTTATATTCCTCCACCTATGACATCCGCACCAGCTGCAGTTACTACACATACTATTCCAACTACATTTGCAGCGACGAACAATATGTTTCAGACACATACACCTGCGCACACACAGCATAGACCATCATCAAGTCACAGCCATGGTCGTGGGCAGGTTGACTATTCCAAACCTGCTCCACCGATACATCAACAACAGCCACAGGCATACGCACAAAGAGCATCTCTTCCTCCTATAGCCAACAACATCCCTAGAAACAGCATCTCCACAGCTACGTCGAGAATCAACCTTTGCGATGAAGACAAGAGACAGTTGGATAGTTTTAAGTTCAATGACTGCTTGTAGTTTTAGAGCAGAGAAACGTAAAGTAAGACAGCATCACATCTTAGACATTAATGAGCGCCAGCTAAGCATTTTTTGTATATATTGTATAATATCAAGCATTCGCATTTTCAACTGTAACATTAGTTATAAAGCGGCTTTAGCCTGAGTATGCATCAAAAATCATTTACATTCAACATGAAAATTATCGTAGCGAGACATTAAGCAGCAACTCTGCCAGTGACTTCACCTTCGACAATTTCAGATGACTTAAGCGACTCGATGGCAGTGTGAGCAGCTCTAACACCAGACTAGTCGCGAGTCAGCAAAGCATTACCATCAACCCAATTCACTCACGCCAAACATACCACCAAACGAGGCACCGCAGCGAGGAGCACCGTCTAATTCGGACAACTCCATACCACCAACGACCAAACCTGGGAAAACTTCCCTAGTTTGGTTGACAATTTGATCTTCACTCTTGTTCATATCGAGTGCCCTCATATCGCCGAGCTCAACAAATCCAGCCGAAGCAAGTCTCTTGACAGAGAAAGCACCGAAAGGACCGTCGTGGCCGCAGAATGAGATGGTCACTGGTGAGGTAATGGTGTTTGGATCCATGCTATGACACTGTCAGACATTACCACCACATAAACCCCCTACACACCAAGATTGAGTGTCATGGTTAAGCGAAACTAACGTCCAGTTGGACACGATACCAGTAACACGTTGCTTTCCTTCAAAGTCTTTCTTCACCATCTAGTCGCGTAAGAAGTTAGAACAGCTAATGCCAGTGCGAAAGACCTCGACTTACAAGATCTTCACACTACAACAGCTGCGCGTTAGTACAAGCCCATTAAAGGGCACCTCTAAATTCAAATGCAACTCGACGACGCAGCCATAACGCTGGTCCCGCTATTGACGGTATATTCTCAGCCTGAGCGTCTGCTCTAGGCACCCGTGTGCACGAATAAAGAAGCATTGTAAAAGTAGAAAGTGCCTCTATAAACAATAGATATACCTACCGCAGTCGCGTTGAAGAGCTTGACGTTAGGAAGGGCCAGAGTCTTGGCGAGAAGAGTTGAAGTGAGGAGAGCTGCGTGCTTGACAACAACAAAGCGACCTTCGTCTTCGTATGGGACGCCAACCTTATCAAGGAAATTGTGCGCTGGTTTGCGTACAACCATTGCTGAAAAAAGTTGACCTCCGAGCCAAGCACCGCCACCTGGAGCAACTGCTGATTCGACGATTGTCACCTTGAGATCGGGTCTCTCGGTGGCAATCGTGAATGCGCATGATAGACCAGCGCTACCAGCACCGACGATCAATACATCAGAGATGGCTCTGTCGTACATGTCGTTAAAGTAGCGCGTTGTCATTGCTCTAGATGTCTCATACTCCTTGATTGGTGCGAAGCTGTAGTTGCCATTGTAGTCTTCGTTAGAATCGGCGTGGGCTTTAGCTTGTTGCTTGAGTTGCTGGATGTTAGCTGGTTGTTGTGCTGCTTGAACTGGTGCCATGGTGACTGTTTGAGAATAATATGAAATTTTCGAAAAACACCGAATTTATATTAAAAGTTCAAATGACGTCAATATCACTGCGGTAATCTGTTGGATACTCATGTGCGTGAAACTAATTTACTTCGATGGTTTGAGGCGCGTAGCTATAACAGGAACCTGCTTTCCAACATCCACTCTCTGACCTTAGTTTTGCTTAGTTGAAAAATTTCACAAGCTCCACAGGGCGTTGTTACATATACCAATTGCCAAGTGTTTAATTAAGTAGTGTACATGTATGTCGTTAACCCAATTCAATGTTACAGATACATTCGCTCATGTAGTGATTACAGAAGGAGGAGGCTTGGGTGCTTGTAGCGAGGCCTCTCGAGCCCATAGAGCCAATTTGATATTTTTGCTTTTATCGACAGTGTGTGCTGGTGTTGGTACAATAGGCGATGGTAAGGCTGGTGACGCGGTTGAGGTCGGTGAGGTGGCTGAAGTAAGCGGTGGATTGGCTAGATCCTTGTTATCCATCTTGTCTTCCTTCTTCCCACCCAATCTGTGCACTCTCTTGCGTCTGGCTTTCTGTGTTCCTTTGCTATTCCTTTTAAACGTATGAGGGAAGCTCCTCACTGTTGATCGCTCAAACACTCTCGTGTTAGGTGAGAGTGTCAAATTGGTTTGTGACAATTTAGCAAGCTCGTTGACGTTCTCATTTACTGGTGCCATCACTACCATTTTGCCGCCATCTGAATATTGTATGTTCTTTTGGAAGCTTGGCGAGGTGCTCAAGTTATACGGCTTGATAGATAAAGACGCACTCTTCTCTTCTTCGAATATCGAAGTAGGCGCGGTCGAATCCTCGACAACAGACGTATCAGCAAAGGAGTTGGTGCGTGAATCTGATTGTGTTGATTTGCTATCCATAGTCAAGTGGGTATTCTTGCTGTAACTCGACGTAGCTCTAGCTGTTGCTGTCTTGCCGCTTAATAATGAGGTTACGTCGCTACTTGGTGATCTTAAAGAGCTAGAACTTGCTTTACACAGCCCCGGCCTGCTAATACCGTCAATACTTCGCAGTTCTTCCACCTGATCATCATCAACCTCATCGTCTTGACCAAGCTGCATCCGGCGAAGACTATGAGATACTACATCGTCATCTTCTGGCTCAAACAGTCCGGGCGAAGGTTGAGCTGGAGTATCGAATATATCAATGTCATCGAGGTCATCGCGCTTGTCAGTATTATGACTGAAGCTGCGGCTACGTTCCCATAGCTGACCGAATGCATCCTCACTTGGTGGTAGTTGTAGGGAATTGAGATGAGGCCTGAGACCATATGTTGGATCATAGAATTCAAGATCGGGGAAAGTGGACGAGGTAGGAGAATAAGCTTCAGATTGAGATTGAGTAGATAGCCTGTTACTTCTTCTAGGTATATTTACACTTCTTGGACCCCTTTCAACTTTACTTGCATATAGCGTCTGATAAGATTCCAAATCACCATTTGCGGACATGGCAGCACGCTTAGGAGCGGCAGAAGGTTTTTGATTAGCTTGAGACTCTTTTTTAGCAAAGTATTGTTGAGACAATTTGTGAATTATACCCGGCAAATCCTCTCTAAACATTTCTCTAAGCTGACCTTCGATTTGCTGCTGAATGAATTTTTGTATGACAGCGATAGAATCGAAAGTGCTGCTTACGTCGAGGTTCTCGAGAGGATCATTCTTGAAGACAAGAGTGATACCTTTCTGTTTGCTGACGACGAGTACGACAATCGCACGAAGACGCAATGCAGATAAGCGTAGGTGCATGGGGACAACGAGAGGTTGATGAGCTGCTAGAATTGATCTTCCACCGAGTAATCCAGGCTTTGAGCCTTTAGTTGTCAGTGGATTCGCCTGAGGTGGAATGAGAAATGGAGTAGCCAGTATGTCATCACGCACTTGTACTTTCGTTCGCAAGACAATATGTGCATCGCCTGTATAATTCATTCTGAATATCCCCCTGAACCTATCCACTGATAATTCCCCAATTTCTAATATCTCAAGCTCAGGTGGCTAGCAATTTCTCAGCAGTATTCAACGCGTAAGCAGACGACTAACAATAGTCCCCATATTCAAATCCTCAACGACTATCCTGTCAGCGATTATTGGTGGCTTTGGTCCTTTATTCAAAGCGCTATCAAGTGTTGTCCTCGCATCTGCTAAGAATTCTGCGCTGAATTTCGGCCAATCAAATTTAAATGCCATTATGTTCTCTATTAACGCCGCTTTTTTCGCCTCCTCAGCGTGTGTTTGTTGAAATACCTGTCCGCGTCCGTGATGGAATTCTCGCAACATGTGGGGATCGATTAAGGTAATATCAAAATTTTAAAAACACAATCTAATTCAATATAACATACACGCTTAACTCGTTAAAGATAATCTTACGCATCACTCTTGCAACCTCGGCTGACGTGCGGGCTGAGATGTCTCACTCCCAAAGCCGCCGATAACCGTGTTGATTGGCTCCAACTTTTCCACTTTGTCACCTCGAATGTCTCTCACCTTCCTTACATCTGCGCTCTCCTGGTCAGAATCCATACTTGCAGCTAGTAAGTTTTTCTCGTTGAATTCTGCAGTGTTGTACTTTTTCTTCAACAACACACCAACCTCATCGTTGATTATATCGCTCAATTCCTCTCTCCATTTCATTTCTGCCATCTCCGTAGCGTGCAAATCGACGTTGACATCTTTCCCTCCATCTTTGAGTAATTGACTAGCTTTCATCACAGCGCGCACCGTGCTATCGTTGAATTCAATATCGAAAGCGTCTAATATGCACTTCCTAGCTGGAGCCCTGTAATGAAATGTCTCCATCAGATACAGCGCTCTGCTCAGCATTGTTATTGACCTGAACGGTGCCTTGTCCTGTGCCTTCAACTTGGCGAGCGAGCGCGATGCCCCGCCTGCAACTAGCTGATTACTAAGATCAGAAAGTACACCAATTATTTGCCTTTCAATCGGTTTTGTCGGCTCCTCTAAAACAAAGGCTGATTGTACATGTCGATTTGTATACGCCTCCCATTCTGGGATATGCACAAATTTGTTGAGATTCTTTGGTAAGCATATTCCAAGCGGCTGTCCAAGCGTAGAAACAGTCGACTGCCAACCAAAGCGTTCGAGGATTGTAATACCAGCTTCAGTCGATGCAATCAATCCCAGTACGAAATAACATGTACCTTTAACTGAGATAAACTCATTCCGTTCGGCTATCTCGACTATAGTTCCTATAATTCTTTCATGTTCAAGGAAAGGCAACCCGTGCGGTGTTGATCCAATAGTACCAACTGCCCACAAAACACTCTTCAGCTTGCTGATCAGATCGGTATCACTATTTTCAAACCCATGTCTTCTTATAAATTCGGCAAAGTCTGCAAAATGTCCTTTCTCAGCCAGAAACTCACATCCCTCATATGTTTTGGTAAGCTCGCCGTAAAAGTGCGACGGAACAGTGCCGTCGAATGTGATTGCCTCCTCAGACTGATCAAATGAGCTCATTCCAAGTGCGTGTGAGATATAAACCTCAATCAGCACCACATAATGTGCATTTCGTTCCTGTGACGAAGGTGTTAGTAGGGCAACGAAACAACCGAGAGACCACCACTTACATGGAACCAATCGTCAATTTCCCTATCTATGTAATCTGATTGTTGAAGATACTTGAAACCAACGGACGTGGACAGAAAGCGCAGCATGAGAGGATGTCCAGTTTCTCCCAGGTGATCCAGACTTGGCATCATGCTTACCACAAGTTCAAGTATTTCAGTTGACTCGCAAACCTTCTCTAAATATTTGACTGCCAATTCACATATATCGATAGCTGGATCATAGAGCTGGGTAATGAGTAAATCGAGAGCCCATTCGTTTGGTTTAGGTGATGACAAGATCAATTCACCAAGATGAGTGGTTGCGAATTGTCTTACGTGCTGCGAATGAGTGTCAATGAGCGTTTCAAGTATTAGACGCATCTATCAAACAACACTCACCTTGTAACTTGCTGTCAAAGCTTTCGATAGAATAATACGCGGGTGTCCAGAACTTTTGTTAACATCATTAGATGAAGCAAACGTGAACAAAATCACAACCTACTTTGAATAATCGAGCTTCTCAATGATAGCCTTGATAAGATCTTCGCGACTACGTAATTCACTGAGATGGTAGAATGAGGTAAACATTTTATGCTTTTCCAGCAACTGGATACCCTCCGGCGTTTTACTGATTGTCCCAATCATCTCAAAGTATCCAATACACAGAGTGTCCTCCAGTCTGTTACGCGAAAAAATAGGTTCACCATCGAGAGCTTGGTTGCTGTGAAGAGGATCGAGCTGCGAGAAGCAATCACCGATTTGTCTCAGCAACTTATCCTCAGCTAAGTACCTCCTTCCTTCTTCGCTGGTGAGGAAAGTGGTGACAAGCTGACAGCCCATTCGTACCCATTTCATATTTGGTTTTGTCTTCTTGGCATTAGAGAATCGGAGATTGAATGGATGAAAGAAGGACATGAGACGTTTGATGAACTTGGTATTCTTGATAGCCTCTTCTAAACGACGAGGATTGAGAAGCGGCCCTTCGAGGAGATCATACACGACGTCATAATTCCATCTGACATTATCCTTGGTGACCAGCACTTGAGACTCGAGCAACATAGCTTGAAAATTTTTATCGTCTATCTGCATACCAATGCGCATTTTAACCTGCTCGACTTGTCGCTGACCTCTGCGCATTGGATCATCTAGTGAATTGGAACGCTTTCGGCTATCGCGTGTGGCAGCTGGTATAGGTCTATTCCTCACTCTGTTAAAATGATCTATTGTCGCGAGAGCTGAGCAAGCAGACAAGCGAAGATCACCACTGTATTCCGCAGCTAGAGCGAACAGACGTGGAAGCGTTTGAAGCTTGGCAGCGTATGCTGAAGGTAAGATTCTATTACCCTTGCGAAGAAGCTCACCAAGTAATAGTGTTGCCTTGCGTGTAAGCACTTGGTTCTTCTCTTCAACAATAGCCGTCAACCCTTCAATCAACCCTCCATCTATCAAGACCACAAGAAGCAAAGCGATGTAATGATCAATTATCGTAATTTTCTCTGGCTTGTCGGAATCTTGAGCTGATCTTTCTGGCGCTTTGCGTTGACCTGTAGATCTATTGTACATCGTCTGCCGCCTACCTTCGAGTGAAGCAACATACCAATCCGGAGTCTTGATGATGAGCAACTCGAACATCAAGTCAAGAAGAGCTTCCCTCAGCTCCTGTGAAGGAACTCGGAGAGCATCAATTAGGGTGCGCACAGTATTCCTGTCATTGACGCAGAAATACAGGAGTCCACTCCAGTTTTTCAGCAAGACAACAAGGATGCTGTTAGCGCATTTGAGTCTTTCAATGCGGGCGTTTGAGGCTTTGAAGTGAGCAGAAGGAACATCCGTAAAGGCGGTCATACTGACTTCTAAATCGGTACCTGGTTTGATGTACTTGCGTGTTGAAGGATGATCGAGAGTGTAGCAGAAGATAGAGGCAACCACGGGAGCGAAATGAGCCAAGTCAGGCGACGAACCCGTCAAGGCTGACAGTAGAATGTTGAGGCCTTGAGATTTAGATAGTAGCTCCATATCTAGGATAGCTATTTCTGCTAGCAATTCCAAACAGAAATAACGCAAAGAGTCATCACCATTTTCAGCTATAGAAATAATTGCTCGGACAATGGACTGATCTATAAACAGACCATGCGGGTTACCGAGATCAACAAGTGCTCTAATGAAAAAGACAGCCTGCTCCTTCTCGAGTTGATCTGAGGAGTCTCTTGCGAGTGAGCGTATGAGGTATATATTAATGCCATAAGAGTTGTAAAGCTGAGCTGAGCTGTAATCAACGAGGCTGTGCCTAAGGAGTCTGTATGCGACAGTCCTCACCAAACCACCTGCACTATCAGACAAACATTCTTTGACGCCGTTGATGAGAACAGACTGATCAAGTTCATACTTAAGTCTAAAGCTTCGTTTGAGAGCATCAGTGAGGCCAGCCATGACGTCTATCCGCCGAGACATTAAGCTATCAGGGTCAAATTGAACAGCAGAGTCGTTGATATTTAAGAGAGAGTTTAAGAGAGATAATCCATTATTATGCGCTGTTCGATAATCGTCAATATGATGATCTATAAAAGTATCTTGAACACGTCGCCGACGAGCAGAGTCGATGTGGGTTTCTTTGCGTGGGGTATTTGGTATAAGTTTAAGATATTCAATATCCTTTGTAAATTTGTTTATATTGTTGTTTGCTTTAGTGAGTGCTTCTTCAACTTGCCTCCTAAGCATTTCCTGATGATCTGATTGAGCTGTATCGAAGACCTATAGAATCGAGGGGGTTTGAGATTACAGATAACACGACACATGCAACGCACCTGCAATAGATTCTCAGCGCCATCCTTTATCTTCTCTTCAACATGAAGCTTCTCATCGAGCTGAGCGAGCTTAGCAGCAACATCCTTAGCGCTATCGCTATGAATATCATCAGTCTCCGTCATTTGAGTTGGTTTGATATCTTTGACGATCTTTGACGAGGGTTAAAAATCAAAAGGGAATTTATCAAGTTTTTTTATTTTACTTGTACAATATTAAGCTTAGTATAACATGGAAGACATGTCTGCTCTAATTCTGTTGTAATCGAGTAAGCCTTCAGTGCGACCGTGCGCAGCAATTGCAATGTCCTTGTCCCATAAGTACTTGTTGGCGACTCTAATAATCTCTTCTGGAGTTACAGCGGCGATTGCGTTTTCAATTTCAGTTGGGGTCATACGCTTACCTGTGGTGACAATTTGTCTACCAATGTCCTCAGTTACTGCAGTTGATCCATCTAATCCGAGTAATAAGGAAGCTTTGAGTTGAGATTTGGCGCGTTCAACTTCAGCAACAGTTGGTGCAATCGACATTCTTTGCCATTCTTTGAGGGTGAAGTGAACCAAGTCATCCAAGTTCATCAAATTTTCAGATACTAAGTAAATACCCCATAAACCAGTGTCGCTGTATGAAGTAGAGAATGACATGTAGCTGTTTGCTAGATTGTTTTCACTGATAATGTGTGATAATTTGCTTGAAAGAAGTGGAGAAGCACCCAAGCTACGATCCCAGTTACCGAAGATGGATTGCATGACGAGCATTGGGAAGTAATCAGGGCTAGACCAACTGACACCTTCAACAGCAATTGCGAGATTGCAAGTTGGTGAGCTATCATCTCTAATTCTAACCTCAGAACCGGTGAACTTTGTGTGTTCAGCAGAAGGTCTAGTACCAAGTGGAAGAGGGTTTGGAGAGCTGGAAAGGTTACCGAAGTGTTGGTTGGCTAATTCAACGAGTTGAGAATGTGAGACACCACCTGCACCAGCCAAAACCATCTTATCACCGTGATAATTGTTCTTAATGTAATCACTGAGTTGATCACGGGTAAGTGATTTAATGTTTTGTGAAGGGCCAAGGATAGTTTGACCAAGTGGCTCGCCTTGGAAAGCAACAGCGTGAAGGTGATCGAAAACGACTTCTTCAACTTGCTTATTGACTTCTTCCTCTTCACGAAGAATAACGTCTCTTTCACGCTCAATTGCTTTTGAATCGAGCTTGGAATTTTGAAGGATATCCGACAAAACGTCAACGGCTTTAGGGACATCGTGGGAGAAAGACTTTGCGTAATAAACGGTCTGTTCACGAGAAGTGTATGCGTTCAAATGAGCACCAAGAGATTCAACTTCCAATTCGAGGTCGTATTGAGAGCGGCGGTTAGTACCCTGGAATGAAGGTGAGGTGGATATAAAAACAGAATAATCAAACAAACCTTGAAAGCCATATGCTCCAAGAAGTGAGCTGTACCATTGTTCTTTATAGATTCACCTCTAGAGCCAGAATCGATCCAAACGCCAACTGTGGCAGATTTTGTGTCATTTTGCTCAGTGGCGATAGTGAGGCCTAAGTAGTGGTGTGCGTAAGTGAAAATCCCCCTCAAAGTCCATTATATCCTCACCATTTGGTAATGTAGTGACCTGTGTGGCTGGTTGAGGAATAGAGCTAGCGTATTTACGTGATTGCTGAGCTGCTAATCCCCTACAAGACTTTAAAATACCACGGCTGAACATTTCAATTTCTCAGTTTTTTATAGTTTACAACAAGATATTTGAGGCTCCTCAGTTTTCGATAAAATTGATTTTTCATCTTCTTAATCGGTGACGATGAGGTTTTATACAGTCGCAGCAGCAACGGCTTTAGTTGGATTGTGAGTTGTGACTTTAATGGTCTTTATCCAACTCAATTCCATCCAGCACCAGTTACGCTGTCTACTTCGACTACAAACGCCGTAACGACACAGCTTTTAGAAAATCTTTAAAGAAAGCTGCCGTTAAACAAGGTAAAGCTGATAAAGCTGCTGCTGAAAAGGGCGCTATGGAAATGCAAGTCGCTCTCAAAGCTGCGGTTCTTGAAGCAAATATCGAGGTTGAAGCGTTCAAGAGGTCTGTCACTGGAGCTGAGCAAGGTGAAGCTTATTTCATGCAAAACGTCGGAAATGGTGAAGTTTTGGCTTCAATGGGTGCGTTATTGTCTAACCGAGAAGACACCTCCGTTAAACCCCTCTTTAGGCCCAGAAAGCGCCCTTAAAGCTGCAACAGCTTTCTTCAAGGCTCTCAAGGTCTATCCTTCCCCTGTTGAGCTCTTGATGATCTATGAGAGAACTGTTCCTCCACCAATCTTCCAGTTGGTCATGCAGATGACTAGCCAAGAGGTTGCAAACGCTCAATCTCAAAAGGCTCCCGAGCAACCAAAGTCTGGTTCTATTGAGGAGAATGTCACAGAAGATTCTCAAAAGCCATCGACAGAAGCCCCTACAGGTATTCCAGCTTCTGCTCCCTCTGACACAAGCTCACACGAATGGGAAAACATTCAATCTTAATCAATTCTCTATACTCCAATCCACCGCGCCTACTACCTCTTAGACTGGCTTTTCTTTCTCCACTGTATTTCTTGATCTATAAAATTATTAAGATGATTATCATTTTTATCATGTTTATCAAGTTAATCTCGATAATCTCAATGGCTATATCGGTTGTTTTCATCCAGTGAAAATTTGCATCCTTATACATGACGTCAATACACGTTTAAATATCATCAAAAATCGTTAATATCATTAAAGTAGTCATCGCAATCGCTAGCACTAGCACTAGCAATACTACTACTACCACCAACCTCCAAGCGTTCTGGATATTGTCTACTGAACCTTTCCAAGCGCTTGGTGAGTTGCTGAGCCACGTCCAACTCACCATAACCACCTAATCCATCATCATCGCTTGATCCACTGCTAAAGTCGTCGAATATGTCATTATACCTGTTGTTATATCCAAACGACATTCTCCTTTGATACTCCCATTCATCCATCTCGTAATCATCGTAATTATCCACATCTTCTGGCGGGAAGGGTGAGGGAAGTGGTCGGCAAATATCATCATGTTCATCCGATAAATCTATCTTGAATTTCCATTTGCCAACTCCATTCCAACCAGTGCCGGCTCCACTCACTGCTGACGGCGAGCAGCAGCCCGAGGACATGGGCGACACGCAGCTAGATTGAAGGGATAGAGAGGGTGTAGCTGATTTACTTTTACTGCTACTTCTAGCTTGAGCAGGGGCATTAGAATTAGCGTGTGCACGAGTGGAGCTGAATGAGAGTGCTCCTGGTGGATGTTTCCGACGTCGTCTCCCGCTTGCATTCGACGCAGATGAGTTGTGTCTACTGAGAAGAACTCGCGCCGCGAAACCCATTCTCGATCCACTCCGGCTGCTCATAGCGCTAGCGCTAGCGCTCGCACTCCTGCTAGCACTCTTACTCCCACTCCTACTCCCTGCACTATCTGAAGTGTTGGAGGTATTTCTAAGCATCTGCGCAGGCTGTAAGTTAGTATTTCTGTGAGATTTTGATAGGGCTTTCTTCTTGTCGGGACTGAGCGAGAGTAGCACATCCCTCACGCAATCCTGGTAATCCTGCGTACTCTCATCTTGCCCCACTTGGTACAACGCAGGCAGTCGCCGCACCACCTCGTTCCACCGCCCTTCCCACCCTTTACACCGCTTCTCGATTTTCCACGTACCGAATTTGTGCGTGAAAGTGGTCTCGTACATCCTGAACAGTATCCGATCAATGCGCACGTAATGACGTTGGAGTACTTGAAAACCATCGTCGTCGACTCGCAGCGTTGCTGTGAGGGTTGTGTAGCCTGCACCGTCCATGGAGTCCTGGAAGAAAGTGATAGTGTTGCGTATGGCGGTGGGGTCTGAGTCATGGTGAGAGTGATTGTTATCGTAATCGTGATTGGAATTGCCGCCGGTAGAATGATCGACATTGTTATCGTCATCGAGGAGAGGCGTAGCTGTATTGCTTGTGTAGGGTGTGTTTTCGAAGCTTCTCGTCGAGCTGCCTGAGTAGGTCGTAGTGTAAGTCCAGTCATAGTTCTTATCTGGTAGTTGCAGCTGTCTGTAGCGGCGTGGGGATAAGCAACGCTATGTGGTTCCCAAGAAAACTCACAGCTTCGTGCCCTCGTGCAACGCATACGCAACACGCTTGGCCTCCGCACCGCTCTTGTCGACGAGATTGAGCGCCGGGCGGGCGTAGAACCCCAGGGTGAAGTTGCTGAGTTTGTGCGCTATTCTGATCTGATTGTGCGGGTAGAGCAGCCGCGGTGGCTCAAAGCCGAGCTCTGCAGTGAAGCTGTGGAGTGTGATGAGTGGTGAGGGTGATAACAGCCGTGCACCCACCAATCGAAATCACTGCCAGCCGCAGACGGCCCCTTTGTTACGTTGAATGTGAAATCGCTTGCGCTGAAGCCCTCGACGAGCCCATGATGAATATCGCTCATCGTGGTGCTGGTGTAAGAATAAGTGTGATCATGTCGAGTCATGTGATTTGGAGATGTGGGCCAAGGGGAGTGTTTGTGGGTGGATGGGATTGCAGATCTCTTGTAACATCCAGCCATCTCTCAGTATTCACATGTTGGAGGATCATTGTATCCTACCACCATCACCACCAACATCCACATGGCTAAATCGAAATCCAGCGATGAAACCAGCGCAGGCGATAAAGTGAGCATCTCCAATACTCAATCACCCTCCTCTAAGCTCAAGCCGTAGCAGCTTTTCTTCGTCGATACACAGCCAGACGAGCAGGCCAAGGAGAATGTACCAGCCACCGACGCAAACGACTCAAACGACGCAAACGACGCAGACAATTCCATCTCTCACCTTACCCTACCTGACTACATAAACGTAAATCTCGATGACCCCGCAGACACTCAAAACCATAAAATAAGAGTTTTGGACGGTGACGACAAGGAATATACTGAGAATGAGAGCGATTTCGTCGACGTCGATCAGCACGGCGCTGGTCCGGTGAGATACTTCCAAGAAGACGTCAATCGCCATGAGTACACGGTTTGTAGGACTTGCAAGCAGACTGGGCACTTGAGCAAGGACTGTCCTCACATAATTTGCCTCACTTGTGGCGCAGTCGATGAGCACAGAGAGAGGGACTGTCCCATTTCGCTCGTTTGTTACAACTGTGAGTCGTTTATACGCTTTGTTCTTGTTGATTCCTGACATTGTGCTAAGGCGGCGGGCGTGGCCATTTTGCTAGAGTGGGTTGCTTACGTGTTCTACACTCCATTCCATCTAACACCCCGCAGAACTGCACTGTTCCGAAACAGAAAGACTCCAGACTTAGCTGCCGTAGGTGTGGCTCGCCTAGTCACCAAACGAGGGTGTGTATATACTGTCACCACACACCCATGTCAAACTCACTCCATCGTAGGCATGTCTCACTCTCTGGAGGATCTACCAGTACGTAGACGCCGAGCATTTCGACAGCAAACCGCAGAAAGAGTCTAAGGATGATGCCGAGCACAAAGACATTCAACAAGCTCGAACGGAGATGTGGTGCTACAACTGCGCGGACTCGGGTCATTTAGGCGATGACTGCGACATGAGAAGAGGGTGTCCGATCCCACTTATTGAGCCATCCGCCTTCTCCGAGCAAAACCTCTTCAGTGGTCCGTTCAAGACTGCACTCATAGGCGATAAGAAGAAGGGGCGGAATGGTAGCAACGGTGACAAGAACAGCAACAGCAACACCAACGCATACCGAAGAGCCAAACACCTCGATAGAGCTAGTGGCTATCCTCCCAACACGCGCATACCTGACCGCGGCGGCCCTGGGACCGAGAGGAGGCGTAAAGAGAAAGAGCACCTCAAGCGACTCGAAGAGAGCAGTGATGATAGCGATGATTACGACAGATATGTAGCAGATATCAATGGAATTGGTCAAGGTCCACCAAGAAAGTCGAGGAAAAACAGGTCCGGACAGAGGGAGCCAAGGAGAGGTAAAGATAGCGGAAGAGAGAGTGGGGGCAGCTGGAGCAAAAACGAGGTTGACAAGGGGAGTGATAGGGATAGCCTACTTGACTCTCGGCGGCGGCAAGCGTGAGTTGCTGTGTTAAGTATTTACCACTGCTAACACACCACTCCTATCGCAGCCCTAACCCTCCTCCACCACGGTTCGGTAGATACGAGGATAATTATAGGAGCTACAAGAATATAGACAGACCGAAATCGACAGGAAGCAGGTCTACGTGGAGAGGCGGATACGGGAAGCGTTGAAGGGGAAGCAGGGAAGGCGTATCAATTATTGTAGAAGAAATGAACGGATTTTTCATAGAAAGCGTCGTTTAGTCGGCTGAATTAGTCGAGTGGATGCCAAGTAACCTAACCCTAATTGATATCCCTATTGAAGTACAGCACATCAGATTAAAACAAGATGAAGGCATAGTACAAGTAAATTCTAACGCTTTGTGACAATCGCGGGCAACTCACGCACACAACAAGGTACCGCACTGCCGCCAAGAGCGGTTCTATTTAGGGTGCAGACTATTTTTGTCGGGGATTGCAACTTGAACTGATACTACCAAGGTTTAACAAAGAATGTCGTATTATCCACCACAGCCAGTGAGTTTGTACACTTGTGTCACTTTGTCTTGCTTAGCGGAAACACAAGCAAGGGTACTACCCACAGCAGCCAATGCCACCACCACCGATGGCATATGGGCCACCGCCGCCACAGCAAGAGAGCAATTCTGGGTGAGTTTTTGGCGCTTTCTAACAATTTTCAGCTGATAAGTGTAGTTGCTGCGGAGGTGAGTGGGCTGAGTTGACGGGGATTAGACATTAACCAAATACTCTAAAGGTTGTTGCACTTGCTGTTGCGACACTATACGCAATTGCTGCCTTTGCTTCATCGGTACGCTCTGCTGTTGCTTTGCTGCAGAAGAACTGGAAGACTGTTTGTGCTGAGGAGAGCGACGATATAATTTCGGTATACCACGATAAATGCATACATTGTGCTCTGTTTAATATTTAATTTATGTGTCTACGCCCATTTACTCGACAGCCATGTACTCAGCCAGCAACAAACGCGCTGACAGCCAATTTAAGCAAAGGCGGGAGAGCTTTACTGGCGATGGATTCACCAAGATATCCAATAGAGGTTGGTTCACTGGCTGCCATCGTCTTACCCACCTCACCCACCACCACAGCACCGATACCAACTTTCTCCAAGAACAAGCAGGATTTCCTCATCAGCAACCTTCCTAACCTAGAGCGCACTAAAAACCCAAGCTTCAATATGTACGGTGGACACGTTCCCTCTTCCAGCGACAGCGAGAGCAACTCCCACCTCTATTTCGCTATGGTAGAGGCAAGACACAAGACGGACAAGACGCGCACTATCTTCTGGTTTAACGGCGGTCCCGGCTGCAGCTCATTCGATGCGCTAATGATGGAAGTTGGCCCATTTAATCTGATTAAGGATGATAACCATCAGCTCAGACTAAAGGAGAAAGACTACGGTTGGCACGAGTACGCTAATATCGTCTTCATCGATCAACCAGTCGGCACTGGATTCAGTTACGCACAGACAGACAGCTACGTACGCGAACTCGACCAAGCTGCCGATCAGTTCCTCAATTTTCTCAACAACTTCTACGAAATATTCCCAGACCTTGCAAACTCAGATACATACATCAGCGGTGAATCTTACGCCGGTCAATACATCCCTTATTTCGCCAAGAAGTTGATCGATACTCCAAATGTCCCCTTAGAGCTTAAAGGTCTCATTATCGGTAATGGCTGGATAGACCCCATCAATCAATACCCCGCTTATGCTGAGTTTGCACACAACGAGGGCATCATCCAACCGGGCACAAAGGCAGACAAACAATTCATGGATGTCGTCGAACAGTGCCAGAATGCTATTGCTGGCTCTCTCGAACGTGAAAGCCAGACAGGTGTTCTCCCCATCTACATCCCTCAATGCGAGAGTGTTATGGATCAGATTACAGCCTCACATCGTAAAGTTGAGAATGGGCATCCGACCTGTATGAATATCTACGACTATAGACTTAGGGACTCAGATCCATCCTGTGGTATGAATTGGCCTAATGAACTGCACGACGTCACTGCATATTTGAGACAAGAAAACGTTGCCAAGGCATTCCATGCACGCGCAAAGCCCGAATCATGGACCGAGTGTGACATAAAAGTTTCCACTCAGTTGAGGGCTGACCACTCAACAGCATCTGTTCGGTTACTTCCTGAAATACTCAAGCACACCAGCATACTTCTTTTCGCTGGTGACAAGGATATCATCTGCAACTACCAGGGCATAAAGAACCTAATTGACAACCTCGAGTGGAACGAAGGAAAAGGATTCTCTGACGAAAGTGAAACCGAGTTGTGGTCATTACACGGTGATCCAGTCGGTGAATGGCAATCTGAAAGAAACCTCACCTACGTGCGTGTATACAATGGATCGCATATGGTTCCGATAGATGCGCCAGAAGCTATGCTTGATCTCGTTACCCGATACATGCAAGTGGATATCACGGCGGTGCAATCAGATGATCTTTACGACTTTGACAGCGTCGTTGGAGAGTCGAATCAAGTGGGCGAGAGTGATTCCGATAGTTTCGCAAACTCGCACAAAAAGAGTGGTGCTTTGTTCCTGCTAGTCATTATCATCGCTGTCGCCGTCGCTGCTTTCGTATGGCTTAGACGGAGAAGAAGGCAGATGCTCGTGCATGACTATAGCCAACTGCGCGCTAATACGGCTCTCGCACACGAAGATAATGAGAATCGTCGCAAGTCTGACGAACGTGTCGAATCAGAGAGATTATTCGATGTCGGCAGCGACATTGATAGCGATCAAGATCAAGATCAAAATCAAGGTGAGACGAGTAAGCATAGAGAGTGATAGAAATTGTTTCTAGTGAACATAAAGAAATTTAAATATGGGAATATCTATGCATATTAAGATATATTACACCTCGGACACTTGTTCCACATAACTGCTCGTTACATCCTCTGCATACACGAGTGCATCCTTGCTTGACTGTCCTTGTCCATCACCACTACCATTGTTCTCTCCAGTTATCTGCATGATAAAGGCACTGCGCTCCAAAACCGCTGCTGAAGGTCTAGCAGCGTGGTCAGTTTCGAAAGTCTGTCTCAAGAAATCCTTAGCGTCGTCGCTAATATCGTCTGGAATGGTAGGTGAAGCTGAACTACCGATTTTAAAAATAGCCTGCATTTGATTGAGTGTAGGGAAGGGGTGCTCCCCCGTAAGCATCTCGACTATGAGACAACCAAGTGACCATATATCAGCTTTGCGAGTATATGGTTCTTGCTTCACTACTTCAGGCGCCATCCAAAAGACAGATCCTTGTAAACTCTGTCTAACTTTTTTGTTAACTCCGAATAAATTATCCGTTACCTTTTTCTTGGAAATTCCAAAATCCGATATCTTTACTCCGCCCTTATTGTCGACGAGGATATTAGCTCCTTTTATATCACGATGTATGATGCCTTTCGTGTGAAGGTAGTTCAATCCTGTCAAGATTTGTTTGACAAAGTTGCGCACGAGCTCTTCTTCAAAAGCGCCGTAGTTCTGCAGGAGCGCTGCAACACTCCCGCCTGGTACGTACTCCAAGAAGATATTCAGACAGCTCTCATCGAGGGACGAGTCTGAGATGTCGAGTCAGTCTGAGGAAGAAGCACAGTATCTCCCAAAAAAAACCCACCTAAGTACTGCACGATATTGCTATGCTTGAGCACCTTCAACAGTTCGATTTCACGTTCGAGAGCATCGAGCATGGATTTCTTGCGCGGCTCGACATACACGCTGCCCTCACCATCGCCACTTCCATTTCCATTTCCAGCAGGAAGATCGACCTGCTTGACAGCCATGAGTAGACCGGTCGACTTATTCATACCGAGGAAGACACTACCGAACGATCCACTGCCGATGAGCGCACCTTTATGCCACTTGATGGGTTTTCGCTCTCCATGTCCACCGCTATCGTCTTCATCTTCGTCCGTAGTCACTAATGACTGGTCCTGCTCATTCTCATCTCCCTCCGCACCCAGTCCGACGGATGGCCTGCGCAGGAAGTTATCCCCAATTGCCGATGGTGGCTCGAGCGGTGACGCTGGTCGTGAATCAGAGTATGATTGTGATTGTGATTGTGATCGCGTGATTGACTGCGATTGCGATACGGCGTCCGTCTGCTCAGAGGCACCCGAGGCTAGTGAGCGCGATGAGGGCGCGGGCGAGACTTGCGAGTCCTTAGAGTAAGGCGAGCGAGGTGAGAGAGAAGCAGGGGAAGTGAGCGAGCGTCGTGAAACCGTCGGTTTTAGGTATTGTGAAGTAGGTGAGAGTGAAGTGGGCGAGGTAGGCGAACGCTGCGAGAACGCTGGTCTGAGGTATTGGGATGTCGGAGAAAGCTCGAAGTGCTCCGTGTTCATTGGGAGTGGTTGCTGGTGTGGTGATATCTGCGAAGAGGCCGGTGAAGCGACATGCTCACTTGCATCGCCATCCTCACCATCTTCGTGTATGCTGCCGTCGCGGTATTCGTCCTGCGAAACTCGATTCTCCACCTCCTGGACGACCTGGTCCATAGTGAGGACAGACGACGTGTCGTCGTTCATGCTCGCATTGCGACTGCGCGACATTCGACTACCAAGTGTTGGCTGCAATGATCCCATGCTTCGGGTCTCAGACCAGTCAAGTGGCTCGACATTGACAGGCGGTAGCATCGGTGGTTCACCCGGCACAGGAGGAATATCATGCTTTGGCGGCTCCTTCTGCGGTATCTTGTACTTGCTGTCCATGTACTTGGACGGCGGTGCTGGCAGCTCTGGCATCGGTTCACTCTCCCATATAGGTTTAGTTGAGCTAACAGAGTTCCCGTCTCGTCTGTTTATTCGCGAGTTGCGTGCTGTTTTGTGTATCGATTTAATGTCCGCTGTAGGGAAGAAATCTGCCAAGTGAGTCGATATCAGCTCAGATGGTGGCCTCTGCCCATGGAAATTCTGTAGTCTACCACGTGGATTGGCTACTCTGTCAGCTTGATTTACGGACGGGAGCTGTGCTGCTGATTCGTATAGTTGTGGCTCATCGTGTTCTGGTACAGCACCAAGACCAGACATGACGCTCATCATACTTGCTCTGTTTGTTCTCCTTCTCATCCTGAGCGACTCTGATGATTGCTTATGCATTGACTGCTTGGATGACTTCTTCTGTGGTGTCTTATCGGTGAAGAAGGCTTCGAACTTTTTCTTGGATTTGGATTTAGGTAGCTGCCAATTTTCAGTGCGCTGGATATACAGTCCACGCTCACGCTGCGGATCGTCCGGAGGGGATTGACATACAGCGATGATCTCATTATCGCTGAGTGGGTATCCGTAAACTATTTTATAGTGTTAGCAAATGCGGAAATAAGCAAAGCGCGAGACTCACTCTGTCCGTCTACGCACCTAAACACTCCCCAGCCTTGGTATACAAAGTACGTCCTGTCATTGTCTTCTATTGCACCACTCTGGTTTTTGGAGAGGTAATTAATTTTGCCAAACTTTTTCAACACTCTTGCAAGAACATCGTCAGCTTTCTCGCACTCAGACACGTCGACAGTTCTCGTGAAACCGTCTGCAGCGGTGATGAACTTGACACATTTTCTCCGAACGTCTGTCAAGGACAACTTGGAGTTATTGTGAGACTGATAAGGACCAGCGCCTATTCTATAGCCGTTTTCGAACATCTCTTCACGAACAGACTCAGTGGGAGAGACCTGTGGCTTGGCATAAGGATGGAGAGCAGGATTAGCCGTGTTAGGACGAATACCATGTGCAGAGAACTGCTTCCTCGAGACGACATTGCTAGTGGAAGGACGCCTGAGGGAGCCAGAAGAGAGATTGAGTAGATTCTTGCGGGATGAGCTGGGTGGATTTGGAAGTGGAGCTGTGGTGTAGAGCTCCTTATTGGAAGGAACTCTATGTGGGTTTGAGTTACCACGCGGTCTCTTTAAGCCAGGTACACCGAGTGAGGCGAGTGTTGACTTTGTGCTCTTGTCCTTCTGAGGCTGGTACGCAATATCGTTCTTGTGCTGCTGTTGAGCGTGGTCGAGGACAAGAGGCGGTGGCCTGGCCTGGGATGGACGAATAGGTGCAGGTTTGCGCTTGGACATGGTCATGTTCAAACTCATACTCCTGCTTATGCTATCCTCGACACTGGATGATTTCTTATCATCGAGCTGAACCAACTCGTTGAGGCATCTGTAACGTAGGCTACTGATTGCTACCGATATACGCACTCTATCGGCAACGCTCGGAATTCCCATTTCCTTCAACGCGGACTGATCGACGTCGAGAATGTTTTCACCGCGTATATCGTTTTCTCTGAATAGCTGTACGTATACAGAGCAATTGTAGTCGCTTAGAAAGGTAGAGACATCTTGATCGTCCCAATTTTTAATTTTATTTAGAAACCCTTGCTCATCCTTCCCGGCCATCTTTCGAAGTGGCAGATCAAGACACGGCACGCGACACATAATACAACACATAACGCCTAAATTTTAAAAAAAGTTTAATGAAAAAACAAAGGCTTTACAAATGCTCGGGTAATCGTGTTCTACATTATTGAGAGTCTACTGTTGGGCGCATTGTACACCTGGACCTGCACCACCGCGCATATCATCCTCGTCATCTTCCTCCATCGAATCAGGACGGTGGTGTTGCTCAGCTTGTTGACCGGCAGAGAGTTGCTCGAATGCAACGTCGTCAACGTGCAATGAAGTACTCTCTGGTACATTTCTTGGTGGCAATGCCTTTTCGAGGTGTGGAACTAACTCTGGGCTGATAGTTTCTGGGAACTTAACCTTAATGTTTACGAAGAGATCACCTAATTCGTGGAATCTTTGTGATGGCATACCTTCTTTAGGAATCTTACGAAGTGACTCTGGTGTGATAATTTCACCTGCTGGCCAAGAAACCTTTATTAAGCGTTCATCGAGATGTGGAATGGTGAATGAACCGCCGCCGAGTGCAGATAACAAGTCAATTTCCTTATCAGCGAATAAGTCATTACCCTTTCTCTTGAAAATGCTATGTGGCTTCTCTTCAACAACGATAACAACGTCACCAGGAAGGGTACCAGGTGCTTGATCAGCCTCACCGTTGAAGACGATTTGAGCGCCATTCTTCAAACCCTTATCAATGTGAACTTCAAGAGTTTTACGACCAGAAGTAATCTTTTTACCGTTGCAAGTTTTACAGCGATCCTTTGCAGGGATTTCTTCACCTTGGCCGTTACAGCTGTCACATTGCTGTTGGACTTGTTGCATCATAGGACCGAGTTGGCGGAGAGAGACCTTGATACCTCTACCGTGACAAGAGGTACATTGCTTAACGGAGCCAGCTTTACCGCCTCTACCTTCACAGCCATTGCAAATTGAGTTCTTGTTCAAAGCAAGCTTTGTAGTCTTTCCTTTGTACATGTCCTCCAATGAGACATTCAGTCTGTGGACCAAATCTTTACCTTTCCGTGGGCCAGTAGGACGACGACCGCCACCGAAGCCACCGAATAATTGAGAGAAGAGGTCGCCTGGGTCCATGCCCATGCCTGCATCGCCTTGCAAACCTTCTTCACCGTATTGATCGTACATTTGTCTCTTGTCCTCGTCGGAGAGGACTTCGTAGCTGATAGGGGTGAGGATTTATAGGAAAACAAGGAAAAGACTAACGCGTGAGTGACTTCCTTGAACAAGTCAGGATCACCACCTTTGTCTGGGTGAAGACGAAGAGCTCTTTGGGAGTGTAAGGGATTTGTAAAAGTAGTTATATATCCACATACTTCTTACGATAAGACTGCATAACTGTATAAGCCATGTACGCCACTATAAACAGATTTTATGCTCACCTTCTTCAAATCAGCCTGCGAAGCCTCTGGCTGGCTATCTAATAGGTCGTAATATTTACTATTCTATCGTTAAATACGCTAATTTAACACTATTTCAGCTACCTACCGATCAGCGACCATAGTTTTTGAGCGAGCGAGAAGCTTAGAATTCTCGAAACGTCGACATATTTTGATAATGACATTTTAAATTTGGATTTGTTCTTATTAGAGGGATTTTGAGAGTGGCTGGATCTTATTTAATAGGACTGCTTAAATACCTCACCAGTCCCAGTACACTGCATATCGTCGCAGTATGTGTCATCTTAGACATGTTTGAATACAACAAGATGAATAAGATATTCTAAATCTGATCATCTTTCTGACTACATCTTTATAATTTCATTTCTAACTCTTCAAATCTCATTTACTCATTTTACTCATTTTACTCATTTTACTCATTTTACTCATTTTACTCAGTTTACTCAGTTTAGGTAATAAGGCTTATAAAAGCACCGAAATTGCAGCTATCCCGGCTATCATAGCTACAACGATCTAATCAACATTAAATTCACTCTCAAAACCATTGAAAGCATGACACAATCACAAGTTTCAAGACAAATTGCAAAGTCATTTCAATCGGTTGCGTCGACTGATGGTGATGGCGCACGCGTATACAGATCCATTGGTACACCACAGCTACGCAACTTTCATCCTTTTCTCATGATGGATCACTTCAAGGTTGGTAAAGGTGCTGGATTCCCCAATCACCCACACAGAGGTGAGTTTATGGTAAAATGATATGCGTATATAAATGAACAACAAAACCAGGGCAAGCAACCGTTACTCTCATGCTCAAAGGTACATTCAAACATGGTGACAATCAAGGCCACAGCGGCTATATACATGAAGGAGATGTACAATTCATGAAGGCTGCTTCTGGTTTGATTCACAGCGAAATGCCTGTACAAGATAAGCCAACCGACCCTATCCCAGAAGGTCTTCAACTCTGGATCGATCTTCCTGAGGCAGACAAGATGTCTGCGCCTGAATATCAAGAGTTGACAGATGGTCAGATTCCTCGCGCTTATCCACACGGTCAGGATGGGAACGTGGTGGTTAAAATACTCAGCGGTGAATCGTACGGGGTTTCCTCACCAGTGAGACAATGTGCAGGATGCTGGTATTTCCAGGTAGATTTGAAAGAGAAGGGCGCAACGTACTTCCAAGCCATACCATCAAATTGGAACACATTCGCATACATAATTAGTGGTACAGCTAAGATGGGCAATGGAGAAAATTTGGCAGCTCACAGTACGATAACATTTACAAAGCAACAAGAGCAGAATGGGATAGAAATCGAAGCAAAAGAGAGTGGCACTAGCTTGGTTGTGGTTGCAGGTGAGCCATTGAATCAAAAAGTGATTCAATATGGGCCATTCGTCTTGTCCAAGGAGGAAGATATCTACAAGGCTTTCGAGGATTATCAATTGGGAAGGAATGGGTTTGAGAGAAGGAATTTGGTGGATGAGTGAAATGTATTGTCTTTATGTATTCTTGTCTTCTTGTTTATAACCATCATTATGCCATCGTGAGTTGTAGCGTGTTAATAAAGGTTTAAAGTCTAAAACCTAAATTATAGACAATGTGGAGTACAAATACATCCAGCTGCGTTATTTTCTATACTTGACCACTTCATGAGAAGGCCGATTCAACAGGATCGAGTAATCGGTGCTTTATTAGGCAGCAGGAGTGGTGAGCGTGATGTTGATATTAAATCTTCATTCGCTGTACCACACTCGGAGAATGAAGAGCAAGCAACTGTCGATTCCGAGCACTTGCACTCGATGCTTGATTTGCACTTGAAAGTCAATCCAAGGGAAGTCGTCGTGGGTTGGTGAGTTGTGCTGTATCATTTATACCTGTCAAGGCACTCACAGTACACCAGGTACGCTACAGGTTCCTCCCTCAACTCGTACTCGGCTCTTATTCAGAACTTCTTCACCCAGCAATCCACTCAGCCATTCAACGCCATACACATCACCGTGGACACAAATAACCTCAACTTCTCTACTGGAGTCAACGCCTACATGGGCTCATCCCTCGGCCCGCTCCCTAAAATGGACAACTGCGTTTTCCAGCCTCTGCCAGTCAGTTTACTCGTCAGGGAGCACGAGAAGGCTTCCTTAGACGCTCTGACTAGCACTCCTTCCCAAACTAACCAAGATATTCCTGCCCTCGTCGCTGCCGTTGACAGATTATCCCAACAGATCGATCATGTTCTCGCCTACGTGAATAAAGTCGTTAGCGGTGAAATTCAAGGTGACGCCGTCGTTGGAAAGTCCCTCCTCTCTGCTGTTCAGGCTCTCTCTTCTAGATTCGATGAGGGTCATCTCAACTCTATCCTCGACGCTCACATACAGGACACAAAGGCCGTTTCGTACCTTGCTGATCTCATACGCACTCAGTCTGACTTGGCTTCGAGGCTGAGTTTGATTGTCTAGTTTGGCTTCAACTGACTCACTCAAACGATCGACTTGTTTTCTTTGTTTGTATATCTGTTATTTACAATCTTCTCCTTTTACTCAACTAATTCGCTGGCTTGGGCTGCTCTCCACTTTGTACGCCGACCATTCCCCATAATTGCCCTTTAAGCGCATCCGTCTGACGCTTGGTGTCTTCTTCGATAATCTTGGTGAACTCCTCCTTGTTGTCACGCCAGTATTTCTGCTCTTCCTTGTAAATTGCTTGCGCTTCTCTCCTCTTCAAGTCGAGGTAACTCAATGGTGGCTGTCCCTTGCCTGAATCTGTAGAGAAGTTTACTGGTGATGTTGGTGGTCTCATTGAGCTGTTTCCACCACCGAATCCCCATCCTGACTTCTTTGGCTGTCCACCCTGGTTCTTCCAGTTCTCAATCTGCTTTTCTCTCATCTTTTCCTCTACCTTTGCCCATTCTTGGGGAATGTTTGTGCCGTTGTACTTTTGCAGCACTGGACGTACATCTGGGACATTGAACAGTGCAACGCCTGTGAAGGTGGTGGTGTTAGCAGGTGACTTCAATTTAACCACTCAGACTCACATTCAAGGAAAGGAATATGCGCGATGAGGTCCTTGTTGCCTGGCTCGCCCTTCCATGGTTTCAAGATGAGTCCATTCTCAGGCTGTGCTGATACATTCTCTGGGTTTGTGTCGAGTACAACTACCTTGCTGAGGTCGCGATTCAGGTAGCTGAGATCCTATCGAATGAGTCAGTAAAGTCCAAAAAAGCCACAGCAAGTCACCCACTTTGACAGTCTTGCCGTTCTTGTATCTAGTCGACTCTCTAAAGAGCTTGTAAGGGACGTAAGCGCCGAATGGGTCGAGCTTCTCCATCACGCTTATCGCAGTGTAGTTTGGCTGAGTGGTGAAGAGGACGATTTCGTAGAATTGCGACAGGTAACCGAGGAAATACTCAGCACCTGGTCTCTTGGCGGTTCTCCAGCCGTGTTGGCGCTGTGAGGTTGTATGAGAGGTGAAAAATACGTGAAATGTGTTTCACTCACGTCCCACGACGAAGACACCAGCAGGCCCTCTAGATCGACCAGTAGAGTGTAAGGACGTTGGTGCGGTGGAGGCATCATCGGTGGCAGCAACTCAGACCAAGCTGGCTTATCGAACACATCAGTGTAACCTCGCAGACGATTGTAGAGGCGACTCCACCAGCTATCAATGACGGCACTTTCGCCAGCCTTCTTGGTCCTCTCAATTGCCTCTTTGCGTTCACTGTCGTCCTCCCAATCGCGCGAAAGGTGTATAGCACCAGCTACAGCACCGAGACCAGCGAGAGCGAGCATAATGCGTGATCTCATCTGTCTACGCTTCTCTATAGACGACATACTCCTCTTACCCTTGGCCTGTGCGCCAGTAGTCTCGCCGCCAATCCTGAAAGGCTCGTCTGTAGAGACGTTGAGATCTGGGACGAGCTTATCCAGCTGATTGGAAGCTATTGATGGTTGTGGGAGTGGCTTTTTGGCTGTTTCCTGCGCCTCGTTCTCGTTTGGCTTGTGTGCCTTGTGTGCACTGCCATCGTCACTCATTGGGCGCACGAATATCCCCGCGCGGCTAGCACAGCGTGCCGTTCTGCTCACATGCCCTAATATTCCCGCTCGCAGTATCGGTGGTGACATGGTCGTTTTGCGCTGAGAAGTCCGTCTTCTCTCTCCACACAACAGCCGCAGATAACAAAATTTATGTTTTTAGACGGACACAGCCAGCCTGTTATTGATTTGTGCGTGAGCCCGCATGATCAGCGGGGTATCACGCTCGCCACCGCTTCTGGTCGGTGGTGCACACACATCCAGACTCTTCCTGATCCACCCACACAGAGGACTGCACAGCGAGAATCTGGACAGGCAGCTTCGACGATGGCTTAAGATCCACTAAGGCTGTCGTCGGATTCGAGGATGCCGTTGTTGCGTTGGCTTGGGATACGAGAAATGCACACAAGCTGTATCTCTCCAACGGTGGCAGTGTGGGTGGTGTTTACTGTATAAATGCGTTAACTAATGGATACAGCTGTTTTTGTTCTCTTTGGACACACCTAAACCGCTGATTCACGCTTCTAATGCACTTGAGACATGGAAAGTATCAGAAGTTGAGATAAACAGCGTGTGTCTTGCTTTCAGGGTTTATATTGCTAGGCTAACCCCCAAATGCAGATACGTATTGATAGAAAGTCACTTGAATTGGCCTGGTGCGACGACAGCGGTGCAGTAGGCATCCTCAACCTGTCCACTGGGAAGAGCAGGCTGTTTAGAATGAAGCATGCCAACATCGCCAGCAAGGTGCTGTACAAGTCAGCCAAAGACGGCGAACGTATGTTCCTCCCTTCACTTCAAGACACCCAACTTACGTGAAAAATTGCCAGTACTCTCAGCGTCGTACGATGGCAGTGCGTTGATATGGGATGCACGCAAGGGTACCATAAGTGACACGCTAGATCTGAGTGCCCGTCAAAGCGCACAAGCTACCACACCATCATTCGTACTCTCCCTCGCGTCGTCGGAGGATGGAAAAAGACTGGCGACGGGTGCAGGGAATGGGTCAGTGTGGATGTCTTCGACGCGTCTATCGAATGCCAGAGAAGTTGTTGCTCACACAGGACCCGTCGTTGGGCTTGCCTTCGCTGACTCTCGCCTGTTAAGCTGTTCCCTGCACCAGCTGTGCGTGTGGAAGGAGAATTTGGAGGAGGTGGCCACTACTGTGGATATAAAAGACTTGGAAAAGGCAAATTGCATTGCTGCAACCCGTACACACGTCTTTATTGGTGGATTCACGCAAAGTGGGAGTGGAAGAGTTTTAGTGATGCCTTTGGAATTTTAAAAGGGATTTACATATATTTACTTGGTACAAATTCGTCCATGAGCCATAATGTGGAATTGGTTCATGTACAATTGGGCGAGTGAGCGTGACTGGGGCTGTGATCGTATGTACAGTATCTTATTAAAACACCACAGTCTCAACAAATCGCTCTTGTCGAGCCGATGTACTGCGATGCCGACGCATGGATCGCGGAAGCCAGCCAACGCGCCACCCAGCCTGCTAGCGTGGCTGAGAGGAGCCAGAAGCCAAAGCCAGGCAGGAACTGGGAAAATCATATTCAGACTGCTTTTCGCCGAGACTGATGTAAAGCGTCGATATGGATTGAAGGAGTACACACTCACGCCACTCCTGAGCAGCGTTCTGGGCGTGGATTTTAAGAGCACATCTCAGTCTAGGCCGAGATGTCTACGACGCTCTGACAAGAATCCCTGTCACCACTACTCCCCGCGATATTTCCTTATACAGGGTGGACGAGCTACAAAGCGAATTGGCAGCGCGGTGCATCTGGAGCGGCAAATGCATCAAGAAGTACAGAAGTAGGCGTACAAAAGAGGACATCCTCCGCGATTTGCTCTGCGGTGTTTCAGCTGAATCTGTGGCTCTAATCACGCAGATTATCTTGAAAGATATAATTTTACTCATATACCCACGACCATGAGCAAAATCACTTATCAACTACAATTCCAACGCATAACGAAGCTAAGTCTGCATGACTAAATGGCCGCTTGGCACTGGTCTATGCCCAAGATATACGCAAATATGGCTGATCTCGATTTATCTGCTGATGCTGTGGAAGATCTGCCAGTGGACGCTTCGCCGTTTAAATATCAACATCTCATCCACTCACTTGGAACCCAGCTGGAGGTAGTTTCACTGACCTTGCATTGTCTCACACTCACACACACACAAATACCGAAATGCATCAAAGGCATCTCCCTTCGACATGCTCTAGACCTTGGTCAAGGCGCAATGCAGCTCGCCGCGGAGACGAAATAAGACGGCGAAAGAATGCAAATTCACGTCTTCGACCGCGACAATGTGAAGATCTTCTCCAAATTCATACGAGATAGCACGGCCGACAGATTACTGACCATGTCAATCATCATAGAAGCTTTGGGACTGGTGCGGAAAGTATTCCCTCGCGGCTTCCCCGCGGATGAGTTCCACCACGCCCTTCCATCATCGCAAGAAAGGCCCAAGGTCCACGATGCAATACTTGAGGCTGATATGGATGCTTTAGACAGGATAATCACTTCACGTAGTCATCATTCTAGTACTTGAAGTTAAGATTTGTACATCGCTGTCACAAACTTGAGGTGGAACTTAGATCTCGTTAAATTAAGTAATAATGAGATTCCGAGGATACGACTGATGTACTTATTTCCTTTATTTTTCTAGAATTACTGAAGTGACCACAAAGGTCTCAGCGAAATTCACGATTATCTAAGTACAATCTATCATTTTCGCTAAATGGTATAAGGTTTGGTGTACTTTATCTTGTAAGCTCATAATGCATATCTGTGGCTTCAAATCTCCAAATCCACTAAGTTTGCGCTTGGATGACAAAGTCAGACTTATTGAGCTTTCTTTCAGAAGCGAGAATGAAAAAATCAGATTTAAAGGTATTTATCTATTAATTAAATGACAAGGAATAAATCTATATTATTATCTACAAAATAAAGTAAAATTCAGATCTTCAAGTATTGAATATCGCGATTGCACAATTTTTCTACAATTATTGTAAATGTATTTTCACGGTGCACGTAGAGACCATCTAAATGAGATATATATATTCTAATATATTATTATAATTTCCACTTTAGATATCACTTTTAGTAGAATTGTATGTTCTAATTAAATTTCTCTAAATATTTTTCCATTCTTATATTTCTTATTTATTACATATGTATTTTTTTTTTTTTGCCGTGTCTAAACTTTTAAGAAAGGTATTTCAATTTCACGATTTTGAAAGTTGAGTTGACCCCCACTTTTTATTACATCAATCGATAGCGCTATGTTTGGAGATTGCGTTGGTGATGTATTTCATCCTCTACGGTATGATTGCGTATTGCAGTCGTCGAAGTAGTCGAAAACTTCTTAGCGTTTATCTCTCTCTATTTTGGTGGCTGTTGTCACTCTGTCCACCACTCAATTCGGTCTGGTTGCAGCATTGAAATCGCGCAGATCATAAATCGAGAAGGAATTCAAGAGCGTGAAAATTGGAAGGGTCCTTATCGTCGTCAAGGATCCACAATCGGTTGTTCCTTTAGCCGGATTCAGATTGCTTTGGGACTCCATCAGCCTAGTTTAGGATTGTAGTGAATTAATATTACTGTATTAACTCCTGTTTATTGAGCTTCTTGGAAACTTGTATGCACGCTGAAACGCCTACGCAAGCACTCTGGCAGAATTTTTTCTGCCTCCTTTCCCTAGTGCAAAAACAATGGTAGAACTGGGACTCGAACCCAGGATGCCTGAGGCAGCCGGAAAACTTAAGATAAATTACTTAAGCCGACCCGAATAACCAACTATCGGATTCTACCAGGCGAAAAGCGCGCGGTTTCCCGTCGTACTACTCGGCAATGAAATTTTGAGCGCGTCTGTAAAATATAATCCTTTGAAATTAATGTGTGCCCATTTCAAGTACCTGTGTGAGCGTTTTAAATTAATTTGGCTCACTCACACTCATATTGACTCGAGTGTGTCGGTGGGAGTGGTTCAATTGGCTCTTCGGTGTCACATTTGCATTAAAAAATCAAAGTGGCACAAAAACTTTAAAAAGGTCTATCGCAACCTTAATGGCTTTAAATTTGGTGTTTTCGAGTCAGCGCGGTCCAGGTACTCGCAAGGCGAACAAGGCAAATGAAAGGGATAAATAAGCTTTATTGTCGGATTTCACGATCTCGTAAAAATGCAGCACCTTTGCTTCTCCTCACACCTAACGATCGCTCAGTCTACAACTCGGCCCTCTCTTACTGATGACCTCAGGAGGACTTTATGAAATAGAAGACGCGTCTTACTATTCAATATAATACATAATGAACCTCATAATGTTATGTTAGACTCGAAGTATATGCAATTGCTCAGCTCACCCTGTAAAGGACGCGAAGACAGGTACATTGTTTACCGCGAAAGTATACAGTTTAGCAGCATAATCATTTTCATCAAATCGTCAGAGCTTCAAATTTACCTCTCTCTTTCAACCATCCACCCGATATACACCGATTAGACATTCCTAAGGATGACACCTCATAGAGACTGGTTGATTGCTACTTCTGATAATCTCAAAATGAAAGGGCTTGATTGGCAGCTCTGGTGGCATGAAAATGATTAGGCCAATTTCAGGGCCCTTCAGTCCCCACCGTGTCCTGTACGTTTATGGGGAATGTCAATTCAACATTACACCGGAGCATGCAACGGAGCAGATGTAGATGGTAACACATGTTTTATTTGATTGTGCCATTCTAAAAGATCGATAGGGACCGTAAACACCCAAACACCACAACTATTCACCCTCCGAGTCGCGTGTCTTGTTTTACGACGCGTACCCTCCACGTTGTTTGCTGTTGAATTTAGGGGAAAAGTGAGACAATTTCATGCCAAGACAAACCTATGGAAAATAATTCATGTTAAATAAAAGTGGTCAGCTCAACACTGTAATTGGGGGGTTTGACTCAACCATGTGCATTACAAAAATGCGAATAGTGAAGGGAAAGGCTTGGTTGAGGTTGCGCAAGAATTTCAGAATCCGGGAAAGTATTATATACATTTTCAATATCAAGTTTCTAGGAGGCATTCTTACACCGTGACCACAACGAAAATGTCATTCGGAACGATTTCACTCAACGACGGCACAACGGCTCCATCACCGTGAGTGAGAAGGAGAGAAGAGAGTAGAGGTCAATGCTGATCCACCACCGTAGCGCCTTCGGCACAGGCAGTAAGTGAGGCCACCCATGCATACCGCGCTAAAAGCGGCCAGCGGCGCTGAAAGGGCGAGATGCGAAAGAGCAGGTATTGCAAGCACTCCAGAATGGACAGCGACACCTAGACTGTGCGCAGTTCTACGGCAATGAAGGGAGTGTTGGTGAGGCGATAGCCGCGAGTGGATTACCTCGATCATCTTTATACATAACAACAAAATATGCCACTGGGGACATCAGCACATCGCTACGCACATCTCTGCAACTTCTCCAGGTGGATTATGTGGATCTGTACCTGCTGCATAGTGTGAAGTTTGCAGAGGTGCACGGATTATCTAGGAGCTGGGAGGTGATGGAGTCGCTGCAGCGCGATGGTCTGACGCGCTCTATCGGCGTGTCAAATTACAGAGTGGGCGATTTGGAGATACTTGGACACACAGCACACACCATGCCCGCTGTTAACCAGGTCGAGTTTCACCCGTTTGTCTACAATCAAGCCGCCAAGCTCCAGCAATACTGCCATGATCACGGTATTGCGCTCGCTAGCTACGCTGGCCTCGCCCCACTTACTAAAACGCGACATGGTGATTTCGACGCTGTGGTTAAGCGCCTCGCTAGCAAATACGCTATTACTGAGCATGCAGTGCTGTATAATTGGCTGCGCAAGCATGGCGTTTTCGTCGTTACTACTTCCAGTAAGAAGGAAAGACTCGAGGAGATGCACTGGCTGGCGAGGGAAATTAGCCATGAGGACAGCGCTGAGCTTGACAGCGTGGGCTCTCAGTACCATCACCGATACTACATGTCATTCATGGATGAGTGAGTGGAGTGCAGGAAGAACGGTGATTACAGGAAGCACGGTGACTACAGTAAACACAGTAAACCCATTGAATAAATACATTACGCCACTGTTTCAGACTAGTTACAGTAATACTACGCTACGAAAGTTATGCGTTAGTGACTGGGTCGAATGACCAGAAAACCTGTGAAAACTCATTTGAATCAGGTGCGAGTCTATCATGGTCCAAGGTTTAGAAAGGGATGGTCGTGAGCGGGAAGTGGGAGTGCAGGATGGCTACTCCCCAATCTTGTACTAGGGTTTATTTGAAGAATACTTGTGCTAGGGTTTATTTGAAGAATAGCGTGCGTATTTCATTCAGCACCAATTCGAGCGAGTGAAAGTGTCAAGCGCGGCATCAGCGTTGAGAAGGCTGTTAACGAGCGAGTGGGAGTAGTTGTAGTTGATCAAATTGCTGTGGGCTGTAAAGAAGAGAATATAGAAAGAACTGAAATTTATATGCGCGGATGGCTGGCTGATTGAGTCTGTGAAATGTACTTGAACAGGAACAGTGGTCACCTGGTGTACTAGAGAATGCCGCTGTATAACATTCTGTGTATCGCAGCGCATTATCCAGAGATTGTGGGTGTGTTTGGTGGTTTTTGGGTGCGCTGACGCCGTGACGCCGACCAACAGGCACCGATCCGCGAGCTTCTGAAGACAACGAGCTCAATCATAAACAACGGCAATGGAGTTATCAGGAGTGTGGATTTCTGGGGCACCCAAACGCTGCCAATGAAGATGAGAAGACATCAGGAGATGCACGACAAGGGCGATTACATAAACATGCAGTTCATGGGATCGCCTAGAGTGCTCAACAACCTCAACCAACTCCTCAGATTAGATCCGCGAGTCGTTCGATGGCAGACGATCAATCAGGGTGCAAAACTGGAGGATGTACTGGGGAAATGAACAACTAAAGAAATGAACAAATGAACAAAACTACTTTCTTATCTTTGAATCCAAGTTGATTGTGAATGGTCCGTCGTTTTCGATATTGACGCGCATCATTTCCCCAAATCTGCCGTCTTTGATGAGATCTGGGTGGTGTAGCTGGCTAAGCGTGTTGAGGAAATGCTGGTAAGCGTCTCGAGCGTCTGAGCTCTTCATGGCTTTGCGGTAGTCCAAGCTGTTGCCTTTGAGGGAGGCATGCAAGGTGAACTGCGAGACGGAGAGTATTTCGAGGCGGTTGTCTGCCACACATGCGCCGCCGTCGAACAAACGCAATTTGACAAGTTTGTTGGCCATCCATTGAATGTCCTCGTCGCTATCATCCACGCTGAGCCCCACGAGAAGACACAAACCACTGTTTATGCTGCTCACCAGTTGCTCGTTCACCGTTACCGACGCTTTGAGAACCTTGAAAACCTTGAGCATTCCAACTTAGGCGCACGGAGATCCTCACCTTTTGTACCACCACTCTCATCCTGGTTGTGCTGAATGACGCACAACTTACCGCCAATCTCCTCGCTCGATTTGTTCGATAGGCAGAGAGGCTCCGGCGTGGGCGCGGATAGATCGCCGCCGCCGTCGCTCTTCCAATTCCCAACTGAGCTTCTGCCGTCGTCGTCGTTCAGGCATCCATACGTGACGAGCTCCCGTTCTGATCCGCTGCTCGGAGGGAAGAAGGCGTTGTCGGATGCCTCTGCGAATATGTCGCCTAATCCATCCTATGCATCGTCATATCCATCGTCTAATACATCCTCCAATGCATACACCTCCAGGAAACGACCGCCATCCACCAACTCGGGGGCTGTCAACCAGCGGAACCACGTCAAAGCAAAGAATCAGCACAGCAGTATACTCGTGGAGTGCATAGAGTTGCTCCATCAGCGCTGCGATCCACGCACCACGCCCCCTCTACCACCCAACTGGCACGAGCGTAATTTGAGGTCCGTCAAGGATAAAGTGGGCGCAGTGAAGGATCTCTATTTGAGTCTTACTGGCGAGCCTTGGGAGCAAGGGGATTGATGGAGTCAAACTCTATGTCTTGGTGACACAAACACACTTGTAATACTATTTATCTCGTCTCACTTTACACCACTCATTCTAGTCTTTGTCGGCAATCTTCTGCAGAATATCCTCCACTTGATCCTCCCCGAGAGTCCTAAACACCTTATCGTGCTTGCTAACGACGCCTATTTCGATTTCGCTTGGTTTAAGATCGGTGCTGAGGACGCTGCTGAGGGTTTCAACCGCCAGTTCGAGCGATTGTTCATAACCGAGGGTGATATTCTCCACCTTGAATTTCTTCTCGAGGAAGTTGATAGCCTCTGTCTGTTTAGTGCCTGCGGAAGTTGCTTTGAAGCCAACAAAGTAGCCAGCAGGATCTACCTTGAAGAGCTGAGGCTGATCGAGTTCATCGTCGTGCCCAACGATCATCATGGCGATACCTAGTGGGCGCATTCCCGCTCTTTGCGTATGTACCTGGTTAATATTGGCTATTCTGCGCGCGAGCTGCTCAGCGGATATGTCGTAGCCGTACTTGTACTTGAATTCGGCAGCCTCAGAGCGAGCGCGCATCACTTGCGAGCGGGCGTCGGGCACTATACCAGTCATTACACAGCCAATTGTGGGCGTTAGGGAGAATAAGTGGGTCACTGTAGACGCATCTAATAGCTTGTCGGGTACTCGCTTCTGGGTGATTACTACACTGGCTTCATCACCGCGCACTCCTACAGCCGTTTGGTTTGAACCTGATATCGCCTTGAACGCATACTCTAATTGGTATATTCTGCCTTCTGGACTGAATACTGTGAGGAATCTGTCATAAGAGGATCTGGACATGTTGTTGGAGGTACGTAATCAAAGGATAATTTCAGTAAAACAAAAGAAATTGTTTGAATTGTATAAAGTGCATAAATTCATGTTAAATCTATCTCGAAGGAATAAAAAATGCGTTTACATTGGTTTATCTGGTTATCTGAAATACAGCACTAGAATGGGAATCCACCGGCAGAAGTGAATCTGGTTCCACCACCACCGAAAGAGCTATAACCGCCACCCATTCCACCACCACCCATTCCACCACCAAACGCACCAGATGCGAATAAATCAGCCAAGTTTATATCTGCACCCATTCCACCACTGCTAAATCCACCACCCATGCCACCAACGCCTTCATCAAGATCAAGACCATTGTCATATATGTGTCTTTGTTGTGAATCTGTGAGTACGCTGTAAGATTCGTTGATCTGTTTGAAATATTCCTCGTCACCACCTTTATCTGGATGGTGAATGAGGGATTGTTTTCTAAATGCCTTTTTCAATTCAGGATCAGTTGCAGTCTTTTGTACTTGAAGTATTTTGTAGTGATCGACGCGTTTAGATTTTTTGAGTTCCTTTTCAGCGTTACGGACTTCCTTCTCCAAGCCCTGCTTTTCTTCCATGGTGCAGGTATCGAGAGCAGCTTTAAAGTCGGAGACGCACTCTTCAAACTTTTCTTGAGAGAGGTTTATACGAGCGCGTGTTCTGAGAGCTTTAGTGTAGTTTGGGTGTAGTTTGAGAGCGTGATCGACGTCAGTAAACGCTTCATCAGATTTATCGGATAATTTGCTGTAAGCAGTGGCGCGGTTGGATAACAAAACAGCCTTCACTTTACCTTCACCGATTTCGCCTTGATCGCTGCTGAGGGCGTCAAGGGCGGTGGAGTATTGTTGTATAGCTTCAGTATAACGTGCGTGTTTGAAAGCCTCATTACCACTCTCCTTACCCCTTTCAACAACGCGTGTACGTTTAAGGAGTGATTTAGCGGGAGAAAAGTCAGGATCAGATCTCATTGCAGCTTGCAAGTGAGCGATGGCTTTAGAAAAGTTGGAGTCGAGGAAGAGAACGCGTGCTCGGAGGTAAAGGAGGTCAGGGGAGGCGGGGGACATGGAGAGAAGGTCGGACGCAATTCTACCAGCTTCGAGGAGGTCACCTTTGCCGATGAGACATTCAACTTTACCGGCCTTCCATTCGAGAGGGGAATCGAGGACGTTGCAGCCAGACTCACGCTCAGCCTGGCGCAGGGACATAGAAGCCATAGACCAGTTGTTGTTAGCGCGTTCTTTGTCGTAATTGTGGATGGCGTTGAGCGTGCGTTGGCATTGTTGGGTGAAGGATACAAGGGAGGGGTCACTCGAGGATTTGTAGTCGGTGAGAATGGCTAATGCCTTTGCTGGCTGGCCCAAGCTGAGGTAACAGCGTGCAAGTCTGAGCTGGATTTTCAAGGAAGAAGGGGTGGTTGACGTAGCCTCCTCAATGTCATTGATAGCCGATCTGAACTTCTTCTGAGCCATTAGAGCAGCAGCTCTGTTTGTAAGGAAGGCTTTGTTGGATGGGTTTGCTTGGATGGCGGTGGTGTACAGTGACACAGCCTGATCATAGTCACCGCCTTTAAACGCAACATTCCCCTGCTCTTTGAGTTGCTCTGCGTGTGCGTCGTCGCCCATTTAAAAACCTTGAATCCTTGGTTCAAGAAGACAGCCATCATTGGAATATCAAGGAATAATTAAAATTTATCTAAAATGACTGGGAACCAGCAGAAATCTAAACAGTCCAAGCAACCCAAGGATTCCCAACTCGCTTCCATCTCTAACGGTTTAAATAGGCGTCGTCCCGGCAGCACCGAGGATACAACGCCAGACCACCTAAAATCTATTCCAAATAGAAAACTACGTAATAAGCTCATTCGCCAGCACAACTACCAACAAGCCAGCCAGCGTGCTATTGCTGATTATCAGCATTATCTCTTACCAGACAGCAGCAACGGCATTCAGCCAGAGCATCCCCTTGAACGCACCTACAAACTCAATCAATCCCATATCAAAGACGCCGTCGCGGTCTCCACCGCACAGAAGTCCTTCTCCCTCTCCATCCAATCTGGCGTAAACGCCCTTTCGTACTCTAACGACGGCCGTAACCTCGCCTTCACCGCCCCGCACGGCCGTATTGCTTCCTTTGACCCCACTCTCGGCCGACTACACACCGATATCAACACCCATGAACACACCTCCGCAATCACCTACCTCCACAACTCTAGTATGATGGCTGTAGCCCAATCCAAGTATGTCTACATCTACGACAACCAGGGTTTAGAACTGCACAAACTCCCTGACCACATTGAACCCCGTCACCTTCAATTCCTCCCGCACCATTTCCTCCTCGCCTCCGCTGGACACACTGGCTGGCTCAAATGGCAGGATGTCAGTACAGGTGCGATGGTAGCCCAAACACGTACCCGCCTCGGCCCCACCACCGCAATGGCCCAGAACCGTACCAACGCCATCCTCTCCCTGGGTTCGAGTAACGGCACAGTCAGTTTCTACTCTCCCTCCACTCCTCACGCCCATGTCAAGCTACAAGCCCACCGCGGTGGTGTCCGCTCCATCGACCACGACCGTCAAGGTCGCTATCTCGCCAGTGCTGGTGCAGACGGTATGGTGAAGCTCTGGGACATGCGAATGTGGAGGGAACTCACCACTTTCCGCGCCCGCAACCAGATCGCCGATATCAGCTTCAGTGATACAGACATGCTAGCTGTGGGGTGGGGCAACCATGCCTACGTCTACCGCGACCTACTACAGCAGCAAGTTGACAACGGCAGCAGCAGCACCCCTACACCCTACCTCACCCACCACTTCAGCGGGAGGAATGTAAACAAAGTCGCCTTCTGCCCGTATGAGGATGTCTTATCGGTGGGACACGCCGGTGGTCTCGATAATCTCCTCATTCCAGGTGCTGGAGAGGGTAACTACGACTCCCTCGAAGCTGATCCCTTCGAAGGCAAAGGCGCGCGTCGTGAGCGTGAAGTCCGCCAGTTGCTCGATAAGGTGCGTTTTTTGTGTGGTGTACATGTATTATTCTAACTGACACAAACTCCCACAGATCCAGCCCGATCTTATTACTTTCAATGACAACGTCCTCGGTGGACTTCACCTCCAGCATGATAACAACAACCCTAATGCGAAGAAGGTACAGGGTAAGAAAACTCGCCCGGTCGGCACGCCCAAGCCCTTCGCTCAGATGTCGAGATCGGAGCGACTGCGTGCGAATGGGATGGGAGAAAGCGACGAGGAGGAGGGTGATGACGGTGACGATCAAGCTGACGATGACGCTGACGATGCTGAGGGCATGCTCGACGAACTCGACACTCAACATCACGACGACATGGGTAGAGCACAATTGAAGCAGAAGAAGAAAATGAGAGGTAGGAACACCTCTACGAAGAAATACCTGGCGCGGAAACGTAAGAACGTCGTCGAGCCTTCTCAACTCGCCCTCAAAGCTAAATTGGCTAAAGAGAAGGCTGATATTGAGGCTAACGTTGCTAACAGACGTGGCACCAACACCCCTCATCAACCGTCTGCTTTGGATAGGTTTACCAAGTAGGTGAAGGTGTAGGTACATGTGTGCATGTCAGTAGTGTACTAGTTGGATGCTTTCCTCTCTTTTCTCGTCATATATTCTATTTATTTTGCAATTCTGTTGCAATTCATGCTTTGGTTTGTGCTTTATGCTTTATGCTTTCTGCAAGATTTCCCAAGTTACATCCCTGGCGCTTCAATCGCGCCTTGCACGCTGCTCGGAAGCAAATATCCGACATGGCTCTGGGCATCATATAGGATAAATAGAAAAAACAACACGCGTTTCATCGATAATAGCCAATCATATTGACTGATATAGACCACAGCCACCCACAAGTCGCATTTGCTCCCTCTCCATCCACGCGATTTACCTCTTGGCGTCCACAGGACTAAGGCTATCTTTAGAGAAAATTTTTAGATATTGCGCATCATCGCAAAGCATTAAATGTAATGGATGTAACCGTTGCAGCTGATGTAATTCATGAATAGGAAAGTGAACATCAGCCCAACTCCAACTCCGACTCTGCAATCTCTGCAATCGGCCGTTTGGCTTTATCAGCAGGAGTATGTCGAAATTTCTAAATAGTCCAAGTGAAGTGCTGGTCAAGGTAGTTAAAGAATTGTGCGAGTCAGGTTAGTGGAAACGCATATATTCATGTACCAAGTTTCACTCCCTGAGACATACCACATGTGCATTTGTATCTGGTTGGGCGAGTGCAGAGCAAATGACTTTGCTTTTCGTGATAAGCTGTATAAAACACCTAATCTCATCACAAACCTGATAGCTACAGAATGTTTTCAAGATAGCTCAAATTAAAGAGTAGGAATAAGTCATTTCGTTCAGTTATCTTGGTCAGCAGCTACAATTTAGCTGGTAGTTTGAATCTGCATCATTTTAGCTGCTGCCCTGACAACTGAGGATCAACACTACTCACTGTGCTTCAGTGTTACCCTTGCCCATACTATTAGTTGATGAAACACCGCCGAGACAGTTCAAATTAGCATCCGTCACTGTGATATGACCAAATATTAATCAGTCATTGAACATGTCATTCGACCGGGACATCTAACAAAATCTTCCCTCTTCGCTTTGGAAAACGCAATGGGAAGTTGTAGAAATTTACATGACTGCCTGTAATGCTTCAATGCTCCAACGCTCCAATGCGCCATTTTAGCACTGTCAGATACAAGCTCTAAACACCTCCTTGGCATAAGTTAAGTTGAAGAATCTCGACCGCCATTGAGCTGTTGCTTCCGTTGAACAATTACGTGATAGGGCGTGAGAATCGCGGAAGTTTATTTAGAAATTGCATTGTTACAACTACATATCAAATGTAGCAAGCCAAGACATTCAACAAAACCCATAATAGTCGAATATATCTGTATTTACAAGTCGAGTTCGAAAATAGAATAATCAAGAAAAATTTGGGTGAGATTCGTATTATGTATTAACGAAAAGTATTCACCGCTGTGAAAGATAAAGCCAATATATACCAGATGGCTAGGAATGACATCGGTTGAGATGGTCATTAGTGGTCGCGTTAAGTGGTTGGTCTCTTTACTTGTTTGTGATTGTGGAGAAGACGAAGAGCACGTGAAATAATTGAGAGAAGTAATTGGTGCAAAAGCTTGGTGTTGACAATTGAGTAGCCTACAGAAAGGTAAGGAAAAGTTGATTGTTTGCAATACGCGTTGATCGCTAGCAACACGATCTAATCGCTTGCAACATGCGTTAATCGTTTGCAACACGCTCTAAATAAACGCGTTTGAAAGAAGGACGTTTGATCCAACTACGCCAGAAGCGCTGTGTGGGTGTTAGTGATTTTCGGTAAAACCTTCAAATTCAACCCACCCTTAAACTGTCACAAAGACTCAACCCAACAATATTCAACAACTTGAGTAGACCCTCGTCATCCATAGAGCCATTTATATCGGCTATAACTCTCGCTAGGAATGCAACTATAATCAAGTCTACCAGAGTAAGATCATGGCCTAACAACCACGGACCGCGTTGTTCACGCTGTTCAGTTGATGTGGTGGTGTTAGAGAGATGATCCGACGATAGTTCATTATCGACTTTGATCAAAAAAGATGCGACGTTCGACCAGGTTTTCTTGCTTGCATTGAAGAAATCCTGGCGATTTTTCAAGATAACTTCCACAGGCTTGTCAATATTTGATGGAATATTGTCATTGGGGTATTCAGTGGTTGTAGGAGGGATGTACCTGTATCTATATATATCAAGTATATCCATATTCGACTTTGATTTTGATTCAAACCAGCTTCGTCTGTCTACAGGGCATAGGTGTCTGTATCGATCGAAAGCAGTCTGACGAGAGGTCAAGTAGGAAACGGCGCGAGTAGAGTTCAATTCCAATTCAGAGGGAGACGTTGCGCTCAGCATGAGGAAATTGGTATCAACTTCACCAGAGAGGAGGTAGTTGATGAATTCATCACTCTTGCTTATTAAGTGTGGCAGTGGGATGAGTGAAGGTATAGATCTTCTCTTGATTGAAAGGAATTTGAGAATTGATTTGGTGTCTGAAATGCGCGTATATTCTACTGGTCTGTCTGCTTTGATTGATTCCGCGTTGGGGACGAGCATCACCGGAAGCGTTCCAGCTGGATTTATGGCCAGAAAAGAAGGGTGGAAATTATCACCCATATTCAAATCCACTTGTATCAAATCAAAATCTTGGTCGCTATATATTTTCTCCTCTAAGCAAAGTCTGACTATTGTAGACTGATATGAATGAGGTGACCAATATAACCTTGATGGAGGTATCATGGCATTCAACTCTATATCTCAATGCGCTTGAGTCTTTTTTTTTTTATCTGTCGGTGTGATTCGCTGTCTAGATTAAACCAGTGAATCCACCAGTCACACTATTTAGGATTTGTAGATCATTGATGGAAGTATTTTTTATTTTTACAAAAATTCTTTTGGTCTGCTTATTGGGTCTCCCGCTTGACTATCATATATTAATCCAGCCACCTTGAACGCCAACTCATCCGCTTGACCACGCGTTTGTGCTTCTGCGTAAACTCTCACACAATCTTCAGTACCTGAAGGTCTAACGAATGATCTACCATCCTGATACTTGCTTACATGACCATCTATCTCTTTCTGCAGATCAGCTGGCGTGACTAGCTTTCTTTCCGCATCGGTCGTCGTGAAAGCGGTTCTGTCTGGTACTGTAACCTTAACTAATCTGTTTGGGAAGTCTTCATACAGCCCATCCCATTCTGCTGGTCCCCATTGCTTTTGAATGAGAATTGCTTCAACCAGTAATAAATCTGATAATGCATCTCCAACAGTTTGGTTTGCAACTTCAGAAAGAGCAATCAATTGTTGTAAAGCAGTTTGTTGTGCTGGCATAACTGGCACTGTGTTCTTGATCAAATTTATAAATTCATCACTGAAAAGAACAGTCCCATGACCATTTGCTTCAAAGTAAACACCAACGCTATATTGTTGTGCTGCGTGATGAAGATGCTTAACACCAGTTGGTACACACTTAATTGGAACTTGTTGTGCGTTTATGAACTTTGAGCTACAACCATTAGCGTATGCTGTTTGAACAACACCAACATTTGCAGTATCAGACAAACCAGCTTTATCGACGAGATCAATGATAAACACTGAAAGCAAGCTAGCAATTTTATCACCATCGAGTAATTTGAAGTTACCTCTTTGGTCGTTGTAATAGTAAACAATTCTATCAGCGTCACCATCGAGAGAAGCGCAGCGTTGATTAGGAGTAGGTGAGAAACCAACTGGTAATTGCTGCTTAGATTTTACGTGATCAGCGCCGCAACCGTTATTAAGTTTACCAATTCCAGCAGTGGTATCGTCAAACACAGGCTCGAGTGTGAGTGGGGCATCGACTCTATTCAACCTAGAGTTAAGGTCATGGATATATGGAGCACCGATACCATTTGCACAGTCAACTTTTAAAGGAGCGATGCTAGGTTTACCTTGAACGAGGCCATTGAAAGCGTTGACCATCTTATCCATGTAACCGTTAATAGTGGGTTCACCGTACTCATCGTTAGTACCTTTGCTGTTGGTAGCGCGAACGAGGTAATGAAGTGCAGGAGTTGTAGCTAACCCGTAATCTTCTACTTGCACGCTACCATTGTTCACAGCGTGAATGCCATCTTTGAGAGAAGCGAGGAGAGAATCACCGGAAGGACGCGTGTCTCTTGCGATAATGATGTTAGCCTTTTTAGACAGATCAATTTTGAGGGTATTTGCAAGTTGTGTGCAGTAGCTAGCGAAGCTGTCTAAAGGCGTGTTTGCGAGTGCAGTCGCGTAAGCTTCCCAGGAAGGATCAAGCATGTCACCATGTGGATCAACAAGCTTTACGCCGTTATCCTGTGTGTATTTTGAATCAGCTCAAGCTGAAAACTTGGTCAAGACAACTAACAGATTCCGGGTTATGTGAAGCAGTGACCATAACGCCGACAGCTTTGCCGTCTAACTTTTGAGAGCGAAAAACGGCGATGATACCGACGCGGAATAATACGGCGTCGAGTACAGTGGCTCTGGGAGTGAGGAATGTTAGTGCCAGCTAATGAGAGACATATAGACAAACTTGGTACGGAAGCCAGCAGTACCGTATGCGTAGATGTGGTTAGCTGGTGGAGGATGTTGGTGTGCTAGCTTTGAGATATTTTCAGTAATCAATGACATTTTTTGGTGATTGTGTGTTGCTGAGAAGTCTCGCTCGGACAACAACGATTAACGAATAAGGAATGTCGTCAGTAGAAGATTTACATGGTGAGTTGAGCGTATTAACTCCGTGGCTTCTAACTTAATATCTCCCTCAACAGCCCTGAAGGACGCCCAAGCTAATCACGTTCGTGAAAGCTGGGTTAGTGCAATGGAACTTAGATTAGTTAAAACAGAGCTTCAAAAGTGCCATCAATATGAAGGAGTTAACCACTACGCTACTTGTCAAGATTTGAGTAATCGTTATGTGGATATGCTTAGGGATCATAGAGTTGGTGGTTTTCTAATGGATACAAGCACAAAATTGACAATTCATAGGTCAAGGGTTATAAGATTCAAGAGAAGGAAGTCGATTCTTAGTGTTGTTGAGCAGATTCATACGATTTCATTACTTGAATAGCCATACGTTCAGCTTGAGATTCTAGCATGCTTAGTTGGTGTAATGTATCTGTTGTTGCCTTTTTCAAATCCTCAACGCCCTCTTCACTACTGAGATTGAATTCTGTCAATCCGATATCCACAATCTCGTCTTCACTATCGAATAGATGTTCACCCATAATCAAATTGGATATTTTACCATCTTTGACAAGGTTTAGACGGGTTTCAAGTATATTTAGACATTCTCTAGCCCTAATTAGCTCCTCTACTAGCTGTTCTAATCGATCTGCTGAGGGAATATGATTGATTACGTTTGTTGCAGGTAAGTTACGCGGTAGGAGTGTGTTGCTTGGGTGTATCGTGAATTTCAATTGTGACATTATCCAATCGCCCACGAGATCATTCTTGGTGTACGATTTAAGCAATTCTAGATTATCAATTTCAATGGGTATATGCATTAATCTGTAGAGATGTATATCGCGTGGTTGAGTAGTATAAACCGTGTAAATGAAGAATAAGATAGCATTGATTGCATCATTATCGTTATTCTCAATAAAACCTGTAAACAGTTTGAATGAAATTCTGAAAATGGTTTGATAAAATGAACATCTTATATGTGAATGTAGGTGTATAAAGTGAATATTTCTCCAACCAAGATGTGTATACGTTTTTATAAAACAATCAAAAGCGTTTTGAGTGCTGTTCGGGATATTCAGGCTATTCGATTTGTACGTATCAACCAATCTTCTCAAGTCATCAAAGAGTGATGTAATGAATTGATTACTGTAAAAGTAAGATGGCTGTATATTATTTGCATATTTATTACCAGGCTCTGCTCTTCTCTTGATTACACTCATTGTGGCTGCGATGAAGTGAGTTTGAGTTTGGATTGAATTTACTTGAAATATTCAACGAAACTGAAGTAAAGTTAAAGAAATTCAAGCTTTAGTGAGTTTTCTGGATTCTTTGGGTCCTTGGGTTCCCTGGGTTCTTTGAATAAACTTCTAACTCACTTGGTATGGCTTAGAATGATAAGGAACTCCAGCTTAATCTTTCTTCTGCAAGTTGGCATGATCAATATAAGCGTGTGTAGAAGTTGATCGGAAATACTCAACTCAATTCACACCGCTCACAGACTCAGCCTATGTCTACGTCGGTGGTCTTTTCACTGGTCTAACAGAAGGAGACGTCATTACCATTCTATCTCAGTTGGTTGATTATCTAACCCCACGCACAAACACTCACACACACTCAGATTTGGTGAAGTCGCTGACATCAATATGCCCCGCGATAAGCAATCTGGTAATCCACGCGGTTTTGCTTTCGTCATGTACGAAGATCAGCGTAGTACTGTGCTAGCTGTGGATAACTTGAATGGGTCACAGGTGTTAGGACGCACCCTTCGCGTTGACCACGTCGATAGATACTCACAGCCCAAAGTGCGCAACGAGGACGGCGAGCTTATCGATGCTGAGAGCGAGCAACTCAATGCGCGCTGGACTGAGCACGTTGGAGAGAGTAATGAGAGTAATGAGATTAATCAGGGTAAGGGTGGGTGTTTGTATGGCTGCTTGAATCTCCCCCCGCTAAACACACACCACATAGGTAAGAGACATGAGGGAGATAGCGACAGTGAGTTGGAAAGCGAAGATCCTATGGCTGCGTATATACGCGCGCAGCAGAAGGCTGTCGGTGGTGTTTCCTCTACAGTTGACAAAAACAGAGAGAAAGAAGAGAGGAAAGCACGCAAAGCTCAACGTGCGGTTAAGCGAGCAGCGAGAGAAGCGTCTGAGAAAGAAAAACGACGTCGTTATTAAAATTACATCACTTCACCTCCTCATCATCGCTTGTACCAAATTAGCTCTATTGATAGCCCCACTCTTGTGAATCTCCTCCTTCCTCTTAAGAACATCAGATTGTTGTTCAAGTATAGCGAGAACCTCTCTCGCCAGTCTATGATGCAGGAACTTTTCATTACGTTTATCAGAAGCCTTCATTAGGGCATGGAAACCAAGTCTAATCCTCTGACGTTCGTTAAGTGCCAGTGGAGTATGTAGAACTTTATTGTTACGCTTGCTACTGCTTAGACGGAAAGAAGGTGCAGCCATAGCGATAGCGTTTCTGAGTAAGGAAACGGGTTCAGTGGAGTTTGCAGTGAGAGAGCGCATTTCAGTGAGGGTTTTATTAAGGTGACTCTCGGCTCTAGCTTTCTTTCCATCGCGCATAATTAGATTACTGAGATAACCCAATAACGGTTCACTTGAAGGTGGAATTTGTGTGGGTGTACTGCGAAATCCATTCACAGCGACCGATAAAGATGAAAACTGCTCAAAATGAGTCTGTGCCGTGCGGGAAGATGTTTGTAAAAATCTCTTCATCGCCGTGTGCTGGGAAGGTGAGTGTACCCACTTTGAGATAAAACAATCAAGTTGAAATAATAAAAATGGTGAGATTTGTTTATATTTTTATTCAGATTTATTAAATGAGTTTTATAGTCAGACGCTGGTAGGTACACGCACATACTCACACATACCCGCACCAACACACCTCCCGCAGAAGCTAAAGAAGCATTCGCCTTATTCGATAAACGCGGCACTGGGAAGATTCCTTCGGGTCAACTCGGTGACCTCCTTAGAGCTCTCGGCCAGAATCCAACACAAGCAGAAGTTGACTCTTTACGCTCTTCAGCACCTTCTGAGCGTGAGTTTTAACCTTTTCTTGGTTTTGTTACGCGTCTAACGCGTATAATTATCTCAGTCGACTACAAGACATTCCTCTCCATCCTCCAACGCCCTGATGGCTTCAAACCTGCAGGTGAACTTGACGATTTCGTTAGAGGTTTCCAAGTTTTCGATAAAGATGGCTCTGGCGTCATCGGCGCAGGTGAATTGAGATACGTACTCACTCAACTTGGTGAGAAAATGTCTGACGCTGAGGTCGATGAGTTGTTGAAAGGCGTGCCAATTTCTTCAGATGGAAACATCAATTACCGCGACTTTGCCGCTCACATTTTAGGTGCTTAGTCTTTTTCTCATATTTTTTCTCTTGATTACCCCAAATTGTTTCTGTTTTCTGCTTTGAATTGATTTTATTAAGTTAACAACAGAAATATAAAATATAAACGCGTTTCATTAAAAAGGTTTGATATAAAGGTCTTGTTTGTCCATCTACTCATTGTATCTTGGTGGTGGTGAGTTAATTACGTAGCTGTTGTATGTTAGTCTTTCTCTACATCCGCATACACCCTTACTCACCCTTTCGTCGTTCCACTGCCCTTCTCTATCTCCACTCTGATATCATATACCAAATTCCCAGTACTCTCGTCAAACTCTATTGAAGTCCAGTTCCTCCTTGGCATTACATATGGGTAATCACTTTCCTCTCCATTGGTATCAACTTGGAACAACTTGACTGCATCCTCTTCTGTTTTGATATAATGCAAACTCTTATGCTTCTTGGTAGCGAGATAGTTTACCACTTTAGCTGCAACTGGTGGTGGTGGAGTGTTTACGATAGCTGACGTAACGACATTAAACATCAATTTATGGTCCTTAGTTGGCTCCTTCTTCTTGCTGTATGTTCTACCAACTGCAGCAGCGTGTACATCTCCAGAAAGGAATGATATACGAAGGTTCTTGTCGAGTGCCAATTTCTGACATTGTTCAATAAACCAATTACGTTCCTTCTTGTGATGCTTAGCACACCAATGATCATTTAAATCATCAAGCAGCTCGGCATCTTTGTTAAATTTATTAACAAACCCATTCAACCCAAGCCATGGATGTCTACCGATAAATGTGAGCGGGTTACCTTTCCACTCGAGGAACTTCTCCGCAAACACCATTCGCGGATAGAGGAGAGGCACACCGATAAGCCACACAAGCTGCTCGACTTGCTCAGGCAATCTCTTGATAGCTTCGAAACATAAATCCCACGTCGTCCTGCTGCACATCTGATCGAGTTTCCTCTCAGCTCTGCAGTCCAGTCCTAACATGTAAACCTTTGGTCCGAGGTACGTGAGTGTGTTGTGTGTAGGGAATGGTATGTAGACACCCTCGCCACCAATAATCATCGATTTGAATGTGTGCGGTTTCGGCGCTGGCACTTTGTTTTCCTCCGCTTTCTGTCGAGCTCGGACTTGCGCAGAAGTTATTTCACCGAAGCCTTGCGGAGATGTGATGCGAGATCCGTCAACTTCCATAACTGTAAACTGCTGGAAGAGGAGATACCAGAAGTAACCACTTGTACCAATTTTATTGAAGATGGGCGAATACATAAGCTCGTCCGGGTAAGAGCCGAAACCATCAATGAGGTCGTGGTCATCGAGTATATTTACTTGGGGTATTTTTGCAACAGCTTCACCGAAAGAACCTGCTCTGAACCACTTGGAGTAGTGATTAAAGAAGAACCTATCGAGAGCAAACGCAATTGGCTCAGTTAGCGGCATCTTCTGCTTCTCTTCACCATCTTCCATACTAACCCAATCCTGCAATTCAGGCTCGCGCATGAGGATATCACAATAAATCTGATCACCGCCTCCAACGACGGTATGGAATGGTTTCTCCTTATGTTGTCTCAAAACATCATCCCATAGTCTAAATGGACCGTTAAAGTCAGCTGGGTTGACTCCCATCGAGAAACCATTGCAGCTCTGACCGATCCAGCGTAAGTGTTGGGAATGAGCGGGGACGTGGAAGGCATAACGAGCGCCACCATTGATGCCATACTCAACGGCATTCTCACTCTCGCCTAGTGGAACATCTATCATGAACCTCCAGAATGTGAAAGTACCTGAAGGTCCTCTATAAACATAGATAGGCTGGCCGTTAACGGACTTCTGACCACCGTTCCAGCTGTAACCAAGTATCGGGGTTGGGTCGTAGGTGCTTCCTTCGTCAGCAGTGACTATCATAGCAGCACCATACCAAACGCTATCAACAACGGTATCATACTTGAGCATAGGACCACAAACGAATTGCAAGTGTGGTTTGAGGTTTCCCAGGTTATCACGTTGAGATAGGGACCTCTTTATGCCAGCGTCTGCGCCTGTAGCCTCTGCTTCCTGCTTACTGATTCCAGGACCGGTGTGAGTGCCTTGTAGCTGCACAGCATTTTGGCTAATAGCGCTGCCTGGAACTTCATTTGTGGGTGCAAACGTAGTTGGTCTGTAATTAGGTTCCTGTAAGCTGTGAGTGGATATTGTGACAGTGTGGTGACACAAACCTCGTAAGCAGTCGTAGCGTTGGCGTTTGGTGGATTAGGAATGGCTTTTTCGACCTCATCGGAGGAGAGTGGTGGCTGTGCATTTTCAGCGTAGCGTTGCTCGTCTGCTGCGCCTTGATCTGGGTGCTTGTTGAGTACCGCTGGTTCAGTTTCTGCGGGTGAGTCGCGGTGTTGGGCGTAGTAGCGGAGTTCTGCGGGGGTTATTATTATAGCACTATAGTTTCATCAAACAAACTAACCTTCCTCCGCTTTCTTTCTCTCGGCGTGGCTCACTCTGTCCATCGTTTATCTTCGCAGTTGCGGATTAACGACACAAGCAAAAGCCACCGAGATATTTAAATATAAAATGAATTTTATTTATTTGTACAGTTAAATTACTCGCCTTACTCAAACAATGTCTACTCATCGTCTGAGCCACCGGCAGCGAGAATCTTTGCACGGACGTCTGGCCATTGTTTCTGTCAAATGTGGTCAGAAGGGTGCGTGGACCAACAAACAACCAGAACTCACGCCTGCGTTGTTCTTATCCCAGATAGATGTCGTTAAAACGTCGTATCCAATTCCGAATGCAAATGTACCAACGAAGATGGATGCGACGTATGTACTATTACGTTTGAATAGCGTGTTGTTGAGTGTTTGAGCAAACTACGTGTGTTTTAACCTTTTTATTCACTATCCACGCTCTATCCACTCACAGACATGATGATTGAAAGTCGTTAAGATAACTAATTACACTCAAAACACATTCATCTGCTAATCTATCATATTCTTATTATACTCCCAGTTTTCTCCTCTCTTCGTCAGCTAAAAATCACTTCAAATCGTTTGAATCGACTTACATCAATCGTATACTTGTAACTCGTATCAGAATTATCTTTTAACACCTTCATTATACGTGTATGACTATTCCCTGGCTCGTAGTATATCTGCAGCTGTCTAAACCTTAACGACTGGTAGAAATGTGATCCGAAGAATCCTCCAATGTAGTGATTCTGATCTGAGGCAGAGGAAGTAGACGCTGTGGATGCATCTTCTGCCTTTCGAAGTATCGCGTCACTCGTACTCAAAACCTTTTATAATCAGTTTAGTTTCACTTTGATAGCCCTAGAAACACACACACCTACTTTCACAGCCATCTCCGTATTCAACTTGTTGATTGTCTTCTTTAGGCTACTCATCACTGACATCTTCTCGCTCTGCTTTATATCTGGATATCGAATGTAGTTTGATATCGTGTCAATAGCTACCAGCTTTATCTGGCGTGTGCAGTGAGCCATATAAGCTGAGCAATCCACTTTAACCCACATCAAATGGCTGGCTGTCAATATACCCAGGTAAAGCTATCATAGTTGCCAGAAATGAGGTAATTGACAGTATCCTGATGTACTTGACACCTTTGCTCCCTCTTTCAACTTAAAATCTCCCAAACAAGCCTCTACTCACGCTCCATAACAATATCATCCCCTGTATCGTGCAAGTTGAGATCACCGTTGGTATCGATGATTAGTGCATATGCCTTTTCATTACCTTGCTGATTGAGGTACTCTTTGACACTGCTAAGTAATATACGCGTCCGCCCAACCCCAGGAAGTCCAGATGTATCCGTATACACATCCCCGCCTTCGAGAACAACACGCTCGATTGATTCCATGGTTGTTTGATGGATAGATACTGTTTCCTTTATTAAAACAATCAAGCATGTATAAAGTCATTTTATGATAAAGTCGCATTCGCAAATCTTCCAGCCCTACAAACACCCTTGTCCGTCTTGATAAGGTGTGGCTTGCTGTTCTCTGGATTGATCCAGCAAGCTTCGAGTGTATCGAGTGTTCTGAATCCTGGTTGAATGGTCTCAAACACCTTTTTCTTTGGATTGAGTTGACTTTCTGGTTGGCCTTCTGTGTGTGTGTTAGATGTTTTAGATGTGTTGGCTGTGTCAGCTGTATAGGTACTCACCCTCATATCCTTCAAAGTAGATCCTATCACCTGGCGCACTACCTTCTGGTGGATTGACAAACTCAACACCGCCATCCTTGCCGTCTGAGGAAGTGGCGCAAAGAACCATGGCAAATGACTTGATACCTCTCATAGAAGCTGGCTTGAGGTTGCACTTGAGGTGTGTCAGATGAAGTACAAAGAATGTTCCCACCACTCACGATTGCAACTATCATCTTGTCTTGCATTTCTTCAATAGGCACATACTTGACCAATCCAGATACAACGGTTCTGGTTTCCGTGCCGAGATCGATCTGCTCGACGTACCTGGAGTATTATCATGAGCAAGTGAACGAAAACCAACAACTAAAAACACCCACAAGCTATCAGCATCTGGGTGTTTGTCCACCTTGACAATCTTACCAACACGCAGATCAATCATGTGAGGGCTTGGTGGTTGTACAGGGGCTGCAGGAGCAGGAGCGGCCTTTTCCTTCTTTGGCTTCTCAGCCTTTTCCTTTTTGCCTTCAGCAGCAGCACCCTGTGCACCCGCCTTAGAAGTTCCAGCAGCGCCCTCATTAGCACCGCCAGCTTCCTTCTTTGGTTTCTTCTCCTTAGGTGCCTCTGCAACACGCACAGGTGTTGGGAATGTCGTGAAATCAAATGTAGCCTGTCCAAGGCCCAATTTGCGCGCGGGTGGGAGGTTCTGGAGGAGAGAGAAGTATCTCACTGTGTTTGGGAGAGCGTGGAGTTGTGCTCCTTGTAATTGTGTCTGTGTGTCTATCGTAAGCGCTGTCTTCTCTGTCTTCTCAAATGTAATAACTTACAATCGATGGGTGCAGCTTCTTGTACATTTCCAAATCCTCTGTGGTGTATATGTGCCCGTTAACGAATGTCTTTGGTGCTATTTCCTTTTCAAATTGCGCTAAGTCCATGGCGATGTGGGTACAAGGAGGGCAATGAGGGAATTGAGTGTGAGTTGAAGTGGACATGCGGGGGTGCTTGTGAGCTACCAGTAAATACCACAAACTACTTCTAGGCGCTGTTGTGTAGCGCCCACCAGTACTCAACCATAGTACGGCAACGTATACCACCCCAATTGAAGCGAATAAAGCAAATAAAAATAAAACACACGCACCAATCACAATAACCCACTCACACACCAAATTCTGACACTCAAATCAAATTTTTGTCTCAAGTGAAGACCTGCGAATCGCCTGATCCCCAACTCTCACCAAGTTCTCGATATGGCCCATTCCAACGTCTGGTACTCACGCCCAAGAATCTACGGTAAAGGTTCACGTAGCTGCCGTGTCTGTGGCAAGAACGGACAAGGTTTAATCCGTGTATGTTGGCTGTGTTGGTGGTGAGAAGTCGGTCTAATCCACTCAATAGAAATACGGTATGGATATCTGCCGTCAATGCTTCCGTGAGAATGCCAGCGCTATTGGTTTCGTCAAGGTGCGCTTCTTTTCTCCTGCGTTTCTACCACTAACAGATTTTCGCAGTACAAGTAAAAACAGTTCATTTCGTTTACTTGAAGTATTATATGTTGCATGTTGCATACATAAAACAGACGATTCCTGGAATTACCCTTTTGATCAAGTGTCTACACCGTCTTTGAAGTTCGACTCGATAGCGGAGGATGTTGCCGATTTCCACCTTTCAACTGAGCATTTCACTGTCGATAACCCAAGCGACATGATTCTGAGTTCTTCAGTCAGCTTTACTGAGATTGGGTTTAGGGAATACCTCGATTTGGCATAGATATTCCCTCGAATACCGTAATTGGATATGGGTGGATTGAAGGTATTCTGCCTTGTGATTGTTTGAAATGATATCCAAGTAACTGTGCTGTAAGATATGAATGACGAGGAGTGAGACGCAAGATATGATGTATCTTATACATAGAGACTCAAATCACTCGCGTATCATAGGTGCTTTACAAGAAAAGTCAATCAAATTACAACTTCCAACCCATCATCAAATATTTGTGTGCTTCCCCTGCCCCACATGAATAGGCCTTCAGTGGTCTATTTCGCAGTAGATGAGAATAGGTGAAGGTAAGAAACTAAACAGAGTCATCGAAATATGATAAAACTGATGATGATGGAATCTGAATGTATTCGTAAGACAATGCATGTTTAAAACTGCGTTCATCAATACTTCTTATAGCATGAGGAGTCAAATGGGGTGCCCAATTTAATTTAAGCTTTAATTGCCTAGCGTCGTAAATTGTAAATTGTTGGTCTCTCAGTCACGCTGAATCACCGGAATATCTACGGTACATAGTTAATTGCTATTCGATGAGTTTAAAAAAAAATTCGTGCAGGTTTGGGCTAAAGACATATTGCTTGAGTATTGTACTATAAAAGAACAACAGTGTTTCAACGGCTGATTGGCGCAGTGGTAGCGCAACAGATTCCAATCTGATTGGTTCCATCTGGAGGTCGGGAGTTCAAATCTCTCATCGGTCAAACTTTTGCCCTCTTCAACAAGAGTATTTTGTGAACTCAAGAAATCTCTTTTCACTAACTACTTTTTTGTATAAATTAAGCTAATGTATCACAGGTAGTGCAGTGGATAAGGATGAATGAGTGGGACAAAATGATATATGATATGCCAGAAAGCTAAAACCAAGATCCGAGAGTCTATAATTATTCGTAGTGTTAGAAATATAAGTAAGAAGGATAAATAAACCACCTTCTTTGCAGATTCTGTGAAAAGTGTCGGGAGTGAAGTGTTAGAGATATACCAATCTACACAACCCATACGCACCTTTAGCAGCTGTATTTTGAGCCTGTGTTGAGTGTAAGAAAAAGGGCACTAAAAGGTCACAAAACCCCAGAAACGCACCTCGCCAGCCATTTTAGAAGCGTTTGAAGCGAGCCCGTGGAACTGTTCCTCGACCTGAAGAAGGTGATGTGAGAAAGGATGTGTATAAACGGGCAACAAGTGTCTCACCTGCGTAAGTACCTCTCCTCGTTCATCTGGATAAGCACAGGGGTGGTGAGCAAATGATCAAATCTCTTGGCAAAAAGCATGATGACCCACTAAAAGCACGCTGGACTTGAGTGAAGATGCTGTTTTCATTAGCATCACGCTCCTTAGCGCGGTCTTTCTTGTATTGGTAGTATTTCTTAAGATTAGTGTCCTCAATTTCATCCTCTTCATCTGCCCACAAATCTCGGTTCGATTGTCTCCAGCCCTGTCTGCGCTTATCTTGTTTAGAGGAATTTTTAGTGGGTTTGGAAGAGGTGGGCTGAGTAGCACTGCTATCGCCACCTTGAATTGCTGTGAGATTTAACCGTTTTAGCACCGTATCACCCACTCAATTTGTTGGAAATGGAGGAGAACCATGAAGGGGAGGAAGTGGAAGTATCTGGTTTACTATTGCTGCTATTGCTATTGTTGTTATTGCTGCCATCGTCACCGCCTTTGAATTTACTAAAAAAGCTCATGCTGATGGATAAAGGGAATGGAAAGGGGAAATCAATTGAATGACAATATCTGAATAACTATTATAAATCTAACCTTGGCGCTGTATTGAGTATATCATTCAGCCTTGTACTTATACTCAACACACTACACAACTCACCTGCTTATGCTTTGGATCCTTTGAGCAAATAACATACAACCTCGCCTTCCTCCTGACTATCGAGCAACCGTCGCACATTTTCTTTACAGAGGACCTAACTTTCATTCCGTGCTGTTGTTGGTGGTGTTGCTGCGTCGGTGTACTCGTATCACGGCTACTCAATGGCAATAGCGTTGATTTAGATTGTATCCCGCGTACACTACTAGTCAATGGCTGCCTCAGCCCACTTATCGCACCTCTTCCAACCACTCTGAGCATCTTATTATATGATGGATGTAACTAACCGAGAAGACTTAACATTCGCTATAGCTATAAAGCAATTTGATTACGTTAAATTTACAATTAGGATATAGGAATTTATCCAAATTCATCTAATATTAAGTAGAGTGAGATTCTTTCTTTACCCACCGACTCATGCATGCTTCTGCGCCTGCGTCTCGGCAGGTGGTACGGCAGTCTCCTCGCTATTAACACCTTTCACAAACGACTTGACGCAGTTCGCCATAGTCACTGAAGCTCTTGAAATCGGATCAGTCTGGTAGAAGTTCTCGAGCGGCTTCACGAAAGCCTTAGTGGATGTGACTGGTGTGCCCTTCTTCGCCATTTCAGCCAACCCCAAGCCGACAGACGCTGCAGAAGGCGACTCGAGTTCATCGTATCTCGTCAACGCAGGTGAAATCTCCCACAACCTATCCCTAACGCCAATCACATCCTCGTACGGTAACGGCTTTCCAACCAGCTCAGAAAGCGCCTTAATTATCTTCCAATCCTCTCTTGATGCTCCAGGTGCGGAGATGGCAGCACGTCCTAATTGCGCTCTCCCCTCTGTGTTGATCCACGTTGTGCCCTTCTCCGTGTACGCCACACCCGGAAGTACTACATCGGCAAATTGCGCACCGTGGTCTCCGTGGTGTCCCTGGTACACAACGAAAGCATCGCGTGGAATCACTTGAGCATCAAAGTCGTCCGCGTTGAGCAAATACACAAATTTGGCCTTGGTTGATTCCGCTTGTTGGGAAGGAACGAAACCTACATCGTAAGCAGCTGTGTGTGATGCTGCCTGTTAAACTTGTTAGAATACACCCTTTTACATCCACTCCAGACTCACCCTTTGCAATGTAGAGAAACCATTCCATTCCTCAGTGAGGAATCTGTCCTTGTTGGCTTCGACGTGCTTCGCTATGGCTGCATAAACAGACTGGCCATCGTCATGCTCAGTTACTGCTGAACCAACCACTATCAGTGGCTTCTTTGCCTTCATGAACTTATCGGCGAATGGAGACTTGACACCACCAGAGAGGAAGTCACCAACAGTCTTTGCATCTACGCCAATATGTTCGTAGTCGTATATAGCATCAAACTTATCACCGATAACACCGAAATCAGTGTTGTTGTGGAGGTATCCCTTACGGAAACGCGAGTTGATGACAGCAGCTTCGTGGCGTGGGTTAGTACCGACAAAGAGAACAGCATCAGCTTCTTCAGACGCAGGAATGGTGTTGTTATAAAGGTAGTTTGAGCGATGATCCACACCGTGTGCTGGAGGGGCAGTACCCCTCTTAGTGTCAAGAGCAGTGTTTTCAGATCCCAACTTGTTAAGAAGATCTTTGAGTGCAACGAGTGATTCAGTGTCTGCGAGAGAACCAGCAATAGCTTGAATTTCATCACCCTTTGCACCAGATTTGGAGAGACCATCTGCAACAGTGGCGATAGCACCTGGCCAAGAAGCAGATTGGAATCTATCACCAACTCTGATCAGAGGGTTGGTGAGTCTTTGATACTTCAAACCATCACAAGCGTAACGAGTTCTGTCACTAATCCATTCCTCGTTCACATCGTCATTAACACGTGGTTGAATACGCATAACTTCATGACCTCTAGAGTCAACTCTGATGTTTGAACCGACGGCGTCTAAAGCATCGACAGTCTCTGTAGATTTAAGTTCCCAAGGTCTAGCGGTGAAAGCGTATGGCTTTGAAGTGAGAGCACCGACAGGACACAAATCGACAATGTTACCGGATAATTCACTATCCAAGGTCTTTTGAACGTAAGTACCAATTTCCAAGTCATTTCCGCGACCAGTGGTGCCTAATTCCTCAACGCCAGCAACTTCATTTGCAAATCTGACGCATCTTGTACACTGAATGCAGCGATTCATGGAAGTCTTAACGAGAGGGCCAAAGTCTTTGTTCTCAACAGCGCGCTTCCCGGTGACTTCGAAGAATCTCGAGCGATCAGAGCCATAACGCATCGATTGATCTTGTAAGTCGCATTCACCTGTCAATCAAAGGTGAGTAATCAGGAATCCCATCAACAGCCACCGAAACTCACCTCCCTGATCACAAATAGGACAATCAAGTGGGTGATTGGCTAGTAGGAATTCCATGACACCCTCGCGAGCCTTGTTGGTGCGTTCAGAGTTGGTAAAGACGTTTGAGCCAGGCATAGCAGGCATAGCACAGCTAGCCACAGGCTTTGGAGCGCGCTCGACTTCAACGAGGCACATTCTGTGGGTGGGTGAGAAATCTGGGTGCTATGATTGGCTGTGGCTAACCTGCAGTTACCAGCAATAGCAAGACGGTCGTGGTAGCAGAAGCGAGGGATCGTTGCGCCTGCGCGGGTGGATTAGGTTGAGTGCGTGTGGATGGTTGTACTCCAACTCACCAGCCAATTCACATGCTTGAATGAGAGCTGTGCCTTGAGGTACTTCAACCTGAGCGGGGTTAACGTAAGCGCCACCAGCTACCCGCTCTACCCACCTCCTTGCCATCGACCGTGAGCTTGACCATCGGCGTGGCTTCTGCCTTGGTCGATTGGCTGGTGGAAATGCCCCTAAGAGACCTCTTGTAGCCACCACCAATTCTACACCTTGAGATTGTATTTCTCAGCATTTTATTTTTTATCACGTCGATGTCGTCTAATCGAGAGAGATGATTGGGCGAACGGGGCAACACACCAAATTTGATTATTTAATTACATATAATATCGCATCTTTTATATATTTTGTATACCTTATAACCCTATTTGGCGGTTTACTTCATCGCCTCTTTACGCCTTCTGATCCCATGTACCAGGCTAACCTTATGTCTAATAAATTCTGCAAATCTTCTTCTGTGTCTGTTGTGTGTGTCAGCGTGCGTGTATATTTCCAAAACTTCGCCCACCTCTCTCTCCTCAGCCTTCTACGCTTTTCATGAGGTTTTTCATACCTCTCACGCAGCATCAATTCCCTCTTTACGTCATTCTTAACCAGCGTCCTATTGAGCATTCTCCAAGCTCTATCTGCCTGTGCCGTTATATTGTTTTTATCGTACTTGCCCACTGTAACTGTACGTCCTGAATACAGCGACAACGGCTGGATATGTTCGAGTGTACGCATACGCTGGTTGTGATAATTATTCCAACTCTCTTCTGGTGTTAATCTGCCTGTGCTGGTTATTGGATTTGATCCATGCCTGTCTGTTTGTTGTTGTTGCTGTTGCTGCTTCTGCAACCCTAAAAGACGCGCCAATCCCGCTTGTGGTTCGTGTGTTGAGTATTTTCTATACCCCATCCATCCCAGACGCAAATTCCTAACTCCACCGAGTACATTCATCGTGGTGGTAACGGGAATAGCTGTGAATGGCCCACCTTATCGATTTTCTAAGCAGAGGTGGGGATATTCCTGTCTGCTCCGCTCTCCCTCACCTGCTCCTCTCCAGTCTTCGCCATTGCCATTCTCGCCTGGTCCCTTCTCCTCTCCGCCATCTTCTTCCTCGCGTATGCAACCAGCAAGCGCAAATACAAATCCTTACCGCGCTCACCTCTCTCCTCGCTCCCGCGCGACGCTGTACCCGGTGTCACTCTAATCCGCCCTCTCAAAGGCCTCGATCCGAACCTCTACGCCAATCTCGAATCTGGTTTCACGCAGGACTATGCGAATCTCGAGTTGATCTTGGCCGTAGCTACACCCGCTGACCCTTCCATAGCGATAGCCGAGAAGCTAATGGCGGTGTATCCGCATATCCCTGCACGCATACTAGTCGGTGAGACAAACATGGGCGTGAACCCGAAAGTAAACAACCTCATCAAGGCATTCCACGCGGCACACCACGACATACTATGGATAGTCGACAGCAACGTGCAGCTGACGAGCGGTGTATGTGCGCGCTCCGTAGACGCGCTACAGCGGCCCTCAACGCGCGGCAAGCGGGTTGGACTAGTCCACCACATCCCCATAGCTGTGCATCCCTCTCTTGACATGGGCGCGCAAGTCGAGCGCGTTTTCGTTAACACCACGCACTTCAAGATGTACACAGCACTCAATGCGCTCGCCATAGACAGCTGCGTAATGGGTAAGAGCAATCTGTACAGACGCAGCGACGTCGAGAGATTGCACGTCCCAAGCCCCACTAGCAAATCTGTTCAACCACCTCAGAGCGGTTTGGAGGGATTCGCGCGATACCTTGCTGAGGATAATATGATTGCACGCGCTCTTTGGCACGATCTCGGTCTCGATCATGCCCTCACGGATGACGTCGTCGCTACGCACTTGGGTGATATGTCTCTCATGCAATACTTGGATAGACGCGTGAGGTGGATTCGCGTACGCAAGTATATGGTCTGGCTAGCTACAATCCTCGAACCTCTCACTGAGAGTGCCACCCTCATTCCCCTCTTCATCGCCTCCCTGAAGCTGCTCACGGGCGCTAAATACCTCTTTTTAACACTCCCCCTCCCACTCTTGGCGGCTTGGCTGGCTGTGGACTTGGCTATCATCAACTCATATAAATACGCCTCCCCACTTTACATTTCCCCCATAGGAACCTCCTTACCCCAATTCATCGCTTTTTGGTGCCTCAGAGAACTACTAGCCTTTCCTATCTATCTCATGGGCGTCTTTGGTAGTCAAGTTGGCTGGAGGTCTGCTCGATACAAGATGATGGCACAGGGTGAGGCACTGCCAATTGAGTAAATGTTTAGGTGAATATATATGAATAGTGTAATCGATTAATCATAAACTAACTCTTTAATACAATTTGTTAAATAGAATATGGTGTGTGGTATAACTACATGTCTGTCATCGCTCATCATTCATCCTTCATCCTTCGCAGTAACTTGGCAGCATCTTCATCTACGACCAAGCCGCAGACATATCCTGGTTGATAGTCTGTGCCCAGGTGAGAGCCGTAGAGACGTCTTCGCAATCGAGATAGAGGATAGCGCGATGATCGACAAGGCGGATAGTGCTTCCGTGTACGACAGCGGGGTGAGAATTACCAACCCTGAGAACGGCGTAAAGATCGACGGGGCAATCAGGGTCTGTGCCCAGCGAGGGGTCTTTACAGAGGACCATGAGATCAGTGCACAGCAGACCAATGAGGGGTCTAGCAGGAGCAGTGTCCTGGTTGAGTGCGACTACACCAACATGTTTCGTCTCCTCCTCAGGGCTAATAGGAGGAATCTGAGCGTCAAATTCGAGTTTCTTCACCACCTTTAGTAGCCGCAGGCCGCCATCGAGGAGGAGGCGGCGATGAGGTTGAACGAGTGGGGAGGGGAAACGACCACGAATGCGAGCCTGCCACTTAACCAATCTAAACCTACCTTCAGCGTCACGTTTCGATTCGTTCATGTCCGTAGCAATATGCGCAATGTGCGCCAGCGCCTGCACCAGCGGTTCCGCCTGTTGCCTGTGTGTAGTGTATTTTAGACATTCCTCTAGCAGCATCCTGTATCGCGGGATGCGCTGGATCGGTAGCAGTAGGTAGCTCTCGAGGTTCATCTGCGTGTGTGCTGGGTGCTTCCTCGCTGCCTTACAGAAGTGTCGAATTCGCTTCTTCTCCTTGCTGCTCAGAGGTGGATGCGCATACGGCTGCTTGCTCGCTGGTAACGCTATGTTCATCCCGCTCGGACCAGAGCTCACTGTCAGATTCGAGAGCGCAGGAGATACTTGCCCATTTACCCCTGGACTACGCGGACTCAGTGGTGAGCTGTACGCCTCCTTTTCAAGCCACCACCGTGCCCGGTTCTGCGCATAGTCAAACTCGTTGATGTAAATGTTGTATATCTTGAGGAACGCAGCGTGTCGAATAAATATTTTGGCTACATTCACCACTATCTCCTCAGCTGGCGCATATAGCGCTTGCTCTAAAGATGGTAGCATTGAGTCTCTATGGAATGATAGTAGCCCTTCTACTCCCATGTACACCCTCTTGCGCTCCGCATGCGAAATCTCAGTCTCAGAAGGTACGACATAGATATCGACCAATTCTTGCAATCCCTTCACGTACGTGCGCTCCGTCTCAATTATCTCCCTTATTACGTGGTATTGTCGTTTGGGATCTGGTTTGCCCTGCACAGCAGGGATCGATGGTAGAGGTGCTTCTTTCTCTTTCGTGGAGTGGCTTGATTTGTCGTCAATTGATGACAACGTTGTGCGGTTCGATTGTGACCACGAAGACTCAGATAACTGCCTCGAAATCAACGATGATTCGTTGGTGTTTTGTCTACCCATTATCTGCATGTGCGATGGTAAATTACTCTGTGGGCTGGTCGACAGCAGTGAGCTGTTTGGTGGTGCTAGCGTGTTCGACAATGTGGAAAACTTTGCTGAATCTCTATTAAGTGGTATTGGCAAGTAAGACGGATCACTTTCAATCTCAATCTCCTCTTCTGCGTCAACACCTAAATCAAAAAGCTAGCAATTTGTTAGTCAAAACCAAACTTTAGCCCATCAAACTCACATCTTTGAGGTAGTTCATGACAAATTTGAACCCCCTTCCATACTCCTCCTCGCGTCGGTCATGGGCATCCATTGGACTGTTCAGCCAGTCGCTTTGTTTATTTTCATTTTCGTCAATTTCATTGAAAGTATCAGCTACTGGGGATGTGCTCAATCCCAAACCATTTGCACCGCTCAGAGGCAGGAATGATCTTCTTTTGTTGGCCTTTGATGTTATTGTTGACTCATTCGATTCAGGATTGCAAGCCGATTGGCGATTCAAAGCGGCGATGTTTATCGTGCTCGCACTTGCACTCGAAGCAGAAGCCTTTGGGGGATTAGTTTGATGATTTGAATAAGTAGTTTTGAGCGCAACATTTGAAGCACTCCTAAGTCTATTCATGGACATTTTCTTGAAAATACCCCACTTTTTATTAAGTGATGATTGGTTGTCTGCTGGATTTTGGGATGCTGTTAACGTGTTGCTTGATGTATTGTCAATTCCATAATACATACTGGTCATTCTGCCAGGTGCCTTTGGAGTTTCATTTGAAATATCCGTTGTTGATTTCATTCTTCTCATTGAGTCCGGTGTCTCGGGACGTGCAGTGACTGGACTTCCGTCCGAAGTCAAAGACCTCAGTTGAGGGGAGAGACGGTTAGTGGCGCTACTCATCTTTGGCGTTGGAGGATTACTAGATTTGTCTCTAATAGTCCGTGAAAGAATAGGAGAAATTATTGGTTTCCAAGGAGCGCAAAATGAATTATCATCCACCAAAAGCAATTCCAAGTTGGGGAGCATACAGAGCCAAGCAGGGAGATTAGGCATTCTATTGTTCCGTAAGGAAAGGGTGTTGAGCCCAGTCATTCTAGTTAGTTCACGAGGGAGTGTGATTAGACCGCAATTATCAGCTTTAAGGAGGCGTAAATTGCTTCCTAAGGTAGATATAACAGCTGGGAGAGTAGAGCCAGTGAATAAGTTGTTTGAAACGTTGAGCTCTTCGAGCTTTGTGAGTTGAGACAATTCCTCACCAAAGTTGGTGATACCGCAGTTTGGAATATCGAGGACAAGCAGGGATTCGTAGTTGTTGTTGAAGAGAGAGCGAAGGAAGGAAGGGGCAAGTTCTGGGGTGGTTGTATGACCAATCATGACATGAGTGGCCTTCTCTGGAACTTGAACATGCTCCAAGTCAGCGTGTATGGATCTGAGGGTGAGGTGGGAGCCATCGTCGAGAGAGCTAAGGGCTTTACTGGGAGAAGGCTGGAGAGTATTGCTGCCTTGCTCAATGTAGTTAGTGTATGCGTGACGTAGAGTGGATGAGTCGAACAAATTATCGGCCTCTTCATCGGAGGTGCTTTCGATACTTGGTTCTGAGTGGTGATCTGAGTTGGAGGAAGGTTGTTGGTGCGGGTGAGGGCTGAAATCGTGGTGGTTTTCGTGGTGATTGTAGTGCTCTTCCTGGTTTTCGATGTTCTCGGTGTCCCGCTGGGCGTCGTCGTGATCGTCGCCGCTGTTCTCAGCGAGATCATTGACGCTGCCAAAATAACCCGGGCTTCCATCAAAAGCAAAAGCGGCTTGAGCAGACTGAGCCAAGCTTGATTGAGATGGGCTCAAATTAGAAGCCAAATCAGAGGACATGACGACTGCTCTCCTGGCTGTAGCGCTTGTTAGTATCGCGTCGAAAGAGATGGGATTTAAACAGAAGAATGAAGATGAATAAATCGGGCAAATTAAATTCAAATAATAAAGAATAAAGAATAAATAACAAATATTACTCACCCTTTCTAATCGCTTTCTCGCTGTCTTGCGCCATCTCTTATCTGCGCTGATGGACGTTGAGTTTGTAGAGTGTTTGTTGAGTGTTTTATGTTTCTATGTTTCAATTGAAATATTTCATTTTATGTGTTTGGATTTTAAGGAATTTATAATTTATACTTGTTCTTCGTCCTCACCATCCACCATCCATGTCAACGCTGCATCTCTATAACCTCACGCTCGAAGAACCGCAGAAAATCAATGAATCTATCGTTGGACAATTCAGTGGCTCTAAATCTCAGGAGATTGCAATTAACAAATCTAATATCCTTGAAATCTACAAACTCAATCTCGATACGATAAAACTAGAGCTCATTACAAGCTACAGGCTGTTCAGTATTATTAGATCCATTCAATCTTTCAAGTTAACTGGCTCGAAGAAAGATTTCATCGTCCTTACCTCCGACTCTGGTAATCTCACCGTCCTCGAATTGGTCGCTGAGAAGCTCGTCGTTTTACATTGTGAAACTTACGGTAAATCTGGCATCAGGAGGATCATCCCTGGACAGTTCCTCACCTGTGATCCTAAAGGTAGATCCCTGATGATTGCTTCCCTCGATAAATCCAAGTTGGTTTACATTCTAAATAGGGATAACCACGCTAATCTCACTCTCTCATCTCCATTAGAAGCTAACAGATCTCACTGTATCACTCACCATATCTCTGCCGTTGACACTGGCTACGAAAACCCTCAATTCGCCGCTTTAGAAACTGATTACGAGGAATTAGACCAAGATCCATCTGGTGAAGCACTCATTAACAGCAACAAACTCATCACTTTCTATGAACTCGACTTGGGCCTTAATCATGTTCTCAAAAAATGGTCTGAACCCACTGACCCCAAAGCAAACATGTTGATTCAAGTTCCTGGTGGCCAATCTGCCTCCACAGACGCTTTCGATGGTCCTTCTGGCGTACTTATAGCTACCGTTGACTATCTCATTTGGTATAGACCCCAAGCTGATCCACATAGGGTACCCATCCCAAAGAGAGACCATCCCCTCGACAATAACTCTTCAGAGGGAACCATCATTATATCAGCCGTACTGCATAAGATGAAGGTGTGTTAACGATCTCCGTTTAGAACTAAATTGACTTCATTAAGGGCGCTTTCTTCTTCTTATTGCAGTCTGAGCAAGGCGATATATTCAAACTCACCATGGAACTAAATGGCGAGGATGTTATCAGCATGCGCATCAAGTACTTTGACACCATCCCCCCTTCAACCTCCCTCAATATTCTCAAATCCGGTTATTTATTTGCATCAAGTGAATTCTCCAATCACAAGCTTTATCAATTCCAAAAGTTAGGCGACGACGATAACGAGCTCGAATATTCCTCCTCAAGTTATGAAAACAACGGCATGCCATCCTTGGAAAATCCACTTCCAATCGATTCTGTTTATTTCACCCAGCGTCCACTCGACAACTTAGTTCCAGTAGATGACAGACAATCACTCGCCCCGATATTAGATGCCAAAGTGCAGTCCATCTACTCCGGAGATACTCCTCAAATTTACACTGCATCAGGTGTTGGCTCACGCTCTACACTTAGAGTTATGAGACATGGTTTAGATGTCGTTGAAGCTGTTAGCTCAGAGCTGCCTGCACCACCTAATGGTATTTGGACACTCAAGCAAACCTCTAGTGATAGTTATCACTCCCTCATTGTCCTCTCCTTTGTCAACGGTACTTTAGTCTTGGGTATTGGCGAGTCTATAGAGGAAGTTTCTGATACAGGGATGGATACTTCCGCCTCTACTCTCTCGGTTGACCAGATGGGCGATGATACTATTCTCCAGGTCGTTCCTCATGGCATCAGGCATATCCTTGGTGACAAGCGCGTCAATCAATGGAAAGCACCATCAGGTACTTATGTTACAGCCTCAACAACCAACTCACGCCAAGTTTGCATCGCTCTGTCTAATGGGGAATTAATATACTTTGAGATGGACAATGCAGGCCAACTCAACGAATTTCAAGACCGCAAAAGTATGGAATCAACAGTGTCAACAATTTCTATTGGTGAGGTACCAGAAGGTAGACAGCGTTGTCCATTCCTCGCTTTAGGATGTGATGATCAGACAGTCAGAATAATATCACTCGACCCAGAAAGCACACTCGAGGTCGTATCAGTACAAGCAGTAACAGCGCAACCTTATTCCATCTGTGTTGCTGAGATCTTCGATAAGAGTTTAGACAAGTACAATCCTACTTTATTCGTCAACATTGGTTTGATGAACGGTGTTCTGCTTCGAACAGTGTTGGATACAGTCAATGGTAGTTTGACAGATACTAGAACTCGATTTTTGGGTAACAAGCCAGTAAGCCTACGTCGAGTCATGGTTGACAAGCAACAAGCTGTGCTGTCTTTATCGACGCGTACACACCTGAATTATGCTCACGGAGATCAAATGTACTTTACTCCTCTTCTTTACGAACCGCTCGACCAAGTCAGCTCATTCAACGCAGAGTTGTGTCCGGATGGTTTGATCGGTATCAGTGATACAGTTCTGAGGATTTTCACACTCCCCAACATTGGACAGAGAATGAAGCAGGATAGTGTTGGATTGTCATACACACCTAGGAAATTACTATTACACCCAACGGCACCATTTTTCCTCACCATCGAAAGCGATCATCGCACTATTAGCAAGGGAAGACAAAGCGAGCTTTTGACACAAAAGGGCTACAATCCATCTGCTTATCATCACAACAGTCTGCAGTTTGGTAATATTCGCACGGAAGCTGGTGACTGGGCAAGTTGCGTGAGATTGATAGATCCAGTTACACTCAACACGGTCAACAAAGTTGAATTAGACAACAACGAAGCAGCTTTCAGCGCTGAATTTGTGCAGTGGATTGGTCAAGAAGATGAAGTGCACCTGGTTGTTGGTACAGCGAAAGATAGAGTAATGATGCCTCAATCGCACAAAGAAGCATATTTGAGAGTCTATAAGGTCACGGATGATAGTCAACTGGAGCTGCTTCACAAGGTCAGTTCGGTATAATGATTTTTACTATCTCTAATCGTAATTCTAATGAATCCACAGACGGACGTTGATGACGTGCCCTACGCACTGCACGCGTTTAAAGGCCGTTTATTGGCAGGCGTTGGTAAGGCTTTGAGACTCTACGAACTCGGTAAAAAGAGACTGCTTCGTAAATGCGAGAACAAGTCATTTGCGGCAGGCGTCGTTAATCTCAACGTAATTGGATCTAGAATATACGTTGGTGATATGCAAGAATCAGTTTCTTTCGCTGTTTACAAAGCACCAGAGAATCGTCTGCTGGTGTTCGCCGATGACATACTGCCGAGATGGACAACAACAGCAACACCAGTTGATTATGATACAGTCGCGGGTGGGGATAAGTTTGGCAATATATTCGTAACTAGAGTCGATAGATCAACATCTGACTGGGTCGACGAAGATGAAAGCGGTGGTGGATTGATGCATTCAAGAGGATTGTATCATGGTGCTCCAAATAGATCTAGACTGTTGGCGCATTTCCACGTTGGGGATATTATCACCAGTATAACTAGATCTCAGTTGAGTGCTGGTGGTAGAGACGTACTTGTGTACACTGGCCTGCACGGCACAGTTGGAATGATAGTACCATTTGCTAGCAAGGAGGACATTGAATTCATGTCAACATTAGAGGTGAGTTTTGCTTTGCTGTCTTTGCTAACATTACTAACTTATCCAGCTGCATATGCGTCAAGAAGCTCCAAGCTTGGTTGGTAGAAATCATCTCGGCTTTAGAAGTTACTACGTACCATGCAAAGCATTCGTCGATGGTGACTTGTGTGAACTCTACGCAGGCCTGCCTGTTACGAAGCAACAAGTGATTGCAAATGAACTGGATAGAACATCTGGTGAAGTACTGAAGAAAATAGAGAGTCTAAGATCATCTGCTGGGTTCTGATAAAAGTTTTTAAATTATATCATTGTTACAACTGCCTCTGTTATCCTTGCGAATTTGCATGTCTGTTTCTCATTACGCAATATAACTTCAACATATTCGTCGATCAGCGCCATAAAGGAATATATTGTGCGTGAGTTGTGATGGAATGCGGTGATCTATTAATTGTACTCATGTTCTTTACTCGATAGAGATATGGAGGAGATAATACCACTGTTGTACAAACAAGACGTTCTCAATTGCCAGTTTAGCAAATGGCATTCGAAATATAGAAAATTGTCCTCAAAGGCCAAGGTTGTGCCTTTATCAAGTGATTTTATAGAGTACCTTAACTCGGATGGAATTGTAATGCCCGCTGAGTGCAACCAAGTCGAAGACAATGATGACAGCGACGAGGAGCAAGTTGAATCCCCGACATTCCCTGAAATATCAAATGAGATTAGGGCAACTATAGAAAAATACGGCACAGTTATCCCGAAACTTAACTGGAGTACACCAATCGATTCGCGATGGATCAATCCAACAAACACGATAAGCTGCACAACGTTAGATGAGGTATACATGCTTCTCAAGTCCTCAGATTTTATTGCAGGTGAGCTGGCTGGCCAAGCGTTTGAAGAATGCGTAGATGGTCCACCAATTGAAATAGAATGGGAATTAGCTTTGAAGCAGCATATAGAAATCTCGCGCAATCAGGAGTTTAGAGTATTCGTCAGGGACAATAGAATTGTCGGGATCTGTCAACGTGATCTCAATTTCTATGACTTCTTGCAGGATACGCAGACACAGGATCAATTAAAGAAACTGATTGAAAAATTCTGGCTGGATCACATCAGGGACACGTTCTCTAGTAATAATTACGCAGTGGACGTCTATATCAATCAACACGATAGAGTCATCTTGGTCGATTTCAACGTCTACGCATTAAGGACCGACAGTCTTTTATTCAGTTATGAAGAGCTCAGTGAATTAGCTCAATCAGACGCGTTCCCATTCAAGGTGATTGATACTCCTGCCGATCCACTCGCCCAAACCGGGTCTTATTATGCAAGCTCAGCTGTGCCGAAGGATCTGATCGAGGCTAGTCAAGGGAAGAATGCCATGGAATTCCAGCAGACCTGGAATGAACTTATCGATTCAAGCAGGAAAGCTTAAAACGCGTCACTTATCACCACGACCCCGCATTTGAACCTCGACTCGAAGTAAAGAAAGACTAGGCACGGCGCAGGAGAAGTAAAATACTTAACTCGTGTCAGCATCTATATATTATTTCTACACAATTTATGAAAATAAATTTTGACATCTCAAAACCGCGGATTAGCGGATCCACTTGCGGAAAACGTCCAACATCGTTGAATTTAAAATAAGCCTTTGCTGGGTCAGGCTTTGTATTTTTAAAGAACTTGATTAGGATTTATTGTATTCATACGCATCAAGTAGTAATATCTAAGCAATAGCCACTCGAGAAGCAATGGGCGGTTTACACAATTTCAGCGTAAGTAGAGAGAAATTCAATGTTACATGAGCTTATACCACTTTCAGCCTTTCGAAATAAGCGCTCCTCATCTATTCTACGCAATCATGGGTGCATATGTCGGTATCTTCATGATGTTCTCCCTCTTCGTCAAGGAGAGGCTTTATATTGGTGAAGCAGTCGTCAGTACCATCTTCGGTATTATCATCGGACCTTACGCTGGAAATGGACTAAATTTCAGAACCTGGGGATCATCTGGCCCCGGCGAAGCAGACGAAGAAATCACCAACGAAATCATACTCGAACTCACCAGAGTAGTCCTTGCTTTGGGTGTATTCGCTATTGGTGTCGAACTGCCAAAGCAATACATGAAAAAACATTGGAAATCCATCTTCATGCTCCTTTGCCCGATTATGGCCTTCGGTTGGGTCATTTCAGCTGCGTTCATCTACGCACTTATACCGGATCTCTCTTACATTTCCTCACTCACCATTTCCGCAACTCTCACACCAACTGACCCTATTTTGGCCGCTGCTGTCATCGGTGGTAAATTCGCCCAAAAGCATGTTCCATCGCACACTAGACACTTGCTATTCGCAGAATCAGGGTGAGGTTTTTTTTGCAGTCTTATTGAAGCTAATAGTTCAATAGTTGCAATGATGGTGCTGCTTTCCCTTTCCTATACATTGGCATTTACCTTCTCCTATCACCATCAGACGTTCCATACGCTGTCGAAGAATGGTTCCTGGCTACCTGGTTTTATGAAGTAGCTCTTGGTATCGTTATCGGTGCCGTTATAGGTTACTGTGCGCGCAAGTTGATGAAGTTCTGTGAAGGACGCAATCTCATCGATCGTCAATCTTTCGTCGCTCAATACGTAGCTCTCACTCTATTTACTATCGGTATCTCATTGATTATAGGCTCCGACGATCTCTTATCTTCATTCGCTTGCGGTACTGCTTTCGCTTGGGACGGTTTCTTCAACAAGGCTACTGAAGAGTCTCACTTCTCTTCAATTCTGGATTTGTTGTTTAACATTGCTACCTTCATTTTTATTGGTGCTATGGCGCCATTCGATTCCTTTAATGATCCTTCATTAGGTGGTATAACCAACTGGAGATTAGTAATTATGGCACTCCTCATTTTGTTATTCCGTCGTTTACCACCTATGTTGGCATTATATAAATGGATCCCAGATGTGAAGACGTTCAGAGAAGCCTGCTTTGCTGGTTGGTTTGGTCCTATGGGTGTCGGAGGTATCTTCATCTCTACATTGGCCCTCACTGAACTGCCATATCCTCAAGGCGAACCACAGAATCAAGCAGAGCTGGTAGCTATAACTATGCATCCGATTGTTTGGTTCATGGTTCTAGTTTCTACTTTCATCCACGGTCTCTCTATACCATTCTTCTCACTTGGTAAACGTGTCAACACATTTCGACGGTCAAGCACATTCGGTAACACGTTCTCACGTGCGTCTATTACTGACGGTAATGACTGGATGCACCGTATGCAACAAATTGTGCCAGGGCAAGATATCGTTATCAACAGGGATGATGAGGCTGAGAAGGGCAGCTTAACTCAGACTTCAAGTTCTCAGCAGCGGAAGGAAAGCGAAAACCCGAAGATGGAGGAGGTGCAAAGGGCATTAGACGATCCTAACCCAGAAGTACAAGCGTGGAGTGAGTATAAAGACTACAGCAACGATTAAAACTAACACGTGTTCAGTTGAGGGTAGAAACATCGTCATAGAGAGGCCAAATGGGCCAGACGATAATGACACTAACGTGACCGTCTTCGAGAACGCTGTAACGAATGACGTGAAGCCTGAAGGGAGAAAGAGCATATTAGCATCCGTTGCATTGGAGATTGAGCAAGAGTTTAAGCATAAGTTTGTCACACCAATCACACATTTGAATAAGGGTCCTGAACACAACGGAACCGATGCTATTCGCTTTTCCGTAAACCACAACCCAGGCTCGAGGGAGTGGCTGAACTCGAAATTGTTCCCTCACCATCATGCTCATTCACATGAGCAGCCGACGAGACCACCACAGACGTATAAACCACCATCAGCTAAAGAAAGCTTCAACGAAGAAAGTATAAATAAGCAAACGGGACAAACAGATACAAACCCGGAGCACAATTCCGAAGGTGCAGGAATTAGATTTATAGATGAGGAGGACCCTCATGTACATGAACCTCACATACACCCGGCCGATAGGGAAGACTAATATTCATTTCATTTCGTTTCTTTGGGTCTCTGTAGTAAATACTAGCAAGTAAATTAGCGGAATACTTACACTCGTTTAAATCATTTGTAATATTTATTCTTCACAATTTAGATACGTTTTAATCAGAAAATGCTCATTAATTTTGCAGAAAGTAACATCCGAATGAAAAAAGCTGTAATTATGAGGAAGAATATAAAGTAAAAGAGAATGGAAACGAAAAAAGAAGGACTCTGAAGTTGGATCGCCGTGTTTGATGAAGCTAAAAAGCTTGTTGCTATATACAATTGCTACTTTGATAATTTAATAGATCGTCGATTGATGCATGCTAGATTGTGTTAACTGTTTTAATTGTTTTGATGCGCGTTTGATGTTAATTGAGGTGGTTGATTTTGGTCTTCGAATTCAATGAAGTTTGCCAAGAGGCTTGAAGGTGATGCTGCTTCATGATCTTCGAGTGATTTATGGAAGGAAGAGGAAAGCGCTGGGGCTGATTGAGGAACGACATCATTCAAGCTATTCTCTACATCATTCAATGCTTGAATAGGATCCATGTTGAACGTATTCCATTGATGATGCGACTTATCATCATGCTCTCCGCTATCATTATCGTCGAAATGCGTAAAAAACGTCTTGCTTTCATCTTCATCTTCAATCCTTTCATTGAATGGCCATCCAGATCCATCGTTCTCGCCGTTGTGTAATCCTAAAGTGTGAAAATTGGTGTGATGCGCTGGTGCAGATTGAGGAACTTGGTGGAAAGCGAACTGTGATGCATCAAACTCATTACCCGTGCTAGTTGACGGATTTCCTTGTTGCGTACTCGCGGCCGTTGATGGTGATATAGCAGATGCTGTTATCTGTGACATTTGTGGTATCCCAATTGACAACCCGTATCTGTTCTTTGCAGAGTAGCCACCGGGTGTGAGGGGCATTCCGGGAGTCGTGTTTGGTGCTGAAGAGGATGGGAACGATAATGCTGGTGTGTTGAAACTATTGCTTGCGTTAAACGTAAACTGCGATGACGGTGGGTTTTTCTTGTGAAGTTTGGATAGTTTGATTGATCCATTCGGCGAGTGATCCGGTGTAATCTCAAAGTCGTAAACAACTACAAGGACGACTTGGCCGATCTCAGCACCTCTACATGATTTCGTTGTAGGGAAAGGTGACACATCGTCGTGGTGATCGCTTGAGTTTGGTATGACGAACTCATGTACCATAGATAAAGCGTTCAATGGGCTTGCAAAGGCTTGTCTTTCTTCGTACGACTTGGTGAAAACTTTAGTTGGTCTTGCTCCACCTTTGTCAGAGACTTGACCTCCTAAAAAGCCTGAGAAGAATTCACCCCCATATGGTAGATCATAGTTGTATTCTTCTTTTTGACCAAACTTGTTGCTCATCGCTGGTTTACCCAAACCTTCGACATAGCCGAATACACGTGCGCCGAATGAGTAGAAGTTTGTGACGACTCTGTGAGCGTGTCAGTTAGTTTGATTGCTGGTTGCTATCGGCCAAACCTACTCGAGAGGAACGTCTTGGTTTGCTGTAAGGGACATATGTGTTGAAATGGTATCAAATGCTGTAGGTAAATACACTTCAGCAGCTGGTATTGCTAGTTGTATTCTAGCATGCAAGAATTGACATTGTAACTCGTCGTACATGTTTCCCAAGCCAGGATATCTCGCTTCACCTAAAGGCAGATCTTCCAAATACAGAGATTTACATGGAGAATCCAAGTAATCGTGCTTCTGTTGGACGAGATCAGCAAGTGTGTGCTGTTGTTGACTTCCAATAGCCCAAATGCCTAAATCTTTTATATCGACCTCCACTCCCGATGGCAGCTTGGACATAGGTGACATTGGCGAGTGTGCCAAAGCATTTCCAATTGCCCGTGCGTGTATGGGTGTCCGTGTGCGTCCTTCACCGGTTGCGCTCACAGGTCTTGAGGGTGTTGACAAAGGATCGGCGAACTTGTCTGACTTTGGCGTGGCTGACCTTCTACCATCAAGCGACTGTCGCTGCTGTTTTGCTGGAGGTCCTTGAGATGCTTGAGGTGCTTGAGATAATTGTGGTGCACCAACAGCTGCTGGTGATGGCATTGGCTGACCAGGTGCTACTGGATTGCAAAGGTATGGCTCTTGTGCGTTCTTAGACGTTGGCTCTAATCCATTCAATGGACCTTCGTCCATTTTTTGTTGGTAATGGAGCAGCATTGGCTGGAGAGACGCCTCTTCTTCCGCCGATGGTTCTGACACCAACCACATAACTAGATAATTGTTATCAGTATTGATCACTTAGTCAAGCCTTACACTTACACCTGGTGTCATTTCGACGAACATTTTTAAGCACCTGGATATGTGAAGATACTTGCTTGCGTGATCGCTGTGCCCCAGTGCGCATACGAATGAAATTTGCAATAAGTTCGTTCCTTCCGCATGGCTTACCGTGGACCATCACTTTACGTCTTCCTAAGCGTGGAACTGTTACGAGAGCTAGGGTGGTTGTCAGACAAGCTTGGTTTATCGTCAGAGGTGCACACCTTCATAGAAAGCTTCATCCACCTCTGGTGGCCAGACCTCGTCGTTCCTTGCTTCGGGAAGGACCATCATGCCAGATGGGGTGACACCCGAGGTTGCACCTTTGACATCAAGTCCTAGCGCAGCCAAGCCACCAGGTCCACCTGCAGGTATTTGTAGTTGATGCACATTAGGATCCGTACGTCTCCTTTTCATATCGGGTCTGGTGTTAGGTGGTGTTTGTTCGGGTTCGGGTGGAATAAATGGAGGGCCAAGATTGTTTGGTAATCCAATATTTGTTATATCGCATGACTTTGAGCTTGTGTGTCCTAGTAGATCGTGGTGTTGTTGATATGTACGCTTCTTTGTGTCGTACTCGTTCTGTTGTTGTTGGAATGAGAAATTCATGAAGGAGTTAGGTGTATCCAATGTACCGGCTGAGGGTGGAGATTGATACTTGTAGCTACTTGGTGTTGTTAATGGTGGAGTAACTAAGTCGTCAAAAGCAATTGAAGATGAACTGTTTGGTGGTGTACAGCTAAAGTTCATCAGTCTTTAGATGGCAAAATAGTTGTCTGTGTCTTGGATTGTCTTGGACTTTGTCTTTGGGTGGTGGAATTCCAGTCTGAGTTATGAAGAACAATTCTCTAGATGTTGATCGCCTAAACTAGGAAATGTAGCTTGGTACTGATTTCACTGTTTGGAATGTTTTTCTGAAGACGCGAATGTTTGAAGATAAAGCTTGTGGAGGCTAAGGAATTTAAAAGAAAAAATACGAGTTTGAGTTGTGGGAGATTGGCAAGAGAGAATTCCAAACTATGCATGCCCATACCAAGCTGTCAAAATAGCGTATGACTGACACCTGCTGATGTTGAAAAATTGACCGTGCTACATTATTATAATAAACTTCTTTAGTTTTAGATTATTCTGTTTGCTAAAAGGGCTTCAAAGTTTTACTCCAGGTGATTAAAGACTTGACATCTCCGCACGTCATAAATCTATTAAGGAACCTAGGACCGGTTATCATTCGAAAAGCTTCAATTAGTTGCTTTTGAAAATCAGCAGAAATTTATGTCCTAGAATTCTGTGACATTGTGACAATCACTATTGATCCCGCGAGTTAGTCGCGACTTTGACAGGTGCTGCATATCAAAGCAGACTTAATTGCAATGACCTCATGATCTTATATTTGAGTAGTATAAATTGATACATCCTTATATTCATCTTCTACATCTTAAGAAAAAGAAATATAGCATTTTGCATTCACAACTAATTTTTGATATCGAAGGACCCTGATTCGAGTATTCTCATGAACGGACTATTGGCAGCCTGTGTAAACTGATCACCCTCGCCCTCTAGTACACAAGGACCTCTGAAATTCAAACGTCCACTAAATTCGTCCTCATGTCCGCCATCCAGACGTACCTCGATAGCAGTCGTTGGGGGACCACAGCCGCCATTTTGAAGCGTATCATAGGGTATTCTTGCAAAAGCAAAACTGGAGCAGCGGGGATTTTTTAATGCTTTGACTACCGGTACTGACAGTGATACCCGGAGATCGGCGGCTGTTGAATCACTTAATAGGCTATCAGTGGAAACAATAAATTTGAGACCGTTGCTCAAACCGATAGCATTTCTGACACTGCTAAAAACACCCCAAGATGAAGGTGAAGGGATGACACCTGAAGCATCTGCTGCCAGGGCGTGACGTCTGCTGAATCTATACCACCACTTGTTCACCGCTATGCTAGTCAAGTCATGAGCAAGTAACATAAGATGCGTTCCCGAGCTGTCAAATAATTAGCTGGAACATGATATGTCAAGTCATCTCGCTTACACGAAAAGGTACTGAGGTACGGGTGATAATGGCAGGGCGGAGTTTTCGGGTAAGCAGAAATAAGAGCAACCTGAGTAAATTGCAGTATATAGTAAACTCCTCCCTATCGCTGAGGAGAGCGGCTCGTCAGTGACAATAGTGTCACTTTCCATTGGTTTCTTAGCAAATGGAATAATTGATAGTAAGGAGTATACACCTGCTGTCACATTCTAAAATGCTATTAGGATATTTATGGGTGATAAGTGAGTGAACTGACCTTGTTGTCCATACTATAGATCTCATCTCCACTCAAGACATAAGAGATGGTCGTAGGGGGCTCCCTATTGATCTTCTCAACAGATAAGGGAGTAACAACTTGATCTAAATCGAGTTTAATGAAATTAAGACCGAAATTTGGTGGGATTTTCTTGGTAAAAGCACAAAGAAGGCCACTGAAGTGTGCTGGAAGAGTTCCGATGTTTTCATCAGTTACAATTGCGCTTATTTCTGCACCTTTGCGTTCCAAGGCAGATAAAGCAGTATTGATGTTGTCATTCGGGCTGATGTGAATAGTCTTTAGACCGATAAGTATCGCGCCCAAGTCAAGTAAAATGGCAGTGAGAATATCTTGTGAAGCGATAAGAATTGCTGAGTTTTGTGATGAACGGAGTGTTGTGTGCTTATCTAGTATTGAAATTGAGTTTACAGACTTCCGAATCAACTCAGAAACAGTGAAAGTGATTCCTTGTACAACAATCTTAGCATTTGGGTTACCCAATTCGATTAAATCTGCAACACCGCGTGCTTTGGCTGCTGGTCTCTCGACTAACTAAGAAATCGTTAAGTATATGAACAGAGGTTTGAATTTAACTAACAGGAAGTTGGCCGATACTGGAATTACGATAAATAGCGCTCTGATTTTGATTCCTCACAGCGCTAGGCTCAGATTGGTTTGATAAGAGGATAGGATGTACGATGCTATCAGAGCGATTGAAGAGGTGAAGCAACTGTAAGCCAATCAAAGCAGCCAATAGAATCTTTGTATTATCATTAAATCCGAATTGAGTTAAATTATCCATTTTAACGCGTTGATTGTGCCTTGTAAAGGAACCACCAAGCCGTAATTATGGAAGACGGTGAAAACTCTGAGCAACAAAGCGCACAGCCTACGCGGCTACCTTCATTGAGCTTATCGCAGCCACAAATTCCAGAATCGTCGAGTGCAGCGACACAGCAGCAACAGCAGCAATCACCACAACCACCCCAACCACAGCCCTCTGGCCCAATAAAACCTTCTAAGCTAAAATTAACAATACCTGCTCATCTTAAAGAGGAAAAAGCTCAAAAGGATGCACAAGCAAAGCACTTGAGAAGAGGTGGTAGAACACGGCAATCTGCTGGATTCTCAGGTGGTTCTAAAGATGATAGTGATCGCTATAAGCCACCTAAATTTAAATCAAATTTAAAGCTTAAAGTGAAGCAACTCGGTGAAGCACCAACTGGTCCCGCTGCGTTTTTGAATAGCTATGATAGAGAATTAGACTCTGATGATGAGGATTTACACATTGAAGAGCAATTCGTACTACGTATGCCCGAAAATGACGCTGATACAGATCGATTGAGAGACATGGTACAGAAAAGGGACGTTCAAGACGACGTTTGGTTTAAATTTAAAGATAGCAGGAGAGCTCAGTTTCATATTGGCGAGAAGCTTAGATCTGCAAAGCTAGTTGACTTACCTACGATCATTGAATCACAGAAAACACTGGATAACAAGCAAATGTTTAAGATTGCTGATATTTGTCAAGTGAGTTATGCTTTATGGCTCCTTGACACAATAATTAACATTTTCTAAAGATGTTGGTTGTTGGAGATGAAATTCAGCCAGATGCACCTGAAACTAAAGCTTTTAACACCAACGAGTATGTTTATCCTCATGGTATAACACCACCTATGAAGCACGCGCGTAAGAGAAGGTTTAGAAAGCGTGTTAATCGTCAAACAATTGAAACTGTCGAAGAAGAAGTTGAAAGATTACTTACGCAAGACGCAAAGTCTGATAAGGTGGAATATGATGTTTTAGATAGAACAGCATTCGAAGCAGAGATTGCACAAGATGAATCTGAAGCTGGTACACCATATCCATACCCTGAAGAAAGCTTTAACGCAACACCACGTGCAGAGTCAGAAGTTGGCAGTTTGATGGGTGATAGAGAAGAAGAAGAAGAGGAAGAGGAAGGAGGCGATCTTGATATGGATCTTGCTGCTGAAATTGATAAAGAAATGGAGAATCAAGGTAAAGATGAGGATGATGATGATGATGATGATGAGGATGATAGTAGTAGTGAAGAAGAAATTGAAGAAGAAGAAGAAGAAGAGCAAGAAGGAAATGTAGATAATGTGACTATGGAACTCGCAAGGAGAGGAAAATTGTTAAACGAGGAGATTAGGGATGTTGAGACAGCGCTTTCAAAGAAGAGAGCGGAAACAGCAACAACAGGGAATCCAATCATCAAGAGGAGGTTTGAAGATGCTTTACGGAAATTGCAAGCAGATTTGGATGCTAAGAAGCAGCAATTGGATGACATACACGAAGAGAGGAGAAGGATAATTGAGGAGAAGAAGGCGGAAGAGGAGAGTGAAGTGATTAGGGCGAATGAAGTTGTTGAGGAATCAGAGCCACAGCCAGAGCAGACACAAGTAGCGCCACTACCAGAACCAGAGCCAGAGCCAGAGCCAGCAGGACAAGAGCAAGTAACAATGGAAGTAGATAAAGCGTTATTTGAAGTTTAAATTTTTATAATTAATTGAATTTAATGATTTATTTAGCCTGTTAATCTGTAACGCTGAGGAGATATGGATGACTACGCAGATGAATTGATAAATCAAGAGGATTGCTGGACAGTGATTTCATCCTTCTTTGATGAGAAAGGATTGGTTAGGCAGCAGATAGAATCATTTGATGAATTCGTGCAGAACACGATGCAGGAAATTGTAGATGAGAATCAAAGGCTCACGCTTGATCAGTTTAATCAGTACACTCAGCATAAGAACGATACAACTAGAAGATACGAAATTGAATTCGGTCAAATTTATTTATCCAGGCCAACTATGACTGAGGCCGATGGCAGCGTTAGCCCTATGTTCCCACATGAAGCGAGACTTAGAAATTTAACTTATTCTGCTCCACTTTATATCGATATGAAAAAGAAGGTTCTTATTCAAGTTGAGGACGACGAGACTGGCGATTTGGTTTGGGTTCCCGAGTACGACGACGAATCTGACGAGAACATCAAAGTTTGGATTGGTAAGGTTCCAATCATGCTTAAGAGTTCCTTCTGTAACTTGAGCAATGTTGATTCTTCACGATTGGCTGAGTTGAACGAATGTCCTTTCGATCAGGTTTGTCTGCTCGACACATCCGTTTCACTTCTAAACTTCCTCATAGGGTGGTTACTTCATCATCAATGGCTCTGAGAAAGTCTTGATTGCTCAAGAAAGACTGGCTGCAAACCATGTCTACATCTTCGCAAAAGCTGAACCTTCTCCCGTCTCCTACCAAGCTGAAATTAGATCTGCTATGGAGAAAGGTGGAAAGACCGTTTCCTCTATGCAAATCAAAATGTTCAGAAGACCTCAAGGTAACGCTCAGGCTGATACTATGAGAGCTACTATACCATACATCAAAAACGAAATTCCTGTCATCATTGTCTTTAGAGCTTTGGGTATCGTCCCTGATAGAGAAATCTTGGAACACATTTGCTTCGATTTCGACGATAGTCAGATGCTCGATCTCCTCAAACCCTGTATAGAAGAAGCATTTGTTGTACAAGACCAGAACGTGGCATTGGACTTTATTGGTAGGAGAGGTACTACTACTGGTCTTTCAAAGGATAAGCGTATCAGATACGCCAAGGACATACTTCAAAAAGAGATGTTGCCGCACGTTGCCACTAATGAAGGCTCTGAAACTAAGAAAGCCTACTTCTTTGGTTATATGATCCACAGACTCATGTTGGCTAGATTGGAAAGAAGAGAATTGGATGATAGAGATCATTTTGGAAAAAAGAGATTAGATTTGGGTGGTCCTTTGCTTGCTAGTTTATTCAGAATGCTTTTCAGGAAGCTCAGCAAGGACGTTTACAGGTACATGCAGAAGTGCGTTGAAACACATAAGGAATTCAATCTCAACCAAGCTGTCAAAGCCAACACAATCACAAATGGTCTCAAATATTCCCTTGCAACTGGTAATTGGGGTGATCAAAAGAAGTTTATGCAAGCAAGAGCTGGTGTCTCACAGGTTTTGAACAGATACACCTTCGCATCGACTCTCTCTCACTTGAGAAGATGTAACACACCAATTGGTAGAGACGGTAAAATTGCTAAACCACGTCAACTTCATAACACTCACTGGGGTATGGTATGTCCTGCTGAGACTCCTGAAGGTCAAGCTTGTGGTTTGGTCAAGAACCTTGCTCTTATGGCCAACGTTTCTACTGGTGAAACATCTGCACCAATCCAAGACTTCTTGCAAGAGTGGGGTATGGAAGAACTTGAAGAGTTTAACCCACGTTCAAACCAAATCAAGGTTTTTGTTAATGGTGTCTGGATTGGTGTTCACAGAGACCCAACAAACCTGGTAAAGACTCTCAAAAAGCTTCGTCGCGATAGTGACATTCCTCACGAAGTATCTATCGTTAGAGATGTTAGAGAAAAGGAGCTAAAAGTTTTCACTGATGCGGGACGTGTTTGCAGACCGATCTTCTTAGTTGACGAGGAATCTCAAAAGCTGATGATCAATAAGTCACACATTGCTAAGATTGAAGCAAACAATCTTGGCGAAGATGAGGATCCAGAACATCCATACAATTGGGCCAGATTGATGTCCGACGGTGTTATGGAATTGGTAGATGCAGAGGAGGAAGAAACGCTTATGATCTGTATGACGCCCGATGAACTTGAACACTCGAGACAGGGCTTTATTCCACAAGATGAAGAATTTGATCCTGCTGCAAGAATTAAGTCAGCATCTACATTAGACACTCACACATGGACACACTGTGAGATCCACCCAAGTATGATTCTCGGTATTTGTGCATCTATCATTCCATTCCCCGATCACAACCAGTCCCCAAGAAATACCTATCAATCAGCTATGGGTAAGCAAGCGATGGGTGTTCACTTGACCAATTTCCAGCAAAGAATGGACACACTTTCAAACATTCTTTACTATCCACAAAAGCCACTGGCAACAACAAGATCTATGGAGTATCTCAGATTCAGAGAATTACCTGCAGGTCAAAATGCTATCGTCGCCATTCTTTGTTACTCTGGTTACAATCAAGAAGATTCGGTTATTATGAATCAGTCGGCTATTGATAGAGGTTTATTCAGATCCATTTTCTATAGAAGTATGTCTTACTGCCATTACCTATTCATGTCTTACGATGTACTACAGGTTACATGGACACTGAGAAAAAAGTTGGTACTATGATGTTAGAGGAATTCGAAAAACCCACAAGAGACACTACCTTAAGAATGAAGCACGGTACATACGACAAGATAGATGATGATGGATTAATCGCTCCAGGTACTCCAGTAAACGGTGATGATATCATCATAGGCAAGACTGCTCCAATACCAGCAGACTCAGAAGAGTTAGGCCAGCGTACAAAGTTACATACGAAGCGCGACGTGTCTACCCCATTGAAGTCGACAGAGGAGGGTACAGTTGATCAAGTTCTGGTCACAACAAATGCAGATGGATTGAAGTTCTCTAAAGTTAGAATGAGATCAACCAGAATACCTCAGATCGGTGATAAATTTGCATCTAGGCACGGTCAAAAGGGTACAATCGGTATCACGTATCGTAATGAAGATATGCCATTTACGACCGATGGTATCACACCAGATTTAATTATAAACCCACACGCCATTCCTTCACGTATGACAATTGGTCACTTGGTTGAATGTCTATTATCCAAGGTATCGACTTTACAAGGCAATGAGGGTGATGCAACACCATTTACAGATGTGACTGTTGAGTCCATTTCATCTATTTTGCAAGAAAGAGGCTACCAAAAGAGAGGTTTGGAGGTTATGTACAACGGTCACACTGGTAGAAAATTACAAGCGCAGGTGTACATCGGACCAACATACTATCAGAGACTGAAGCACATGGTTGACGATAAAATTCACGCAAGAGCTCGTGGACCTGTACAAATACTTACAAGACAGCCTGTTGAAGGTAGATCTAGGGACGGTGGTCTTCGTTTCGGTGAGATGGAAGTGAGTATAGAAGTTGATTCGATAGCCACTGCTAATGAAACATAAAGCGTGATTGTATGATTGCGCACGGTGTTGCTGCCTTCCTCAAAGAGCGTCTATTCGATGCATCGGACGCTTACAGACTGCACGTCTGCGATCTTTGCGGTATGACAGCTATTGCCAACCTCAAGAAGCAAACGTTTGAATGTAGAGCATGTAGAAACAAGACGGACATATCTCAAATCCACGTGCCTTACGCAGCCAAGCTTTTATTCCAAGAGCTGCAATCTATGGGTATATCACCAAGGTTATATTCTGATGTCAGTAACTCGGGTGGTGTACGTTAAGTTAATTTAATGGCAAAATGTCATAATGTATATTACAATTTTAAGTATTTTACTTGAGTCTTGCGTGTTGAGATTATTGGATGGTGACACAGTTAAAAGTAACCCTATGTAGGACTCTTTGCATTTGGAGCTACTGTCTCTTCAGTTTTCTTTCTAAGTTTTGTGAGCAAACATAAGCAAATGAAAGCGGCGCCTACTCGTCTTTGACGTCTCTGCTGGCTTGTCGAAGGGGGACACTGAAGATATAATATCCGGACATGACACCAATTGTGCTAGCTACCAGTAGTGGTGTCACTTTTCCTCGCATTTTACGTGATGGTGGGTTGAAGTAACCTGTATCGCTGCAACGTCCAAATTCAAAAGGCAAAAGAATGCATATAGCTGTGCAATTACTGATAGCTATTATTATATCAGAATTCATCGCTGTTATTCCACAGGATGTCGTTCAATCGCTTGTACGTTGCCGTGTAATTGATTGGGATTACAGTGCTGATAACAAGATAGATCGAGAGCGTTTACAACTTTACTTTGAATAGATCGCTACTTAACAAGCAGGGTAAACTGAAGCAGGATATTATGAACACAAAGAAGCAGCTTAACAGCACTTCCTCCCAAGACGAATTCTCTAAATGGGCTAAATTGAAGCGTAATCATGATAAACTGCTCAAGCAGCACGAGGATACCAAGCAAGAAAACAGCAAAGCTCAGATGATTATAAAACCACTCGTTAAAGTCGTCATGTTCGCTTTACCTTCTGTATTACAATTTGGGGTGACTATTGCTAACGGTAAACGCTCAATCATTCACCTCCCACCACACAACTGGTTTGGCAGCGCACTCACCTTGTTATTTAGCTTGCCATTCAGCCCGAGAGGAACTATCTCTGCTAGCATATATGGTATGGTTGTGAAGAGAGTAGTGAAGCTATTTAGGCAGTTCATACAAGATCTCGGTACAATCATCTTTGGCGTGAAGAACTCTCAAGCCTCAGCTGCTAGGAGGGATGACTCTAAGCAGGATAAGCAGGAAAATAGCTCAGTGCACACAGCACAACCGGTTAAAACACAATAATCGCAGGAAGTGTATGATGTGCACATTCGATATATCTATTTGAACGACTTTTATGTGTTGATGAGGGACGCAACGTTTTGGAGTAACAATATGGCACTAGATATGTAAATTCAGGCTAATTTAATATGTTTAATTCATATAAACAAGCCTGTTTGCTATCTCAATGTGTCTTCTAATATTATGACGCGCTTTTTTTAAAAGCAAACGTGTAAATGCATCGAAAATAAAATAATTAAATATGCTAAGTGGTCTATGACACAGTAATCCATGAAGCATTAACTAATGCTTCGATTTTGGTGGTTTAAGAGCAAGCCAATATGTGAGTGTACCCACGATAATACAGACCCCCACGAGTATACCAAGAATAGCAAAGAACCAATTCAATCCATCGGCACTCTCTCCTGGCACGTGAACGTTCATTCCCCACAAACCACAAACAATGTTGATAGGCACAAGGACAGTACCCAAGGCTGTCAACTTTGACAAAACATTATTGATCTGATTGTTGGCTTCGGTCATCTCAATACTGATTTGAGCAAGGTAATTGGAGTGTGATCTACTGAGAATCTTCTCGTAGTGATTCAAATTCTGAGTCATTGTGATCAAGTGATCTTGGATATCACTCAGGTAAAGACCTATGTCGGATTTTGGAGCAACGGTCCAATTCTCGTTGCAGCGTTTAGCTAAACCTTTAACGACATCTGCTTTATTACCCATCAATCTGAGCAAACCCATGACTTTTTTACGACAAGTACCAATCCTTCTTAACATATCAGACTGTTCGTTTTCTTTAAGAATCAATACGAGTTCATCGATTGTGTCGACTTCAAATTCTATTGATTGAATCAGTGGTGCGAATGCGTCTGTAATATCATCGATGAGGGCGTACGATATCCAATCTGACGTAACGTTGATATAATCCCTAAGCTGCTTTATTCTGCGACGAACATTATGCGGATGTGGCGTTGCTCTGAAATGGAACGACAGCGTGCCTTCTCTAAATACGATGATGTACATGTTTAGTGGTTCCAGATATGTTGGACTGTGTGGATCTTGATCAAAAGATCTAAAACACACAAGGTAATAATTCCGAAAGAGTTCAATTTTTTCACGGGACTCCTCCATTTGAATATCTTCAGTGGTAAGAGGGTGGATGCCAAAGACCTACATAATATGTAAGTTGACGATTAATATAACAATACCAACCCACTTTACTTAAAGTCCTCATTTCAGAGTCTGTTGGTGATAATACGTCCAGCCACCAGGTATTGGCTTCGCTATCATCTACAGGTGTTTCATTACCATTTTCCACTCCGATATTCAGTTCAAGTGCATTTTCGTCTAGCTTATCGTTTGATGTGGTAGATTGTTTGCCTTCAAAGAGCTGCTGGAATGATTGTCCTAGAGATGGTAGTTCTCCCAGAGATCTGGCATGCACGGTGGCAGGAAGGGAATTAGAGTAAAAGCTGAATCTATAGTCTTTTTCTGCGGTTGTTGGAATGCGTGGTGGCAGGCTAGGTCTAGGTGCATTATTGTAAGGGTCATTTGAAGGTGGTGGAGGTGGAGGTGATGATCCAGACGGAAAGGTGGGGGGTGGTGCACCTGAAGAGTCAAAGATTGCGAGATGCCGCTGGTGCATTGGTTCCTTCTTTTCATCGTCTGTTTGCTTTGGAGTTGAAGGCGGAGTTAATCCGGAATGTGCCCGTTCTGAGAGCTCTAAGCCAGTTGATTCTGCAGCGACATAAGCATCCAGCAAACTAAAATCGAATTTGTTTGGCTTCAGTCTTGTGCCTGAGCCTATCGCGTCAGTCGAAGGTTGAGCCGATAGTGGTGATGGACGTGTTGGAGGCTTTTCAATCTCTACATCAGAAGATTGTGGGGTGAAACGACCACTTATATCTTGGTTGTCGAGCTCTAAACTACCACCTTGCTTTGCTAATTCAATTTGAGCTTCTTCGTCTGCGGATAAAGGGAATAAGAACTGAGGCTTTTCAGAGCTCGGAGACAAGCCGCCGTCGTCTTCGGGATTATCCGCATTGAGCAATGTCTCATTACGCGGTCGCTTGCTGTAAGAAGGAGTGTGTTGAATGAAAGAACCAGCTCTAGCTCTGGATAGTTGCATTACTGAATCAATATCCTGTTGACGCTGACGGTCTTCGTCATTTAAGCGCCTCAAAGAGGATCTTGCGCTTGAGGGACTGTGTGGAGGCGTGCCGTGTTCAGGCTGATTATCTTGCTTTGTGTTTGATGACATTCCTGCAATGATTTTAAATTCCTGTTAACATATCTTGCTTATATTCTGTGTTCAACTGTAAAAACCGCGGCTTCGACGAATTTGGAGTCCTCAATGTCAGACTTTGAAAGCTCATCTATAATAGGAAACGTACAACGTTTGGCAGAAAAATTTTTATGTTCTTTTCTGTTTCCTTATGAAAATATCACAATTCGGTATCTGGAACGCATTTCGTTCATCTTCATAACTTAAATTCTTCGCTATTATCACAAATTTGATTCAACCCACTCGTATAACTTTAATACGCGTATACTTGGGCGATGAGTAGCTAGCCAATCTGGCCTATATGCTCTCCAGTGCTTATCTTGAGGATGCACGTTGAACCTGTAACACACTACGTAATTCCCATTGATTAGCACCGGCGTCGGTATGCTGTCAATATCCTTTAATTTTATCGTAGCCCCTTGTAAGTATATTATATCCCCTTTTCTACACTTATCCTCGTTGTCCAAGCCTTCCTTGTCGAAGATGCTCATCTCGATTGGGATCCCAGCTTCGTCTGTGGCAGTGAGATTGAATTTTGCCATTTTCAACCCATTTCTCAGTGTTATAGTATTAGCCTCAACTGAAATCAAAAACACCACAACGTTTATTGGCTGATGAGATAGATGTTTCGCATTTAAGTAAATGGATTCTAACGAAATGAGGCTATTTACGGAGAAATTGTACGATGGTGGGTTTAGTAAGGATACGTCACTTCTCTGCGTTATTGTAGCTGCCGTATTTGCTATTTTAGTTGAATCGGAAGACTTGATTGATTTGTGACAAGTAAATGACGTCTGTTGAGGCTTTGCTGTGCTTGTAGATGAATCCGATACGCTGAATAGCTCCGTGGGTAGCTCTACCATTCAATTAAACACAAATTTCACGCTTCAACACCCGTTAAAGACCCACCTTGGACCTCTTTGAAGTCGTCTTCTAGCTGAATCCTGACGAATTCCGTTTCCTGATACTCATCGTACAACGGACGCTTATTGGAGAGCTGCTTCTTCGTTGGTGCGCCTGTGTAAAAATGCATACATAACTTGTTCTATCGAAAGAGCGCCTTTATATGCTACGCCGTACAAGTCTTCTAGCAAAGCATTATAGGAAATCAATTCCTGGCTACTCGACTCAATCTAGATCATTCTTTGGTATTGGAGATGTTCTGGGTGAGGCTCTCTCATTCATATCACCCAGGTCTAATCCTCAGTAGGCGCAATTGGCAATCCAAAGGAAACACTTTCTCAGATAACTGAAGCAAAGAATGAGCTTGAAAAGGTTAAGAATGAGCTTGTCGAAATGGGAGAGAAAGTTCGTTTACCCCCGGTTAGGACTTTTGTGCGACAACCAAACTATTTCTCGAGAAAGCTAGAAGAGGATAGAGTACGCGCAATGCTTGACTCTGATGCTACGTTCACTGTTTTCTTTGGTGCTGCTTCTACTGGGAAAACGTGCCTGATTCGGCATGTGTTGACTGATAACACAAAGTATATCGTTCTTCCGATTGACTTGAGAATTTCTGCATTCACGGACCCTGCCACATTTTACATGTCCCTCTCAACACACTTGGAGGCATTCTTCAACGATGTCAGCGAAAGTGTTGACGGATTCGAGGAGTTAGGACATCGTCTCGGCTTAGGATTTAAGCACGCGAGAATTGATGTCGAAAGAAGGGGCGTTCCTCCTTCGTCTACAGACATAAGCAGACTGATGGAGTTGTTCCAAAACGCTTTCCTGAACTATTGGAACTACGATCCCTCACTGACAGAAGAAGAGCGAAAGAAATTAGATAACCAATCAACACTACCTGAACCTAAACAGAGAGTAACTTGTGGTAGCCCTAACAAGTTAAACAGAAAGATACCAGTACTATACATTGACGAAGCACATCGTCTGCCTCAACTGCTCGATACAGAGCACTCCGGTACACTAAAAATTATTCTGGATGGCTTAACAGTTCTAACCAAGCAAGAGAGGTTACTGCATACCATATTTTGCACGTCTGATTCTATGTTTATGTCAACGCTTGTGGATTACAATGTTTTAACACATACACAGGTTCTACATGTCACAGATCCATCGAAGGATTCAATTAGATCCTATTTGAAAGATCATCTACTCTTACAAATTAATCAATCGCACCTCCATCCCCACATAATTGAAAATTTCGACAACATTTACTCAATCCTTGGTGGAAAGTACATTCACTGGAAGGATTACTTGCTTGGAGATTGGCTACATGATGGTTTGAGTCTAACTCAATCAAAGGTCGCTACACATGCCAAAATATCTGTCGAATCACATCTCTATCCATCATCTGGATTGAGCACTCCACCGAATACTCTTGCTTTGCTGCATGAGATTGCGAAAGCAACAGACGACAATCCACTAGATATTTTTGATGCAAGAAGGAGATTTGGTCAAGAGGTGGTGGATGCACTCTTGTGTAACAAGATTTTAGAAGTTAGATGGGGGAACGTTATAAGTCGATCAAATTTCCTTGAGAATGCGCACATGAACCCCAAACTAGATGGAAGGTCAGACATTAGTGAGAACAAACCGGCCATAAATCCACTTAAGCCAGCATCTTCTGTGATGGGATGGGCGATTAAAGAGGTATTGAAGAAGCATGAATTGCAATAGTTATACATTTAGCGATAGTAGTTATTTGCGTACGGTTTGAGTGATGACCATAATCCTGAAACAGCCTCAGACAATTCTTCGGGTAAAGGTCCTTTGTCTAGGTCATCGAGGTTCGATTTGATGTGCTTAACGGAAGATGCACCGATGATGATAGTGTCACCATGCTCTCTCTTGAGCAAACTGTGATTAGTCAACCATCTCAAAGCGATTTCGGCTTGAGTGAGGGAATACTTGGATGCTAATTCACTGAATTGGTCCAAGACCCTGAAATAACCTTCGTTAAAATATCTAAGTTGCATGTTAAAAGTAACGTCAAAAGCTTCACATTATCTTACCTGGCCCTGTACATTTTACCCTGGTGACGATTTTCATCAAAACGACTGCCTTCATCTACGGGTTGATCAGGCTTGACAGCTCCTGTGAGAAGACCACCAGCAAGCTTCATAATGTTAATGATATCAAAAGCAAGAGATGAACACGCACTGGATTATAAGCGTAAAATCCAATGCCGAATTTGCGCAAAGCAGGGAACAATTCAGGCTCAACAGCTCTATGAATAGCAGAGTAAACACCTTGATAGACAGCAGGTTTAATTAAATTGTGCACACGGGCAAGTGTCGCGATCTCAGCGACCTCCCAACTAGCGTAATTAGACAAGCCGAGTTTCTCAAACTTTCCTGCCTTGTATTGAGTATCTAATGCTTTGAGAGTGTCTAAGAAGTCTGTACTTCTGTCTGGGGCATGAAGATACCAAATTTTGAGCTTATTGACACCCAAATTCTTGAGAGATGTGTCAATCTCCTCTTCTATGTCTTGCGCTGTGTGTTTGACACTAGATTTACCACCTGAGAGAGCATTAGAGCTCTGATCGAATGGAAAAATCTTGGATGACAAATCGTACTTGTTGGAAGCTTGCAAGTGTCCGAGATACTCTTCAGAAGTACCACCGCCATACATTCTAGCAGTATCAATTTCCTTGTGTCCGTGCTGGCCAAATATATCGATAATTTCCTGGACGGTTTCGTAATCGTGAACTCTGGCCTGCTCTTTGCCTTGTTGACCAAAGGTCATTGCGCCGAGAACGACTGGTAAAGCTGACTTTTCCGACATTCAGATTCCGATTAAGCAGATGGAGATGATGATGGTAAAGATAAAGGGGTAATCACAGGTGACGCCATAACAATTTTGAGTGAATGTAATAATTTATAGTAAAAGTACAATTAAGCTGCAGGCTTCTTTTTACTCCTACCCCACTTGACGCTTACAGGTTCGTTGCTAACGGTAAGGCCATTCTTTGAAATGGTTAGGGCTGCGGCTTCTGCTGCTTGCCTCGAAGTGAAATTGACAAAGCTGACTTTAGAGGTGGGGACTACGGTTGCTGACTTTATAGAATCAGCTGAGCCTCCAAATGCAGATCTCAGTTGATTTTCTGTAGTGCCTTCGGGTAGCTGAGAGCAGTACAGTGATAGCTGTGGTTGTTAGGTGAAATCCATCATAAAAGTAGACTGTAACGCACAATTTCAGGATCATCAGGCTTTTTTAAATCCAATTTAACATTCTTAATTGGGGGTGTAACCGGTGATGTAATTTGAGATAGTGATTGATTGTGATTTGAGGTAGAATTCTGATTCTTAGTTGGCTTGTAGTATGGTTCGTTCTTTGCAAGATCTTTAAGTATTTTCTTTCCTGCGTTCTCTGCTCTCCCCAAGCCACCATCGACCATAGTAGAGTTGCCTTTGAGCTGAAAGGAGTGAGAAGGGATAGTCAAGTGGATATAAGACACACCTTATCCTCTTGATTCTGTGCAAAGTATTGTCTATTCAAATTATCAGTTGGAGCTTTTGATTGGATACCGAGTGCAGCATCACGGAGGTGAACGGGTATTTTGTAAGTCTGAAAAGAGTAAGAGTGACTTGTAGCGGTTGATAGTGTAACTCACTAAATCTAGAATACAAGTTTGACAGCAGTGCTTCATCTTTGCGCATGTGTTACAGATTTCTGTCTTCTTGTATCTAGTACCAGCACCAGGGCACCAACTGAATAAAGTGAAAGGACGAACGCAGATTTTGCATTCTTTACCGAAAGCTCTCTTTTGCATTCTAACGAAGCTAATTGAGTGGGTTAGAGGAGAGTATGTGTATGGTGAGTACTAACGGATTTGGGCCTAGACCTGAAAGGGGATTTTAAGCATAAAACAGTAAAACGATAAAGGAACTTACAATCATCGCAAAGGATTGGAAATTCTGACTAAGTGTTTCATTAGAAAGTGAGTTTAAGTTGAGAGCAGCGCACTTCTTCCCAACCAGATGCATTAACGTCTCTCTGTAGATGATAATGTTAGCATGAATAGAATATTTTTACACATGTTCCTTACTTTTGGACCATAGGAGGACATTATGAGTGTATATGATAGAGAAGTGTGTTTTATTCAAAGGGATATAAATTATTGTACATGAATATCGTTTTATTTACACTTCCTATAAGAATATCCGTTAGCAACTTCTAAACAACTTCAACCAATCGACTTTTCAGTTAATTCTCAATTTAGCCAAAGTTATCCGCATATGCTTTAGCGCTAGGCAGGGGATGAAACATATAAAATAGCTTATTTCATCCTTTAAAGTCTAAATTGGTTGTACACTCTCACTCACATTAGGTATCGTGAATACAAGGGTGAAATCCTACTCGATCTCATTTTTGAGTCCAAGAAAATTTTCATATTAAAATAAATAATAATCATCATCATATAAATTCGTTAGTTGATATTAAAATGCTTAGTGGTATAGTTATTCTTCGCGTAGACGTTTATAGTCAACGCTAAAGTTATCCAACGACGACAACTCCTTGTTTCTCTGCTTTAATTGCATGAGTCTCATCGAAGAATGTTGTCGTATGACTTGAAACATGATCTGAGCTGTTTTCTCCTATTAAAAAGACGAATGAAAGACTCACCCACTCCTGACGAAATGCCTTGCTTTATCGTAGCTATGAAATGCATACCAGCGTGCACCTGGATACTCCCTCACTTGGTAAAGTGCTTTCTCACTTTGAAATCATCTTAGTAGACTAGATATACCATTCATATCACTCACAGTCCGGGATATATTCCATTTTGCCTGCCTTTGTGAACTGCGTAGAAAACTATTTCCATGAATACTGTTTTTGTCAAGTGACAGTTGCGGTTTAACGCCGCACCGCGTTTTTATCAACAGCAGCGTCATTTATGCACAATGACTGAATGTCCCCTTTCTGATATCTTATCTTTAAGTAGATCAATGTTGATATTCTTATTATTCTTATTATTCTTATCATTATTATCAATCTTATCATTCTTATTCAACTTTCTATATGTCTTGATTTAGCTGCGAAATCAGATAAAACACAACTATACGTATACTTTTAATTACATTCTTCTAATTTTCTCATCAAATATCACCATTTAATATACATCTACACCTCCTTAACTCACAACCACGCGTGTCCAGATATGAGTTCGTTACTCTTTTTATTTGACTGATTTGGTTAATTTCATCGACAGGCTACGACGATTACGGCAATTCAAGTAGGCCTTCCTTACGCCGACTACTCTCCCTTCTAATCTTCTCCAAAAGACCCTTACTATGAAGATACCGGCGCAGGCGGCGGTGGCTTCTTATCGAATTCACAAGGCGGCGGATACAGCCAAGGAAGTCCTTCTGCCAACGTTAGTCGATTCCACTCACGTTGCTTCTTTTGACTTGAAATTCCCAGAGGAAGGACGATGATACTCTCAGACCAGTCACAATAAAACAAGTCCTCAACGCTAAGCAGCCTCATGCTGATTTCCCTTTTCAAATCGAAGGCCACGATGTTTCACACGTCAGTTGACTACTCACACTCCCCTCCCTTCTCATTCTCTACAGGTTAAACTTGTCGCTCTGGTTAGATCTATTGGCTCACAAACTACGTCAGCCGTCTACTCGTTAGAAGACGCTACTGGCACTATTGATGTCAGATACTGGAAAGATGTTGAGTCTGAATCTGAAACCCCAGGGAGCGCTCATCAAAATCAATACGTGCGGGTCGTTGGTAGCTTGAAATCTTTCGCCAATAAGCTCCAAATCACCGCTCAAGTCGTAAAACCAATCACAGACTTCCATGAAATCTTCTACCATAAAGCTGAAGCTTTGGCTGTCACTTTACAGCTCCGCAAAGGCACAAATACTCTCATGTCTGAATCAAAACCCTCAGCAACTTACGGTCAACAGAGCTCTTCCGAACCAAACTACATGAAACCATATGCTGAGTTCCCACCGCTTCACAAATCCGTCATGAAAGCTATCTATGAAGAGTCAGATAAAAGTCCACAAGGTGTACATGTCGCCCGTATCGCTCAACATTGTCCAAAAGGCGATGAAGCTTTGACCGAAGCTATTGAGTATCTTATTAGTGAGGGTCACTTATTCACTGGGTACGTTACACAAGCTCTTTGCACGCAATTTACTTTCTAACTTGCATCATAGCGAGGATGATGAGCACATATTGCCTGTAACCCATGATTCTTAGCAAATGCATTTGTAAAACATAATTTATCTAGTCAACTTGACTTGTAAACCTAATCATCTGAATTGCCTTCATCGACACCTTCGTCAACATTCAATAGTTCAAACGCTGACCTGACGTTTCTGTCAGCAGGTGCTTCTGACTCTTCTTGTGGCTCTTCAGCCGCACTTTCATCGCTTTCTACCTCGTCATCCTCTTCTTCGGATGTATCATTCTGTGTTTCCGCAACAGAGTTGTTGTCCACAATGTAAATACCATTAGAATTATCCATCAATTCAATACCATTAGGAAGATATGCCCATTTGAATTGACTGGTTGTTATTTGGCGCAATATAAAGTTGCTCGCTCGATTCACATCTGGTCGACCAGCTTTAGCGGTCATATATCCTGCTCTGATTGAGTAACGTTCTAGTATCTCAAGGGTTTTCGTATTGCTATCCTCTCGTCTTGAGGTTCTAACCATACCTTCACGCCAAGTACGTTTATCTTCCTTTTCATCCTTCTGTAACACACTTTCTGGTGCTAAAGGAAGTATATTTTCCAATGGCATGCGCTGCCCAATTTCATACACTATGCGGCTAGGTTGACGTTCTTGCGATATTGGTACCGTTGATCCCAACACCTGCGCCCAGCGCGGTGTCGTCGATGGCCAAATCAATCCGGGACAATCAGCAAGCCTGACTTTGTTGGCCAAATAGAGCGTTTGAAAGTGCTTGGTTTTACCAGGAGTAGAACTGGCTCTCACTTTTGAGCTTCCGAATAAACCGTTAATCACACTGCTTTTACCAACATTAGGCTGTCCGAGCAAACCGATGGTGAGAACGTCATCTTCTGTACGTTCATTATTGGCATTTTCATCACCGTGTTCCTGCTCCTGCTCTTCTTCTTGCTCCTCCTGATCATCTGGAGAACCAACCTCCTCAAAAGCAACGTCGAAACCCTTTCTTTTTGGACCACCTTTCTTGTTTTCGGCTTGAACTCTACCTAACTTTCTGGCTTTGCGCTTTGCAACCTTGCTTGATGAATTCAAGGTATCGCCTTGGTCAATATCAGGGTTTGTCGAGGCGTTTGGTTGGTTTGGATGCGCAGTTGTATCTATACGGTCTCTTATCTCCTTTGCTACATCCTCAAAATCAACATCCGGTACATTCTCACATGCAGACTTGAGTGAAGCGTGTGCAGTCGAGATAGCAGTGAGCAATTCTACCATGCTCTCGGGTTTGATGAATGGCTTACGCCTGCCTTTCCCTTGTTCGCCTAAGACAACCTGATATGTGCTCAGCTTGACTATCTGATCAGTAGAGCTGAGTTGAGATTTGAGCCACGCTTCCCAACAAGCGGCAGTGTCATCAGGTACCAAATCTACCTTTGTGAAGACATAGATGACTCTTTTATTTTGCTTCTCGGTAAGAAGATCTAAGTGTTTCTTTAATGAGTTTGTAAAGTGTATTGTAGGCAGACGAATGTCGATCAAAATCAACAAAACTTGAGACATTTCACATGTTCTCCAGCTTTCGTGTGTTAGCGGTTGGTATTACTTAAACTTTAAAGTATACTTACAACTGCCTCCAAACTTCTATATTGCGCTCATAGACACCAACGTCCTGCTTTTGCAGCTTATCTAAAGCCTCGTCATTGAATTTCAACCATCTCTTAAACTGAATGACTTCGTTAGTCTCTAACTCCTTTTTCGACATGTTGTAATTCCACTTTGGTCTTCTGAAGCAGCTGAGCTGCTGGTCGTCTGGATCTTGGCTCCAGATTGCGGCGTGAGTCGGTATAGGTCTGTGCCAATACCAACTATCAATCACCTCATTCTGATCGACGTATTCCTGGTTGGATGATCCCTGCCAAGTAGATTCAAGCTTCTCTGCAGCTTTCTTCTTCTTTCCTAGCTTTGGATCCAGATAAGCAGATCTCGAGAACTTTGGCAACTGTGACTTCTTGGATATTTCAACATCCTCGCCTCTGTTCTGTGCCCTTTGCAATTTAAGTTTCTCGCTTTTCGCCTTGGCAGATTGTGGTGTACGCCTCATTGTTAGCCAACAAGAATGATTTCACATGTTGGAGTGAACGATGATCAGGAGTGCTTTCAAACGGCTGCTGGTCAAGCCAAATCTTAATCTAAACACTAGCAAGCAGCTCATTAGCATCAGGAAACCAACGCGCTTAGGCACAGACCAAGGAATAAACTTCCAACAACTCGATTGGCATAACAAGATCAAGCAAGAAATAAGCCATGTTTCTACGGATGTCATGGAATATACAAATGACAAGTTGTCCATAAATGAGGCTGACGGTTTCGAGGATAGTAGGAAACTGGTTCATGCGAATCGTCAGCTAGACGGTGTCAGATGGGTCAATGTTGAAGGCAGGAACTTACATCTATTGCGCGAGCTCGCTTTGAAGTACCAGCTTCATCCTTTGTCCATTGAGGATACGTTATATGGTGATTGTGCGACACGACCTAAGGCTGAATATTTTAGCAATGCGCTGTTCGTTACCCTACCTTTACATAGCTTGGGTGATACAAATGGCAACGAACCTACTCATATGCAAAAGCTTTTCGACAATGCTCGCAAAGCTTCAAAGAAGCCAGAAATTTTTAACGACAAGGGTGAAGTGAGGATTGATGTACAGCTTTTGTCCTTGTTCTTGCTGAGAGATGGTTGGTTGAACTTTATTGTGGACACGCTGTCACTGATAAGCTCAATCCAGGAACTATCATTAGTATCTTTGAAAGACCACAGCCAAACGTGCTAGAGCCAGCTATCGCGAGAGTTAGACAGGAGGGAACAGTCGTTCGAGACTCAGCTGATGCATCAATGTTACTCCAAGCTTTACTCGACGTCGCGGTCGATCATGCAATCAGTGTTGTCGGCGCGCTGGAGAAAAAACTACTTCTGCTTGATCAGCAAGTCTTAGAAGTACCGACAATGGAGACTATCAGATCGCTGCACAGACTACGCGGTCAGTTCTTGGAGTTGAAACGCACATTGACACCACTTCACAATTTGATTTACACGTTGAAAGATTTAGACGGACAGAAAGCTGCCTTCACCACTGGTCAGCCTGGGAATCCATCAGAAGGGTTTATGAGCTTACAAGCTAGGACATATCTACAAGATGTAGCAGACCACGTGTGAGTGGTGATGTTATTAAGTTCAAATGCTGACTGAGTCAACAGAGACTGGATACTCTCAGCATTAGACATGTTTTCGTCTCTTTCGGAGAACCTCGTATCGCTCAGCTTCAACAGCAGCAGTTTCAAGCTGAATGAAACGATAAAAACGTTGACGGTGTTTAGTGTGATTTGTATGCCACTCTCACTCATTTCAAGCTACTTTGGGATGAACTTTGAAAAGTAAGTGACAGTAATGTGTTTTGACTCCGCTAACAAAGGCGAAGGTTCCCATCGCTAGCAAACGATGTCAATTAGTAAGTATGTGGTATTTTGAATAGCCCATTTAACCTAGAAGTAGCTTCTGGAAGCTGGCTGTTCTCACATGCGTTGTGACCACAGTCGGGATCTATGCCCCGCAGCTCAAATCCAAGATGATTGCGCGTAGACTGATGCGCAATAGATCGCTGATGCTAAGAGCTGTGAGTTTGATATAAATGGAATCACACCTTTGACCCTGTTTCAGAATCATAATGACATGTAGTCGGCCAAGTGGATCATATCCGGGGACGATGATTTTAGAAGGAAAAGAAAGGAAAATACCAGTAAAATTATTCACTTGGAATTTAATGTATGCCCATAAATATAACGATCATTTTTTGATATTTTTATTAGACTGAGGTGCGAAGGCCTCTGCTCTGAACTCGTTGCAACTAAACGTTTATCCAAAATGAGCGAGCAGCAGCAGGACATAGCTCAAAAAATAGCTGCGGCGAGGCATTTGTCTGAGGGCTTAAAGGATAAGATACGTGCTAAGAAGGAGCAGACGGCGGATAGCACTTGTGGGTGATTCGCACTGCCTTTGAGTGTGCTGACAAGTTATATTTAAAGTGCGAGCCATGGCCGCAGATATAGAACCACTGCCACGCGTAGTCATGAAACCAAGAAGAACTCTGAAAGGTCACCTCGCAAAGATATACGCAATGCACTGGTCTGCAGATAAAAGGCATTTGGTTTCAGCTTCACAGGACGGAAAATTAATAATCTGGGACGCTTACACAACTAATAAAGTCCACGCTATACCCTTAAGGTCTTCATGGGTTATGACATGTGCCTACGCACCTTCAGGCAACTTGGTTGCTTGTGGTGGATTAGATAATATCTGCTCAATTTACAATTTAAGGGGAAGAGACGGTAGCGTGAAAGTGTCCAGGGAGCTGCAAGCACACACTGGTTACCTCAGTTGCTGTAGATTCCTCAACGACAGACAGATTTTAACCAGTTCAGGCGATATGTCTTGCATGTTATGGGACATTGAGTCTGGCGTCAGAATTCAAGAGTTCCACGACCACACTGGGGATGTAATGTCGATCAGTTTAGGTCCAAATCAGAATACTTTCGTTAGTGGTGCATGTGATGCCACAGCCAAGATTTGGGATATGAGATCAGGTAAAGCTGTACAAACGTTTACTGGTCATGAAAGTGATATTAATGCGGTGCAATTCTTCCCTAATGGAGATGCGTTCGCCACAGGCTCAGATGATGCGACATGTCGTTTATTCGACTTACGAGCAGACAGAGAATTGAATCAATACAGTCATGATAATATTTTATGCGGGGTAACATCGGTAGGATTCTCCAATAGTGGCAGAATATTATTCGCAGGTTACGACGACTACAACTGCAATGTTTGGGATACACTCAAGGGCGAGAGAGTTGGCGTGCTTTCTGGACACGAGAACAGGGTCTCGTGTCTGGGAGTGTCTGGGGACGGAATGGCATTATGTACAGGTAGCTGGGACAGCCTTTTGAAGATATGGGCGTGATAAGATATTGAGTTATAGATACCCTTGAGAAAGAAATAAAATAAAATTAGGTTTACACTCATTAAATTTGATATTTTGATTAAATAACAAACTTTATATCTTTAAATGCATTACAAATATAATTTTCGAGTTAAACAGACTGAATGAGAGTTATGTTATCGCCTTTGAGGAGAATCCTACCGAGGCTGCTGTTTGGCTGTGATTGCTTTTTGTTGATGAAAACCTCTTCAACGTCATCGAGGATGAGGTTCATGTATTCGTCGAAACCAATGATACGGCCTTGTAACCTGCAATCAACGTTATCGTACAGCCAGACAGATACCTTGGTTCGCTGGAGATTTTTAATGTGCATTTCAATGAATAAAGATAGCTCACCTGCTGAAGATACTTGAATATAACATTCTGTTGGAATTGTTAGACAGGCATGAGTACCAGGTAGAGGACTGACGATTGGCTGAATCATAACTTGCTGCTTGCGTCCAGACATTTTGAATTATAAACTAAACCAATTGGTCGTTGCTGTAGAACCTAGAAGCGGTACAATACAAACGACCATCATGGCTTCAAATATTAGAAATCTAAAATCATCCAACTCAAACAAATTATCACAGTCTTTTATCCCACAAATCACCAAATTCACTTTGGCTGTCGACGATTTCGCACCTTCCCATGAAGCTTTAAGAAAGTTTATACAGAGCGATCTAATTGATATCGCCAATAAAAACAAAAACGTAGAATTCATTATACAAGGCGTTGCAAAAGGTGCGAGGGGCTCCTTGGGCGTCGGTAACGGTGGTTGGATCAAAGGGGAGTACATCAACGGTAGGGATAAAGTAATTGCCACGAATAGGCTAAATCACCAATCTATCAAAACTAAAGTTCAGCTCCTGATTGATAGCTCCGGAAAGAAGATTGTTCCACTTAAAAATGCTCCAATTGAATCTACAAATCAATCTGTTAGAGGTATCTGGTCCCCATACCATGCAAATCAAAATTCATCATCTCACTGGAAAATTTAACACACTTCATCATCATTTTTGTACTAATAGATTGATACTATCCCTATATACTCTGCGTGGCATCCTCGCCAAGTCCTCCACCCGACGACAGAACAAAAGCTTTGAATGTCAAAGATTGATGTTTAGAGTTCAAAGTGTCTATCCTGACTGGCGTTGCGTAGCGCTCTGCAATTTTTAAACTAGTTTTGGTATGTTTCAGGGAGCGTGATTTGGAAAATAAACATAGACAATCCTACTATCTTGACTTCTGGGACTATAACGCATATTCAATTATCATTCCAACCCGATTATTTAGATTTTCAAAATTTACTGGTCAGGAGCCAAATCTCAAATTGGGGGTTTAGGCTAACCCCCCTTTTTTCTATGCCGAGATTTCGTTTAGAAAGCATGAAGGGAGGTGGAATGGTGATAGTATCATCCTGGCGCCATTATCGAGTCTTGTGGAAGCCGCCAAGGCCGACATGTCTGAATAGACAAAAAGCGTTCTGAAGGGTATATACTTGTGCTATTTGGGTGATTGCAGTCTCATTAAAATCTGGCAATATCACATTCTTACCAGCTATACCTACCCATCAAGTCGTTTTCTTTGGAGATTATCAAAAGTCCTATATCATCATGTGAGATAAGATAGGTGGTCGAGAATAATTCCGAGTTGGTGGAAATTGAGCGGAGGGTTGAGCGAAAATATACTCAGATATATAAAAGTGGCATAAAAATGATGGTTTTGCTAAATCTTTCAATTGTCAGTATATGGTGTCCCTGCGTTCGTCTTCTCGCTCACTTGGTCATTTTTATGGTGCCTTGAGCATATTTGATTCAATAATATAATTCAAACTGCTGTTATTCAGTTTTTCAAATCGCCTTGTCTTGTACCAAACTCGTCCTGAAGTCATCTTGACTACGACCCTACCGTTTGCCTCTTGAGCCTTCTTTGTTAACATTCTACAAATGAGTCAAAAGGCTGTAGATCAGCCTGCTATAAAGTCAGTGACTGGATGCTCATTTATTTCAAGAAAATCAAATCGAGTGAAACAATCACAGCGGAGATAGCTTTAGACATGCATAATTAATCGCCAGGGTCCAGAAAGATGCGTTTCGCAATAACGAAAGCTCTTAGCAATCACCAGTAGCACTTTAGCACTCTGGAATGGGGAAAATCGTAGCAGAGCAGATCACAGGCCTTCACACCAATCAAACAAGTGTTAACGCTCTTTATGAGAAATTTATAGCTTAAAGCAAAAGATCATCGTTGTTTTGCGGTGTTTGATATTGCTGCGATGGCTGCGATGGCTGAGGTTTTGAAGATGTAGGTGTGTTCCACAAAGAAGCTGATGATTTCTGCTGCGCCATTGATGCCATCGATGGTTTAGCTGTGTTTTCTGATTGTTTTGTTGACTTTGAAGACTTCCACAAATCGTCGAATCCACTAAATGGATCATTTGGTTTTGTCTGTTGGTTAGGTACATTGGCACGATTTGGCATCGTTGCTGGGTTGATAGCTGGCTGTGGCGCCATTGCAGGAGGTGTTGCTGCAGGTTGTTGGAGGCTTTGGAGTCCGCTCATTGGCATCGTTGGAGGTATACTACTAAGGGCGTTGCTTTGGCTTCCCATTGGAGGCTGGATGTTTGGTATGGACTGCGTGCTTGCTGGAGCTTTTGGTTTTGAGACAGGTGCCGACTGAAAGTCGTCGAAATCGTCGAATTCTGAAATACCTGCTTGAGTTGTCTTAGGTGGAGCTTGGACAGGTGCCGCCGTAGGAGCAACAGGAGGAGCAGAAGCGGGTTCATCCCCAAAGTCAAACAAGTCAACCTCAGGTTCTTTCTGTTTTGTTTGCTGAGGTGGTTGGGAGGTAGAGCTAGCTGGGGTGTTCTCGTGATAATCCTCTGCACGATCATCATCATCGCCAGCATCGTAATCGTCATATCCCTGATTGTTTTCAGCAGCATCGCTGAATCCACCTCCACCACTGTACGAAGTGTTGGTGGTATTCAAGCTATCCGAACCGAATCCACCGTATCTGCTTCCGCCCATGTTGAAAGATACACCAGAAAGCTGCTCACTGCCAACACCTACGTACTTGGAGCGGTTAGCTTTTGCCTTTCTGCGCTCTGCTCTGATCTTGTCGACATCCGATAACAGAGAAATGATTTCCATCGCTCTGTTGCGCACGTTGATGCCTTGATCCTTAGACTTATCGTCGATGAAGTGGAAGTTCCTGAGCATCTTGATGGTTGAAAGGTGTGCGCGTGCATCATCAACCACGCGCTCAGAGCCGTGCTTTACAAGATATTCGAGTAATTGGAGAGCCTGTGAAAGTTGTAAGGGATAATTCACAGCGCAAACACACGTACTTTGTAGATTTGTCTCCACTGGCGGGCTTCCATCTCCATAAATTTCCTGTAGATCGTTGGGAGTATCTCGTTGAATTCTTGGCTGTTATTGGACCGGTTAGAGTACTTTGAGATACGCAAGCCAGACAAACAAGTTGAATGTTCCTTGGGCTATTTGCTGCATTAGAGTTGAGCTAGCACCCCTTAGAGCTGGTCAGATGGACGTCAACACAGACGCGTTTAACAAACCAGGGATCGTCGTTGGTGGCTTCATTCACTTTCGCTTCCATCTCCGGCACGTTCATTGCAATATTCTTCGCCTGGTCCTTCCAGTCAGCAACTGCTGCGTCAGTGCCTCAGGACCAACCTTCTCGATATACGACTTGACATCGTACGGCGTCAGATCTTGTACCTGATTCTTGTAAGCTGATGGCTCTGTGCGCTTGCCAACTTACTTGATTTGTTACTTTCTGAATCCAATCCATCGGTGTTAGGGTGCGAGGAATATATTTATTACGACAAAATATTTAATTCAACAAGCCAGGCTGTGTTTCTACAAGGTATTCATATTCTGGCTTGAAATTCTTTGTTTCCCGTGAGATACGCCTACTCATCGTCCGACACACTCACCAAATACGCGGCCTCCGGATGCGTCAATGTTGCAGCCGTGAATGCTGCATCCTCGTCGTCAATCGTGTTTCTGCCGATGTGTCAGAATATTCACTTGGCCGCAATCACTCTAAGTCTACTCACATCTTGTGGCCATTGGATGCAGCCGATTCACTCAATAGCTGCACATGGCACGCTCTTTCTAGTGCGTGAAATGCGTGTGCCATCTCGTCGACAGTCTCTCCTACCGTCAACAATCCGTGGTTCTGTCTTGTTTCAATTATGTCTTGGAGTACGCAACTTCACTCACCTGTAAAATACAGTTTTTTGATGTTCCCAGAGACTTTGCTACATTCTCGCCCTCCTCGTGTGCCAAAACTATTCCACCAAAGTTCCTAATCGCGCTGATTAGCCGAGATAACAAATACTGGTGTGAGTAACGCACTTATAAACACCCTAGACGGTTGTGAGTGAGCAAAATGAACATTGCAATCAAGACCCACCAGGTTGTTGTAGAAAAGGCAGCTATCTTGGCTCAGCATGTCAATTGGCTTCCCGAACACGCTCCATGCTTTTCCATAAACAGTGTGAGTGTGTCCAGCAGCCTTGACATCCGGTCTAGCTTTGTGTATAGCGCTGTGGATGTAGAATCCAGCTGTATTGCTGTAGTGCGCTATTTGAGATAAATATTAACATGCAGTCACCACCCACATCGGCAATTGTGCTCCTTCAGGGCGAATATAACCATCAGGACCGACGAGAACTAGCTTGGATTTTGTCATGATGCCAAAGTGCACACATATTGGATTCATCCAGTAGCAGGATGGTTCGACGGGGTCGACAACGGTTATGTGCCCCGCCAGTCCTTCACCATATCCCATTTTGCCCCAGAAACGGAATACTGCTGCCATGTGCTCCTTTATCCACTCGCGTTCTTCCATTTTATCTGTAAATACTGGAATGCCTTGGAGCTTTATCTTGCCGTCCCTGTCTGCACGCGAAACTCTCTCGATGAGCGACTTGGGCTGGTTAGCAATGCTCTGGTGATGCTTCGAAGCGTCTTCTGGTACTGTGGTTGTAGCACTCATTGCACTCATTGCGTGTTGATGGTGACTTGACGATAGCAGTTTATGGGTTTCCCGGTGGGTCACGAGCGAATCAAATGACAAATATTAAATCCAATTAAAGCACATGCATTAAATAAATAAGACAATCTATAAATCTATCTTCTGAGCGCATTGTTTGAAGCCATCCTGAGATTGTTGCGGCGTCTTGATCTACCTTGCTCATCTGCACCCTGGTCTTGCTCAAGAGCGCCTTTCTCCAATCCATGTCCAAATTGCTCTCTACCCTTAGCCTTCTTAGGTTGAGGCTTGTTGTCATCTGCTTCGGTCGTCTTAGGCGTGAACACCATCTCCATACCACCGCCACCAGTCCTTCTGACTGATGAGCTATCTTTGGATTCCTTGGCTTGCTGCTTCTTCTCAGTACCCTTGATTCTATCGCCGAACGCATCTCCTGCACTGCCCGTCTGTTCCGTTGCTGTTCCTGCAACAAGCGTTGGCTTAGACTGCGGCTTAGGCTTTTGTACAGGAGCTGTTGGTTGACGAGGTGGTGGTGCACTGATAATGTTATCTGAAAAGAGTTAGCCGTGCTATCTATCAGTGTTATAGCATACTCACCTTCACTCTCATCACCACTATCACCCTCTTCTTCACCTTCACTGCTACTACCCTTAGACATATCTTCATCCATCGAGTCCTTGTCACTCTCCTCTTCCTCCTGCTCAACAGCAGTCTTACCCTTGTTGAAGCCAGATGGGTTGCGCAGCGCAAACTCTTTGCTGTCTTCGTCTATTTCAAATTCAGGGTTCTCAAACATATCCTTGAATCTATCATCACTAAGCAGCTTTCCATCATCCTTCTTGCTCTTCTTGCTAGACGACTTGGATAATTTATCAACCAAGCCCTTATTAATCTTAACGTTGGGCTTGACACTGTTACGTATTCTCGATTCAGCTTGCTTGTCGAGCTTAGCTTGGATCTCCTTTTCTCTGTGCTCAGCATAGGCGAATGGATTCGAAACCAGCTTGGCTGTGGAGTATAATTCGCCAGAGATGAAGAAACCGTGCATGTATGGCTTGAGAGCAGCTGTACCGATCAAATGATTCAACTGGAGGCTCTCAAGCTCAGACTTGTCGATAAACTTATAGTCTGACCATGCAGATGGACCGACACCTCCACTCATGTCGCCCTCGAGTTCTTCTGTGATATTGTCCAAGAATCTGCACCATTTTGGTGCAGGTCCAAGTTGAGGAACGTAATAACTAGACATCTCTGGTGCTTCATTCGCCAACATGATCAAACCTGTCTTCGGGACAATGTGCATATCATTGATGTCAGACTCAGGTGTGAGATTGACGTAGTTTTCGGTAGATTCCTTGTCCCATATCTTAATAACTTTGCTGTCTGCACTAGCGACCTTACCGTCAGCTTCATCGTATCTACCTGAGGCACTTTCGAGCCACTGGAGATTCTTAATCGGCAGACCATAACCTTGATCCTTGCTGGCAAAGGGCTTGCTTGCTCTGAGATCGTAAAGGAGAGTGTGACCGGTGGATGTACCGACTGCCATTGATAAACCATTGCTGTGTGAGGCTAAGGATGTGACACCCAAAGGACCTGAACCAAGATTTGCAATATTGTCTTCAACCAAGTATTCTGCTGGCAAGTCCAGGGAGCCAATCTCATTCCTAGAGCGTGGATCCCAGAATTTGACACCAGCGCCGCTACCTTCGACACCAAACGACCAAAGCTGATGAGCAGGGTTGACGTCAACAGCATTAACACCTTGGACAGATGAGCTGTCCAAATCCAAGGGGTTAAGGAATCGACCTTGCTCCAAATTGAGCCTAAAAACCTGACTACCTGTACCACCAATCAAGGTATCACAAGAAGGGAAGTGATATGCGAGTGATCTACCAAACCTAGGTACTCTAAGGGAGTAGTGTAGTTGGGACTGCGAATGAACAGACACCGTTCTATCATTCTGCAGGTGTACGCTCTTTGTCCAGTCGCTCGATAGAATCTGCGTGGATGTGAGAACAAGACCAAGGCGAGAGGACACGAACAGACCTGGAAGTCAACGTTCTCTGATGAAGTGTGTCTCTCCCATTTCAGAGCCAATTCTCTCAAATCGTAGCATCGAACTTGCGGCTTGTAGGTGCCTGTCGCCAAAGCAAAATCACCGTCGGGCGAAGTTCTAACTTTCATTGAAGCTTCAGGGAACCCAAATTCTTGAATAAGCGTAAGCTGTGACTCTTCCAGGCCTCTCTCCTTGACTTTAGCTTTGGAGCGCTTTCTCGATTTGCCTCCAGTGCGCTCAGCAGCCAAACGACGCTTAGAGATCCATTGCGGTAGGCTGGATGCGCCGGAGCTGGGCTGTCCATTGACGCAATAAACTTTTGCAACGCTCATCCAAGTGATGGTTGTTGAAGAACAACGTCCATCACCGCAACAGCGCTAAAGCCAGAAATGTTATTTAAATTATTCCCTAAAATGCAACCCGCGGTTGGCACACGCGCTGCGTCTACATTCGCCAGACTCACCCTCTGTGGGAATATCGCTGAGCCTGAATTCAAGGTCGCGAAGACGGGCAGCGAATACGCAAGACTCTCAGTGGCTACTACTGTCTCCTTGCCTCCAACCGAGGATGGTCGTGTGTGATCCTCTGCGTCTCCCAAGCTGTCACTCATATCCCCAACAGAGTCACAGGAAGAGACCAACTGGCACAACGTCTTTGTCTTTGGCGAGAAGGCCGAAGCCTTGCGCACTGCCAGAAAGGGGTCAGTGTCTCCAGCCAATTCATAACCCTCTTAACAAAGCAAACAGCTCACTCGTACACATTGAGGCTGACTACTCTCTTCAAAAGGTTCAGCAGGACGAGAACTCCCCAATTTACAAGCTGCCAAATCTCAAAGCTCGTGAGTTGACAGGGCATAGCAAGGCGTCCACTAACCCCTTCTTATCAGGCCGTATCGATATTCTCAAGCGTCCTCAACCAAAGGAAACCATTGAATCCACTGATTAAGTCTGACACGCCTCCTCACGCTCATTGATTGTCTTCTCGTTTGTTTATATCCACGCTCAACACTCGTCTTGTCACTTTAGTTATTCTCAATCTATGTGTTACATTCAAGTCTATCCACTTTCTCAATTTTGCGCTATTTTCATCGAGTAGTCGATGTGTTGAACGTTCTGATGCACTGCGCTCGTACTGAGTATCTGTATTGACCGTTAAGAGTGCTCGCCGTTTGAACAATTCCCTTACATCAATACTATCACCCAGTCTTTCTGTCAAGTTGTGCGCTTCGATTCCTCCACTTGTCTCGAGTAGGAAATGACGCTTGTCCGTCCACTTCTCCTTCAATCTCCGGCTTACAGCGTGCAGCTCTTCGCCGGCTATCAAAGGTTGTTAGGTGCACTATAGCATATAAGCAAGCCAATCCCACCTATGTTGTCGAGCATAATTACATCTGCACCAGCGTCGATAGCTTCATTGGCTTCCTTCTCATCCTGAACTTCTACATCCAATCTCAACGAGAATCCTGCTACTGAGCGCACTGCTTGCACAGCATTTGTAATCGATCCTAATGCATCGCTTTAGATTGGGTATCACCAACCGTTGATATCACACCTTTCGACCATATGTGATTGCTGTCACCGAGTCAGTCAGTACTTGGCGAGTTGAGTAAGTTGGCAAGTCTTACTCCTTAAGCATAACCATCGACGACAGATCGTTGCGGTGTGCATCGATACCGCCGACGATCATGGCGTACTTTTCGACCAATCTGAAGCCTGGTATTGGGTTAGATTGTTGGCCATTCCTAAAAGCTTACTGACCTGGTGTTGTTTTACGCGTTCCAGCGATAATGCCCTCGTAGCCAGCATCTCTGGCTGTATCTAAAAACCAGCGGGACCTATTACGCCCTGATTTAGATTTAAATTCGAAAAACTAGATTACGCACATGCTCGCAATTCCAGAACATCTATTATTGTAAATTAGAATACCGAAAAAGCATATTCTTCACGCCCACCTCGATAAGACGTTGAGAGCAACACGCTCGCCAAGCAGTAAGAATCTTACAGCACCTCTAACAGTAGCAATGTGCTTGACTGGTTCAAATGAATCACCCTCGTTGATATGCCATTCCACGCTGTTTCCATGTCGCGTCAGCTGAAACAAAACGAGGATCACCGAAAAAGCGCACCTGCAGTCCAATTGCTTGAATATCTCATCTACGAATGGCTTTCCTGCGAGAACACCCTTATCGAATGATGAGCTAGTTGTGTATTGCTCTACTAGCACACACACCTTTCTCTTTCCAAGCAACTTGCCCTCGCGCTCATCCTCCCCAACAACGAATCCTGCCCACTTTGAGGCCATTTAGTGTGGATTTAGACGTACATCACCACTAACATCGAAAGACGGTGTGTCTTCGCTGAGCCACTGCTGTACCTAACAGAGAAAATCAACTTGATAAGCATTGGAAACATCTGTACATACTTGCGATTTCCACGATGGTGGCAGTAAATGCTCTGGTTTGCCAAAGTTCAAAGCTGTCTTCATATTCCTATATTAGTAGATCGTCGTCGATTGCAACCACCACGTTTTATTCTAAATGGCCGACATCGAGAGACCAAGCAGGGATGGCTTGATAGACTTCATAGTTCCCGTACAGGTTGCTATCTACGTTATTTGCGTGCTGCTGCGATACGTCGGCTATTCGCCCACTGCACTCTTTGCTACCCTCGTTGCGACGGGTTTTGCTCTTTTCTATAGACAAGTCAAATCCGCGTATCTCAATAACAGCTTGAACTATATCATCGGCTCTCAGGGTACGTTGAATTGGGATGGCCAAGTTGTTTTCATTACCGGCGGTAAGTTTTCCACGTAACTACATCTATTCGGGGGATAGTGAACATCTCCATAGGCTCCAACGGCTTAGGGAAGGCTCTCGTCAAGGATCTGCTTTTGATGCGCCCAAAGCGCATCATCAACGTTGATATTGCAGATAATGACATCACTCACGATAGTAAGTTGATTGGTCAGGTCAGGTTGTTTGGACTTATTTTTTAAGCTCTTCAAACAATCAAGTGTGATATTACCAACAGTGAGCAGCTTCAACGTGTATGCGGCGAGGTCATCAAAGAGGTACGCCAGTCTTTGACGTAGAGGAGGTCACTAACAGCACTTAAATTACAGCACGGTACACCTAATATTGTCGTACTTAATGCTGGTGCATTCGACGCAAAGTCCTTGACAGAAAGCACAACGGCCGACTTCAGAAAGTGAGTTTGAACATGCCGCACGCAATCATTCTAAGACATCTTTAGCACACTCGATGTCAACTTTACAAGCCACTTGGAAATCTTGAATGCTTTCTTACCTGGTTTCATAGAGCGTAACAGAGGTCACATTGTCAGTATTGGCTCGATTCTTGGTGAACTTCACGCAGCACACGCTGCAACTTACTGTGCGACCAAAGCAGCTGTCATTTCATTATTCCAATGTCTTAGAGTTGACTTGAAGCATTTGCACAAGGCACCAGACGTTAAGACGACACTCGTATTCCCAGGACTGATTGAAACGAGACTGTTCGGTAATGTCAAATACAGCCAGTCATCAAGATTACCTGCTTGGATTTCCGATGCGGTGATGCCCTCCGTCAATCCGACCAACCTGGCTCAAAGAATTGTTGGCGATCTGAATATGAGACGCACAGGCGACATACGCTCACCTTACTTTGTTCACTTGGCTAGCTGGTACAACCATCTGCCGCCGTTCGTGATGAATGCACTTGAATACGTGGGTATCTCTTTCATGTTGAACAATACAAAAGAAAGCTAACGAGTTGTGATTATGAAGGTTATCGGCGTTCACAACTACATCGACCATGTTAAAGTTGCAAAAAAGCAGTGATGGCGATATCTAGATAACGGCCGATTCACCGCGCGACGTATTACTTTGTGCTTGAGCTGGCGTAGCAGAAGCTTGTGGCTGTTGCTAGATACCTTGTATCAATATATGAATGAAAAAAAAAGTGATGCACTTACTGGTGTTTCGAGCATATCTGAAATGGTGTCAGGTGGATTGCTATCTGGATTCTGCAAATACGAAGGGGTCTCATCGATTTCATTGAGATCATCGCCCAAAGCATCCAATTCTGTTAAAAGTGTGCGTTAGAAGACCGAATGAGTTTGTGCAACGCTAAACACACCAGCCTCAAGGTCAGCTTCGTCAATCTCTTCAGGAACGCCGTACGATCTACCCAGGGTCTCTTGAACCTCAGTAGCAGATTCGATGAGATCTTGCATATCATCTTGGATGGTGTCGATCTTATCGATGTCTATCTTGCCGTACTGCTTCTTCATCTGCTTATTGGCTGTCTGCATAGCGTCGACTGTGGCCATTGTATTAGAGAGATTCTCAGTAGTCATTTGAGCCTGCTCCATGTTGAATGTTTGTTGCTGGAGTTGTGCGAGCTGTCCCTCGTATCTTAAAAAGAGGCAAATGAGTGGGCGATAAGGAAATCGAATGAATGCGCTCACACTTTCCTCTGTTGGAGTGCTCGCATGGCACGCTGCTGCACCGCTCGCTGACATCGGTTAGGTGATGCGGAATCCAAGGAATAGACGCACCTTGCCAGGGCCATCTCGAAGTCTATTCATTTGCTGCTTAAACTGGGCTAATTCTTGATCGCACTTCTTCACTTTTGCTTCGATTGAGCCAGACCTGGATTCCGTCTTGTAGACTGTGAGAGCTGTGAGGAGGGACATGTAAATACGCTTACACTCTTTATCGCATCATTTAATCCCGGTTTTGGCGCTTTGGACTGGTTGTAGCCAAATAATCTCTGCATTTTGGTTATCGTGCGGGTTGAAGACGTACGATGACCACTCGCGAGGTGTGTAGAGTTGCGGATAAATTCTGAAAGCTTATCGTAGGCTTCAGCAGCCACAGCTTGTCCGCACAGCCAGCACACTCCCGCAATTCTTTCAGTCTGTCGCTTACACTTGCATCATTTCATCATCGCTTGCAGCAACTCTGCTATCGATTTGGAAGGTATTCTATCATCTCACTCGTACTCCTATCTTTGCTTACTTGCATCCAGCTATACGCACAAGAAAGATATCTCAAATCACTCCAAGCAAGGGAAGGCATCACTCAGACTTTTCTCAAGCGTTACTCGGCGCTTTTGTCGATCCTCGGCAGCTACTACGGCAGCGATAGGCTTGGATTGGGTATAGCTAGGGATGAGGGCGAGAAAGGCACTCCACTGCTCCTCGATTCGCTCTCACACTCCCTTGAAGGTCTCAGCAGAGTAGTGCATGATCTACCAGGCGCTACACCGATAGCGTCTACCAGCCCATCTACAATACTCAGTGAAGATGTCCACGATCTCTCTCATTCTCTATCCAAAGGCATCAACAAGTCAAAAAGTGAAATTATGCCGGCTGGTCGATCAACAGCAGACAATCTACCCTCACATGTAGAATCTGCTATCGATTTGCGCACCGAGATTCGCTCTTTGAAAGGATTGCTGCTGAGTAGAAGGAACCTTGCTCAATCTCAATAGACTAGAGACTTCGCACAGCATTACTGTAATTTACTATACCTCCTTGTAAACATTCAATGTACGCTACAAACCTTATACATCTGCTTATTTCGTTAACCTAAGATATACCGCTAAAGATATTTGTTATACATCTAACTGACTTGCTTTCGCCATTCGGTCGCAATCTGCTGCAAAAAGAAATAAGCAGAGTCACTAGGAGATCATTTCAGACAAAGATTATATTCTGACAGCTATAAACTCTCGATCTGGGACTGGTCTCTACATATATGATGACATCAGGACGAGTATAAGGGATGACAGTGTGATACGAATTGTTAATCTAGTACTAACAGATACTTGGAGTTGGTTTAGCCATTCGATTGAATCTAAATCTGCTCAAGGCACCCTAAATATGACTTAATAAATGTAAAGACGAACGTGGAAATACTATATACTGACAAGTTGAACAATTTAGCGATATCAAAATTTTCATAAAACCTTCAGCATTTCAAATACATTCCTATATCAACATCCTCTCAATATCCAGAGTTGAATATCTTGACAACCACCTATCTCATCTCAGATGGCTGATTTACGACTTTTGACCATTTCCAAATAAAAAGGCTTGGTAAGTAGCACTGAATAATTCCTACGAGAATTTGCCAGTATTACATCCCTGAGCCTCCGATCGCGTGCTGTAGGCTGTTCGGAAGTTGTAATCCGACATGGTTCTGGAGCACGCTAAATGATACATATGGAAAATCTCACGCGCTTCATCGATAAAACAATTATTTTTACCTGATGGAGACCACTAGCACCGAAATATCGTTTATTCGGCTCTATAGACGCAATTCACGTTTCGATTCATTCTCCATCACCACGGCAATGAGAAAAGTTGAATAATGTAGATCGAGCTATAATAGAGGAATAGCTAAAAATACAAAGCTTTCAATGTAGCACAAATTAATTTTAAGATGACAATTCGAGCCATATGTGCTTAGCTTGATAATGACAAAGCTTTGAAATATGCAGATAATTGATCTTCTAAACGGCGGGTAAATGCACATAATTCAATTGCATATACCAGATCAACAGCTTCAAATTACTGTTCAATGAGCAATGAAATGTCCTTGTTACAACCAAACAAACGTTAGAGATCAGTAGGGGAGAGTGCCGAGTGGCCGAAGTGTAGGTGCTGAGCAAGTGCCGTCGAGATTGATGCCATGTTCATCAGCCACGAGGTAGTAATCTTCATTAGCCACAGCGTAGTACGAGTTGCGCAAGTCTCTCGACAACTCTTCGTCAGCGTAATTGAATGGTGACAACATTAATGCTGACTTGGCTTCTATGAAGAGCGTATTTGGTACATCTTCAGCTCGTGGAACGTGTCTGAATCCAACCGATGCCCAGAGAGTGAGATCCTTCTGCCTGATGGATTCGTCATCTTGGTAGAACTTGGTGAAATCGACTGGTGGCTTCTTTGGTAAGACGGCGTTGTAGTATGATGAGCAACTGCGTTCGTTGTCCTTGGTAACAGTGACAAAGGCATGATGATCGGCAAATTTGGCGTTCTGGTCCATCTTTTCGCCATCAACAATGTTGTGGATGACTGAACGTGGCATGAGACGGTAGGAGCGCGGGTATCCATAGCTGTTGGTTGAGTCTTGGTTACCAATTAGCCAAAATTTGTCACTGTTACCGTTCCAGTCAATCACAGCCTCCTTCTCCTTCTCCAAGACGCTTGTGTTGATCTTTTTCTGCTTCAGTGGCGGATCATCATCGTCCATCCAGTTGAACCTATCCTCACTAACCACGATGTCCCTTCTCTCGACACTGTTGCTCTCGCCAGCGACATCAAGATCAATCTTGAAGGTGATAACGTGGTCGTGGATGCTGCCAGAGGATGTGGCGCTGACTCTTGTGTCATATGAATCGCCATTCGGATTATAATATGTTGTTTGAAGGTAACCCGAAGCATCAACTTCAATCTCAATCGAGCCTTCTGGGTAGAGTGTGAAGCTGATCAAGTAGTCGTAGTTGCCGACAGTGTAGATACTTCTCACTTCGAACGCAACACCCCTGGTAGCGCCTGCGTCTGTAGACTGGTAGTGTCTTGATATAGGCTTCTGAAGATCGCGTTCAAACATGCAAATGGTGTCGTTCAAGATGCGACCGGCACCGTAGTCGTAGAAGTTGACGTCCATGTATGTCGCTTCGTGTGGGCAGTCGTAGTTCCTGACGAGCGGTGTAATACCAGTGGCCATTCCAAAGCCTCGGTCGAGATATGCCGTGTAGGCTTGCATAGGATCAGCGCCGCCGTAATTGGAGACGGCATCTTGGAGTGAGATCTCATACGCAACTCTCTCGCCCTTGAACTTGACGTCGAAGAGCATCAGACCTTGCTCTGGGCTGTAGGAGAGGTAGAAGGACCAGTCCATCCAGGTGATGTATCTCTCATCTCTGTCGACACGATACCTCAAGCCACTTGGGGAGTAGGTAATCGGAGCGGGAAGCTCTTCGAGGTCGCGAGCAGTCCCCTTCACGGAGCGGAGAGCCCAGTCAGTGTTGGTGCTGTTGAGTTGGGGCGATGGCTCGAGTTTCCCCGCGTTGAAATCCTCATTGAACGCGTCAGTAGATGACCACTTCTGGTTGTTGTAGACGAGCTTGCGGAGCTTCCATTGAGAAATGTCTTGGTTGGAGAAATCGAACTGCGCAAACAAGCCAGTGTATGCGAACCACATGGCAGAGGTGTCGTAGGCCAGCATCAGCTCGACCCATGGGTGTCTGTACGATCCATCGCCGTTGTTGGGGAGTAAACCGGTATCGTAGTTGCTAAGTGACCAAGGCACGCCCAGCAAATCATTGAGAGCATCAGAGATGGCAGTGAATGTTTCTGAAATGACATTGGTGCGCTCACGGTCCTCGCCGGGATGGGATGGTTTTGCATTCCAAGGTATCTCACCGTTGTGGTAGATTTTCTCGGCGAGATTCTCGATTCTCGTGTCGGAAGAGACGGGCAGCGGGCCAACAAGGAGAGTCTTGACAATCGGAGGATCGTCCAAGCCAGAAACGACGTGTGCCTTGGCCATGCGATCGGGGAGTGGACCATCTTGGTCGAGGTAGTAAATGGCGTCTTCCTTGGTTGGGTGCCACAGCTCGATCTGCGTGGGCAATGTTAGTTGAGCCACAATCCCCACAATCGCACCCACCGAGTCGATGTAGTTGCCGTCTAAGGCGGCTTCGTCCATATCGGTGAGGTTGAGGGATTGCTCTGGGTCCTTGAGCCAGGCAGCGATATCCGCAAGCTCAGAATTAGACAGTTCAAGGAAAGGGTTCGACTTGGGCGCTGTTGTTGTTGGGGCCGTTGAGCAGTTTGGCTGCGCGATGGCTATAGCGACCACTGCGACCACTGCTAGGGCAAAAACACCACCAAAAGCTTTCATCGTCTTTATAAAGGTTATAAACAAGATGCAGGCCTCTTATAGGATACTGGGCAGTCTGGGCTGACGCCTTGCTGTGCCTGAACACAAGGGGTTGTTTGTAGGATAAACATGGAGATCAATTGAATGTTTATAATTCTAGGTTTATCTGGGTTTATGTTGCTTGCTGGTGTTGCTGGATGTGCTATAGTGTTATGGTGTTTTGCTTTAGATTGAATCGATATTGGTGTTATTGGGTGGAGCACGACCAGAAAAACATTAAAGAATTAAATTAAAAGACTGCGCTATTAAAATATTTACATTCACCTCCACTTGACCTATCCATCTGACACATCATCTCACGCTTACACTTACCATCATGAGCACCACATTCCAATACGATTTCGCAGCAAACCACAAGAATTCAGATTTCCAAGGCAAGGTCAACTTCCCCACCGGAGTCTTCATCAACAACGAATTCTCCGCCGGATCCACCGGCAAGTCGATTGACATTGTCAACCCATCAACTTCCAAGGTCATCACACAGATCAGCGAGGGCACCGCCGACGACGTCGACAGAGCTGTGCGTGCTGCCCGCGATGCACACGACAACCGTTGGGGCACCACGGTTCACGGTTCCGAGCGTGGTCGCCTTCTTATCCGCCTTGCCGATCTGATGGAGGAGCACGCAGACGAGTTGGCTGCTCTTGAGTAAGTGGCCGCTGCCTTGCAATCCACCACTCACCCGCTCAGGTGTCTTGACAACGGCAAACCTTTCAAGTTCGCAAGAAGTTTCGATATCCCAGAGGCTGCTGCCAACTTTAGATACTTTGGTGGCTGGGCAGACAAGGTCCAAGGCCACACCATGGAAGTCGGCGACGACAAGTTGGCCTACACGAGATATGAGGCTATGGGTGTCTGTGGATCTGTGATTCCTTGGAACTTCCCATTGCTTATGGCTGTGAGTTTGGCTGTAAAATGCTTATCGGCTATACTCACAATCCATTCTTTAGTCCTGGAAGCTGGCCCCTGCTATCGCCACTGGCAACGCTGTCGTCATCAAGCCATCTGAGATCACTCCCCTCACAGCTCTTCGTTTGGCTTCTCTTATCAAGGAGGCAGGCTTCCCAGCAGGTGTCGTAAACATTGTCGTTGGTTATGGCCAGACTGTCGGCTCTGCCATCATCGATCACCCAAACATCGACAAGGTCGCTTTCACTGGCTCAACTGCAGTCGGTAAACTCGTCATGAAGGCTGCTGCAAACAACGTCAAGAATGTCACCCTCGAATTAGGTGGAAAGTCTCCATCTGTCGTGTTTGAAGATGCTAATCTCGCAAACGCTGTCCAGCAGACAGCATTTGGTATTTGGTTCAACTCTGCTCAATGTTGCTGCGCAGGATCACGTATCCTTGTCGAGGAGTCAATCTACGATGAGTTTGTTAAGGGTTTCAAAGATTTCACAAACACATTGAAGATCGGTGATCCATTCGACAATGAGACATTCTTCGGTCCAGTTGTCTCACAGGCCCAACAAAGCCGTGTTAATGGCTTTATCGAAAGCGGCAAGAAGGATGCCAAGGTGATTGAATGCGGTGGTGAACCATCCAACCTTGGTGGATACTTTGTCAAACCAAACATCTTCCTTGATGCTCCTGCCGACTGTGAAATTCAACGTCAAGAGATTTTCGGTCCAGCAGTGACTATTTCAAAGTTCTCAAAGAATGATGACGTTGTCAAGCTCGCAAACGACACAGACTATGGTCTCGCAGCATCAGTATTCACTGACAACTTCAGCAAAGCTCACAAGACTGCTCACGCTATAAAAGCAGGTACAGTATGGATCAACCAACACAACGTATTAACCAAGAATGTTCCATTCGGTGGTTACAAGCAATCAGGATTGGGTCGTGAGATGGGATCTGAGGTGTTGAAGAACTATGTCCAAAGCAAGTCTGTCTTTGCTCAATTCACGTAATGTTCTCGCTTGATATCGCTTTAACGATTTCTTGGTTTGATGCCAATGCTTCAAGTAATGAATGAACGATTTGTAAATGACTTTATACATGGAATTGATTTTAAGATTATTGTTGGTCAGGCTGACTTTCCAAGGTGTTCGATTTGTGTGGCAATTGAAGGAAAAGGAGTTTGAGTCAAGTGCACAGCTTTAGCATCTTCTTGCTAACAAATACTGGGTTTATTAAATAAAAATTTCCGTTTTAAGACCATTTATTAAATTGATCATATGGATTTCAACCAGTCATGCGACACCTCTCTCCAGAACGACCAACACGAACATCTCGTGAGTATTGTTTACACCAAACAAAACTGTTGTTGAATTGTTGCTCTCTTCTATCATAACCAGGCTCAGCATTGATTCGACGCCACTCTCGTAGTCGCTCCTATCATGTCTGTTCACTCGTTTGATAGAATCTTCAAAGGAGCGTGTGCAGCCTAAGGCAACAAGTTTAAATGCGTGGATGATTCGTAAGTACTCGCTGTGACTCTCTTCATCAGTGACTCCAACTTTTCAAACATCAGCTTTCAACCAGATCTCCACTATTCCTGGCCGTGTCCCTTTACGGTTTTCACCGCCACTATAGTCTTTCTAAGAGAGAGTCTCGTCGATCCCTGATTTTGAACAAACGATTCAGGTTTGGTTGGAGGTTTGAGTCATAAGTCCTGGCTTGGAACAGTCACTTGGAAGATATCTCACAAGTTATCTAAGTAGCTTGCAAAAGCAGTCGCTTCTGTATCCACCGCGTCATGTCGTGTGCTAAACAGCACGACATAAGGGCTTCCACCCCACGATCCCTTTCTCAGTAGAGAAAAGTCTCTTAGCATGTCCAAGGACTGTTGGGAGACACGTGGGCCACTTCTCTGTGACTCTGACTTCTTTTGTTGTCAAAGTTTCAAAGAAGTGGCTTACGTTTTTGCTTTTGTAATTTATAATGATTTGAACGAAGAATTTGACCAAGGTGATACAAAGACAATGTGTAATGAGAGCTGTTGGAATTACTTTATTCAATACCGTCACCTCAATGGTGAGTGATTTCGTCGGTATCAAGCAATCAGCTCAATTGAAATAACTACAGTCTGTAACCCTGCACACTTCTCTAGGAGATCTCAAAGTGAGTACACGTTATTACAGTGATCGATGTCACCAACGTTATCTCAAGATAGAAGTCTTCTGTGAAGCTGTACCGCAAGCGTCTGAGGTGAGTGAGAGTGCAATTCCATCTATAAATCACCACTCACACGGTAATAGAACTTTTTAGCCTTGTGCGCTAGTGGATATTATGATGGTTGCAAGTTTCATCGGTTAGTTGAATTTGCGATTAATTGGGTGGCTAATCGATGACAATAGTAATATTAAAGGATTCATGACTCAAACTGGTGACCCTACTGGCAGCGGTAAAGGCGGTCAGTCGATTTACGGAGAGCCATATCCCGATGAGATAAGGTCAACATTCAAGTTTAACAATAGAGGTTTAGTTGCGTTTGCTAATAGTGGAAGTGATAGTAATAGATCGCAATTCTTCATTACATACGCTGCAACGCCCCATCTTAACAGTAAATACACTATCTTTGGCAGAGTAATTGATGGCGCTGAGAATGGCACTCTTGGCGCAATTGAAAGGGTGCCCTCCGGTACCCAGAAGGAAGGTTTCAGACCAAAGCACGATATTTTACTTAAAGAAATTACAATACACTCTAATCCAATAGCTAGTAAGATAGTTAGAGACAATTACGTGTAAAATTGCGTGTAAATATACAAGAAGATCAATATTTATTCACTATTCACTATTCACTATTCACTATCCTCCAGCTGACAAGAAAACTCTGTACATCTCAGTCGACTCTATTTTATCGTCACTTTTCGTGTACCTCACAAATACTTCCATCACGTTCTTCCTTTGCAATGTAACTAACCAGTTCTGCTCCCCTGGTTGACACGTTGTAGTTGATCCAAATTGTATTATTGAACCATTGAACCTCAACAGAATATCCCTACCTTCGGTTTTTATATCTTCCTTGTCGTACGTTTTCACCTCAACATTGATACCAGGTGGGAATGGAATCGTGAGAGTATGGTCAACGAAATATCTAAGATCGACGAATGATCTCCCAATCTTCATCGCCATAAGTGAGGGCTGCATCTTTAACATTTTATTTTCATGTGTAGAGTCCGCCCTTGCCTCAATAGGTAAAATAAGTTCATCTTTCTCGTCCTTCTTCTGTGTTTCAATTTTAGACGGTGTAGCAGATGGTGATTGTTGATGAGATTTTAGCAGTGGTTGTGATGCAAAATTTTCATTTGTTGGATCAATTGATGAGCGCTCAGATTGATACTGACTGATATCAAAATTAGGTGCAGCTTTAAGAGGAAATGATGGTCTTGTTTTGGGTGGTGGTTTAACGTCAACATATGTAGAAGGTATGCGTTGACCATCTGGTGTCATTACTATTCTGAACAGCTTCTCGTCCAGCATGTCATCGGGTACGAACATTTTTAGCAGTTCGTACATTATGTCTTTCAATTCTCTAGCGTCGTTGTAGATTTCCGAGCCTTCTTCATTGAAATGCATCGCATTGTTGAACATGAGCTCCATATCTTCGACTATTTCACTGATTGTGGTGTAAAATTTCTCAGCCATGTTCTTGTTAATGATATCGAACGACATTGGGTTGTCAATCACCTGCTTTTGTCAGCCGTCGGATGAGATAGTAAACCTAATCAACTCACATCGTAGTAGTAAGGCACCTCCTTCTCTTCAGGTAGAATATTGAAGGGCTCTGATAGTAATTTACCAGTATCTTTATCACGATGGGCCATCAATTTGTCAATAACTTTCTTCACAATCTTGTTTATACCCTTGGGTCTACCTCTTTTAGATTTCTGTTGAGGGAAGAAGAAGCCACTCTCATTAGGATCAGGACCACCGTCAACGCTACCATATTCACAGAACTTTTGGAACCACTCTTTAACTTTCTTAAGCATAAATTTAGCATCAACTACGATTTGACTGTTCTTTGCGTTGTATTTCTTTGCATTAGCGAAGCAGAGTTCAAAGTCATTTTTCATTTCAAGCATGCTGACGTATTCCTTGTTATTGATTCTTGCTTCAATTTGTTGAAAAGATATTGGCTTCTTAATAACGGTATAATAATCGGGGAGAAATTCACCATTAGGAAGGTTAATGAATTCTGTTGATAATAATCTACCACTATCATCCTTCAAGTCTTTCATTTTATTATATAGATTTAACGATTGATCCAATTCGTTTTGTATATTATTTACTTGATAGCTGTTCTTATCGGTATTTGTAACTCTTCTGCGCTTTCTAGAAGTTGAATTGCTCGCAGGTTCAATATCCAAATCATCTGCCAAGTACTCATCTGAGTGACCTTCATCTTTGGCTTTAGATTCTAAAGGGACAGGTTCATCGATGTATTCATCATCAGCTTCACTTTTAGCTTCGTCTTTAATGTCCTCCTTGATATCCTTCACATCGTCTGCCATTTTGAGATAGTGATGATGATGTTGTTGGTTGAAGGAGGAAATCCATCGGGAAATGAATTGTTTGGTCAATCGGCATAGCTTGTGATGTATTTTACAAATGAATCGCACTTTCATACGCTCAAGTACAATCTTCAATATGATTGGTTGAAATCACTTTGCCTGTGAATTTGGATAAATGTGAATAATTAAATTGTCTATCGAATTAAATTTGATTAGACAGCCACCATAGACATGACCATGTTGACGATCTGCACATAACTTTAATGACGTCGTCATAGCGGATATTGGTGGACTTGTATGGCTTAAAATAGTGACCTGAATGATCAAAGTACAGCCACATTTCACTCGGAATTTATTTGTTTTAACTTTATTCGTAATCAGTCTATTTTCCAGGCCCATAATCCCCTAAGAGAAGACCGCGATGAGTAATGACTTGATTATTCTATTCGTTTTAATTTTGGCATGCCTATTAGCCTACAGACTAACCACAAACAAATCAAACGTACACAAATTCACGCGTATTAACAATAGCCACCTAATCTTTGGCAACTTCTTAGAGGCTTTAGGAATGTTTGACAAAAAATTCCCAGAATGGACTGAAATATACGGTCCAACTTTCATATTCGAAACTTTATTTCGCAAACAACATGTACACACGATCGACCCACTCGCTCTGGATCACATCCTCAGAAAGCGCAGTTACTCATATCCGAAAACGGTTGGTTTGAGGAAGTCTCTTGATTCAGTGATTGGTTTCGGTGGAATGATATCATCTGAAGGCGATTATCATAAACGCCTAAAGAAGTTGATGACTAGCCCACTGAATAGCCCCACCAATTTGGAATCATTCATCCCTCTGATGAAGAGTAAGGGAGATCAGCTAGTCAAAGTTATCGAAAAGCTCATCGGTAATGAGAAGATTAAAGAATTAGATATTCTGCCGCTAATCGAAGAACTGGCTGGCGATATTGTTGGTCTTACATTATTCAGACTAGACCTCGGCTTATTACCAAACACTAATGATATCCATGCTAAGAATACCTCAAATATCGCTAAAGCTGTTGAACACCTCTCAGACAGCAAAGGTGACGCTAGTCTGGCATTCTTTTTACAATTCGTTATCCCAATAACTGGTTCATTGCCAACATCTACACAAAGACTGAATAAAAAGCACCTTAGTGAATTTAAAAAGACTGCTGAAATACTCTATCACAACAAACTTGAAAGTTTGCAAGAATCAAAGGAGATTGGTGAAGATTTGAACACAGAAAACGATATCCTGACACTCCTCATCGATGCAAACTTGAAGCAGGTGAAAAGTGAACAATTTACTAAGGATCAGATTATATCACAAATCACTACGTTTATTGTGAGTGTGTGTTGACCGCCTATCATTGCTAAATGTCATCCTTCTCCAGATAGCAGGCATAGATACAACTACCGTCACGCTCAATTGGATATTATACGCTTTATCTACCAATCAATCAACACAATCAAAGTTAAGACATGAGATTGAGACTGCCAACATCAAACATGATCCAAGCCCAACACTCAATAGCATCAACTCCTTAGATTATTTAGATGCAGTAGTCAAAGAAGGACTGAGATTGTATGCGGCAGTTCCAAACACGATTAGAGAGGCGAGTCAGGATGATGTCATCCCACTCAAGTACCCGATCAAAGATAGAAAGACAGGAGAACTGATGGATAAGATAATAGTAAACAAGGGTCAGCAGATACTGATTCCTATACATTCCTACAACAAGTCATCGTACAACTTCGATGACGGATACGTTTTCAAACCAGAGAGGTGGATTGAGAATCCCAATCAGCCAATTTTGACATTCTTGGATGGTACTAGAATGTGTATCGGTGCCAAATTGGCTTTATTAGAGATTAAACTTACGCTTATACACTTGATCACTTCTTTTCACTTCGATTTCGATGATGCTTATGAAGTAGAGGCAAGAGGTAGAGTCACACTCCATCCATCTGTAAAGGGTCTGAAAAATCCTAAAATGTTATTAAATTTGAATAAATTATAATTATAAGACTCTTATAACACAACTATGATGATCTGGTGGCTTGGGAGTCTAGTTATAGCCGTGATAATAGCTTTATACATAAGAAGATATCCTACAAATGTCAACAATATCCCCAGAATCCCGTTCTCAAGTTATTTCTTCGGTCATGTCAAGCATCTGTTTGATAAATGCTTTGGCGATTGTCTGATTGGCTGGACGAATGAATATGGATACACTTACGTGTTAGAGTCTATTCTCAGAGAACCTTTATTACACACTATCGATAAGTCAGCACTTAATCACGTTCTCCAGAGGAACTCGCACAATTATACCAAACCCCAGGCAGTCCAAAACGTGATGCGGAAAGTATTCGGACGTGATGGTATATTTATCTCAGAAGGTTCTCAGCACAAAAAGCTACGCAAATTAATGACGCCGTCTTTCTTCACTGCTAGCAATCTCCAGAACTTCATTCCAATCATTCAACAGAAGTCTGCGGAATTGGTTGATGTTTTCGGCAAAAAAGATACTGTGCAGTTTGACGTGCTACAAGACTTTAAAAATGTCTCTACTGATATTGTCGGCATGATTGGTCAGTGTGATTGACATTATATACGTCATACTGATCGACAATCAGGCTTCGGTTTCTCATTCGATCTGTTAAACCCTATCAAAAAACGTGATCAGCGTCAAATAGAGTTGCATCAAGCGTTACAACACGTTATCGCATCTGCTGGTTCATCATCTCTATTCACGTCCTTATCACTATTCATATCTTCAATGAAGATAATTCCAACAAAAAGTTTTAAGCTTTTGAAAGAAGCTATGGCTTTGTTCGAGCAAGTTGGTTTGGATCTTATGAAAGGGAGGAAAGAAGTAGAGAAAGAGAATGAGGAGATCGGTGAAGGCTCATTCCAAGGCAAAGATGTGCTATCCCTACTTATGAAATCGAATCTCAGACCTGAACTCAACCCAAGCGATAGACTGAGTACTTCAGAGGTCGTTTCGCAGATTGCAACTTTTTTGGTCGCCGGTACTGATACAACGTCGAACGCTATGGCTTATATGCTTCACTCGTTAGCTTCAAATAAACGAGTGCAAGATAAATTACGCAGCGAGATAATCGAGCACGCACTAAATATGAATGAATCAACCTCGCTTAATGACGTCAATTCACTTCCATATCTCGATATGGTGATTAAGGAGACACTCAGACTGAACGCACCTGTTCCCCTCACTATCAGACAAGCTACAAATGCTGATGTCATACCCCTAGCTCATCCAGTGAAGGATACAAAGACAGGTGATATGATTTCACAGATAGTGGTTAAGCCTGGACAGAAGGTCGTGATCGGAATACACTCATACAACAAATCTAACTTGATGTGGGACAAGCCGCTCGAGTATATTCCAGAGCGGTACGAAAATGACACCCACAGCCCACCTTATCTATCTTTCATCGACGGTCAGAGAGTGTGTATCGGATATAAAGTAGCGATACTTGAAATGAAGATCACTGCTATCAACTTAATCAAGAACTTTACCTTCTCACTCCCTGATCCACCGCACAACATCGTGAAAACCGGTAGAATGGTTCATACACCGTGGATTCGCGAGCGCATGGATCTAGGCACTAGGCTAGAGCTGCAAGTGAATGAATACAAGCTCTAGAAGTATATAATCATATCATACGTATAGAATTATAGAAAAAGTGTAGAATCACATGTGAAGTATGTTTTATGTTACATAACCAACCTACTCTATCGAATATTACCACTTTTATTTCCGCCTCTTTCTAAAATACCCATACCGTCCTTCTTTGTACCACTTGATCCAGTCTTTGATTCCCATACTTTCCAGAACTTGAGTGATTCGTCACCTGCACCTGTTGCGAGAATGGTTCCATCAGGAGATAAACCTGAGTGCAAGACACGGGCGTCGTGAGCTGGCCAAGCGCCTACATTTGATAGAGATGGGTATGAGTGAACTTGAATGTTATTTTCACTGCGGGGTGGGTTAGTCAAGTGTCTCCCGTGATAGCATCACCACTCACGGGAATCCATGTGTTGACAGGATCTCACGCGTGTGGTGTGAGAAATGTAAACCGGTAACCTGGCTGTCGAGTTTGAGAGAGTTGAGTCGAGCGCCTGTGGCAGACTGCCAGAAATGGATAGTATGATCACCTGTACCACCGCCAGAAGCTAAGAGCGAAGGTGTCCACGGACACCAAGCTAAGGCTTTGACGGCAGCCTCGTGGTTGCGTTTTGACCATCTCGGTTCAGGGCTTCTACCTTGAGCTGATTCGGAGGGTGAGGATGTACCAGTACCGACTCTCCAATCCCAGCAATTGACAACATTGTCGTTTCCACCACTGGCAAGGGTGTAACCTTCCTGCGGTTTCCATGCCAGTCCTGTGACTTCAGATGCGTGGCCATTCAGCTCACCAACTTTGTGTTGCTGTACTCTAACATCGTGCAGGTGGATCTGACCAGATTTAGAACCAGATGCCAGTATATGTTGCGACCAAGATAATGTACCAGTTCTAGCTAAATGACCGGCCATCTTTCTCAGTCTCTTGCCTGATTCTATGTCGTAGATCTGTATAGAGGAATCCGCCCAACCAGTAGCGAGATATGAACCGTCTTCTGTCCACTTGAGCGACTGAACATCACCACTGTTGAAATCCTCGCCATTGCAAAGCTCCTTCACAGACCCGTCGTCGGCATTCCACACAAATACGCGTGCACCAATACCGACAGCCAGAAGATTGGTGCTCGACCAGCTAAGAAGGTTGTAATAAAAATCATCCACTAATCCTGGCGCATCTAGCACTCTGTCTGGTTTCATCTTTGACAGATTCCGCTTAGGGTTTGGCTGTGCCTTGGTGCTGCTCGACGAAGCGTTGCGACTCGAGGTAGATTTAGCTAAATTGATGCGAATGTCCGTGTGCACACTCGCACTGCTCACAGGCGGGGGCTCTGCGAATGCGAGGATACGCTTGCTGTTGGTTGCGCTCCCTACAGCCCCATCGCCGTCGGTAGTCAGGAGCGGTGGCTCGTGCTCAATATCCTCCTCGTGATCCTTAGTGTTGCTAGCTTCTAAAGCTGCTCTGTTTGGTACGAAGCGATCCTTCTCATTTGTCAGCGATTTCGACGCGCTTATGACACGCTCACCCTGTCCAGCTGTATTTCGTCAGTCTACGCTTCTCTACACTCATTTCCTCACCTTCCTCGTCTCGCGTTTCGCATCGCCGACTTGGGACGCAGACGTGTCTCCGCCGCGTCCAACTACATCCATCGTACGCGTGTGCTCTCTTCGGAGGCTGTCGACAGACGACGACCGCGACGTATTCTCCTCGTCTTTCGTCAGCGCGAGTTTCGATAATTCTGCAGAGAGTGATTGTGGTGATGATGGCATTGCTTCGTGGTGGTTGGGGTTAGAGGGGGTGATGGTATAATGACTGCTCAAGACGCCTCCACTCAATATGCCTCGACTCGCACAGAATATCGCCAGATGTACAGGGTGACGCTGATTGGCAATTTAGGCTGAACCTTTAGCATTTTCTAGCACGTCCTAGTTTCTGCCGCAACCGACTAACAAGTTAATACACCATGCACTGAGCTCCTTGGATCCGCCATTACCCGAAAATTTTATAATTACACCGCACAGAGCCAACGTACATAATGATAGACTTTTTCATCATGTTACTTGAATGGGAAAGCCGTCGCGTCGATTCTTTGACCACTTAAGATACGACCCTACGTCGGATGTGATTAGCGAGAGGCACGCAGCATCAAGGTGTCTCAGATACGTCGGAACTAATTTCAAATTTTTAACAATTCTTACGATGATCTACTTTTAGGAACAGACTCCGATGATGTGGTTGCTTGGGAGTGTCGTTGCAGCTGCACTGATTGCCTTATATCTACGCAGATATCCTACGAATGTCAGTCATATCCCTAGAATCCCGTTCTCAAGTTATTTCTTCGGTCATGTCAAAGATATTTCTGATGAATGCTTCGGGGAACGTATGGTTAGCTGGACAAATGAATATGGACACACTTACGTGATAGATTCCTTTTTAAGAGAGCCCTATATCCACACTATGGATAAGTCAGCACTTTACCATATTTTCCAGACGAACTCACAAAATTACACCAAACCTAAGGCTTTCCGAGACGTAATGAGAACGATGATAGGTCGTGATGGCATACTCATCACTGAAGGCGCTCAGCACAAGAAGTTACGCAAATTAATGACACCGTCTTTCTTCACTGCTGGAAATTTACAGAACTTCATTCCAATCATTCAACAAAAAGCTACAGAATTGGTTGATGTTTTCAACAATAAGGAGAAAGTGACATGTGATGTGCTGGACCCTTTGATGAATTTTTCTACTGATGTTGTCGGTTTAATTGGTGGGTGTGATACTAATGTTTTGTATGTTATACTGATCGGCCCGACCCAGGTTTCGGTTTCTCATTCGATATGTTAAGCCCTGAAAGGAGACGTGAACAGCGTCAATCAGACCTGCAACAGGCGGTAGAAAGGATATTTTCTTCGGCTGGTCCTTCTTCGCTCTTAGCGTCAGTTTCATTTTTCATGTCCTCAATAATGATAATTCCAACAAAGGCTTTAAAACTTATAAAACAGGCCATGAGCTTGCTCGAGCACGTTGGGTTGGATCTAATGAAGGAAAAGGAAGAGGCAGAAAAAGAGAATGAAGAGATTGGTGAAGATTCATTCCAGGGTAAAGATATACTGTCTTTGCTAATGAAATCAAATCTCAATCCTGATCTCAATCCAAGTGATAAAATGAGTACTTCGGAGGTCGTTTCGCAGATTTCTACTTTCCTGCTTGCTGGACTTGATACAACGTCAACTACGATGACGTTTATGCTCCACTCGTTAGCTTCGAATAAACGAGTGCAAGATAAATTGCGTAGCGAGATAATCGAACACGCACTAAATATGAATGAATCAACCTCGCTTAATGACGTCAATGCACTTCCTTATCTGGATTTGGTGATAAAAGAGGCACTCAGACTTAACGGACCTGTGCCTCTTGTTTTCAGGCAAGCTACAAAAGCCGATGTCATACCCTTAGCAAATCCAGTGAAGGATACAAAGACTGGTGATATGATTTCACAGATAGTGATCAAGCCTGGTCAGAAGGTAGCGATCGGAATTCACTCATACAACAAATCTAACTTGATGTGGGACAAACCACTAGAGTTCATTCCAGAGCGGTACGAAAATGACACCCACAGCCCACCTAATCTATCTTTCATCGACGGCCAGAGAGTGTGCATTGGATTCAAATTAGCTTCGCTTCAAATGAAAATTTCTACCATTAACCTGATTAAAAACTTTACATTCTCGCTCCCTGATCCACCACAGACCCTCGTGAGAGCGGGTAGAGTGGTACATAAGCCTTACATTGGCGAGCGCAAGTATTTAGGTGCTAGATTAGAATTGCAAGTAAATGAGTACAAGCTTTAATATGTAGGATTATGGATATTTCATATATTTGTTTTAAAGAGTTGTATTGCCGATTAGTCGTCACCTCATCTTCTGCAAGATGGCAAGTCGTGAAGGCGGGCAAAGTGAAATTAGATTACATTAGTTTGAAAAGATGGTTTGAATATTGGTAGTATGTGTGCCTAGGTAGTTGCGTCAGTCGCGTGTGTCTACTGCACTGTAAACTTACTTCAGTGTTGAATACTACCTCTGTAATTGCGTCGTTAGCAGTGGTATTTACGCATTAAACTACACTTACTGTCTAAAGGTGCTACTGAATTATCCTCAAATAGTAAATAAAGATATTTGAACGTCTCACTCTGTGTTGTGATAAGCATGGCATCTAAAACAACACACAATGACTACACCTACCAGTAGAAACGTCTCCATTTTGTCTTCATGATCTACTGGAACTTTGTTCACATTCATTATACTAGCGTATCCGCCGCTGTTTATTTTTGCATGCTTCTCTATAGATTCAAATATGCTCCAACCCCACTCTCTGTACTTGTTGTTGCCGCTTAGCCTAAATGCTATGAAGATGGACTCCACAGTCTCCGGTCTGAGAATATAACGTCCGTCGATTGTGTCTTCACCACGTGAAGGCTTTATGTACCAATCCTCCTTCTGTCCTCTATAATCGCCAACTTGATGGAAGTGAATAATCTCCGGGGACAGACCCGACTTTGTTGAGGTGTATGTGTCGTACTGTTGATGCTTATGTGAGTTTGTTAACGAAAGCGAGTCTAGTGACGTACACATGTTTTGAGTAACTCTTCTCCAACCCACCAATCCTCACGTTGTTGAGTGGTGAATGTACTTTGATCTAGCGGAAGATGACTTTTGCCTTCGTGAACGCCGAGGAGAAAGAGTCCTGGCAAAAAGCAGACCTGAAATGATCAATTTGGCAAAAGTGGAAGGAGAACAAACACACCAGATGGTCTTGCTTGTTGTATGGCCGGTATTCAGGTCTGAAAACGTTGTCAGAACATGACAAAATAAGCTAAGACAGCTGTCTCGCCTTTCAATTCCACGCTTTGGGGTGAGTTCTATAGTATGTACCATCTTTTTGGGTCCTTGAGTCATTTTCAACAAGTGTCTTTTGATACCTCGACGAGCAGTATCATACATGTCTTTGTAAACATGCTCGGTACTTGCTGTCTGAAGGTACTGCTTCAAGAGGTACTCGTAGTAGGAGTCGGCTCTAGAACCCAGTCGGATTGAACTAAAGTAGAAGTTTTTAACATGAGGACTGTTATTATGTAAACTGATATGATGGCATATTTGTGAGAAACATACTCAATGAAAATAGGTACCAAGCCATCTCTTTTTGGAGCATCCTTGATCAGTTGCATGACTCCTTCTGACTTTCTCCAGAATAAAGAATCGTCTAGTAGTTGAGAAAGGTATTTGAATTCCAATTGCAGACTTGCGGCCTCTGCTGTACTTATGAAACCTCTGTTATCTTGATCGGATATACCCTCCATTCGATGCAAGTTGACGAAAGATAGAGGAAGACCGGAGTCTTGGTCGAATGAGGATACCAAGCGCTCGCCTAAGTCAGCAGCTAGATTAAGGTACAAAGGGTCTGGATTGCTTAGGTTTTGACTGAAAGGGTTTGATGAGAGATAGTAAGACGATAGTAAACCACCGAGGACGCTGTTGTGGGTTAAAAGGAGTGTAAGTACTAGCAAATGAAAATATTTACCGGATTGTAGTCTGAGTGGGATTAAGAGGATTTCTGTTTAGACAAGTAAAACACGCACTTCAAAGGTATTGAATTTGTCATCTACGTCGAAGGATAGTTCATTTTCAATCCAATTTCTTGCTCTGGCATACTCATCGGTGAGACCCATGAGTTGAATAGTATCACTGCGAGTGAACGAGTAAGTGTGCGGTATATGTGATAATAAGAAACATACAGACTATCAATGATAGTGTAACCAATTCCGGCTGAATTTGAAAGATTTGAGCCAGATTGAGAAATTGGATGGTATTCATCGGATCCCCACGCGTCCCTCTCATAAGCAAACCACGCGTGCTTGAAAGCAGATTTAACAGCATCGCGTTTAGGGAAATCAGGTCCAAGATATAAATCATGTGTGGGTAAATCAAGATTCTTATCTTTAACGATGAGTTTCTTTGGCTGTGAGTTGAGTACTTTGTACTTTGAATGATTGATCCTTGTAAAATAATGATTCAGTAATAATCCAATTCCTATTCCAATGAATAGTATTTTAAGCGCCAGCTTCTTACTCCAAATCCCGTGCATTTCAATTCCTATTTCATTGACTGAGTCCACAACACAAAAGAATCCTTAACCAGAAACCACCATCAATGTCACAAGAATTTGATCAAGTTGAAATTGCAACGGGTCCTTCACTTATCTCAAAGCTTCAAGTGTGTTTTCTGTTGTTTCATCGGTGGCAATCATCCACTCACACATCCATTTAGGAATGTGGTATATCTGCAACTGATTGCCAGAAACTTGAATTGGCTGGCTATCACACTATTGAATCTGTTGCTTTCACTCCAAAGAAGCACTTGATGACAGTCAAAGGAATTTCTGACGCTAAAGCTGACGTCATTCTTCAAGAATCTTCCAAGTTCGTTTCAATGGGGTTCACTACTGCTACTGAGGTTCACGCTCGTCGCGCTGACTTGATTAGCGTTACAACTGGTAGCAGAAACCTTGATACTATTCTTGGCGGTATGTTGTTGTGCTTCTATTCATCCTTATCTAACTCGAATCAGGTGGTATCGAAACTGGAGCTATTACCGAACTATTTGGTGAATTTAGAACTGGCAAATCTCAAATATGCCACCAATTAGCCGTCACTTGTCAACTTCCTATTAGTATGGGCGGTGCAGAAGGCAAATGTCTTTATATCGATACTGAAGGTACTTTCCGTCCTGTCAGAATTCTCGCCGTTGCTGAAAGATACGGTCTTAATGGTCAAGACGTCTTGGATAATGTCGCATACGCACGCGCTTATAACGCTGATCATCAACAACAACTGTTAATCCACGCTAGCGCTATGATGGCTGAATCAAAATTTGCATTACTTATTATCGATAGTGCAAGTGAGTCATTGTCTCAATCACTTATTAAACACGCTCATTCTCTCCTCAAGTGAACTTATACAGAACAGATTTCTCTGGAAGAGGTGAATTGTCCGCTAGACAGATGCATCTCGCCAAATTTCTGCGAAATCTCATGAGACTTGCAGATGAGTATGGTATAGCTGTCGTGATAACCAATCAAGTTGTAGCCCAGGTCGATGGTGCAAACCCATACAACCCAGATCCAAAAAAACCTATCGGGGGTAACATACTTGCACACGCCTCAACCACTAGATTATTCTTGAAGAAAGGCAGAGCAACAACAAGAGTTGCCAAGATATATGATTCACCTTGTTTACCAGAGTCTGATGCGACTTATAACATTGGTGCAGATGGAATAGGTGACCCTATCGACGAGGAGGCTTGATTTTTACATCGTCGTGAGCAGGGTTAGCTATCAGAGAGAATCGATTCGATATTTCTTGCATCATTGCAGTGTTTACTCAGCAAAACCAGCATATCTCAAGTGTACCATAATTGATAACCCATGTACTCTAGAAGATTGTATACAGTAGAAATTTTATTTATTCCCTATGACTCATTCACATCTTGCTAACCAACCAAATGGCAGACAGATTGTTTATATTGGATTACGGCGGTGGAAACACACGTTCACTCACAAATTCAATCAAGAGATTAGGCTACGAATTTGAATGGGTTAAGGAGCCCAAAGATCTTGCAAATGCTGAGGTTCGTGGGAGGGACACGGCGTCAACAACGAGGCTGACAGATAGCTTATTAGAAACTTATATTCCCTGGCGTTGGCAACTGTGGTCAAGCTGTAAAGAGCTTACACAACTCCGGTTTGTTTGAGCCACTACGCCAGTACGTCTTATCAGGTAAACCTTACTTTGGTATTTGCATTGGTATGCAAGTCCTATTCGAAACTTCAGCAGAATCGCCGCAGGACAAAGGGTTCGGCGTTATACCTGGTTCTGCCGCCAAGTTTACAACAAGCGCAGTAGATCCAAAGAGAGTTCCTCATATGGGTTGGTCTGCTGCTAGAAGGTTGTCAAACTCATCGCAGAATCCAATCAACGGCGTTAGAGATGATTGTCATTACTACTTTGTGCACTCATACGCTGTACCCTACAATCCATCCAAGTTAGCTGGCTGGGCTAGCACAATAACTCAATATGGTAAAGAAATCTTTGTTAGTTCAGTACAACGTGGATCTGTTTTAGGTACTCAATTTCACCCTGAGAAATCTGGAGAAGCTGGTCTTGATCTTCTCAACAGCTTCCTCAAGACAAAGGCCGAACTTAATCCATTAAAGAGCTTAACAAGCTACCCAGAACCAGTTGATGTTGAATTAAATGAGAAAGATGATCTTGTCAAGCGTATTGTCGCTTGTTTGGATGTACGCTCTAACGATAATGGTGATTTAGTGGTCACAAAGGGAGATCAGTATGATGTTAGGGAGGATGACAACAACCCAGAATCAACAGATGCTGCTTCGAGCAAGCGTGAGGTCAGAAACCTCGGTAAACCTGTTGAATTAGCTAGACGTTACTTCAGTGAAGGTGCAGATGAAGTCGTCTTCTTGAATATCACTTCATTCAGAAACTCCCCATTAGGTGATCAGCCAATGTTAGAATTAGTTAAGGCTGCTGCTGAGACTATCTTTGTTCCACTTACAATAGGTGGTGGTATTAGAGATATGGTCGATCCAGATGGTACTCGTCACTCTGCATCAGAAGTAGCACACGCATACTTTAGATCAGGTGCGGATAAAGTCTCAATTGGCTCAGATGCTGTATATGCCGTTGAAGAACTGCTCAACAGAATTAAAACCAATACTCAACCAATACTGACTGGTCAATCAGCTATCGAAACAATCTCAGCTGGCTACGGTGCACAAGCTGTCGTTGTATCTATTGATCCAAAGAGAGTTTACTTTAACCCTAACAGTGAAAAACCATCTGAAGAGCATCTCCCTTCGGTCATTTACGGAAAAGACGCTAAAGCTAACACAACGGATGAGGAGAGAAAGCTAGCTTGGTGGTATCAGTGTACTGTTCAAGGTGGTAGAAGTTATAGAGATGTGGATGTCGTTCAACTCGCAAAAGGCGTTGAATCACTTGGCGCAGGTGAAATACTACTCAATTCAATCGATAGAGATGGTTCAAAGAGAGGTTTCGATGTTGATCTCATTCAATTGGTTAGAGAATCAGTAAGCATTCCTGTCGTCGCATCTTCCGGTGCAGGTGAAGCTCAACACTTTGCTCAAGTCTTTGATGCAACAAATGTCGAAGCTGCTTTAGGTGCAGGTGCATTCCATAGAAAAGAGTTACCAATAGAAGATGTGAAGAATGACATGCGTCAAAAAGGCTTAAAAGTAAGAACTGAACTTCCTAAAGAATTAGTACAAAATTTGAGTCAAGGTAAGGTTATATTACAATAGATATTGTTATTTTTCATTCAAAAGGGATATGTTGAAGTTTAATAAATCGATTACATTGATTGCTTGATAATTTCCAAACGATTTTGAATCCTATCTAATGCAACGTTTAATTGATCAATCTCCATTTGTGCGTTTGATTGTGTGTGCGTGTGATGTTTGAAAGCATCATGTACAACACTTCTAATCGTGTCTACTAATAGTGGTTCGTGATTTTGACTTAATGTTGATATTGGCTTGAATGGCGTTAAATTGAAATACGTGTAAGCGTTTGATATGATTAAAATCAAGATTAAAACATAAAGTGTTTTCGTAAATGATGGTGAAATCGTCAAAGCTCCTAGAGCTGAAAATATTGTCATCGTTAGTCTGACTACTTTATTGAATAACTCGAATGTACCATCTAATAAATGCTGTAAGATAGTTGGCAGCATTGAAGTATGTTCCATTGTACTCTTTAAATGACTATCCTCGACTTTAGCTTTTTCAGCTAATTCCTTTGATCCTTCTTTTTCTTCACGAGCTTTCTCAGGGGTTATTGCATTAGTATCCGTAAATTCATTTGCATGCTCTTCAATATATTTACGCATTGCTGACTCTAAAGCGCGATGATAAGATTTCTGACCTTCGATTGCTGATCTTTCAATAACACCTGAAAAATAGTGAGTCGAGTAGATTTTCAAACATCCAGGACCCACCCTTTAAAAAACTTCTACCAGTCCATTCAACCTTTGTGGAGACAATAACATGAGAATTGTTGTTAGTTGCCCATGAAATTGCTGTTCTAGTACGAACAACAAAAGAATTACCAGAAGGTACCTCTGGAGTACGGGTGGACGTGAGTACAAGAACATGATCATCAAAATCGACATGCTCATTTTCATCATCCAATACACATTTCGTTGACTTTGGACCGACACCTACTGTCAAAGGTTTGATGTAAGTGATTGTTCTACTAAGTTTAGAGCTATCAGCTTTGGGTTGCCAGTCAGATATTTGAATTTCTGTCAGGTCTTGAGTCGACATAAAGTCTTTAATAAAGAAGCTTGTAAACATAAGATTGTAAAGCTTTTCAGGTGTTGCTGGGAGTGTAGTATCCATTGCAACCTCTGGGAAGTTTACAGAAGGGTCAATCTTTGTAGGCCTGTGAATAGTTGGTGGAGGTCTTTGTGTCGCTTGTCTAGGTACAGAAGGACGAGCATTTCTAGATTGCTTTCCACCTTTCTCTTTGTGTTTACGACTGGATTTGCTTAATGAAGTTGAGGCTGATGTGGCAGAGCTTTCTGCAGATGTATCAGAGTCTTCTTGCGAGCTTCCTTGATTAATTAGATGGGCGCTTTCGTGAGACTCTTCCGATACTGGTATGGTGGGGTGAGACAACCTCCAGATGTTTAATATCACATCGTAAACAGTGTCTCTGGATAAAAACGAAGCGAAGACATACTATTGCGCGACAGTTAGCGTTGTCTCATCTTCATAATTGTAAGCCAACCTTTGCGCGCAATGTAGAAATTTGGATTGCGTTTGGAATGACAAACGCAGTCATCTTCTTCTCGATTGCAACCATTTCAGAGAAAGGAACAGCAAACTGTATCTTATTAAAAGATGAATAGAGATGAGTGAAACTACCTACGCTGGTAACCCAACCAAATATGTTTGCGTTAAAGGAGATGTGATTTTCTGATATGTAAAGACGCCCTTGAATAAGTATTTCACGCTGTAAAGCACAACCATAATCTTCAATGAGGTAATCTTGCTCAGGAATATTAGGAAAGAGTTGGTGAAAGTCAGCATTTCTGCGTGAACTTGCGACAGCGAAACCGGTGATACCTTCGCCGAAGTAATCATTTAACTCTAAAGACTGGCTGTCAACATCTGAAGAATGTCTATCATTTAAAGCCAAGCCAATCTGAGGATCTGTTTCATTTAAAGAGTTACGGGAGGTATCGATTGAGTTCCTGGTTGAAGGGCTAATTTGAGATTTATCAGGAGTAGAATGACCGCTAGGAGAAACATCACGTAAAGAATCAGGAATATGATTAGAATCTGAGTAATTCCTTTTACGTGTATTGTTTGATCTAAGTGATGAATTTGACTGCGACTTTTTGTGATTGAATTCATCAAGGCTGAGGCTGCCATCACCGATACTCAAAGGTAAAGATCTCCTTTCAAGCGTAGGTGTCTGAGTATCATCATCCAGCTGAGGCTGCTGCTTATCAGGCATATCAAGCTTTGGTAGATCATCATATTGAGATAAAGGCTGATTCATGACCATAAGATTATGCCTATTATTCGTAGATTCCTCTTTGTTCTCCTTTTTCTTATATTTGTTTAGAATTGAACTCATCCTTCTTGATAATCAACTTTGAAGAATGTTAAGCTTGAGATTTTCAAGTCTGGGGGCTGTAAATATTTTACAGGATTTGCTGGGCGGTATATTAAGGGCTGTACCGTGAGTATTACCCAGCACGCATGCTACTACCCACTCAATTCCCATCCAGCAAGAAGAAAGTATCTCACTCGAGAAAATCCATGCGCTCTGCGAATAAAGGTTTAAAGGACAAGCAAAGCTTAGTACATTGCCCCGCTTCTGGTCTTCCAAAGCCTGCTCATCACCTCTCACAAGATCTTTACAACGAACTTAAGCGGAATTGGAAATCATTTCAGAAGTAAATTTCAATTATAAATGCTATTTGTCTCAATTACATTAGTTCTTAAGCGTTAAGCTTTGGTGCTGTTGTTCCACGTGCTAATCCATCTTCACCACCGTAAACAACCTTTCCACTCTCTTGAGCAATCTCATCTTCGATTCTGAGTAAACGGTTGTACTTGGCAAGACGCTCTGTACGACATGGTGCACCTGACTTGATTTGTCCTGTTTGAAGTGCAACAACAAGGTCTGCAATGAATGTGTCTTCGGTTTCACCTGAACGGTGTGAAACCATTACACCCCATCCAGAGCTTTGTGAGAGTTGTGCTGCTTCAATTGACTCTGAAACGGTACCAATTTGGTTTACCTTAAGGAGTAATCCGTTACATGCCTTCTTTTCTACTGCTGTCTTGATACGAAGTGGGTTTGTAACTGTTAAATCATCTCCAACAATTTGAATTGGTGAGTTTTGAGTAAAGTGTGACCATGCTTCCCAGTCATCTTGGTCAAATGGATCTTCAATTGAAACAATTGGGTATTTCTGTACGTATCCAAGGTAAAGGTCTGCAAGTTCCTTACCTGATAACCATTTAGACTTGTCTGAGTTGTCGTTCTTGAAATCCAAGTCATATTTGCCCTCCTTGTAGAATTCTGATGAAGCAACATCAAGTGCAATTGAAACCTTACCAGTGTAACCTGCTTTGTCAATAGCAGTAACGAGCAAGTCAAGTGCTTCATCAGCACCATTAACATTTGGTGCGAATCCACCTTCATCACCAACGTTGGTAGCATCAATACCGTATTTAGCCTTGATAACCTTCTTAAGTGATTGGTATGCTTCTGAGCCAATTCTCATTGCTTCAGTGAATGAGCTAGCGCCAGTTGGGAGTATCATGAACTCTTGGAAAGCAAGAGCGTTACCAGCGTGTGATCCACCGTTGATAACGTTGAATGCTGGAGTTGGGAGAACGAATGGAGCCTTAACACCAGTGAGTGTAGCGAGGTGCTTGTAAAGTGGAACACCCTTCTCAAGAGCAGCAGCTGATGCAGCAGCCATTGAAACACCGAGGATGGCGTTAGCACCGAGCTTGTTCTTGTTTTGAGTACCATCAAGCTTAAGAAGAAATTCATCAACTTGATTTTGGTTGGCTGCGTCAATGTTTGCCTTTACAAGCTCTGGGGCAATAATGTCGTTGACGTTGCTAACTGCCTTGGTTACACCCTTTCCGTTGTAAGCATCACCGCCATCACGGAGTTCATTGGCTTCGTAAACACTGAATAGGCGTTAGTAATTCGCTGCTTCAACGCTTCCCACTAACCCAGTTGAAGCACCTTTATATGTGTAAGCCAAGAAATTCTAATCAACAAATAAAAAACGTACCGGATGGGACAATAGCAGTAGCCTGTTTGCCACCAGCAGTGATAACAACTTCAACGGTTGGCTATTTGTCTATTAGACTGAGTGCATGTCTTTGTGCTCGACTTACACCGCCTCTTGAGTCGAAGACTTGACGTGCATATACCTGAGATATTCTGTAAGCTATGTTTATACGTATCTTACAGCTTTCTTACTTTTTCAATTGCCATTTTAATAGATCCTGGTTGTGTCGAAAAAAGAAACACCTACGAATCAATCTACTTGAATTTGGTAATCAAAATTTTGCTTGCTCATGTTCCAAATAGCCAGCATAACTATACCATACAACCTCTTTATCCGCCTTCGTCGACATTAAGTTATCTCAGTCATGAGGGAAACAATCCGGCGGTATCTCTTTTGCGCAGATGGAGTTGATGTGATTCTTAAGCGATACTTGCGCAATCCTTAAATTCAAATTAATTTCATTTTTAAAGAAAAATAACATGTATGAATGTTTGGCGGTATATGTACTCATCTTGAAAAGGTATTTTAATGAGTGTCTGTACAGAGCTAATTTGAAGATCTGAATAAAGAGAATAAGTCCTTACGTTCCCTGGTTGGTGATTTCAATGTTTTATCAACATTCTCATCATTTTCTGTATTCACACTTGACTGATATTCACCATCCGATATAGCCTTTTCTTTCTTTGGTGTTGCTGGCATACGACTTTGTTTTGGCCGTAGCGATTGATTTTTGTTTGGCGACGTTGGTCTCGACTTAGACAATATTCCTCTTTTCTTCCGAAGGTTTAATGTACTTGAAATCGCTTCACCCACTGTCTTTTTAGCAGGCGGTGTTGACTCCCTTCGAGTTGATGGTGGCGAATCTGTATCTGTCGTTGCTGATGATGCATCTTCGTGTGTTTGCACTGGTATTTTAACTTGTCTATTCGAATTATTGATTGTTGAATTTTGACGACGTAATATCAGCTTGTATTTATCTGTAACTCCTCTAGCAAACAGTGTTGATGGATTTATTCTGCGTCCATTCGGTGCCATTGGTGTATCTGATTCTACTAAGTCCCATTCATCATCGTCGTTGTCATCTGTTGCGTCTTCATCGTCTGCAATAGATGAGCTTGAAGACGAGCTAACAAGCATTGGTCTATCAAATGCTAGCACACCTGATTTCTCACGTCTGCGCTTTCTCAAACCATTTGGATGATGTGTGACAATTGATTCACTTTCCTCTACGTTGTCAGACATTGACGGTGGTACTTTTGATAGTGATTTTGGTTCCTTATGCAGCTCTGTCTCAAATCGCTGGTTGATAATGGCATCCTCGGTTGTATCTTTGTTCACATTATCGACACTTGTAACTTTCTCCAATTTTTCGACCACCTCAGCTTCATCTCCAGTTTTCTCATTTTCATTAAAGACATCATCATGCTCCTCTTCATACATGACAGAATGACCATCCTCGTTTAGACGCCTGTAACTGTACTTGTCAAAGAGATCTTCATTGTTGGCGTCAGCATCTCGAATAGCTTCGTCCGCGATCGCAGCACGCTCTGGGTCTATGTTGCTAGCATTTAAATCATCATCATCAATAATTGGCTCCATGTCGAGGAATGTCTCATCAAAGTTTTGAGTATCGAGATGATCTTCTGGGTTAGTTGGTGGTATGTAAGGTGGGATATAGCGTTTCGCGGATATATGATTCCAATCGAGCATTCCTGTCATGCTCATTAATACTTATTTGAAGTGATTGACTTATCTCACCAAAGTATGGATGACGTTTAATACGTGGTTCACATAGACGTAATTCTGGGTTCTTTTGGAGAAGCTGGTGTGTGTAAGTAATTGTCTAAAATGCAAAACTTAAACTTACCCCTCTGAGTAAAGACTTGGTATCTTGATCCATATATCTTTCATCGCCAAAATTTAAGTCGTCGTGAAGTACACGAACATACATATCTGAGTGATTTGAAGCCCAAAATGGGGTCTGGAAACTTGTCAGTATGGGCGATGCTGGTTTGCATCCACGTACTATACCAGCAAGCATTTCGTAAAGCATGGTTCCGAGTGACCACCAGTCAACTTCATATGAATAGGATAAACCTTGAATAACCTCTGGTGCTAAGTACTCAGCTGTACCGCAGAAGCTACTAGTGGTATCTTTAGGATCGACATTGGGCGTTGTTGAACTGACTGTCGTCATCCATTCCGGTAAAGCCATGATTGGGCCTTCAGGTTTGGGAAATTGTTTCGATAGTCCAAAGTCAGTCAATATAATATGTCCATCAGCTGCGATCAAAATATTTTCAGGTTTTAGATCGCGATAGATGACACCAGCAGCGTGAAGACCTTCAACACCTTCAACAATCTCAGCAGCATAGAATCTTGCTCTGTCACGACCTAGACGGCCCCATCTAGACAGTTGAGTAGCTAAGTCACCTCCCGGATGGAAGTCCATGGCAAGGAATAAGTCACTCTCATCATGAAATGAGTAGTGCAATTGAACGATGAAAGGATTTAAAACATCTCTAGTCATACGCTTTAAGACTGTTTGTTCAGTGAGGGTATGTAGCAACTCTTGGTGTGCCAAAACATGTCTTTTGTGAATGGCCTTCATCGCAAAGTATCCACCGTTGGTTTTGTGTCTGACCAAAAGAACTTTACCTGCGCAGCCTTTGCCTAAAACTCTCTTCATTTCAAAATCTTCAATCTTAACCTTGCGATGCTTCTTACGAACGACCTTGCGCGTAGTCGTTTCGTTTGTATCGTTCTGCAGTGATTGGAGATTAGGTTCAGATTGAAATAGTTCATGAGATTTTGCTAGGCTTTGGTTGAAGGAAGCGGACTTGATAACTTCATCAGAATCTACTGGTTTCTCATTGAGTGTCTCATCTTTTGCTTGCGCGTCTAGGCTCTTATCGAAATTTGTGTTGTCAAGAGCTTTATCAAGCTGACTGAGTATAGAAGCGAAATCCTTTGAATCGGACTTCTCATCCAAAGGCTGCTCTGGTTGCTCTTCCTTGATCGATGGAATAATCGCTGAAGCTGGATTTATACCCTGGCTTCTTCTATCAATGCGATTTGACTGTAGGTCGTCTTGCCTAACTCTAGTAAAGCGCTTCCATGCTATTGTACTGCATATTTGCTCGTCATTTGCTAGCTGCGTGAGGTAATGCGACAGAGGTTCGTTGGCCGGGGAGCTAGAAACATTTGGAGGAGGGCTTAGAGGAGGCTGAATAGAAGCCTTTGGCTTTGAAGGAGTTGTTGGATTTGATGCAAATCTTGTTATTGTGTTTAGAAATGATCTGCGCCTGCTGTTCGGCTGATTTGAAGGCGGTAATGCGGGTATCTCTAAGTCTTGAAGATTCTCGCGTAGCTGTCAATGTGTTAGGTACAAGCAGCCACTAATTTCCCTCCTTACAGTCTCGTCTAAGCTGCGAATGGCAGCGTGCGATCTTGTAAGCGTCAGTGACTGTGTAGGTGTCTTGTAGTACAGGGTATAAAGTGTTTTACTCCTTTTCAACGGGTTTTCTACCACTTTTATTGATTCCATAGTGTTTCGTCGTGGTCGCCAGCCAGCAAAAATCAAAGCGCAATGATTCAAAAAGTTAAATGTATTCAAGATTTTATATTTCATTCAAATTTCTTTACGTCGTGTTCTGTTGGCCCAATTACCGGTTCTTTGCCGCTAGCCGCAAGGTTGCATTGATGATGAATTCGTATCGTGTCGTCTTTTAGAGCGCCGGTGACGCTATGAAGCACTTGGCGATTGTGGAACTTGGATTTGTTAGCTAGCAGCTACTTTATGTACGCCAAAGCCACTCACCAAAACTAGATCCTTCTCTTCCCAATCATGTGTATATACGTGTTCAGGCTTAATTCCAGGCCGCTGCATTGCGTATATAACATCCCTTACCTCACTCAATTTGGTTATATGTGCACCATCTGGGTATAAGCTGTCGCTCGTCTTCTTATCGGCGGATGAAATTGGCTTGATCTTTAACTCTGCTATTGCACTTGGATGTACTTGGAAATATAAGTCGCCAGTGACTTTGTTCTTCCAAAGTACTGGATATGTCTTGATCTTGGTGTCATCAACGGGTGGTAGCTCCTCAACCGTCAGTTCTAATCCTTCTGTCTCCAAGCCGAGAGCATTTGGGCGCGCTTTAGCCTTTGACATCCATACATAAGGATGTGGCGCATATACAACTTGTGTACGAACAGCCAAGGACTTGTGGTTGTCTGGTAAAATTCGAAACATTTTATTTCCACTGACAAATGCTGTAGATCCCAGTGATACTTGGAGGGTTTCTTCTGAGCCATCGTCGTATCTGAGAGTCTGTTTTGGTCCTTTAGGTATTCTGATCGCGTAAAGTGTTGTTACTTTTGGAGGATCGAGATCGTAAAGAGCTGCATCTATGTGCCAACTAAGAGACATTAGCTTGTGTGATTGCTAGATTATGACCCACCGATAGAAACGCGTGAAGCCTTTCTCATCATCCTCGTCGCTAACCTTTGTTTTGTGAAATGTTTTGTGATGAGGATGCTTGAGCTTAGCCTGTAGATTGTTGATTGGTAGTAAGACAAACTGAAAATTCTCACCTCCGAAAGACCCTCATGGTCATAGACGGTGCCATTGCCGATAACCTGTACAGTTGGAACACGAGGAATTGTCTTGAGGTCAGGGTGCAAGATTGATTTGCTTGCACCTTCTGTCTTGTTGTTACCATGGCCATATGTTTTAGCTTCTGGGTCAAAGAGCTGTCAAGAGTCAGATAAGCACCGATGATGACGAAAGCTTACTCTAGTCAGCTCATCTTGCTTTTCAGGCGTTAAGTCAACGTCTTTGAACAGTATGATGCTGTGCTGTCAAGTGTAAATTAAAGCATATAGTGGAGTGGAAGCTCACTTGGTGCAAAAGTTTGTTCACCTCCTCGAACTCTGCCGCGCTAAGACAAGAAGGATCGCAGTCGGATAAAATACAACCAAATTCGCTGTCTTCTGAGAATAGCGTTGACTTCATGGTTGTCTAATCGAAAGAGTTACTGTGATTCATACGCGTCATATACTCTATGATAAGATAGCGCGGAGATAGGACTCTGAAATGCTATCAAGTTAGCCCGATATATCGCTTTTAGCAGTCGTTTATCTCCGCTAAGATACGTTCATGTGATTTTATGCTAGATTTTATTCATATTCAGCTATTCGCATGCCTTATTAGGTCATTGCAGAAGTTCTTTAGGAATGCAATAATGTAAATACATGAAACCCACAAAGAAACTTTACAAAAGAGTTCCATGAAATCAGAATGGATCTATAACACAGCTTTCCTCGCCATTATAGACTTCAAAAGAAGTAACTTTATCCGTAACTTTATCTATAGATGCATATATTGCCTGTGTATCAAATTCAGAATGTGTATAAAATCAAAGCCAATCCGCTCACATTAGTCAAGTCCCTAGAAAGCTCCTCGTTGCCGTAGTTGAAAGGTGACAGCATGATGCCTGATTTGGTCTCCAAGAATAGCGTGCTTGGAACATCGCTTGCCCTTGGAAGATGATGCATTCCAACATTTGCCCAAAGAACTAAGTCTTCTTGTACGATATTCTCATCATTTAAGAATGTATTGAAATCGACAGGTGGCTTCATCATATTAGCAATGATTTGGAGCCCATACAGTCAACTCACATTGTTTGGTAGGTTCATGTTATACATCGAGCTAGCACTCTCTTCATCCTCGTTGTATTTGGTCACGTAGACGTGCTGTCTACTGAACACAGCATTCCGCTTCATACGTGACTGTGTGTCTGGCGTATCATGGATAACGGGAGTTGATGGCATTATACGATAGGCTGGATTATAGCCATACTGAGTTTTCTTATCCAGGTTCGAAAGGAGCAGCCAGTGATCGTAGTTGTTTGACCAATTCATACCTTTCTCTTGTTCTATGTTAGATGTGTTGATCACCTTGGACTCATAAGCATCTTCATCCTCATCTTGCCAAAAGAATTTTGTATTTTGTACGTCTATGGACTTTTCCACCAAGGTGTTGCTCTCACCGAGAATGTCCAAGTCGAATTTGAATAGGATAACGTGGTCGTGAATGTTTCCGAAGGTTGTATCAGAGACTTGAGTGCCAAACTTATCGCCACCCCTCGAGCTGTGTGTCTGAAGAAGATAGCCGGAGGCTGATGCTGATGCTTCAATTGTACCGTCCGGCATGAGTGCATAGTCTATCATATAATCATAGTTTCCAGGTGTGCTTATGCTTCTGATGACCAGTTTTGAGGCTTTGTTAGAAGAGGCGTCGTTCACTCCATAATGCCTAGAAATTGGCTGGAGAAGAGGCATCTCGAAGATGCAAATAGAGTTGGGAGTTGTAACATCATGTGTACCATTCCAATAGTGCGTTGCTAAATATGTGGCTTCGTCGGCACAGTCATAGCCTTTGAGAAGAGGAGTGAGCTTCTCACCCAACCCGATACCTCTATCAAGGAGAAAAGAATTTGCATTTGTAGGAGTATTTGCTGAGTAATGAGATACTGCTTCTTGTAGACTAATTTCGTACGCTATTCTAACACTATTAAAGCGCAAGTCGTGGATGCTAACACCAGTCTCTGGGTTGTGAGCGAAAAAAAAGTCCCAATTGAGCCATGAAACGTGGTTCTGCTTATCATCAAGCCTGTATCTGAGCCCCTGTTTTGACAAACTGATAGGCGCAGGACGTTCCTCGAGATCTCTGACTGGTACATCAGGGCGACGTCGTGACCAGTGTGCTAAATCTTTTTCGGTGAATTGAGGGATGAAATTCGCAACTTCGCCTTTCTCATAGTCTTCTGCGAAAGATTTCAAGCTTCTCCACACTTTATCGCCGTACACGATCTTTAAAACACTCCATTCAGAGAACTTTTGACCAGAGATATCTATTAAAATGTGGAATCCAGTGAAGCCACCCCACTAAGTCCTTGTCAGTATAACTTTTTGTGTGAATATTTGTTGTCACTTACGAAGGCAGAATCTTCTGGGGTTTGTGAAAGCTCTAACCATCTCAGACGCTTATCGCTGTCAAGGTTGAGGCGCTCATCTAAGTACATGTACTCTTCCAAGCTCCATGGCTTGCCAAGCAAGTCTTCAATTATCGCTGAAATTGGGGCGAGAGCATAATACACGAAAACCTTCTCTAACATTTTATCCTTGTGTGCCTTGGTTCTGCGGCTATTGTGAGGGATAGGTGGAGTGTTGGTTGAGTGTACCTGGACGTTGTCTTGATTAAGTGGGCCAACGGTGTATGACCTGATGGAAGGGTCGCTTTCCGAACCGTGTACAATGATAGCTTTAGCATATCTATCTGGTTTGGAACCGTTGAAGTTCAAGTATTCTAATGTTTCATATTTCTTTGGTGAGTTGAGTGTGAGGAGTTCGACGTAGTTATCAGCAGGGCCAGCATCTTCCAAACTGGTGAGATTGAATTTGTCATAGATAAATTCATATGCTTGATTGAACTCTTCTGATGTGAGTTGATTGAAAGGGTTTTCCTTGACATTCTTCGTCTCCTCGAATGTTGAGAATGGTGGATTGTAAGAAAGTGAAAGCGAGATGCAGCCAAGTATAACCAAAGCCACAGATTTCATCCTCAGCGTTTCTCAACAAAATGTTCATTCTTCGTTAGGATATTCAAACGCTGGGAATTTAGTCTACGTGTTTGAAATCTGCATTCCTGTGACAAAGCAGTAGAAATTGTGTGAAAAAAATTGAATTTTTGATTGGGTTTGACATATTGATTTATATCTTTTGCCGTCATGATCTTCTCATCAAACAACAGGAGCCGAGATATACGCACACTGGGATTTCTGTCGTTGGCATGTTTTCTGGTGCGATCTATTTAAATTGCTATTTCTAGGATAACGAATAATTCTAGTATGGCTGGTCGGTCTCTTCGATTGGTAGTGTGCAAAACGCAGCTATATGTCAAACTGGGGATGTTACGCGTAATAGATTAGAATGCTTGAATATTTCAGACACAAGCTACTCATTTGCAGTTGGTCCTTTCTTTGCTGCAGGCGGTTTGGTCGGTAGCTTGGTGATTTCACCTTATCTGGGCAATCGTGTGGGCTGGACAAACCTTTCCCGCGTAGCATTCAGCGGATATTTTAGCTTGATTGGTCAAGTAATCATCGCAATTACCCCATTTGCATCCCTTCTCTTCGTTGGCAGGCTGCTCTCTGGAATCAGCGCGGGCGTTGCAATCGTTGCCGTTCCAATTGAGCTCGAGAGGATGAAGGACAGCGAGGACAGCTACCTAGGACTGCTCACACAAATCTCGATTGTCACTGGTCTCACCGTCTCTCAAGCGTTAAGTTTGGCCCTTGCCAAGCCGACATACTGGCGTCTTATGCCGATGATTGCAGGACTGATATCAGGTATCCAATTGCTTCTACACAGAAGATACTCTCCGTTGCCAACAGAGGATTACGAGGAGAATGATGAAGTTGTGCCTCAATTATCAATGCTTGATGTCTTAAAAGACAGGGAAATGAGACCAAAGCTCATTAAAGCAGTCGTATTACTTGCATCTCAGCAGTTCGCTGCTATAAACATCATACTATTCTACTCCAAAATGATCTTTAACAGTGACCTAATCAGCATGCTGATAACATTGGTGAATTTTTTCATGACATTTCTCACGTTACTCATACTAAATATGCTCAGCAAGAGGTCATTATTTAACGTAAGCTATTTTGGTGCAATTGTATCACTGGGGATACTATCATTGTCTCTAGAGCGTAATTACATGGTGACGAGTATAGTAATATACGTCTACATAGCCAGCTACTCGATCGGATTGGGACCACTACCATTTGATATTCTCGGGCAGCTCTCCACAGAAGAAACAAAAAATTCGTTATCAAGCATTGGGTTGAGTGTGAACTGGATAACAAACATGATAATGTCAGCAGGGTTTTCGATATTGGTTGGTGTGGTGAACAAGAATATAATTTTTGCAATATTCTTTACACTGAATATTATTGTAGCAGTTGCTCTTAATGTCTTATGGTGACGACCTGAACGATGGCTTAGATTATAACTTTGATAACATTGAGTCTGAAAATGAAGGCAGCTTCGTAGATGAGGAGTTCGCTGCTGGTGATGATAATGAGGAATCGCTACAGCTAGCTACTGGGCAGAAGAGAGTGAGGGATGATGTAGAGCAGCCCCAGCAGAAGAAGAAGAAGACTAAAAAGACCAAGCATTGGTCCAGTCAAGTGCCTCAAGTAGCGAAATCTGCGCAGTCGAGTCAATACGACTTTTTAAAAGATCAGCTTAAGTCTGTTTATGGCAAATTATCCGATATTGAGATCGAGGAGAGGGTTATTCCAGGTGAGCTATTCTAAATAGCCTATAAACCGACTAACCTTGGATGAAAATTAGAGACAGCGATTGATGCTACACACGAATACAGTCTTCCTAGGAATAAGGATACTATTACAGACTTTATAAGCACACAGTTTAGCAATTTGAAGGATTCGCTTAGTAAGCCAAACAAGCAGAAGGGTAGTCCGAGATTGCTTGTTATATGCTCATCTGCGATTCGTTGCGCTGATGTTGTTCGTTCACTCAAACAGCTCAATCCATCAAAGGACATTCCAATTGCCAAGTTATTTGCTAAGCATATAAAACTGCATGAGCAGAAGGATTTCTTGCAGTCGAATCAGACTGTTATCGCAGTCGCAACACCAAATCGAGCAAAATCACTTATAGAGGATGGCACATTGAATACAAAGTACCTAAGTTTGATATTACTTGATTCTAGTTATACAGATGATAAGCAGCGGACATTGTTTGATGTACCAGAGACCAAAACTCAGCTATTCGATCTACTCAATTTGAAAAGCATATATGAGAGGTTCAAGGGAGAAATTGGCGGACAAGGAGACAAAGGACGTAAGACAGCGTTGTGTTTATTTTAATACTAGAAATACATACAACTTGAGCCTATCATTCATTATTCCTCACCAACCCAACGATTAGCTATTTCACCAATGTAAGGGAGTGGATACCTTTCAAGACTTTGGGCATCTCTATAAGCCTTTAAAGCGCAATTGCCGAGTGCGAATAAGTCGAGAGCGATAGCGCACCACTTGAAGAAAGAAGGAAAGCGTAGAATGAGTAGGAGTAAGTGTATAAGGGATAGAATAACTGAAAGTAAAGCAGATTGATAAGCGTGGTCTGTATATGTTAATGAGTTAATTGATAGCAAAACAATAATCTCACATCGTACGTAATCCGAGGTAGTCTCAACGACAAGAATCAAAAGGGCTGGGTGGTTATAGGTCAATGAGGGGAATTGTATATTTTACGCTAATACACACCACTAATTGGACCTAACGAATATGCAGATGCAGCTTCAACGTCAAGTCTCCAGCCTAACTTTGTATCCCATGCGCCAACAGCTTGACCAGCTTCAAGGTTTTCTGTTTCCTGGACGTCGCCATAGAAAGGCTGAGGGATGTTTCCAGATTGATAAGAATTGAGACTAGCAGGTGGATACGAGGACATTTGAGTAGAGCAATGATGGTTCAAGTTTGAGAGGATTAAAGAGGTATTTAAGGCATAAAATATTTATTTAATTCAGTTATTCAAACACTCTCTCAGTCGTACGTTCATCACTCAAAGCTATAGGAATGAACATCGCAATTATAATGCCCTTAATTGGGCTCATCTTCCATACTTATCAGATATTCATCAGTCCTCAGCTTCAACATTTCGGTATTCGCAATAAATCCATCACAAACCGCAATTCGGACTCTTGTAAACCGATCCCCGAGTTTGAAGGCTGCGAAGGTAATTTCTAAGCTTTTTTTTACAGGAACGTTGCTTAAAAATTATATTCAGATATCCGTTATCATCAATCTGCTAATGATTTATACCTCAGTTGCGCTCCAGTGGAATCTAGGTTACTCTGGGGGCCCGGTCACGCGGTTTATAATGAACAGACCAATGAAGATTATATTGCAAAATATAATTTAGATTCTGGAATATTCACTAAATTGGTTATGGATAAGTTACCTCAAGGTGGTCTTGGCAATCACGGTATTGATCTTGTTGACAACTCAGATGGTTCTGCTGATATTTTTATGGTTAATCACGCTAGAAATGTTAGCGGTGATACAAAATCACCTACTATTGAAACTGTTGAAGTTTACAAGACTAGTTCATCAAATCAACTTACTCACTTGAAAACTTTCAGTGATCAAAACGTCATGTACTCACTCAACGCTGTCGCTGCTGATGGAAAAGGTGGTATTTACTTCACTAACGATAAACCAACAAGAGTTTGGAGAGAATATGTCGATCTTGCACTTCTTGCTACAAACTTCGCTACTTCAACACTTGGTCACTGTAATGCCTCAGGTGAATGCAAACCAGTTGGTACATATACATCACTCAATGGTATTGCTAGAATCGATCAAGATCATTTCGTACTCAACCTCCAAAATGAAGGTAAACCTTTAATCATGCAAAGGCAATCAGACGACACATTGATTCAAGAACAACAATTCCACATTGGCTCACCAATCGATAATGTCTCATTCGATCCAGTTACCAACGAGGTCTACGTCGTCGCGTTCCCAAAAGTATTTGATACACTGAAAAGTATGAAAAACCCTCATATACATAAATCAGCAGTCCAGATCTATCGTCTTTTCAGGATGGAAATAAGCGATGAGCAGGTCAGAAAATTGTACTCTGAAGAACCTGTTCCTGGCAACAAGTACTACAGATGGAGAGCTGAGTTAGTTTTAGAAGATGATGGATCGAATGTATCATCTGTTACAACAGCTTTCAGAGTCAAGGACAAGCTGTACTTGGGTGGTTATGTCAATCCAGTTGGATATATCTGTGACATTTGAGTCGTTGATGATGCTACTTCTACTCATACACTGAACGACAAGCCCGATTAAAATATTTTCTTATATCTTAGATTTGATATACTCACAGTGAACCAATCCATATGCCATTGTCCATGCTAGTATGTAACTAAAGAGATTATCGCTCGTTGGTATTATAATCTCTGATAAGCCTCCTTGAAAGTATGCTTTATAATTCAATGATCTTGTTTTCAGTGTTATCAATAATAGTGGTAGCAGTGGTCCTAGCACCAAAAAGAAGATAAGCCCGCTCAAGTTGATCAAGCCAAGTACTCCTGCCACTCCACCTAAGAATAACGACAGCGTTGATCTAATTACAAATAACTCTCTGTTATTTTTCTGCTGGTTATCTGTGTAGATCGGATCCCGCTTGTCCTCCTCGTTGAATTGCACGCTGGTGTTCATCTGCTTAGTCTTGGTAGTTGAGGTTAGAGAGGCCAAGTGAAGGAGTATAGACATCAAGCTTACTTGATAGCACTGACTGAAACTTCTTGGTTCAAGGTCCCTTCGTTACTTGTCACGCTGCTATCAACTTACACAGTCTTGAGGAGGTGTAGTTGAACAGGTTGCAACGATAGTCCAGTATTAATTATGCTTACATCTTAAAATTCACAAATATCAAAACAGCTCATACAAATCAAGGAATGTTCAAGGGAAATGAATGAATCTAAGACAAACTCTAAAATTCTATGAAGAGGTGGAGGTGCTAACATAAGACTTCTTGAAGCCAGAGTACCAACCGCAAACTAAATCATTGAAGACTAAACAACAGACTGTATGTGGAGCAATACGTAAAAACTGAGCACTTGTTCCCTTGTACAACCCAGTTACACCTTCAGCTTTCACCGTCTTGTAGAGACAGTCTATTGGGTTCTTGTAGAACTGTCCAACTGACTTTCCATTCTCCATTTTCTGTGTAGGCTGATTGTACATTCTTGTGAGCGCAACATCAGGCGGCTGCATCATCAAACAAACGCAAGCGCCTGAAATACTTGACGAGAATATAAAGTTGGCTAAGGAGGTTGGTTCAAATATACCATTAGATGAGAAGTATGTTTTGGCAGCAATGTACGTTGGTAGTTGGACGGAACTACCCATGCATGTTCTTAAGATTGCTGCATCCATACCTCTAATTAATCCTGATATACCTTCTACCCGTATAACTGATTTGAGTGCATCATAGCCGTGTCTATAATGATGCTGAGTTCCAACTGGTAAACTTGGACTGTACGCTTGCATGCGCGCTTTGATAAGATAAAATGGATTTCCACTAGCCGCACCCATCATTCCACTAACAATACCCGCACCAACCGATGTTGTTGTAACATTCTTATCGGCAGGTATACCTGTATTGAGTTTGAGCGAGTGTGGAGATGCAATAACAAAAGTACTCACCCGTTAATGAGTTCAACTGTCTCCTGACAGGCTCGTAGAATCCTTGTTGGGATTTAGTAGATGATATCACATCGTAATGACAGTTACCAACCTAATCTACATCCGTTGAGGGCTGAATTGAGTGTGAGAATGCAAAAATTCATTATAACAGATACCGACCTGTTTGATAAACATAAGAAGTTCCCAATCCCCTTTGCAAACCTCTGATACCTTCATGCCTATAAGTTTTCGTGAAAACTTCACCAACGTTGTTGTAAACCTTTACGCCTTGCTTTGACAATTCTCCCTGCAACTGTAATCTAGTCTTTGCCACTTCCATTGGATTTGAGAGTGTAACTGCCCCGCAAGAAGCTGCGGCTCCGCAGAAAAAGCCCTCAGCAGTTGTTAATTCGCTCATCGATTGAATTTATTATTTATCTTGCTTCTTATTTACACTAATTGGTGTAGCCTTCAATATGCTATTTGTACAGGTTGATGTATTCTGGATAACTAAATTTGAGTTTATGGTATGACTTGGCTGTAGCTTGTAGAATTCGTGTGACACTCTAAATATTGGAGTATCTGTATCCAAGCCCTTTGTACTCGTTGGTGGTGTGACTAAGAGGAAGTCCATTGACTCACAATAAGCTGAAAATCATCCGAGTCTATGGCAGAATCCTTCAAAGCAGATGACGCGTCTATTATTGCCATATCTTCTTCCAACTAAATTTCTTGTAAGCGTATGCGTATCCGTTTCACGTGCTTCTACAGACCTCTTCCCATCCTTCGCTTTCGTCAAATTCCTTTACCTGCTTGTATTTATCGTCTAGTAATTTAGTTGCCCTTGTGTTACCCTCCATTAAGCCTTTGCATCCCACTTGCTTATCGCCTAAGCCCATGACGGAATCTAAAGAGATGCACACGACACTCACTGTAGGAATAGTTCTAATGAATGAAATGTAAATGAATCTTTAATTGTTATTTAAGAATGCTTAACAATGCTTAATTAGCTTAGATATTCTTCTCTAACCACTGCTCAACATCCTTCTTGTCTCTGGCTAACCATTGAGAGTTACCCTTGACAGCATCGAGGCCTTGGTTGAGCGAGGAAGAGTACTTGCTTGTGTCTCTGTGTTTAAAGAACTCTTCAACCTCGTTAACGTCGTTTGGTTGAGCAAGACCATCGAATGAGAAACTAATTAGTCTACCAAGTGAGAAATTACCTTCCAATCTCTTCTCGAGCTTATTAAGGTTAGCCTTTGTGTATTCCCATAATTTACGACGTGAGATAGGGTTGTTGCGCAATGCTACGTATGGGTACATTAAGTCTCTGTTGATTAGGTGGTTAGTTGGTGTATAAAATATTCCATCATCACTCACTGATTCTTGAAGCCGTGTTCAATAAAGTCAAAGGTCTTTTCAATGAGTTCTTCATGCTTTGTTGACCCTAATGCCAACATCGCAGCAATCTTGTGCATTGGAGTTGGTGGGTTAGGGTTTTTAACAATTTCGAGACATTTGCTCCATTCAGCTTCACCACCGTGTTTGACAGCTTGTGCGTAGATAACCCTGAGCAAGTCGTTTGGAATGAGAGAGTCGTCGTCCTTTTCAAGTAATGGTTGGAAGCGTCTCTTTATTTCCTGAACCACAGCTTTATCATTAGCAGCAGCAGCAGATGCAATCGACAATTCTCTTAATTGAAGAACATCTGGAGAGTCACCCTCTTTATTGTCAAATCCAACTTGTTTAACAAGTGGGGAAAATAATTTGCGTCTGAGAGCGTCAATCTTTTCTCTAACTGATAAGCTTTCTTCACACCAGACACTAGAAAGGTTAGCTAAGCTTGTAGCCATTGATGACCATACAAGGTACTCCTTCTCGTTCTTGAGTTGACTAATGAAACCCAAAGCTCCAGATGTTGGGCCATTACCAGCCTTGGCTAAAACGAAAGCGTCGTTCACTAAACCAATTCTGTCATTGAGTGAGAATGACGAGTCTGACTTTGACGCTTCAATGCCAAGCTTAGCTAAGCGTTCAGGGGAATATAAGACTCTGTAAACACCAGCAGTTTCCGCGTTGAGTTTCCAGTTTGAGCTTGATACGTCGGATAAAGCAAACTCGGCTTGACGCTTGTTCAATGCAACAGTTTTGTCGATATGATCACCTTGACGAATGAACAATGGAACGTGCCATTCAGTTTCATTCTCTTCAGCAGTCGGCTTACCAGTGCTCAAGAATCTGTCTTGACGAACTTGAATACCATTTTGACTTTCGTTGACAGTGAGGACAGGGAAACCTTGCTTGAGTGTCCAAGGATCCATGATAGCTTGTACGTCGATTCCAGCTGCTTCAGCGATACCGTTCCAAAGGTCTTGGGTTTCAGCGTTGCCTGTGATGTGTGAGGGTAAATTGGTGGATGAAAAATAACTCACCATAAAGGTGCTTCTTGAGATAGATTGAAACCCCTTTCAAGAAGGTTTCCTCACCGACCATGTTTGAAAGCATGCGAAGGACAGAACCACCCTTGGAGTAAGAGATGGCGTCGAAGATTTGGTTGATCGTAGCAGGATCTTTAACAGGAACTTGAATAGGGTGAGATGATTTAAGTGCATCCAAATCAAGTGCTCTGTGGAGGTGTTGAGTGATAAATTCACTGTAGACCTTCCATTCAGGTCTGATTCTATCAATGACGATAATTTCACCGACCAAGGTCGCGAAAGCTTCGTTTAACCAAAGACCGTGCCAATCTGCCATAGTAACAACATTACCGAACCATTGGTGTGAAACTTCATGTGATTGAACACCGACGACTCTCTTTTCAGCATCCAAACCAGACAACTTATCATCATAAAGGTAAACCGAAGTCCTACCGGTAATCAAACCCCAGTTCTCCATTGCACCTGCGTCGAAATCATTTGCAACCAAAGTGTCTAACTTTGGTAATGGGTATTCAATGTCGAAAATTTTCTCATAGAGAGGTAATACTTGAGACTTTGCATCTAAACCAAGTTTGGCTTGATTGATAAGGTCTGGGGTAGCGTAGATTCTTAAAGGTCTAACTTTACCAGAGATAGGGGACTTGTAGGAGGATTCGAGGTGCTTGAAGTGACCGTTGGCCCAAGCAACGAGGTAAGAAGAGATGAGGGGAGTCTTTTCAAACTTTGTGACGACCCACTCGTCTGGGTTAGTGGATCCAGAGTGTTTCGAGTAGTTGAAAGTGTCAGAAGTAGCTGGTGAAGAGTGAATTGGAGGCATATTTGACAAAGCTACCGTGTCTTTTCTGTGAATGATAGAAATGTCGTAAGTAGCTTTAAGGATAGGCTCATCAAGGCAGGGGAAAGATTTACGAGCAGCGGTTGGTTCATGCTGAGTGAGAGCATAGTAGATATCCTTATCGTCTTGCTTGTAAGAAGATCTATAATAGCCCATCATGCTATCGTCTAAGGTGGAGTTGAAAGAGATGGACAGGGTTACGTCATCACCTTGATTCAAGTTGAAGGGAAGGGAGAGGTTCAAGCGCTCTAACTTTTCATCAAATGAGTGATCAGGGGTTATAGATTGAGACTGTTTGATTGAATTGGTGTATAGATTGATGTAGTGTATCTTTATGTTCTTATGAGAGTGCAAGCTAATCAAATCAGTGGATTGCTTCACTTGGAATTGAATATCCACTAATCCTTCGTAATTACAATCAACCAAATCAGATTTTAATTTTAAATCGTAATTTATCGGCTTTAATGATTTTGGCAGTCTAAACTCTGACATGATTGTTTTGGTTGAAGAGGCGTTGAGGAGGTGCTGGTGATGCTTGACATGTGAGCAGCAAAAGTGGAGCTGCCTGCGATTGAAATTAGATTTTAATTTTAACCTAAAATGATTCCCCAGTGCTCTCCTCAGCGGCAACATTGGAGGAGTGATTTGAGATGAATTTTGATTTGTTTGATTGTAAAAAACTGAATTTCGTCTTGAGGAGAATTGTTTGGTGCGTTTGAATTTGTTTGATTTTGTTATCTTAACCAAGCAAAGGTCTCCAAGTGGCAGATATCTAGTCACACAGGATGATGACCATTCTTTGAATATTTTTGAGCTACTTAATCATCGTATAGAGCTGACCAATAAGCTCAAATCTTCCACTCCAATTATCAATTTCTTTATTCACTCAATTAACTTCTACTACACGGACCAATTACCTATTTTCTTATCTACGAGGGACAAACCTTTGCAATTATTGAATGGCTTGAATGGCGCAATACACTCCAGTTACAATTTAATAAAGAACGATGCTTTCTTATCTCCGTTCGACTTGTTTCAATTGGGTGATTCTCTGTTTTGTTCTTCAAAATCTTCAATCTACAAATTCAACATAAACAACTCTAACGATTTTGAATGTTTTAACCTCAAACAGTCTCAATCTGGTATAATTTCTTCCATTGACTTTAACAGCCTTTACGTCGCATCCGGTGACTTATCAAACAATCTAGCTATCTACACTTTAGATTTTGACCTAGTTTTGCTGCTGACTGATCTTCCTCAATCCATTATCCAGTTGAAGTGGCTGTCTGAGAGTTTAATTATCATCAACTTTCGACATTTTGACTACTTATACATCTACGATATAAACACACCTTCAGCTCCTTTAAACTACTTATCTAGACCTTCGAATACTAATCAAAACTTCTACTTTGACCTCTATTACAACTGGCTAATTTCAGGTGACAAGCTGGGTAATATATCTTTCTTCAACTTATCAGATCTCACTTTAGATGGTTCTTTATTCCAACCATCACATAGTTTGCGCTTATCATCAGACTCTATCAATTCTATCTCTCATCATCCTCATTTACCACTAATATCACTTACATCAAATTCAAGAAAATTTTTATATAACACATCCGACTCATCAGACACATCAGATTCAGATAATGACTCCATCAATCAAGTTGAACAATTCTTATCTTTTAACCTATTAATCTTCAATCTATCACCACCCCTTCAATAATCCTCGTAATTAATTCTAGTCACTCATCTCTTCATCTATCAATCTACGGATCAACATCGGTGGATACTCCCCGTCATTGGTTATAAAGACCGTAATCATTTCCGGTTTGACGTACTCATAATAAGGTACGCCTACATCTACCCGATCAACTACCCTTCCATCATCATACTTAATCATTTTGCCTGAGTTCACATAGTCACTTGAACTGAATTCTCCGCTTTCCCTGTTATCCTTATTTGATGTTATCTTAAATTGACCCGTTACACATATTACAGGTGTCGCATGCATCCCTGCAATCGCACTGGTTAAATAAGTGCCCGTCTCTGCTATAATTCCACCATTTGATAACACCACATGCGTCCCAATTACTACTTTTGTTATGCGTGGCATTAATGAATAAATCGTCGAATCACTGATCATTATCACTTTAACACCTTTAACTTGCTCTAACGACTTGACCATGTCTTTCCCATTAAATAATGGTGCATTTTCCGCAACATAAACCATTAGCCCACCCGAGGTTGTTGCTGCTGATTTTATAAACGATTCAGCCGTTTTGGATTTTCCAATCGTCAAAATTACATCGGTTGACTTAATGTGGTTCGACGCGTTCTTAGAAACCTGCTCATATGTAGTTTCTATTTCATCAATCACTTCTTGTATCGCTTGTATCATGACTGTTGTCGATTTTCTATTAAAGTCGTCGATATCTGAATTGCTTTTTTGAAATTGATATGACGAAGATTGAGCTGTACTATCATTCATTTGATCTTTAGGTAATCCAACGTCATATAACTTTGGTGTCATGAAGCTCGATCGAAGTGCAGGCTCTGAGCTATCTAGATTTGAAGCTCTAAGTGCTTGCTGGTATTCTTCTCTGATCAATTTAAGGACCTTGCGAGTCACGTTGATGATTGCCAACTCTTTGGGCTGTGAATCTAAAAGGGATTGACCAACAGCCTCGACGATTGCTAATAACTCTTCGATAGAGCTAAATTTCGCGTTAGAAACGACAAGTCTTAACAATAAAGCAGTCTCTAATGCTGTTTGATTGCTGCCTACTATCTTCCTATCGGTGGTCTTAACTGTGTGTCAAGTGGAACGCAGCACCCACCTTCTTCTCAACTTATCAGATAGCTGAGTTATCTGACTCAAAGTTGTGCGAGATTTTCCTCTAAATTGATTCCCATTTATTTCGATAGCCATCTTCTTCGTCGACGTCTACTTTCAACGCCAAATTCTGGAAATTTTAAATTATGCAAACCCAATCAAATGATTTACCTACAAAGTTAGAAAGAATCGGTGCTCATTCTCACATCAGAGGTCTTGGTTTGGATGATAACCTCGATCCTATATCCTCTTCGCAGGGTATGATTGGTCAACTCAAGGCTCGTAAAGCGGCTGCGATCATTATTAAAATGGTTCAACAATTCAAAATCGCTGGTAGAGCTATCCTTATCGCTGGTCCTCCTTCTAGCGGTAAAACTGCTATCGCTATGGCTATGGCTCAATCTTTGGGTACTGATGTTCCTTTCACTTCAATAGCTGGCTCAGAAGTTTTCTCTCTTGAAATGTCCAAAACTGAAGCTCTCACTCAAGCTTTTAGAAGATCAATCGGCGTGCGTATAAAGGAAGAAAGTGAAATCATTCAAGGCGAAATAGTCGAAATTCAAATTGATAGATCTCTAACTGGTGCAACTAAAACTGGAAAATTAACCATTAAGACTACTGATATGGAAACCGTTTATGATTTAGGCAACAAAATGATCGATTCCCTGAATAAGCAAAGAGTTTCATCTGGTGATGTTATCACTATCGACAAGTCTTCCGGAAAAATCTCTAAATTAGGTAGATCCTTTACAAAGTCAAGAGATTATGATGCTATAGGTCCTGATACCAAGTTTGTTCAGTGCCCAGAAGGTGAATTACAGAAACGCAATCTTGTTGAGCATACCGTCTCTTTACATGAAATTGACGTTATAAATAGTAGGACACAAGGTTTTCTGGCTTTATTTAGCGGTGATACTGGTGAAATCAAACCTGAATTACGTGAACAGATTAATTCAAAAGTTGCTGAATGGCGTGAAGAAGGTAAAGCTTCGATTGTGCCAGGCGTACTTTTCATTGATGAAGTACATATGCTCGATATCGAATGCTTCTCTTATTTAAATAGAGCTCTAGAAAGTGAATTAGCTCCACTTGTCATTATGGCTTCAAATCGCGGTTACGCTAGAATTAGAGGTACCAAGTATACAAGTCCACATGGAATCCCTGCAGATTTATTAGATAGATTACTTATAATATCAACAAAGCCATATGAGCGCGATGAAATTTTCAAGATTGTACAATTACGTGCACAGGAGGAGGATGTCACACTTAATGAAGAGGCTATGACCTTACTAGAACGAATTGGTGCTGACTGCGGTCTGGTAAGTCGGGATCATATGTGTTCCTTTATAACAAGCTAACATCCTTTTAGAGATACGCCTTAAACCTGATAGCACCTGCACAGCTATGTGCGAAGCGCCGCAAAGCTATTGACGACGTCGTACATCCTCAAGATCTTCAAAAGGCATTTAGTTACTTTATGAATGACAAGCGAAGCGTTGACTTCCTTCGTGAACAAGGCCAATTGTTAATGTTCAATCAAAGCAGTGATGGTGAACCTATGAACATGACCTGATATTTTTCGACTTTCATAATCCATCTTATATATCATTCAACTATTTATCATACTAATATTGTAAAGATCAATGTATTGAGTCTAAAAATAGCTCGATTGATAAACATCTGTTGGTTCAGCTTGCTTAGATTCATGCGGCTACCAACATAGTTGAAAATGGTAGAACAGCATCTTGTTGAGCACCTCACCAACGCTCGATTAAACGAAAAACAGGGAAATGCTTATTCGCTATTCATGATTGTTACGACTTCGATATTGACGT